ATCCACAAATGAAAGACGCTACTGGGGCTCGGCGAGCTGATATCAACTGACCAGCCCTAGTGAGTAGAAAAACTGTCAGATGAATAAGAGAAACTTGTCATCGTTTACCAATGATAAACTGAACCAGCACTTGGATACACTGAGCAAATTTCCGCCAGCGAAAGACCAATTAAAATAGTAAATAACGATCCAACAATCCAAGACCATATAGCAACTCCTGATCCTCCGGTATTCAAAGTGAAGGTAAAACCCAACGAAATCGAAGCCAAAACATTGACAGCAGTGAAACAGAATGCAAATGACATCAATGGTGAAAAACCACGATAAAGTTCCTGGGTATATCCCATCTCACGAAGGAGACGAACATCCGAATCCTCTTGCTGATCATGATTTATGTGACCATTTCCAGTCATCCTTGTTTATATCTAGAACAAATAAACGAAAAGCTCATTTTCATAGTAAAAATCATCTGTAAGTGATGTTATTCATTTCGCAGAGAAAAACACGCTGTATTCATATGTGACTGACTGTTATGCATCGTCACTTTAGGGCGTGTTGTTTGTTTCTCTTTCAACATATCGATGAAAGAAAAATCAGAGGTCTACCCTATCCAAATGTAACGAACTGCTTGATCTTTTCTCTCTTGGGATAAATATTTCGATCAAATGTTTGAAGTTTATGTACCATCTACGTCTTTGTTCGATATCAGAATGACTAATACGAACAAGAGAAAGAGAAATTTTTTAAAAATCTATTCACTTTTGACAGAATTCATACGTACAGTGTTTGTTTATACTCGTAAACATTTCCTCTGAAACTTCAATGTATACAAAATTCATGCATTGAAGGATGACCTTGCCCATCGAGCATGTTTTTCTCTTTTCTTATAATTGCATCAAAAACAAACATCATGAAACGTATGTGTAACGTGGTGACATTCACCTGGAAGCATCATATCGTGACTGAATCGATTTCTGTTCTGTTGAATGTCAAACGGCGCACCTTTCAGCATACTCATCAAGTGAGATTTCTTAACTGAAATGTAGAAAACGGTATTTTGTAAATATGAATTATACCCAATCTAATTTTTGATGCAAATTTGTCGTTGTACGAGTTCGAGAAGTCTTTAACAGGCGGAAATTATGGATTCATTGTGTTTATATTAGTCCGATGAAACAATATTCTCTAATCATGGTCACTTCTAAGCATTCCTTCATAAAAGTACGCGCGGAGATCTCAGTAGAAACGCTCTTCTCAGTCTAGATAATTGGATAGACATCCACATATTGAAAACGTATTAGTCTTTGTATGTAGCGTGCTGATAAAAAACTATACTAATATTTGAGGATAAATTATTGTGTTTCTAGACTTACTATGTCGTTATTATTTTCAACATCCTGAGGGCAACTATTTTAAAGTCACAACATGAGAAATCATATTCTTTTCTTAGAGTACTCTACCATTAGTTTACTTTGATCTAAGCAGATGACAAAGTTGGGTACTATGAAAAAACATGTAATTCGAGACACTTTTATAGCAAGTATGGATATCTTTTCTATGACCAATTCGGTAATAATACTCTAGGATTGTAGCAACTTGTTAGTACTGTTGTGAAAGTCTTTCTCCGAGAGACTGTAATTTTCCTAAATGATAATTATTTAAAAATTTCCTTGCAATTACGAGTCATTTTTTGTGCATGCTATTCAAGAAGAAGAAGTCATATATGAAAATCATTTCTGAATAATTTAGATAGTACGAATGAATACTTCATCGAATTCTCTTGTTGGCACATTTCATTTTTATCTCGGACATGAATCATTTACATTTTTCCTTTGAATATTCCATTCTTCTATTTATTCCGTGAACAGAATTTCAGTTGACATTCTCAGAAAGTACACTTCTCGTCCAGGTACCACGGTCGCCGATTTACTTCGCTCATGGTTTAACTCATTCCGTAGGTAGTACCAACTACTATAGAATCACGTACACGTATTATTAACATCTTAGGTGAATAGGAAGTTTTATGTCTGACCTTTGATGTCTAGATAAAGGATAATGTTTTCTATTTAGTAGAAGCAGATCCATCCGCTGCTGTAACATATTCCTGATGAATCCAGTCGATGACGTTTGTCGTTCATATCCATTGGGATATTTTATAAATGATCTCCTAACCAGTCTGTTCAATTTGACTGGAATAACTGTCGCTATTCTTTTCATTCATACAGTTGTTCGTCTTGAACATCCCAGTTATTCAATCGCAAATTTAATCGCATGTCAAACATGCTTAGCCATCGGACTCCTAAGTTCAATGATATTCTTCAATAATTGTTATGTTCTATATCATGAATTTTTTGATCAACCTGTCAACAACGTGTTTTGTGTTATTCGTGGTCCTGTATTCAGTGTATTTTATATCAACATGTATGCGACGTTATGTTTAAAAGCGTTCAATCGTCTCCGGTGTGTTGTGTATCGTATTCGTTCGGCGACGAAATCTTGTCGCTCATTGTTTGTGTTAACAAGCATTCAATGGATAGTCGTGTTAGTTCTTGTTTTGCCACTTGTTATAAGTAATGGAATCGATTATAGCCAACGTTCATATTTATGCACAGTCACAATTCGCAAGCCATGGCAGTTTTTATATCTAAGTACGTACGAATCAAAAAAAGACAAAACTCATTATTTTTCCTGAAATAATTGATTGTCGTCAAACTATATACATGTAGACGAAAAGATTCATCATCTTGTCCTTGACTTGTTTGTCCTATCATCAATAACATTCAATGTTGACAAGTCCAATGTCATCAATTGATTTCTTTTTATTTTAGTGATTATCTATTACATTTCGATTGTTTTTATCACAAGTGCTTATATTTACATTCTCTACTATGTTCTACATCTTCCCCTGTTAGAACAGTATCGTCGACAACGACAAACGAAACTTCTTCGACGAATTCTTATCCTTCTTTTCATGTTAACTCTACCCGGAATAGTCTATCTCATCCTGTTGACCTATTGGATTATTTTCAAATCTATTCCATCGTCGTCATTGAAAATCTGTACGCTAATCGATAGTATGGCGTATGCCGGCGCAGTGGCGACAATATTCATTTCCAACAGTCGTCTATGCCGTTTGTATTGTATGAAACGTCAAGAAACATTCGATCCAGTTCGTCAGCGACAATTGGATTTGATTGTTTTACAACAACCTCGAAGAAAAGTGACGATTATTCAAACATCTTTCACCTTAGAAAAACTACCGATTAATATTCAAAGAAAATAAACGACTGCTTCTTTGTCTTTTGTGTTCATTGACTTGCTCATACGCACATGTGTCAGAATACATAAATCAAATACCTGAATGTGTCATTGTAGTCGGATCTGACATGATTTCTTCATGAGTTAATTAATAATTAGAGATGAATGTGTTTGACATGTGAACGCAAGGTTAGATAAGCAACTGTTAAGGTAGACTTTTTTGCTTGATCACGCTCGTTTATTCTTCTTGAAGGTGAAATATATCAAGTTGATTATCTTTCGCTATTTGTTGTTGTTTTCTCTCGATTAGTCGCTTTATTATATCGGACAGAATTACTATCTAGGTTATATATATATAATCAACAGATGTTCAATTCCAAGGACAAAACGTTTCTCTTTCTCTTTCTCCTTGCTACACAGATTATCTATAAACAAAATAGAGATATGAAAAAGACGCATATTTTTCTTGGATAATGTTATTCGAAGATGGAAAGCTGATTCGACTGGAAGTCTGGCGGAAAAAGAACAAACACAAATCATTTTTCATACGCTTCCGAGATGCTCTCTTTTGACAGGTGATAATATATATCTGTTTATACATATGAAGGCAAAGAGTAGAGCAAAAAAAAAGACTTTTTCAACATTTTTCCCGTGTCTCTTGCTACTGGTAATGTTTTCGTGACCATGTGTATGTACGACGACAGGCGTTTGCGCGTCTGTGTATCCTTGGTCGCACGCTTTGCATAGATCGAAGATTCTTCGCCTTCTTTTCTTTCTCGTTCGCCTGTATTACTTTGGTACATCAACATAAGAAGTAACAACTCTTCTTCTTCTTCTTCTTCTCTTTCTGGTTCTTTTTTTGTCATTTTTCCTTGGCACTTTTCATCGTCAATTGTCGTATGAGCAAAGCCAATCAGCAACAGAAGGTCTTCTCCTTCATCGCTATACATAGACAACGAGAGACAGACGCTTCTGCTCGTTTTTTCTCTCTCAATATGTTGTTTTGTTTATGTATAACTCTCCGTTTTCTTTCTTTTTCTTCTTGGTCTTTCGTACATCGGCAAATCCCTGTCTGCACTTTACTTAATATCACTATGCTTCATTCATAATATCATGATGCTAGTAATAATATTTGCGAGTAGTGACGATAATGATGACAACAATTGACTTCGTCAAGTTGTGGTTAAGTACGTGCGAAAGAGTCACTTCGTTTCGTTTCTTTTTTCTTCTCTTCGTGTCGCAGTGGTTGACAATAAACACGTAAATGAAATGAAAAGAAACATAGAGAGAAGTATGAATAGTGTAGCGAAAAATGAAACATGAATTGATTGACGAGCTTAAAGGAAAAGGTCATAATATGTTTCTTTTTCTCTCTCTCTCCTTTTCATTTCTTTATTAAGTACGTTTTCCGCGTCGCATATACTGAATTCAAGGGAGAGCAGAACAACAAATCTGATTGAAAAACTTTTTCGAGCTTCTTTTCAAATGAAACGAAAGTATTTCGGATGCATTATTTTCGCGTGTTTTTTTTCTTCTTTTGCCCTTTCGTGACAAGCGCATTTCGCCAGCAGATTTCTTGGCAAATATACTTTGTATATAGGATTTCAGAGGATCATCATCGACACCTGTGATGCTCGTCGTCGTCCTCGGCGATGTCTTACCATGTTATTCATCAACCGATTCATTCAAATCCAACTAATTCTTCCAATTCGATAACGACAACAGTTCCGACGTTGCAATTCATGCCACGTTATCACTACTCACGAATGGCTCCAAATACTTCCGAAGTATTTCTAGCAGAAAATCCTTCAAATGGACATTCAAGAAAACTCTCACCTCCGCCGTCAACAACAGTGATGACGACGACGACGAGCAATAACGCGACGAATTTACCTGGATCTTTTACGTCAACATTCATTCCGTTTGTAAGCAGTAATCGAACTGGCACGCCCACAATGCGCGAATTCATTCAGATACCAGTCAATCGAGAAGATGGAGGAATAACAGTTCAAACGAATAATCTCATCCGGTCAGTCCCGATTACGTACATTACAGAAACAAATCCATTATCAACTCTTGAAAATACGACTAGCATGAAGCCAACTTTCACTAGTAAGTATTCGTTAATAAATAGGACCAAATATATTAAAAGAAAACAACGTTATTCTTTCATTTATTAAAAAGATTTGTTACGACCGAGCTCGAGATATTTTCAGCATCATTTCAATAATAATAATAATAATACGAATTCAGACGAATCAACTGCGAATGTTTCACGTGTACCATCAGCTACGCGTCGTTTAAGTCTTTCCGTACCAGTGGTAACATCATCAACAAACAATACTGAGAATGATACGACACACACAAGAGCTCCTGCCTCCCCTGTGCGACAAGTTCCCGTACGTTTTCCACAAACGAGCGTTATCGGGTCAACTCCAACAACGAACTCTCGTATATCAAGTGCGATACTTCGCTCATCACCTTTCTCACATTCAATCCAACGTCGACGAACAGATCTCGGAGATATTTCCTTGATCGCCGTCAACAACTCGTCATCTCAGCCATCCTCAGATTTCAATACGACATCAACTTCGAATACTTTGCCAATACGTCGAGCGGAAGCCATGGCCCGTGAAGCGATACAAAACATGACACAACAGCAACAACAACGAAATAGTATGTTACCGGATTCGGTAAATCGAACTTCGCCTCCTCCATCTCGTCGTGTTATTATTAATTTAAAAAATAATCAATCGCTTCCACTTGATAACCATCAGCCAGCCGTGATGAAACTACCGCCGCTTCCATATTCTCCACGTTCAACGCAACGTACCAATGTTTATCACATACCTGTTCTGCACGAATTACAGATGCCTCCGCATCCATCAGCGATTATTACGGAACCTTCTATTCAATCTGCGACTGTACAAAACGGAAGTTATAAGAATGAACTTCGTATGGAAATTCCAGTTACCATCATGACTAGTAACGATCAAGAGAATGAAATTCAAACAGGTTTTCTCCGAGAGGAAGGTTCAACTAATAACAGCGAACGTTCTCGATCGAAACACAATCCAAATCAAACATTGAAATCCATTCTAAAACGTTCGTCCTCGCGAGAAACTGTTTCAAGAAAAAATGTCAGCTTTATGAATGCTTGATATGTTTCTTTCTGTACACGATATTTGTACCTTTTTTTTTTAATACGCGAAAGATGCTGTGCATTGTATCTAATGAATATTAACAATAAAAAAAAATCGTTTAAAGTTCAACTGAACGACGTCTGTTATGCAGCGATTCCAAGTCAAACTTTGACGTCACTTCATTCTTTTTTTGTCTGATGTTCGATAAGATAAAGAAAACGAGAGCGTCGCAAACTTTTGCAATACTGCTCGCAGTAATCAGAGACTGCAATCGTAAGACGAGCGAGAACGAGAGAGAGAGAAAACGTTTTTTTATGGATATGTGCAAAAGCTTATCTCTCCATCGAGTATAAATAAATGGTAAAGTACAATAATTTTAACCTGTATACGTTTTTCTTTCTAGATACATCGACTTTGTCGCGGGAAGAATCACCCGCGATTTCTCAGAGTCAACAAAAAAAAACAACCGTGATTACACTTCTTCTTGATGTCTATATACACCTTACCAGTCACAAACATTATCAATCGTGTTTTTCAATTTCGCGAAAGAAGAAAGATCAAATCAATATTATTAATGAGATATTATGTCAAGAGAAAACGCCGAATATCAACTGATTCATTTACACGTATCTTGCTTACTCAGTTCGGTGTCTTATCAGTATCCAATCTATATATTTCTATATTCGCATCCCATATAAACATACATTTACTAATGCATGCGTATCTAAATATTATCGTAGAGAAAACGTAAGAGATGAGTGTGTGTATTGAACTTTGTTTTGACAGTTATCGAAAGAGTAGACGAAGCGATTAGATCATGTTGATGTTTTCTTCTTCTTTAGATATCGGATAGTAGGAGAAAATAGACGAAAACAGGTTTTTCTTTTCTTTGGTGAACTTTCTGTCCATTGGAAAGTTAAGTACATATATTTTTTTATTACATACAAGTCAATTGATTGATCATATGTGTAAAGATTACTAATCTGTGATTGTTTCTTCCGAATCAATGATTTTGTGCTTGCACGCCTGGTTATCTCGTTTTTCTTATCTGTGTGTCGAGAAATGATAGGATGCCAATGACGAAATGAAGTTAACGAGAGAGAGCGAGAAAGAAGATAAAACGAGTGAATATTGGACTATGCTTATCTTTTGGAATAACTAAGTAAAAAAGAGATAGTATATCTAGATTTGTTTTTCTTTGCTCCCCCTTCTTTTCTCGTTTTATCGTCAATTGAAAACGATGATTTACAATGTTTTCATTTACTCGATATTGTAGATAACTAACCTACTTACTGATTACACATTCACAACGAATTCGTACTCGTTAGTATGAATCAAGACATACAAATTAAACGTGAATCTTCGAACTCATCAACATCCATTCAAATGCAGCCTCGTAAGAACTATTAGTTGCAACTAAACGAAACAAACAAACAAACGAACGATTTTTATCGTTTCAGCGTTGGTTTATTCGTGTGAATCATGTCATGTTCGATTCAGTAATCGAAATACGTTAGAAGCTCATCGTCAACATTATTGTACCAACGAAGAAAAACGAGCAAATCAATCTAAAGGTATAGTCACTTGAGAACAACAATGAAAAAGGTCATTGACTATCATAAAAACGAAATTTCTATCTTTGTTTTATAGATTTACTTCACAGTCTCTCAAGACAATCGATGAAACGCAAATGTGCAGATATCTCTGAATCACCATCGACTACTAAACGTTTATCTTTATTATCACATGATACCTCTTGTCAGGAGTGTCATGTTCCCTTTGATAAAGAAGATAAATTTCCTCGACATAAATTATCTTGTTCGAAAGGTTTATCCGAATCGACTTTAACGACACCAACATTAACTTTAAGTCACCCGGTACAAATCGGAAAGTTAATCTACGTACCAATTCCAGTTCTTTCCACACCAATCTACCCTTCGTATCAAGAAAGCAAACCGTTAGATTTAAGTAAACCGAAACGATCGACCGACGAATGCAAAAGTTCACCAATCGATCTTTCGCTCACTAAACCTCTTCCAGATCCCATTTACAATTGTGAATTTTGCTCCATACATTTCCGCTCGTTGAAAACTCTGCAAGCACATCAGAAGAACTACTGTGTAGAATACCGAAAGCAAAAGAAAGATGAAAATAGTCATTCGACTCCAGCAGCCAATCTGATTCAGTAAGATCATTGATATAATCACAATATTTCTTCTAACCATTCACGTTGATAGATCTCATTTACTACATTCGAAGCTATTCACCTGTCATTTATGTCAATACCGTGGTAATACACTTCGTGGTATGCGCATGCATTTCAAATTTCATCTCTCGAACAATCAGCTATGTTCTGATGACGATATCATGCTAAAATCAACAGAAAAGCCGTGCGAAACGTCACAAACAGACGCCAATCAATCTCTGTTGAAATGTACAATATGTTCGGCGATGTTCGACTACGAAGAGATGCTACTGAATCACATCCGAAGTGTTCATACAAATGAACGGTTCTTGAAATGTCTAGAATGTCAATCGAGATTTTGTTCGAAATGGAATTTAACTCGACATATGAAGTTCGTTCATACGAATATCAAATGCGACGAAGAGCAAGATTCTACGTCATCGTACACAACCGGAGAATGTTCGTGTCCGTTTTGTCATTTAACATTCCAATCGACTGAGATCTTAAAACAACATATTATTAATTCCTGTTCCGTGAAATCATCAACAGCCAAAGAGATTCTAAATGATATTCGGAAAAAGATACAAAATGAAACATTCTGTTCGTTATGTCAAATATCATTCCAATATAAAAGTTCCTACGACGCTCATCGGTTGTATTACTGTCGAGGTAGCAACTCGAGCAATGTAAAACTACAAGCATGACGATTGTCTCTCTTTTTTTTGTAATTTTTTTTGTATTCCAGTAAAAGAATCATTGACAAATCGAATATGAGATTTTTTTATTGTTACTAACTGCCAGCTGTTGCATAGAAGTAGATGATGGGAAGGAGTCATTTGCGCATTTTACATTGTATAAACGAGTTGTTTGTGGAAAACGATGGTCGATGAAATCGAATCGGACGTTATCTATGGTCCGTTGGATGAAAGCGAAGATGCAGTCGCCGCTGCTAATGAACTCGCAGAGAAGAACGATGATCCAGCGATGGAGGTAAGCAAAACTATGGATAATATAGCTTGATTACAAGATTTCGAGTGTTTAGATGCAAGAGAATGTCAATGTCAATCTAATCGACGAATGTTACAACTGTTTTAATGACGGTGTGACGAAGATAGGTAAAATAGAAAATCTGAAAATCATCGTGTAATTCTTGCTTGTGTAGATTTCATTCTTGTTTATGAAGATAGACGTGCGACAACTGTAGACGAATTGATGCTGTCTTTACCACCCACCGTGGCTAGTGAAGAAAGTGATCGAATAGCATTGGCGATACAGAAGCAAAAGGATAGACATAAGTTGTTCAAGAAAAGATTTCTGGGTAATCTGTCGAAAATGGGTCTGCTCATGGAAACTGTATGTTTCATATTTGGCGGAAGAAAAGCGATTGAGATTCTTTTCTTGTATAAAGGATGTGCGTGAAAGTGATCGAAGTCTGGTGTATTTTATTAAAATCCATATTCCATGGTCATTGATGTTAAAATATGCGGAAGATTTGAATTTTCGTGTACCGATTCGAGTACGATTACTGGAAAGGATGAATTCTTACTACGTTTCGTATTTTTCTCTCTAGGCTGTCAATAATTATAGTACAAAGATAACATTCGTCGATCGTTTACTCCGTTTCCTGCATCTCTCGCACAATCCGTTCCTTTCCGAAGCACCGAAACGTTACTACGATCTGTTCACATCCGTTTTCGAGTACGCGAAAAAGGATAGTTTCATGTGCGACAATCACTTTCCTGTTCATTTCACCAATACTCAACGAAGTTTTGCTGTGAATGAAATCTTGCAAACAACGCCGTTTGGTCGAATTGAGAAAGGCGAAATCGGAATCGATCGTTTAGTACGTGAACGTGTCTTTCAAGCAGCATATCCATTGCACGAAGGTGATTATAAATTTGATAAAACTGAAAAACAAATGCCATTCCATGAAAATAATCCACGACGCGTTTTATACGATACATGGGCACAGTACCGAGTGTTCTACAAATATCAACCATTGGACTTAATTCGAGAGTATTTTGGAGAGAAAGTTAGCCTTTACTTCGCTTGGCTTGGTAAGAGAAATTATTCGCGAGAGTTTTCCATTGATCGGAAGTTGTACTGTAGGACTGTATACTACTTGGCTTATATCAGCATCGTTAGTTGGTGTGCTAGTGTTTATGTTTGGATTTATTTATCTATCGAATAATTTGCCTGTGCAAGATATTTGTACGATTGGAAAAGGCATTCGTATGTGTCCACTTTGTGATCAGGTACGTTTATTTGTGGAATGCGTTCGTATAGACGGTACGGTGTGGACTTGACGAGCGAAGGCATTGTATTTTGTCATTACTAGTGTCCGTATTGGAATCTATCAGATACTTGTTCAAGTGCGCGACTCGGCGTGTTCTTCGATCATCCTGGAACTGTTTTCTATGCCATATTCATGTCTTTTTGGGGTATTTGAAAGTTTAACAACAACGATATTTACTATTCTAATCTCAAAACTCTTCTAGCAGTCACATTTCTCAAACATTGGAAGCAGAAAAACGCTCAAATCACCCATCGATGGGATCTAATGGAGTTTGATGAAGAAGAAGTAAATTACTTTCAGAATTCAATCAATTCCAATCTTTCAATTTTCTCTCATAAGAATCGGCCGCGTCCTGAATTTGCAATACGCACATCGCGAGTGGAAAAAAATCCTGTTACCGGACTACTTGAACCTTATTTTCCGCCCCGTGTTCGTATCTATCGTATTATTGCTGGGATCGTCACCCTGAGTGTCATGGTAACATACCATTTCCTACATCAACAGCATTTCTCTTTCAATTCTTTCAGATTTGCATCGTAATTATATTCATCATCGCAATAATTGTCTATCGAATCATCATCAGTATCCCATTGCTTCGAAATCGTGATTTGCAGTATGCAACTTTTGCATTGATCTACATGATTGAACGTGACTTTGTTCTAGAGTCTATGCACTCAGTGTCGCTTCGTTGAGTGGAGCTGTGATCAACTTAATAGTAATCATGATCTTAGGTTATTTGTATCAAATAATCGCGTATAAATTAACACAATGGGGTTTGTGAATTTGCACAGGTCACAGCATACAATTTCATTGGCATTTTCATTGATAGAAATGCATCGAACACAAACAGATTTCGATAATCATTATACAATCAAAGTGTTTATTTTTCAATTTACTAATATTTATTCGTCTATTTTTTACATTGCTTTTATCAAAGGAAAGTAAGAATTTTGTTCCATTTTAATATTCTTGCCACGAGATTTATCTTAGAGCTGTGGGTTATCCTGGCAAATACATAAAGATTTTCGATTTACGGCAAGAAGAAGTAAGTTTTCTTATCATCTCCTTTCATCACCATAATCTACTTCGGATTTAGTGCGGTCAAGGTGGATGTCTAGTGGAATTAGCTGTTCAGCTCGGAATTATCATGATCGGTAAAGAATAAAACGATCTCATTTTGTGAATTTAATTGAATAATTGTTTAGGTAAACAAACCGCTACCAATCTGCAGGAAATCATGTGGCCGTATGTTGGACAATTTTCTTTTTTTCTCTTTCTCATTCGCCGATGTTCGTAGAAAGATTCTTGCGCTGTATCAACGTTGGCAATTGTCGATACCAAAAACTCGCTGTACTACTCGATGGGAAGATGATTTTAAACGTAGTGAATTTGGCGGTTTATTTGAAGAATATCTTGAAATTGGTAAACGACTTGATGTGAAGCATATTCTTTGTAAATACTGATGTTCTTTAGTTTTGCAATTCGGATTTATTACAATCTTCGTTGCTGCTTTTCCAATCGCTCCATTATTCGCACTACTAAATAATTGGGTGGAGATTCGTTTAGATGCAAAGAAACTCGTTTGCGAAACAAGGTTCGTTCTTCACTCAATACTGAATTCTACATTTTTGTCCGTCTTTGTAGGCGTCCGATTGCTTTTCGCGCATCGACAATTGGCATATGGTTTTCGATTCTTGAAGTTCTTGCTTATTTAGCCATTATCGCCAATGTAAGGAACTCGAATCTCCACACTCTCATGATCTAAATAAAATTCTTATCTAGGCATTTCTCATTGCATTCACATCGGAGTTCTTACCTAAGATTCTCTATCGATATACAGTTGATTGGGAGTTAAAAAACTATACAAGATTTACCTTGTCGGAAGCACCGCCGAACACTACGGATAAAAGTTGCATGTATGGATACTGATCATTTTTCTGTGGAAATCTATATGATATCATCTGAGTTTATTCTTAGGTATCGAGACTTTCGCGATCCAACGGGTACTCTAACACCTTTCTTTTGGAAATTACTTGCTCTACGATTATTTTTCGTGATTTTGTTTGAGGTAAGAATCGATTACACGCAAAATAATGATTGATTGTATCTTTTCAACATAGCATGTGGTTTTTGTTCTATGTCGATTGACTGATGCCGTGATCAATGATATTCCCGACGCACTGGCAATAAAAATTCGACGGGAGAAATATTTAGCTAAACGCGCTTTGCAAAACTCGACCAATTATAATCGAGTGAGATGAATTTTATTTCTTCGTTCGATTGATTGATTTTGTTGTTCATTCTTTTAGATCTTCGAGGAGCCTGAAACTGACCATATATCTCGATCAAAACTGACTCGATTTTTTCGCACAACTAAATCAAAAACACCTTCTGTTTCGAGCTAGACACTAAGACGAGATTAAGATCTGTAAAGAAATAACATTCGCAAGGTTGTTCACATTATTAATCATTCTATTTCATTGATGAAAATATATTTAACTTGAAAATAATCGCTTCGCCATTGCGGTTTCTCCTTTCTTCTTGTTATTCGTACTCGAAACCACTCGCCTTCATGCGCGATCATATTCACATTAGGCAAGAAAAGATTATGTCTTTTCAAGTCATACTTTTCATAGGCATTGCGAGATTCATATCGAGAACGGTATGGAGAAGCGTGTTTTAAAGTTTGAGTTTGATGTCGGAACGTCGAGTCGATCAGGAACTGGTGGTAATGAAGGTCTTGGAAAAGTCATGGAACTTGTTCAACGCGATCGCGATCGAGATGTGAAAGAAAAAGAAGAACTGCGCTATTTAAACGACCGATTTTCACACTTTCTCGCCAATATCGAGCAATTGAAACGTATCAATGAACAATTGCAAACACAATTAAAAGATGAATTTGCTAAATGGGGTATTTTACCACGTGATGAAAACGAATTACAACAACTGATCCATCAAATCAACGATCGGGCCGTTAAACGTGCGAATGATGAAGTACGTTCGCGTGCTGCTGAGCAAGAATCAGCTATACTGAATCGTGCCGCTGCACTCTACGGAAACATTCAGGATATGTACAAACGTAAACAGGAGAACTTGCGCAATCTGATCGACAAGTTACAAGAAGAGTTCAATCGCATAGCTCAACGTGAACGTGCAAGTAACGACGAAGTGACGACAACACGAGATGATTTGTTGAAAGAATTAAACAAATTTCGTCAGCGTTTGCAAGATTGGCTTCAAGTTGTTGTCGAAAAACAAACATTGTTGGATGATATTCAATCGTTACGTGAACGTCTTAATTTGATTCATGCGTTGAACGAAGAAGAGATCAATGAATGGAAACGTTTGTTAGAACAAACAAAAGACGATTCGATAACTTTCTACAAAGAAGAATTAACCAATGCTATTCGAGATATCAAACGAGATTATGCTAAACAAGCGAAGAAATTCCAGGATGAATTAGAATATCAAATCGAAGGGCAATTGCGTATGGTGGAAAATCAATTGAAACAACAAACGCCAGGTTTAATGGACGGTGCAATGCAAGAATCCGAGCGAAATCGGCTCCATATGGAAGAAACAAAATTACGTACAAGTATGGAAGTATGTATCCTGGTTCTTAGAATTTGATTTTTGAGAGTTTATGTTTATTGTAGGATTACGATAAAGAACAATTACGTTTGAATGAACTCACGAAGATGCTGTCGGATAAGCGACGTATTTTACGTGATGAAGAAGCTAAATTGCATGAAATCGAACGTAAGAATCGGGAGAAACAACTGAATGAGAAGACTATTGCTGAACGACTCAAAGCTGAATACGAAGATCTACGTGCCCGATTCGAACAGATGGCGTTCGAATTGAGATTTAGCATCGAGGATGAATTGAAGATCTATGCACGATTACTCGATGAATTGATGAAGAAATCATCCGCTGCTATTGCTAGTCAACAGACTGGATCGACTCATACAACAACTACAACTGCGTCAAATCAACAAGGTGGATCAACTTTTACAACGATTTCATCAACAATTCGATCGAGCGGTATTGAAGATCGTGATGCACCTTCAAGTTTCCAACAAATACGTACAACTAGCTCGAATTCTGCTCCGGGAAATGCAACTTTTGACTGGAATTCCGGTCTGTCATCTCGATCAGATATGGGTACAAATGCCGGCGGTGGCAATTTGTTTCGATCCGATGATTACAGTACTAACTCAGAAACTCGCACATCATCATTTACGCGTCTAAACTAATACGCTTACTTACTTACGGTCTTGAATTGGTTCCATGACTAATATTTCCTTGCGTTTTATTCAATGATAGAGAGATTTTATTTATCATAAAATAGACTTTTTCAGCTTATGTTCAACTGAAGTTTCTTACTTGTAGCAAACCGTACCTTCCAATAGATTTCTATATTTCAAAACTAGCACGAAAACTGCCCATCAGTCACTGGTAAGTTTGTATACTTTGTTAACCAACGTTTATTAAACATTATCGTATTACAATAAAAGTGAACTGGTTGCGACATGTATAAACTCAAGTTAACTATATATCATTGGTCTAATTATTTCTTAGATGAATGAATAAACAAGAAATCAATTCAATGTGGTTCAATAATAGAAACAGTACTTTTCTATTATGGTTTTCTTTTCTCCGTTAAAGTTTAACTTGGAATTGTACAGCGTTTTTCGTTTCATTCGAAGGATTGAATAAGGCTTGGCGCATAAATGTTGGATCGATTGTAAATTTGCTTGAGCTCGATGAGGCCGAGCTAGTGGAGAAGAATAGATAAATTGAAAGAATTCAATCGCTCTACGTTTTTTTTACCTATTTGTTTTTGTCGCCGTCATCGCCGCCGCCGCCGCCGGTTTGGAATGTTGCGAGGAGGCAACTTTCGACGACTTTGTGGAATACGACATCGGCTCTTGAATACTGACATACATTAATTTACCATCCAATATCTGATTGTGGTATTTAGCAACGGCGTCTTCTGCTTGTTCAGGCACAGCATAGACTATCTGTACACAACCACGGCTCAATGTTTTGATATCTTTAATATCGCCAACTTCGCTGAATAGTTCCTGAAATACATAAATTGAATGATGTCTTGGCAAAAGTAAGACAAAAATACGTACAATAACATCATCTTCGGTGACTGTTGGTTGAAGATTAGTGATTAGAATAGTTGCTGAGTTTGCGTTTGAATGTGTTGCTGAAGCTGGTTTTACCTAATAATGAGACCGGTGGTATGAGCACGATCCGGTATGAGCTTTTGTGGGACTTACTCGACCACTGCCAAATGCATCTGTTGACGTTCGTTTCGATGAGTTCTTTGTCGATAATGTTGAAACGCGTTGTTCCACATCTGTCGTTGCATTCCGCGAAGCTGCACGTTTCGTAGGAGGTTCATCATCGTTATCCAAACGTTTCTGGTTTCCACTAGTTCGAATAGGTGCACGTGACAATGACGAGGTCTGTGCTGTTTGAACAGAAGAATCGTGTAAACGGCGGATAATTGATGGTGGCGTTGGCGATCTTGCTCGTTTGCGGTATTGATCATTCACAAAGCTGATAACTACCTTTTGTTCGGATGAGATTGATTGAGAATTCGAAGTTTGAGAAGTGCGACTGTCGTCTTCACGACGAACAGTAGTATTCTTGATTGTCTAAGAAGATTAACTGCGTTGAAAACGCACGATTCGAAACAGATAGATACTCACTTTAGTAAAAGAAACCGGCTCCGTTAATTGGGTGTTACGCGGAGCAAGAAAAGAAGGTCGATTTCCAAGGCCAGACGTCAGCTTGAGAAAAGGCAAAAGACATTATTTTATAAAATTCTACTTATCTCTATACTTACACGACCATTGCTAGATCTAGTGATTAATAAAGATTTTTGTTCACTAATATTCGGCATTTCTTCCTCTTCTTCGTAGTCATCGCCTTCAAAATCAACCACATTTTGTCGTATGGTGACCGAAGTGCTTTGTGTTTTCGACGATTGTCGACTGAGCAGTTGTCGAGCATCAAAAGCAGGCTTTTGTCGACTGGACAATAATTGTCGCGCATCAGTGACTACGGGATTTGTTGGTGCGCTAAGGCGAGCATGAACATTATTTGTTGGCTTACTGAGTCTCTTCAAAGCACTGATCCGATTGTCTCCATTGCCTGCTGTTGCTTTTGCTTGTATTTTCATTGTAATATCTTGTTTGAAAACAAATCAAAGTCTAATCTAGATCGAGAATGCAAATGTAGTGAAAATATTGAGCGAAAAAGAAAAGTGTAGGAATATCTCTTCGAGAATATATTTAATGATTTAAATAATAAAAAAAGAAAAAGAATACATCCTATAACCGACATCACAAGATGGCAATCTTTTCGTTACGTTTTACTTATAAAATTCAAAGTCTTGTTCATTTTTCTTGACAACGTTTTTATATGCTTTTTCAAAATCTTTTGCTAAGACAATGTAGCGATTTTCCCGCACAGCTTGCATACCAGCCTAAATAGACAAGTGTAAATGACTAGAACTCAATCTAAAAAGAAAAAAAACATACTTCTTGACAGATCGAGTTGATATCAGCACCTGAGATTCGATCAGGACGTGCAACATAATCTTCTAAATCAACTTCATCGCTTAGATTCATTTTGCCAGTAACAGTCGAGAACACTAGACGCTTTTGTCGTCGGTCCGGCAAAGGAAATTCAATCTTACGATCCAAGCGACCGGGACGGAGAAGAGCTGGATCAAGTGTATCAGCACGATTGGTCGCCATGATTACCTAATACATGAAGATTTGATTAGAGTATTCATCTTCTAATTTCCACCGGTTACTTTAACATTGATGCTTTGATCGAAACCGTCCATTTGATTGAGTAGCTCAAGGAGAATACGTTGTACTTCACGATCAGCTAGAATACAAAAGATTTTTCAATGCTGACGATGGATTTGATCTGCGAACCTCCGGTTTGAGCATCGAAACGCTTCGTTGCAATAGCATCGATTTCATCGATAAAAATAATTGCGGGTGAATTTTCTACAAAATTTTGCATAGAATTTGTGAGCATCTAACGATGATTTTCGTACCTTTGGCAAGACGAAACACATCTCGAACCATTCGAGGACCTTCACCGAGATATTTCTGCACAAACTCGGAACCGACAACCCGAATAAACGATGCTAGAAGAGCAAATCATTCGATTAGACTCGCTCAAAACCATCAAATCTCACAAACCAGTGGTGTGTCGAGCGACCGCTTTCGCTAACATTGTTTTTCCACAACCTTCAATGAGACACCAGTATGTAAGAGTTTATATTCACTGAAACGACAAACTAACCTGGAGGACCATACATGAGTACACCGCGTGGTGGATCAATACCAATTAATTTGTACAACTCTTCACGACGAGAAGAAGAAAAAGATGTTAATTTTCAAAGAAAGAAGAACGTCGTACCAAAATGTGTCAATGGTAATTCCACAGCTTCACGAATTTCCTGCTTTTGTAGATCTAACCCACCAATATCAGAATAATCAACATCAGGCTTTTCATCTGGAATATAGTCAAGTCATTTTGACAAGCAATTGGCAAACAATATTTTCATTACCTGCTTGTAACATCGAAATACTACTGTCGGATTCTGGTGGGAGTATGTCGACAAGTGCATTTGAATGTTTATGCAAAGCAACACTGGCACCTGCTTTCAGCAATTCTCGATCAATAGTCGATAAAATTCTAACGTAGTAATTTGAACCTAAATGAAGATAGTTCTAATCGATAACTTTTCTTTGACATGATCGATGACATTTAATCAAATACAATGCGTGCTAAGTCAAAACTCAAGCATGAGATTGATTACTGTAGACATAGGTGTGACTTGTTATAATTTATGTCAAATGATTTACCTGTTGTTGATCCAACAATTCCTGTGTTTTGGTCGACGGCTTCGAGAAATTGTCCAATAACAAGTGGTACACTTTGAATACGTTTGATCTCTTCCTGAGCATGTAACATTTCTTTCTTCAAATTTTTCAATTCTGTCTTCACATATTCTTCTTGAACTTCGAGAAATTCCAGTTGACGTTGAAGTTTCTACATATAAAAAGAAACGAACTCATCTCCAACGCCCTTCTATCTAATCCAACCTTATATTTCGTGTACAGATCATCGCTGTCCAACGATTCGTATTGTGATGCGAGGTTATAATTTTGTTGAGCGATTCGATTGAGTTCCTCCTGTGAACAAATGCAGATGGTAAAACTAATCGACAAGAGGAAAAATTCAAACGAACTTCTTTCTGAATTACAACTGGCATTTCTTCAACTAACGCAGTCATGGTTCGAAAATCTAGAATGAAAAAGCATTATTCGTTATCCGTGCTGTTTGAAATAAACAAAAATAAACTGTGAACATCGGACTAGATAGAAATCAATGAATAAAAGAAACAAACGAAAAGTCAATTTGAAATTAACGGTAAACTTAATTGTTGCGACGCAATTGAAGAATAAAAAAGAAGATAAGCATGAACATTGTTTTCAAGTTCACGTATGTCGGCAGCACGGATCGATTCATCATCACAATAATACCATTGATTACCATCTTTACAGAATGATGTGTAATGCCCACTGTTCATTGAACCAAAATGATTAACAACAGAAACGAGAGAATATTTGGACGTCGAACGAGTATGTGTCCAACGAGAAAAATCCACACTCGCTGTGGGATATCGAATTAAGGATTCATTTTTAATGTATCGCATCTGTTGAAGACGAAAACTAGAACATCATCAAACATCAAATCATGATTGAAATTATACAACGACAAATTACCGTTTGAAATGTACAATAAAGATTTTGGGTAATTCCCAAATATCCAACCGTCGTTTCTTATCGGATAATCGTTTGCATTTTGAACATTCATAACGTTCTTCACCTGTTAAATATTCGAATTCGCGAAACAAATCCATGCACTCATCTAATGAACATTGTCGGACAGGTGGAATCGGCACACTAATGATCGCAAATGCTTCAAAACGAATCGAATTATATGAACATGAAAGACATATAGTAGTTGATTTGAATAAACCGTAGAACAGATCAATAACGATCGATTTATTATGCAAGTGAAATGCTTGTTTGGTGGCATCCGCTAATTGCTGTTCAGTTTTATAATTTTCAGCTTTGATTTCTTCAAGTCGAGGACGATTAGTCTAGAAATAACATATAAAAATCAATGCATTCGTTTCTTGTCTGCCTTTCCTACTTGGTTCAAATCTTCGTGTAAAGCATCAAGTAGAAAGACGAGAAATTCGTGAGCATCCTGTTGTTGTGTACCTAAATACGCACGCTGAAGCGATCCAACAACGTTTTTAAATGGATATGGCGACAATTGGGAAAATTGGCTGCACCAAAGAGCGTATACCAAATTGAACCATTCTTTAACAACTAATCCGCCGGAACCGAATTTGTTTTTCTGATTGATATCTTTATAGAATTCTCCGGTAAGGAAATAATTTGTCAAGCGAAAATTGAAACTTAGAGATTGAATAATCGAATTCATATAGCAAGAATTGCCGAGGTTCTTCAAACCTGTTCGCCGATTGATTTGAAAGTTATCTGTCAATGCGCGATAGTCATAGGCGATTTGGCGACGTTTTTGTTCAGTTAAGACAGGTTTTGTCTCACGGTTGATGGTTGGTATTGTTTGAGAAGGAGCAGGAGGAGGTCGAGTTGAGTCATTTTCGGGAACATTAGATACATATTGATTGGTTTTAGTATCGAGAATGATTTTTCTGAAGAGAAAATGAATTGATTAGGAAAGATGAATTCTCATGGAAGAATTTTCAACATACCGGCCGGTGACGGCATCGAATCTTTTTTGGAATTGTGCATTCGTGTCATTGACTGGTACCGCTCGATTGAATGGTCGATAGATAGGAAGTGTTTCACGATTTGGAACGGAGAACTTTGGTGGAATGTTTTCCTGATTGGTATCGATTGGTTTCGGTTGTTTGGGTACTTCTGAAGTTGTAGCTGTGCTAGACACAGATGGCGCAGGGCGTGGTGGAATACTTGGAGTAGTAGGTACAGTAGGTGGTTCTTGATTCGCCACTGGAGATGGTCTACAATGGAGTAATAGAAATACTCTGATTTCAATTATAAAGCGAGACAACTAACCCGGCTGGGGTAATTGGCTTTATTGATCGATCTGGAATTTGAGGTTGTTCTTTTGCGACTGGTGATGGTTGTAGTGGCTCGTCGGGTTGTGACTATAACGAAACAAAACTAGAATGAAAATTCTCATTGGATATGCTCTACTCACAGGCTTGATTTGTGTTTCATCTTGTTCAGGTTTTGGAGTCTGGATTGGCTTTCGTGTACGATCGACTTGCGGCATAACAGCAGGTATAAAAATCCCCGCTTCGGGTTGAGCATCACTTGCTGCATCGCTCGGTACTTGTTCTGATTGGATTACATCCTCCGGATAGGCAACCTCTGGAATTGCAAATGTCAATAGAACAATGATCACACTAGAATATTCCCTTACCAAATGATTGTAAGCCATTATTCGATTTGTTGGAAGGTAGTGGTGCTGTGTTTTCAGTTGGATAATAACAACACCAATCTTGATAGCCACCCTCGAGTATCAACGGTTCATGTTTTAGTTTAACATCGCGATCGAACTAGAAGTCAATACCTGCTCGTCATCAATATTAATTTCTCAATATTCTTACGGAATAGATTGCTTGTTTTAAACCTTGTAAACAATGATCAGATGATAAATTCCTTTCATAGCTGCCTTCATCGAATAGAACAACATAGTCGTACGTAGCACGTTGTTTGAACTTCGATGCAGCGTCAGAATCCGTTAAAGCAGATTCGACGCCCCACGACGTCCATCTAAAACCAAGCAAATCAAAATGAGTCACTCGATTAATGATCCAGTTTCCTACCCTTTTCCTTTCATAAGATCACATGGAATATGGATGCAAGCTGCTGTTTTCATGTGCGACTGATCATAGTTCGCCTTCGAACGCATGTCAATCAATAAAATATTCTTCTTGCGCGTATTCATATATGTATAAAGTAACTTAGATATGATAGACGTAGCCACTAGAGAAAAAAATGATGCCGAAATGAACGTCGAGAAAACGTTTTCTTACAATTATTCTCTTCATCGATCTCCGCTTTGTTTTTTCGATCTTCTTCCAATTTCACGGCATTTTTCTCGTCGTATCTTCATCAGAGAATATTCAATTTGAGTCAGTATTCAAAAACAATAGATTAATGTACCTGGATTTCAAACTTTCTGACAATTGATCCGCTTTCTCCAACCAAATCAAAGCACCTTTCTGATAATATTGCACACTACTCTACAAAGACAAGAGCGCAAATATAAACTTCAATTCTATTGAATCATATATTTCCGTATTTACTTGATTACTGGCAACATCCTTTGCTTGTTTCAAAGCTGTAAAGCATGCGAATAGCCTCATATAAAGAATATAAGCACGTTCTTCATCACAGTTTAGTTCTGCTTTCTTCGCTTCTTGCCACGTTGCTTCTATAATATGAGTTATCTGTGCACAATTTGATAATTTAGCCTTTTGAATCGACGGATTATCATCTGCCCGTTTGTTTAATTCTTCCAAATCATTCGCTATGTACAATCCAACTTTCTCTTTTGTTGAAGTCGTCATGGACTATGACGTTCAGGAATGAAAGAAAAAACAGAGAAAACTAATGCATATATCTAAAACAAAAAACGAGCAATTCTTTTTATTTTATTTTTTTATGCGTCCATTTTATCGGAATCTTCCATCGTCATATCAGCAAGCATCTCATCAAGACCTATACGAGGAATATCATCATCGTTAGCTGCTTCATTTTCCATCGAATTGCCAGCTTGATTTATTTTTCGTTCATCTAAAAGACAACAAGTGATGCTCAACTCTGACAATGGTCTTGAACTACCTTTGTAGACGTTGACATTCTGTCGGAGAACAGGATCTTCTTCAAGATCTTCAAGAAATTCGGTATAATCCCTAAAGAATGGAGAAACATGAAATTCGATATAAAATCATTTGAAATTATTTAACTCACCGATCGATAGTACTGTTGACACTGGCAACATCTTCGACATCCATGTGTTTTAATTTCCATTGACGTCTTCGATTTCGCACACTCTTGTCCGCATATACTTTCTTGACAAGAACCTACATGAACAAGTTTTACTTGAAGAAAAACATCGAAATCAAGCGTCAACGAACCACATCAGCTAGTTGTTCGAGATCATATTGATCTAAACTCGAATCACTAACATTGCTGTTCTGCAAATCGAATCTAATTCACAAGGAAAACAATTCAATAAGATTTTATTCAACAATTACCGCCACTTACCCCATCACTGTATCCCCGGGATGTAAAATATGGCCGAGATGGCTGATTGTTGAGTATTGTTTATCAACAATACCGATTTCCGATGCTTTCATTACGTAGACTTCAGCCAATGCGTGCTAAACAAAAATCAATAGTTGATTTTTCTTCCAATCTATAGGAAAAATTTCAACTTCGAACCTTTTGTGACTCTTTTCCATAAACATGTGGTTTGGAATCTGCATCGAGTGCATTGACATCGCAGACAATGTATTCAACTAGATGTTTAGAATCACACAGAGCAGTAAATGGCGATCGCCAATAGTCATTCGCTGAGATTGGTGCAACTAAAATTTCATTTCACATGAAAATTCCGATGAATTATATACTTCATTCTTACCTTTCAATGTTCCTGGATCGATCAGATAGATATTTTGTGTAACACGTGAACAGATACACAACGGGCCAATGTTACCCAATTGTTTCGATTGTTTTTTCGATAGACAAACAATATCATCCTAAAGTATATCGTTCAAAATCATATCAATAGTTTCGAAATGTTTTACCTTGCAAACCGGTACGATCTCTACAACTGTTGTATATTTATAATTATAAATATTACTATGAATATCATGTGAAATCAATCGTTTCGATGTTTCAAATCTGAATAGAGAATGTCTTTCCTTATGAGAAAAAAAAGAATTCAATGTAGTGAAAGAAGTATTACCTGCATGGCACAACACACATAAGAAAATCAACTAATTTTCTTGCACTGTTTTGTTCTGCATAGTAAAAGTCTAAGCCACCGTTTACCTGTTTGATATTCGATGCATCTGCATGCGCATTGTGTTTTAATATTAGTTGTTCAAGGTAAAAGAACGTCTTCTTATGCGAAGTCTGAAATTGAAAAACAAATTTTCGTTTGTTTTTGAATGTCGCTGTTGATCAACGAACCCGTTGTCGGACTTGTACAAGCGCTTTCCAGTAGTCTTTAGCTTCAATTCGCTGACAATCATCGCATATTTGATTGAATATCGTAAATTCGACTACAAACGTTTGTTGAAGTATCGCGCCTTGAGCAACTTCTTTCTGAACAGTTAGTTTCACTTTGATACGTTTCGAGTGAGGTTCAGTCCAAATGAAACCAGCATCAATTAAACGTACCTAAACATTCAATCGACTCTCTAACGAACTTTTCTCAAATTTGAATCGTTTACCTCTTTATTCAATCCTTTAATTCGTTTTAAACACACAGTTAGTAGCTCTCGAGATTCTAGCTGAGCGCTTATCCATGTATTCGGCGGTTGTAGGTAACTAAACAAGACAAGAAATCAAAATCAATAAGAAGATAATCGAAATTTTCCACCTACCGAATACATTTGTTACACATTTGTAATTGACCTTGCTTAGGAATTTGTTCTGTTATATCAATTTGAGTTTGCATACATCCATTACACATATTCAATGCATTTGGTTCAATCAGAACTCCACATTGACAGCATAGACTACGAAATATTCAAAGTGCACATCGAGCTAATTGCGCAAGTCAACATACATTTTTCCTGCTGTGGTTGTTGGTTCGATATTTTCAGTCATATATTCCATGATTGATGATTTTCTCAGACGAAAAGCAACAGCTAGTATGTCTGAAACGAAGAGAATGATAGTGAAGTGAACTAACAACTGAGTCAGTTCGAATCATGTCGAAACAAACAATGACGATGTTTTAATTTGGAAAAATTATTGGATAGATGAAAATCCAATGTTTCACACTTAATCATCTTATTGGGTGAAAAAAAATTTCTAATCAAATGCATACTGACCAATCGCGAGCGAAGCGCTACAATCGACGACTTTCTTCTATCGGAGTCGTGTGGTGCTCACTGATAGAGCTTTGTTTAATACTACGATGAATAGGCTAAGTCAGCTTGAATTAAGCTACTAATTAAAAACAGATTTGAAGCAGCGTCGTCTGATGCTCAGATAATTCCAGGACAGTTACAAGTGACTCGCGTGTGTTGTTCAATTTCTTTGAAGATTTACCACAAAAAAGTCTGCATATCGTTGATATAGTTGAATTTGGTATTTTTATTCGAACAATCTCATTAGATTCATTGTATAAATGGAAACTAACTGCACGAGCTCCACATCTATGGCTAATTGTATTTTGAATGACAGTATTGATTATCCTAATTTATCGAACGTGGGTTTATCATATGTATTTCAATTCTGGTTTTTATTACTATGTGAAATACCATCTCTTATTTGTTATCTAACAGTTTTCATTTACATTTTGTGTGAAAAGAGACAACGTCGTGCTCTTTATAATCATACCATACTTGTTCTTCTATCCGCTGCGTTTGTGATGGTTGCTTTTGACTATTCGTGGACAATCGATAGTTGTTATCACAATGGACAAGTTTGGTTAGCTCAACCATTGTTTTGCGAAATATGGTGGATGTTGGATTACGGATTTTTCAATGCTTGCACGGTCATTCTTGCATGGTCATCATTTGAACGACATATTCTCATTTTTCATTCTTCTCTATCAAACACTAGACGAAAACGATTGATATTTCATTATTTTCCGCTGATATTCTTAGTCACGTACCTAGGAGTCTTCTACATATACGTAATCTTCTTTGCGTCCTGTGAGAATCAGTACGACTATGGGTCTCCTGTGTGCGGAGCGTATCCATGTTACTTGGCAATTCCATTACTAGCAATGTGGGATTCTGTTGGTCATGGTACTGTTCCTGCGTTTCTCATAGTTATTTTAAATATTGGTTTACTGTTGCGTGTTATATGGCAAAAACGTCACCATCATCGAAACTGGAGGAAATTCCGAAAGATGGCTTTGCAATTACTTTCCATAGCGTTTATTTACATTTTTGTTAATTTTCCACCGTTGATTATCAATATTGTTCAGTTAAGTGGTTATTCGGATTGGGGAGCTCAAGTATTCGTTTATCTATTCTTCTTCTCAACGTTGACGCAGTTCTTGTATCCGTTTGCTTTTCTGATCCATTTACCTGGTGTCGGACTCTATGTTAAGAAGTGCTTCATCAGGGAACACCTACGTGTTGAGCCTGATAGAACATGAATATGTGTTTGCCTACGGTTTCTCAAGAACGGAAATTTAGCTGAATACTTTATAGCTAGAGATTCGCTGAAGTTAATGAAAATCTTTAAGAAGTTTTGTTATAAGTGGAAGAAATTAATTGTACCAAAAAAAAACTTAATCAGAATCCTTCATGTAATACGGTTAATGTGTAAATTAACTTTTTTTTAGAACGTATTGTAAGAGATAGCGAAATAGTAAGAGAAAATCGTAAACACCTTTTCACTTCCACAGAAACTGATTGTACGTACATGAGAAAAGTAGAGCAAAGCAAGAACACTTTGAAAAACATTGGTTTTCACATCAGACATGGAGCACATGAACACCATTGGAAACAATGTCTCCGCTACGATTACGACCAACACTTATTCGAATTATATAGGTTTCAGACCATCCTACTCAAATCAATTTTGGTTCTATATCAGCTTCCACGTACTATCTGGCATCTGTTATCTATTCCTTCTCGTATATATTCTTACTAGTAAGTCACAGCGTCAAGTTTTGCATAATCATTCCATCCTTGCTCTTCTGATCGTTTCTTTCATAATCATCATATTTGATAATTCATGGAAAATAGCTAATTTTTATGTAGATGGAAATGTTTGGATAGATACATCACTGATATGTGAAATATGATGGTTGCTTGATTTCGGCTTCTACGATATGTGCACGATGATCGTCGTATGGTTGTCCTTCGAAAGGCACATTCTCATCTGTTTAGTACACAGCGAAAACGAATTATAGTACATTATTTCTCATTATTTCTATTGATTATTTATGCATTATGCTTTTATATCTATGTCATATTCTTTCCACCCTGTGTGAACCAATTTGATTTCAGTACACTTTTATGCGAAGGTTATGCATGTTTTTTTGCTATAAACTCATTATGTCTCTGGATGCTTATGGGTCACCGTGTTATAGGTAGTTTTCCTATTGTTATATTCAATGCTGCTCTGCTAGTACGCGTCATAGGGCAGCAAAAGTCTCACCAGCGACATTTGAAAAATATCGACGAATGACCTTTTGATTGTTATCGATTTCATCACTTTATATATCAATCAATTTTTCATTGATGTGCATCATTGTCGTTCAAACCATGGGCCATGAAAACTTTGCCACTGCCATCCAGCAGTTTTTCCTTGACGTGTAAGACATTCAATTGACTTCATCGTATAGCAATTCGAAACAAATCCCCTAATCTAACACATCATCAGTGAAGACTGTCATTTGTGAATAGTGTACTTGTTGTGTTCTACTCAACTTCTCTCTTGCTCCAACCATCGTATTATTTTCAAATATTCTGTATATCCCTCAATCATTCATTTCTAAACAGCGTTGCCGTTACAGCAAATTGAACACATGTTTATTATTCTATATCTGAGAAAATCGAATGGCAATATATTTGTTTATAAATGGAATGTATAGACAGTCGAAAAACGTGTATATAACAAATAGCGGTAGAAAAAGAATTAGCAGAAGAAAAGAATTGATAGTCACTTACAGAAAAAAAAGCTGTTTGTAAGGCGTTACACCCAACAACACATTGGGACATTAATCCTAGTCTAAATCTGATTCTGCATGTATGTAGATTAGCGAGATTCATCGATGCAGAAGAGAAAACAGGAAAATACTCGTTTTTTCCGAAAAATGAAAATACGATGAATTTACAAAAGAGAAACGGAGAACAGTAAACATGTTCGATTAAGTTGTCTATACAGCAGTTGAAAAATTCGGTTCATCTTCATCGACAATATCACCTTCGCCATATTTCACTAAGTAAGTACGACGTTTATCATCGTCGAATTCTGCCATTGAATCGTGTAAGGAGGATCGACTTTGTTTCATTGAAACATCACTTGATCTAAATCAACAAACAAAGTTCTTTGCTCAGCTTATCCGAAGGGAAAATGAATTAAACATACGCTGGGTTATAATCAGGATATTTGCCATCATCATCAGTACGATACGGATCTTTGTCCATTGCTAAAAAAAGTTGACAACAATTAGAAGTTTATCAAAATAAATCGATTCGATTTCCCCATTCCCACATTACAAAACGATATAAGTGGCAAGCTGATATCTTTACTTTTTCGATCAGAAATAGAAGCTATAATATACATATTTGGCTGTTGATCACATTCGAATACGATATGATTTTACTACTTACGTGTATACTCTCCGCCTTTACGTCGCATAATACCACAAACAACAATAAAGACAATGAACAAGATAATCAAAGATATAAGAAGACCAATAAACCAAGGTGCATCATGAACCCGTGGACCGCGATCTGTAAAATGAATGCAAGCATGAGAAACTTAACTAGTACGAGTGTGTTTAAACATACCTTTGCCAAGTGTAGTTACTTTTTGAGAATCACTTCTTGTTTCAGCCCGAATGCCATCGCCAGCGACAAGGTATGTTAAATATGTTTTACCTGGCTCGAGAGGACTAACCATGATTGTACGATCATTCGAAACAGAATAGGTTCGTTTGTATATCGCTTGACCATCTTTAAAGTAAACTAGTGAGATCATCTTGGTTCAATGAAAATGTTAATACCTTTTTCATCCTCTTTGTATTGTACGTAGTAACGACTGCCAGGTATTTGCATTCTTGTTGGATCGAATGAAACATTGAAAAACGTTGGTCCTCGATATGACACGAAAAATGTCGGTTTGGACGGTACTGGAATGAAAACATGCGACAATATTGATCTGACGTTTTGTTAGATGAAATATTTACTTAGACTAACGTTTGTTGTCAATTCAATCATAGCAGGACTCGTAGATAGACCGGCGATCGTACGTGCGCGTACTTGAACACGATATTTTGTATTCGGTTTTAAGCCGCCAATAAGGTGCTCGCGTTGTAACGGATCGTACAATGACACAGATGGTTGATCGAGACCTGGTTGAGCCATAATACTAAATAGGCGAGGATAGTATGAAACATTTCCTTTTTGAGACGCGCATTAGATTTACCTCTCAATCGTCTTGTAATCAATTTGGTAGCCGATAATAAAACCATTTGGTTCATCAGGCGGTTCCCAAAAGAGATAAATACCATTACCACCAAATGGTATACCGCGAAGATTCGTTATAGGACCTGGACGTCCTTCTTGTGTTACGAATTGAATCTGCGAGAAATCATGTAGATATTGAAAGATTTCTGTATTTGATGTTGATTAATACATACCACCTGACTGGTTGGTCCTAGATATCGTTCAGTTTCAATGCGAATTCGTGCACCAATTTCTCCATTGGGCGGAGCGTTGAAAATGGTTGCCCATGTTTGATTCGGTGAAATATCCGATATTACACGAAGAGAGTTTTCCGGATCAGCGATGCGAAACATTTCAATCTACATATACACATGCACAACGTGCACAAATCAAAACAACACGAAAACTTATGAAGAATAAACAACCTGATAAGCTTTTAGAAAGCCTCGAATATTAATTTCATCCACAGCCAAAGGAGGGTCCCATGCAAATTGTACTGTAGTACCATCAAGTGTTTGCATAAGACGAAAATTACGTGGAACATACGTAGGTGCTAGAAAAACACATGCATATATAAGTGCAAAGAAATTGGGATGATCTATTTTTGTTTTGTTCAAAATTTTTATTCGTAATTTTAAGGTGAGGAAGGGGTGGGACTACTAGTCTGACAAGACTTGTTTGATCCGGGACAACGAACAGGATTCTGTTTACGTTGTGGAAGCATTGTTCGAACGGTAGTCGACTTTCTGGTTGATGTCACAGACTGTGACGATGATAATAATGGTGAGGATGATGACGATGGAGATGGAGAAGCAAGAGAAGAAACATTTTCATAATTACCCGAATCACCCGAGAAGGCAATGAAATACAATGGAGGTTCATTGGCATCAGCACCGTTAATTTCTAGAACAAAAGATGACGATAGAAACGAGTGCAGGTCGAATATGAATTCAACGAACCGCCGGGCTGTTGATTAACCGCTTTTACATAATATTGATAACGTAGATTAAGAGCTGGGTTTGGTATTGCAAATTGGTGTTGAGGTGGATACACACGTTGGGTCATGAATGGCTCAGGATTTGGACCTGGTACAAATGGACGCCACCCAACTTCATACCAAAACTTCGGTGCATTCCATTTTATCGGTGGCATACTCTATAATAATAAATAAAAAGAAATTTACAAGAAATCTATCCATTTTGTTTTTCTACTCACGTCCCATTCGATCAATAATGGTACAAATTGTGTTGTATAAGCTCGAACACCAACAGGGTTTGATCGAGGTCGGCATGTTGCTGTTGAACACATCGATTCTGATATTGCACTTGGATCACTAGCACCAACACGATTATAAGCAATAACACGAAAAGTATAATTAGCCCAGCATGAAAGTGTCACACGTAAATCATATTGATTTGATGGAAGACGAGTTGTTCGAAAGACTAAACATGCGTTTCGATAAAAGTTTCAAGTAGAAAATACGTCTTACTCGTTGTTTTTGGTTCTAATTTAATTGAACCATCTTGTGATTTGATTTCGTTATAAGATTCTCGACGTTGCTCAACAGGTACTGATACCCAATCATTCTGTTGAAATGAGGTATTATATTGCAATTCATAGTACAACACTCGAGCATTGTTATCACCTAAAGGAAAGCAAATGATTAAATGTTTTTTGTAATAACATGAGGATGTCAACATACCCGTTGCTTCCCATTGAACGATAGCAAATGGTTGTCCGAATGAATTCTGAATTGAACCACTGCAATTCACTTTCGTAATTCGCGGACGATTCGGTCGATCTTGTACCACTAGTGTTGCACTGGCATCGTCAAAATCAAGTTCGGTACTTGCCCGACATACATACGAACCACCATCGTCAAACTGTACATCAACAATCTTCAATGTATTCTGATCAGCAACATCTTTGATAAAACGACCTAAACAAAAACAACAATCATGTGACAATATATCAAACCAGACCAACCTGTATATGCGAGCAAACGTCCATCTTTATACCAATCAATATCGTACGTTAAGGATGTATCAGCTACTGCTGTACAACGAAATATTGCATAGTAACCGCGTCGTACTTCTTGATTTCCTGTATGCGTTTGTATACGGGTTTTTCGCTTGATATTCAGCGTTCCACTACGCACATCAGATCCAAATTTGTTTGTCGCATTACAGACATATACTCCACTATCCGATGCCGACGCTTCACGTATCATTAAACTTCCATCCTCTAATATAGAGTATCTATGAACATAAAGAGAAAACTTCTTCTTTCAGTTCAAAATGAGAATCGATGAACAGCCATGCGAAGCACACATGCTCGATATATGAAACAAACGAACGGACGAGACAGATTTCGATAGGCTCATGCGGTTAGCTAATATCACAGAGCGAAGATATTTTCTGCTTTTTTTTTCTTTTCATACCGAATTCAAAGCTAGGTAAATACGTATGTTTATGCACACATTCATCGAAATTTAAAGAGACGAAAGAATTCGAAAGAGGAACACATAAATCAGATAGCAAACTTACCTTCCACCAGTTATTACTTGATCGCGCTTACTCCAATAAACTTTCGGCATTGGAGCACCGAATGTTTCACATGGAAGCAGTACACTTTGACCTTCAACCGCACGGAGTAATGGATCTGGTCCACGTTGAATCTCAGGCTTTTCCGCTAGAGAATAAACGCAACCCATGCAACTACCATCGAAGAAATTCGTAAATTACTCACATATAACATTGAGAAAGAAATTAGCAAAAACATAATTGTGAATATTGGTTACGTTGCACTGATACACTGCTGTGTCTAGTTTAGTTACATTTTGAATGGTCATATGATTTTTCACAACACGTCGACGAGGATTTCGTCGCACACTCGGATCTTGCAATGGTACACCATTGACAAACCATTGGATATTGTTCGGTGGTGGCTTAGATTGAGCATCACAGACAAAATTTACAGTTTCACCTTCAGTAACATGCAAATCTCGTGGTTTCTCTATCCAATATGGGGCTGCTTCAACTCGAACGTTGATACTGAATAAATCATTGCCCAATTCTACAAAAGACAAACGAGGAAATAAGAATTGAAACAGAGACTAGTGTTTCTCTACCATTGTGACCACGACATTCATATAAACCAGCATCTTCGAATTGGAGATCAGTAATAACTAATTCTTGTTTCTCCATAGTTACTGTTGAACGTCGTTCAGGTATTGTACCATTGATCTTTCTCCAGATAACACCAGGCGTTGGCAAGCCGCCAAAAATACATTTCAACGTGAGTTTGTAACCTTTGAGAAAAACTTTATTCGCTTCGGACGACCATAATTTCACTGGACGACGATTGTTCGGATCGGTTTTGATCACTTGCAGTTGCGTTAGAGAACCACGACGGATAACATTTAATTTTCGAGAAAAAACATTACAAATGAATTGTTTTTGTTCATCTTCATCTTTGACATTTAGAAAATACAGATTACCTAAAAGAACACGGTGATTTCTTGGTACAACTAAACAATGAATAGAAACCAACCATAATAATCCTGTTGGATTCGAGGATTTGATACAAGAAAACCGAATTGATCGCCCGTATTCGTATTATCAGTCCAATACGTTTCCGGATCAGGCACACCTGTTGGCGGCTTGCATGGAAGCTTTAATGAATCACCACGTCGCACTTGGATTACTTGTGCTTTATCATAAATAGGAAAAGCACCAAGTTCAGCAAGACGTACACGAACTTTGCGCGTCACAGCCGTACCTAAAAAGCAAATGCATTTCGTCTTTATACACAACAAATCGCTTGATTCATACCCCACATATTTGTAGCATTGCATTGGTACCATCCTTGATCAATAGTTTGTGCTTGTGTAAATATCAACGTGCCGGAATCACTACCCATAGCGACTCGATTATTTTGTGCACTTGGCTCATAGAAACGGCCATCTTTCGCCCAAGTGTAAATCGGTGCTGGACTACCTTTTGCTAAACATGGAAGTTCGATATTCACACGCGGATCGAATATAACTTCAGGATCGGGTTCGGTTATAATAGATGGAGGCATTGGAACTAATAAACAAACAAACAATGGCTTGCAAGAAGAAAAATACCATGAACTTTACTTGATTGTACAAAAGAAAACAAGACAAAGGTGTGTAAAACATTGAACAAAGCCATTTGGAATTAACTATTGATTTTCTAAATGGCTATGAAACACATCTGAAGAAAAAAAAAGAAGCAAAAATTGTCAAATGTTATGCAGTGAGTTCAGTAGAATGAGTAGAACGGACGGTAAATGTTCTTTTTTTCTCCTTCTCTCTGTCTTGTTCGATGTCTTTCGTTCTTTCTGTCCTTTATACAGTTAGACGACCGAACGTACGATTGGCTCGCGCTATCAAGGTAACATTGTAAAAGAGAAAAAAAGAAACAAAGGTGTTTTTTTTTGATAAAATCAATGTTTTTCAAATGCACATCCCGGAAAATATTAACGAAACGTAGAATAATTTCTACAAGACGAAAATATCTCTTTCACAGTGAGAAAAAGAAAATATTCATCGATAGATGATAAAAACGTGGAAGAAAACGTCAACTGAAGCTATCTGTCATCATTCAACCACGAAAACAATCTCCATCTAACTCGAAGAATAATATCTCTGATATAAAACTCATCAATTCATTAGTTTGCTCTTATCGAAGATGAAGAGTAAGAAAAACAAATACTTAACATACACCCCTATCATAATCTTATGACTTGTTCGTATGTCACATGTGTATAACTGCTCGAGTACCAGAAAAAAAACTCTCCGAACAGGCAGAACTAAATTTGGCCTTCATGAAAAGAAGAATAGATGAGTAACTCTCTCTCTCTCACCGGTCACAGACGTCAAATGACATAACTACCGATTGGCTAGTAATGGATCTGAAATTATGTACAGGTAGAGAAGAATGATGTCGCTATGGTATGCATAAAAAAATAAATTTGGATATTGTAAAGCAAAATTCTCGAGACGTTACTCTTTTTTTATCAGGTTTACGACTGCCGTAGTTTTTATCCTAGAGCACTTTGTATATGCGTGTTGTTATTCATTGAAATCCAGTGAGCAATTTGCATTTGGGCTCTTCTTGACTTGTTTAGGAGAAAGTTCGATATTTTTTTCGAACACCAATAGTAATGACTGATTTTTCGGTGTTCATTTAATGTAATATGACAAAAAAAGAGAAATCACATGTGTATACAATGGAACAAAAAGGGTTTCGTAGCAAAATAGATTATTTGATTCGTTAGTGTTGAAAGAGACAGTCAAGTTCGTGATCAAATCTGAGTGTATCACTCATTTGAGCCGTCTGACGACGATCAATATATTTATCGAGAAATTTATAGTAGCTATCCGCTGCTGATACTTTCATTTTATACAATCTGTACAATAGCTTGCCATCGATATCAGTAAAAACATGTTGAAGACTAAATAAACAATCATAATTCACATCTTTTCTATCGAACACACATACTGAGATAGTTGTGAGAGTGTTAACCATTGCTTGACAGTTTCGGCATTCCAAGTCATAACAGTATTATTAGTTTTATCTTTTGCTTCGAATACGTTGCCTAACGAAATGAGATTTCAATGAAAAAAAAAAAAGAATTCGATATGTCAAACGAAGCATTTACCTATCGCACTGCGATTGCTGTTATCAATTGAAGAGAACCCAATGCTGGGTTGATGATAGAGATGTTGATTGCTTCTATCAGATGTGTTAGTCAGGTCACCGTTGTCCGTAAGATTATCCCTGCGAATGGTTTCGATTTCACGGATCAATAGAGAAAATGCTTCTTCGAAACTGAATGGAAATCTTTAGAAAAACAAGTCAGTAATTCACGAAATACTTACGGTAACGTGGCGAAATCAACATGAATTTTCGCTCCTTTGATAATGCCAAGCTAGACAAATATCAATGAGAAGTATTGAACATCTTCTATAGATACTCACCCATCCATATGGGCGAAATCGTGGTTGCATTAACAATGGAATACATGGTTTTCGTAACTCGGTTGCATATTCTATGCAGTAAAAACCAAATAACTATTAAGTCCCTTCAATCTATCTAATAGGTCATACCTGCTTCTAAAATACAAAGAAAAAAACATCAAAGTATTCGATTTTTATCCCGTTCATTGATGATCAAACTAACCAAGTCGACAATAATAGCTTTGCTTATATTGTTCATTCATACAAATCAATACCATTGACGAATTTTCCACTGCCTGAGCCATTGATTCCAGCACACCGCCATTGATATTATCAACATCAAGCCATACATTATAATGCAATGACTAACTCAAGCAAAAGACATACAAAAATGGAAAGACTATCAAATATTCGATTTACTTTCAATCGATCTCGAATTTTCAAGCACATGGCTGTTACTGATCGATTATACGAAATCATAATATGACCTTGCAATTGCGTGACGTTATTAATTGCTGACGAACACTTATGTTGAATACGATTTAATGTCCATAGAATGGCTTGACAGTTTTTCTGCACAAGTTGACTGCGACTATTGTTTTTTGCCGAACGAATTATAGAAACCGCATGATCAGAATCCAGAAATGATTGAACTTTTTCATCGAACGAAGCGTTCAGTATCGCATTGGATACACATTCGAGCAGAGCATTGTCTTGAGTTGGATGTTTGAGAATGTTTAACAGGATATTAACAAGATTTTTGTCGATGAATGTGTGTGTGCGACCACGGACCATTAGTTTTGATAAACCATCAACAAGTTCCACAAAAGAAAATCCGTAGAATCGTTGATCATTACGGTTGTACATTTGAATCATTCCCGACAATAATGGAAGAACTTCTAAAAGATACTCTTTCATTCGAATTCAACTCTCCGTTGTTTACCTATTCGAACCTGAAGTATTAGCAGCTAAAAGATTATCTTCATCTTCATTCATAATCAATGGCAATAACAAGCACGATGTTAAACGTATCGCGCTAGCAATATCTTGTAATTCTTTCAAACTTGCGATATATTCTTCGTTATCCGGTGTGCGTGAACATTGAATATTTATTGTATTACTTGGTAGTCGTGTATACTCAGCAATTATCTATAGAGTACAGTGAATGTGTCGGATACTTTCATACACAATAGCTGCGCACATACGTTCATAGCATTGCATTCCCGAAAATGAATTTTCAGATCGGGTAAATTTGCAAGATTGTAAAGTATTGTCAATGCTGAATCACAAATGTAGAGAATTTTCTGAAATGGAATGCGATTGAAATTAATCGAAAGGACGAACATGAAGAACATACTTGATAATTGTTAAAATCATCACTCTGCATCGTTTCCTCAGGACTTTCGACGACATAACACTTTTTCAGAGATTCACGATATGATGGATCATTGAGAATATCACAGGCAAATTCAATGAAACCAGCGTCAGCGGATTGCTAAGTGTGAGAAAGAAACAATTCTTTGCAAAACTTTATCGTATATATCTACATACTTTTCTAATTAAACCTTCTTTATCAAATTCATGGTCAGTGAAGTTACTCATGGAATTATAAAGTAAAATACTATGAACAAAAACAATGCGTCGGACGAGATAGCCTTTTTCTTTGTAACTATTCATTAGAGTCATTGCCATTTCTAGAAGAGAAGAACGATAACGATAGGTTTTGTTTAGAAGATGTCAAACCTGCGAATTTCATTTCGGTTAGTTTGAGTTTGGCACCTGAGATCCACTCTTTCGGTTGATGAATGAGATTTTCCAGAAAGCGTAGAATTTTCAGAGCAGTTTCACTTTCATATTCTTCGCGTTTCATATCCCTCAGAAGCGTTAGAGCATCTTCTAACTAAAAACCAAACAAATCACTAAATCGTTTCATTCGTAGATTCAAACTTTTCGTGTGTAATCAGCGAACGTATCAGCTTTTTGTTCGAAGGATAACGTTTCCGATGCTGTCGATGGCATCAGATTTGCGCTATCGTCTGTAAACGATGGTTCAATCGTGATTTTATGTGTTTCTTGACGTTTCTACAATGGCGAAATATGCAAAACAAATTTCGCAAAACATTTTCTGTTCTTACAGCGAGAAAGAGCCTGGGGAATTTGGCGAATCGTTTACAAACAACAACTTGTGTAAGTGCAGCATCCGATCGAGAGTTGCCTCGGTGAAAAATGCTTCGTAGTCTGGATCGCATTTCATTCGAAGACGAAACTTTCGACGAAGCTGACGATAACGATGATGATGAAGTTGACAACTGAAAAAATCACTTCATAAATTTCGAAAAAAATTCATGTACGGCTTCTCACATTTTTAGATGGCTTTGCTTGCGACATGGCTTGCAACAGATTTAGTTGAGATTAAAAGTGAATACAGCGTTTTCCAAGCACTATTATATATTCATTTCTACGTAACATTATCGACTGACTCTATGTGTCAAACGACATTTTACTGTCGAGATAGTATCATTTTTCTTTTAGTTTCCTTCTAATACCCATACGCGTTGTATTTTGACGAGTCAGATGCATGGAATAGTCCGACAAAATGGAGGCCCGTTGTCAATAGTTACAAGTACAGTAGTAATCCATAACTTATGGATGATTTTCATTGTAAAAATTTCTATAATAAATAAATTTGGTTTTAATCGACTCGGTGGTACTGTCGCTGGCTGTTTCAGCATATGAAAGTTACTTTACTTGGGATATGTTTTCAAGGTTATTCACGTATTTCTTTTTTCCTTTCGTCTGCTGATTTGGCAGAACATAATTCATGTAAATGACTTGTTAACATGCGCAATGAAAACGCGCGAGCACGTCGCCTGGTTCTCTTTCTCTCATTTCATCAACTGTACATATCTTCGATGCCATTGAAATTTCTTCAACGTTGTCTCGAAATATGAAATAAGCAAGAAGAAAAGAAATGCATAGGCATTCTAATAACAACATTCATTTGATTTTTACATTCAAACGGGTGTGAGGGAACAATCAAGAAGAAAATATCTTTTCTCTCGATTAATTCAAATTTCTTAAATTAGAATAACAAATAATTGTTAACCGATCCGTATGTCACATATATTTTCAAAAAAAAAGGTATATGTCGAGTAACTGTTATTGACAAACAGTTTTTTTTTTTCATATTGCGTTTTGAAAAATCTAATCAGTATCGACAATAGGACAGAGTGGGGATGAGACGAAACGCAAAAGAAAGAAATATTTCATATGGCGATAAGATGCTGGTTCTGCTTGGTTACACGACAGGAGTAGATTTTTTTCGTTTTCTTTTTCTTTCGGCCGGTCCTTTTTTTTCTATCACATATCACTCTTGGTATCCTTCGTACGTTCTTTGAAAAAGAAAAAAAAACCCGAAAGATAGAGATAAAGACTAAAACGAACACACGAACGAAAGACGTGCAAATATTGTTATTAAGTTTTACGAGCCCAATATCTTTTCGATAAAGATCACGAGCAACGAGTACAACAGGTAAGAAAAGCAGAGCGAACTTCTTTTTTTTTTATGACTTGGGAGAAAGATGATCGTAAAAGAGCAACAGGTTGAGAATAAATAATAGGCACACATTCGATTTTCTAAATGTCCGAAGAAGCAGCAACAGAAACAGTGCGCAAAAATTCCGCAGAAGGAGGAGTTACAGATGAACGGCGAGATTCAATTTCGAATCTTCGCACGTTGGTAGGATTCATTCAAACGATGATAACCTGTGAATTTTTGTTTCGTTCTCTAGTCTATGTCTATGGATAGCAGTCAACAGAGAAAAATGTCGACAACGGATGTCGATCTCGAATCCGTTCTTCAGGTTCGACGACGCCGATTGTCCGTCACTGCACCTCAAGCATCGCAAGATTCGCATCGTTATACCGATGTTATCATTCTGAAAGTCGAAAAATCCAATGATATTCTTAAAGAGGATGCACGCTGCATCTTTCATGGTTTGTTCATCTTGAGAAGTTCATCACTTGTACGAATAAGTCTGTTTTACCTAGGTGATTATCATATCTTAACCGATATTTTTCAAAAATATACATCGCATATTAAAATTCATCATGAAGACCCGGAAATGATTAGAAATCATGATCGATTATCGGGAAAGATCTATACAACACTCGAGTTACCAACAATGTCATTAATTGAAGTGTTAGAAATTCTACATAAACATTACTTCTCAATCGTGGCAACATCAACCAATTTCGGTGCAACAACCAAATTGCAAGAATTCATCTTATTACGTAATAAAGATACACACGATACTTCGCGACCTTTACCAACTATTGATACCAAAGCTCATTAAAAGGATCGATGTTTTTTCTCCCGAAAAAAAAAGAAAGAAAATATCAACAATATCAAAACCACTCTTTTTTGCTTAGTTTAGAATCTGTAGTGTTTCTTTTTTTCTCCTTTAGATAAATATGTCTTCACCTCCGAATGTAGGTAGTGTCGATCTCGAAGCGGTTCTCAATGTTCGACGACGTACACTAACATCTATCGGTGAATCAGCTTTTCATCTTCAACAGCATCATCATGCAGATACCGTCTATGTCAAACGCGAAGATAATTCTCATTCATTGTTCTCTATTCAATCAAGAATTCTAATCTTTGGTGAATTGCAACTCTTATGTAGTACATTCGAACGCTTTACATCAAATATAACAATATACGACGAATCAGCCGACCCATCTTCGAATACATCAAGTTTCTCCGCGCCGTTCAATGATATTAGCGAGGATGATCATGAAGCATCTGGAGTAACAGGAGCACTTCGTCAAACTTCAATCTCTTCTCAATCGGCATCTCCACCCCAAGCACCCAGTAGTCCCGCAACACGACGAAAGAAATTCAGTGCCATTGGACGTTCTCAAACGGTGGCATCAACAGTGAGCAGCTACTCGTCACAAAGTCTTGACGGCAAACGTTATGGAGCCATCGAAATCAGTAATATGAATATCATCGAGATCTTAGAAGTTCTCCTACGTACAGGATTAGAATTTGTGAATGAAACAAGTTACTACGATCAAGAGAATGTTCTGCATCAAAGTTTCGTCTTTTCTAAACTTCGTCATACGGCTCAGAAATCAGGACAATCACTTGTTTTTGCAAGATCAGCATCCATGGTTGGTACATAGTCAAACAAAGCTTCCATTCAACAGACAAAAGAAAAACAATATCTTCCGTATAGAATAGACCTATCCTTTTTTGCATGTCTATCATTTAAATTATAAAAAGAAAACATCATTTGGTGTACTGTAACTCCAAATATCTTCCAGATTCATTAGCATCGTTTCGCGACTGCTGATGATGAATGAAAACATCGACAGTATGTTGATTAATACCGATTGAGTACGTCAAATCAATCTCATCTGGTGCCGATAAGAAAGTCGAGATGTTTATTTCGAGTTTATGTTGTAAAGAATACTTACGTTGACAACTTCAAGACTATGACATTGATTTCACAATTCATTTCGACGGCGATGTACTCAAATTACAGCAATGTGTTGTCTTTTGCATGAAAATCGGTTTTAATCAAGATGGGCTTTGATCAATATAGCTCCGCGAAGACTTAAGAGGAGATTAGACGATATCGAATGAAAATCACTTCTGGATTTCTTTTCAGTCTCTGGCACGACGAAATACTTTGTTCGTTACATCGCGAAAATCATCCCCCTCCTCCTTCCATTCTCTTTGACTTGCAAATGTCAATCATTGTTGATAAACGATCGATTCTTGATTAATTGAAAAATAATCTCAACAGCCGCATATAAACAATACGTCGACAATGGTCTTCGTACGACAACAAATTGTTTGTCAAAGCTTGTGCGTGCTTCTCTCAACGATGATGGTTTCAGTTTTAATCAATCTGAACATGTTGTTTATGATGATAATATCAATTGATTCAACTAAATCTTCTAGATCGTCGAGTTTGATGTGCACCATTGATCTGGTTTGACTATAAGTGCAACTGTGTCAGAGTCCATCTATTCTCGCGCAAATGTTACCGAAACAGAAACCTTTTCATTAATTATTTTAATGCGTTGATCTGTCCTTCGTCCCTGGAAGTTATTCATTAGCGGTTGTTGTTTAGTCTTCTCGTCGACCACCGACTGACTTGACTCCTATGGAAAAACAAAACATCATATATCAATTGTCATGTCTGAGAAAACGAGATGAAGTTAATCTGAAGTTATGAATATGTTATTATTAGTTCTAATTGTGTTCCTTCTTTGATAATCTGAAAAGAGGGAACTAATCAAATTCATCTCGAAGTATTTTAAGTTGATATAAAATCTTCTAACCTTCTCGAAAAGATAAAGCTAATCTATTCTTAACATATGTCTGAATAGAATGGTGAAAGCTGCTTCTTATTCCGGCTGAATTAAAATAATGAGAAGTAGATTTCTCTTTTGAGAATAAACAGAAGAAGAGGAATCCAACATAGCAAATGAATGCATTTGACGATGTGCAAAGGAAAACGAAGCAACTAGAGAAAGATGAAGTTAATCTGACTTTTGCGTCGTTATTTAATAGAACCTCAAAACACCTTCTACTGACAACACTAATTATCTCAAGTATTTCATTTGACAGTGATCTTTTCCCTTGATAACAACGAGAATATACATTTGATCTAGCCTTTCCAAGCTTTATCATGTCCATTTATCAGGAATACATTCGAAACGATTGACATTTGCACTTTGGCGACATAATGTTAACTTGCTGTACAGAAGAACTAATTGCTTTTGGTTCTTTTTACAAATCAAATTACCAACCGTTGAGACTGGAGAAAAGACTTCTCTACGCTGGAGATTATCAATCATTTTCCTTTTCGACGTGTTCCTTTTTTTTTCATTAGAGAACATCGATTTCGACATGTTGTGCTTCGTAAAGCCCTAACTATTATACCGCTTAGGAGCACTGTGGCAGATTTCTGATTTCTTCTACTTCTCGTTCCGTTGTGCACACTTCTTTTTCTTTTTGTGTATATGTTTCTCATACTTATTATCAATACCTCTTTCCTATTCCGAATTAATCCTCTTATTCTTTTAATATTAGAGAAATACTTGTGTTTCTGTCTTCAACGATAGTTTCCGTTCGAGCTCGTAAGTATTGCTGAAACTATGTACGTTAGCGAGAAGAAGAAATGCTGCATTGATAGGAAAAGGAAAAAAAGCGAGAAAACAAAGAAGAAAAAGAAGAGAACTTCCTCTATTCTTTTCTTCTCTGTTTTTTAAGGAATTCTCTTTGCTTTGTATCTGAATTGAGAGAATGCATTGCTAAAATGTTTGCTTAGGTGTGCATCGACGAGTGAGTTTGCTTTTCAACACTTTACTCGCGATCTGAACTCAAAGAAGTAATCTCAACAATAACAATAGAAAATGTAAGTTCTTCTTCTTAACATGCTACAACGAGTATCAATAGACAGTCTATGATTAAATCAACTCATTTGATTAGAAGACATTTCTTGTCAGCGGAAAGTGTTCGTTCTGCCGAAATAATCTAAATATTTGTCTTTTTTTTAAAAGAATTAATACGAATGGAATACATTAGGACTTTGATGTTAATATAGTCCATAATATCATAGCGAACTCTATATTAGTATGCAGTAATTGAAGTTCTATGTAAATCTGATAGTTATTTATTGAGATTTTTCGATCAATCTTCAATACGGAAATCGTATTGAATATGCCCATATGAATACTTATCCATCATTATCTGTGAATAAATGAATAAAACTCTTTTAAATGACTCGCAACGTACTAGAAAGAACGAAAAAGGGCACTAGGGAAATAACATGAGTGATCGAAGAAAAGAGATGATAGAGCGAACAAAACTTAATCGATAGAATGTGTCAAAACAGTCGCCAATGACAACAAGTGTTCAATAGTTAATAAGCAATAATAGACTTGATCCAGTTAGGTTGAAATCAACTCATAACAGGCGCCTCGTTTGTTGTGTCAATCGTGTACACGGCAGAAATACGATGACTAGTGATTGTTTCGAAGAGAAACGTATCTTTTTAGCTTCAGGTAATTGCGAATAGTGATAGATGAATTAAATCAGGAATGAAAGACGAGAAAGAATAGGACTTCTTGTGAAGGGAGAAAAGAACAAAAACTATTAATCGGAAAGGAATAATTATTCTGTTTGCTCTGTTTCAAATGTCTCATTTCTCAAGACAAATTATAGAGGAAAAGTCATTTTCTTTCCTACGGCATCGAAGAAAAAAAACGCACGAACCAATATGAAGATTCGAAATGTTTATTCTCGGTAGTTCATAATATAATAAAAAAAAAAAAAGAAATCAGTTTTTTTTCTTCTTCTCCGCGCTTCTGTCTATTAAAAATGATGAATCTCACAAGAGAGGCAAACAGAACACAAGAAGATAAATCAGTTTGCTTATATATCGTCTCATATAATCAAATCCAGTGTGATTGCTTTTCGCATGAATGATTCGATGATGTGCTGACTGATAATAGTTGCTGAAAAATCTCTTTAGATGCTCAAATGAGTAGCAATATACAAGCGACCACAACATCCGTCTTTGGTCTTGATACACGTTTAATTCGGTATGGCTCGTTGTTTCTTCTCATCGTGGGTACCTTTGGAAATATTGTCTCATTCATCATCTTCTCCTATGGAACGCTACGCAAATCATCGACATTTCGTTACCTAGCTCTGCTTTCTTTAATGGATCTGCTCGTTCTCTATTCTGGTCTATTAGATTTATTTCTAATGATCGAATACGGTGGGACATTTTCTTTGAGAAGTCTCAGTCCAATCTCGTGTCGGTTACACACATTTATTACCTATTGGTCTCAACACTCGTCATCGTGGATTCTATCGTTCATATCCGTCGATCGAGCTATCGCAACAAATTGTATACAATTTGCTAAGAAGTTTTGTACACCACGTTCGGCCGAATACATTGTCGGCATTATTTTATTACTTACAGGTTTACTCAACTGTCATGAATTGATTTTTCTGCGTTTACAAAACACAAGCCAGTCGTTGGAGCCTCGACTAGATTCGACAAGTTTACCGACAAGCCTTGCTGCACATGAACCACTAATGACCTACGAATCAGATATAAATCATAATCAATCAGTGCGCAAACGACACATTCACTCGACGATTTCCGTATGTGATAATTCTCCATGGAATTTGTTGTGTCTAACAAGGAAAAAACGTGAGTTAATAAGTGCGAATTTGACAACACATGCGACTATAGTGAAAGTGCCGATGTCGAACAGAAAGTGTGAGCCGCTGGAAGGTAGTCGATACGAATATTTTTGGGATCATGTACGTACTGACTAACAGCAGTAGAGAATGGAAAAATTGATGAAAAATAATTTGTTTTTTTAGGTCTGGGAATGGATTGACGTGTGTCTATATGCTCTAATTCCATTTACCGTTATGAGTATTGGAACATTCTTTATAGTTTATCGAGTATATTATCAGCAAAGACGTGTGTTTCGTTCACGTCGTTCGGGATCAAATAATCCTATGGGTACAACTCCAAATAAAGCCAAAAGTTTATTCTACCTGTTATTTACATTAAATCTTCTATATTTTATTCTTGTCAGTCCAGTTGTATTTGTTACAACGATCTTATTTCGTGATCCGAGTGCGGAAGTGTCTTATCCCCGTTTCAAAGCGACGATCTATCTCATGCAATACTGCAATCATTCGTTAAATTTTATTTTTTATGGTTTGTTTCGAAATGAGGTTCTTCTCAGACAAACTTATTGTCAAATTGTTCTTCTCTTTCAGGAATTACCTCTCCTCCATATCGACGAACGCTATGCGAGTGGTTTCGAGTCTTATTTCCACATCTGCCTCAATGTTGTCAACGAACAATTCGCGAACGATCGAAATCGCTTCGTTTTGAAAACATCTCGATGAAACAAATCAATCGATTGGACGGTGCGCATCATGCACGGCATCGACCCATTGTCGATCGAACTGTTCAGAAAGAAGCAGTTTCGCTCATACCGAGATAGCATTTGGCGAAATCAAATACAAATGACAGTATCTATGTGATTATTTGTTGCAATTCTATTTTGTATGTGTTCTTTGTAGAAAGAGAAAGAGCGAGAAGCACAGAAATAAAATGTGATTTTTACGAAAATTGTCTGAGCTCGGATTTGTAATAGAATCGATTATATGTTTTGAAGTTCATAACGACGAATAACAAGAAAACTGAAGGTTAAATGCCATCGGATGACTGAATACTTCGCGATTCTTGAGATAAGTATAACTGAAGAGATTCTCTAGAAGATATCCAGTCGAAGCGTATGAAGCAAAAAAACGAGATTCGAAGATGAGATAGATCAATGAAATTGAATTATGTAAATAAGAAGAATTAATCAATCATATGATTCTTTTCAAACTATCCGTTCGAACTTCGTTTTTTTTTCTGATAGAGATTAATGAGATAATGTAAGTCGAACTGAGTTCGTCAAATGTCATCTAAATATATGTCCGAGAATGTAATTAGACATTGTGTACGAGTGTGTGCTTTTTCAGTAATAGATATCAGGAAATGTCGATGAGTAGTTAACAGCGGAAAGAGGAAGTAACCAAGCACAGATTTAATTCCTGTTTAGTTCGAAATCAATTTGAATGAATGATAAAAAAAAGAGAGAAGAAAAATCTTCGTTTGACGAAAATATTGATTATCAATGTATCTCTACTTGCGAATGACGTCAACATGTTGCACCCACGAGTATTGCTATGCGATGCAATTATCACATCATAGTTGTCAGCGCTCCTAGTATGAATAATTAACCAAAAATACACTTAATAACGGATGTCTGGAAACAATCTTCTATGTCCTCATTTGACAGTTATTTGAATAACTATAGTTTAAGTGACTCATCTGACAAACTTTATTATTTGATTAGTACGAATCTTCTGAGCTTGTTTACACAAGATGATTTTACAGACAACTACTAGTTCTAATGTCTCCATTGCTTGGCTTTATCGGTCAATGGAACGTAGCTAACGCTCAACGTGTCACGTTCGGAAACTTGATGTCCGTCAGTAGATCTTTCGTAGATCATCAGTTTTTGGCTTCCAACACCGACAGGAACGACTAGACGTCCACCGGGCTTTAACTGATCGATTAATTCGTTCGGGCGACTTGATGCTGCAGCACCGACATGAATTGCATCATAAGGACCATCCTGTGGATAACCCAGACGGCCGTCTCCTGTGACAATTTCTAGAACTCCATCATCGAATAACGAACGTCCATTTTTCGATATATTTTTTATTGCTAACTGAACCAATTCTGGCATGTGTTCAATGCCAACAACCTTTCCGCCTGGTTGAACCAAACGAGCCATACAAGCAGTCAGATATCCCGAACCCGAACCGACATCAAGCACACGTGCACCAGGTACAAGCTTGTCTTCGAGCATTTCGAGCGCATACGCATGCATATGTGGCGCAGATATGGTAACATTGTATCCAACTAGAAAGATCAACATGATTTAAAATATCATTGCTCGTCATCATCTTCATACTCGGTTGTGGTGCATCTTCATATAATCGATCGGTAGAGAAATCTAACCGATCAGTAGCCAACATAGCAGACTTGATCCTTTCAGTTTTAATGATACGTTGCCGTACCAATGATTGAATGAGGTCTGCATGTGTTCGACGCATTATATTTATATCTTCAAAAATGCAATCATATGATGAAAAATAGGCAAGAATAGTCGAGCATGATTGACTGTGTGTTTTCTTTTATTTTCTCATATAGAACAAAAAAAAACCAAACAAAATAGAATACAAATAACAATGATAGAGTCTTGCGAATGATAATAATTTGTGTTGTCGGCCAAATTTGCTTCAAGAGAAAGAACTAGGATATGTACATATTATGTTGCAAGGATCAACGTCGTCTAAATGGTGGTGAACTATGCTTTCGTTTGGAATGAGTTTTCTAGAAGAGAACAATCGCAGTTTTTAGAGACACCTGAGTTCCAAAGTTTACTTTTTCGACTAAAGCAGCATTGGCCTCACGTTCCGCTCGTCGACGTTCTGCCTGACGATCACGTTCAACTATCTGTAAAATGAGAAACATGGAATCTGAAGAATTCGAAATTGATAAATCAAAACTGACTTGTTCTTCTGTTAATGATAACCAGTAGATTGATGGTTTAGCTTTTGTCTTGCGAAAATAATCATCTAAATCTTTTCCTGATGCTTCATTATTGGGTACTAAACCAGAAATTGTCATCCAATATGCTTCCTTTGACGACAATGACAAACCTGCTTCTATTTCTGTTTCTTCTTCTGGCTCATCTTCGCTGATTAGAAATCCGCTGTGTGGGGGTTCAGCGATTTTTAATTTCTTCGATTCTTGATCATCTGAACGAGGATTTGTTTCATTCACTGAACTGGTAGATCGTTTTAGTGCCGAAGCATTCGCTTGTTGTTGCATAACGCGATCCAATGAACCTATGGCAAGGAAACTAGAATGTGTCAATCGAACAAATGCATCGTTCTCACCAACAGACATTTGATCTGGTGGCAAATCTTGAGTTTTACTGAATTGTAGCTGAAAAACAACAGATAAAATTCAATTTAAAATTCGATCCATTACTTCTTCATGTCGACCATATCGAATCGATAATGTTTTAGGATTAGTCGAGGGCCATCGACAACCATCTAATGCCTCGCGAGCATGTTTGGCTTCTTCTAAGGTGTTGTACTACATGATAACAAATAAAATTTTTCCAAGACTTGTCAGAGAATTTCTCTACATACGGTGGCGAAACATTGACTTTTGATTTTGTCCAGCCAAAATTCGCCATCAATCAATGTTCCATAGCGACCAAGAAGCTCTTTCAGTTGCAGGAGACTAAACGGACGGGTTAGACCACGAATGTAAAGAATTTCACTTGGTGGTTCGTCAGTTGCAAGGGCGTGTTTGATCCGAACTGGTTCATCAGCAATGGAAGCTAGAATACATTCACGAAAAATAATAAATCATACGAAAGCAATGAAAACATACAAGTTGCTGTAGAATTTTGTTTTCTCTTCGAAAGATCGTCATTGTTATTCTACAAAAAAAAGGAAAATGAACTTGACAGAGATACGAATAAGTTACGTACAAGAATATCCATAACAACAGTTCGACTTATGGACTGCTTTCCATCCGCTAAATCTCCGATAGTCATCGAACTGAAATTATCTTGATTAGTTTCAAGCGTTGCTCCATTCGATGTTGACGATGGTGCAATGTTATCATCATTCATGGACGCATCCAGCTCAGCATTGGCAATTGATTCAGGCAACAAACTCAGATCAGAAATAAATGTCTAGATAACAAACAGTAAATGTTAGTTTCCTATTTTCGAGAATATATATACTTTTAGAAGTTCATTTGAGAGATTGATTTTGTTAGTTGTCGATCGATTGTAACTTTTTATAAATGGTGCAGATTGCGAACGAGATTGTTTCGATTGTTGAGAGGCTGCTGATTCCGATTCATTGGCAATGGATGATAATTCGTCTTCTTAAACAAATACACATCGAAATCAAATCATTGAATCACCTCATACAGCAAGTTGTTTGTTAGATAAGGAAACAACTCGTACTTGAAAAAGTACGAACTCTTTTATCTCAGACTTATTTTGTCAATCTGTTCGCACTGAGAGTAAACGAATGACGTCAGATTATTGATTTTTTAGAAGCAATTTCTATTCTTATTGTATGCCAGTACCCGCGAAGTATATTTAAACAAATATTTACTTTTTAAAATTTCTTGCTGTTTGTCTGCAATTGGTAATGTACTTTGATCTCTTGAAAACGCAATTCTATTTGCTAAGATACATCGAATTCGAAGAAACTCACTTTTCTTGAACTGATGGAGTTGGCTCAGAGTTTTCATTAGGCGTAATGGACACATCATTTTGCGTGTTTTGTTCTTCAGACAAACGAGTATCCTCAATCGCAGTATCTGATTTATCATTGCTAATACCAACAGTGAATAAATGCGATTTCTCTTCGAGATTGTTCTGTTCAGCAGACGACTTTCTACTTGATGTTCGTGTATTCCTTCTCGGTGCTGGTGGGGATACATTCGAGTGTACATCAACTCGAGAAATTGAAATGACAGGCACAGAGGATATGCAAACAGTTTGCGACACTGTCGAAGAATTAACCTAAAGAAAGATCATGGAGACATTCATTTCAGATATCAAAGGAAAAACATTACTTGATCATGATTGGGTATAACTGTCTCTGGGAGTGATGTTTCATTCTGTGTCAGTCCAACAGAATTATCTTGATATTCTTTTTGCAGGGCAGTGCGTAATTTAGCTAGAAGATCTTTTTTAACTCCTGATGTTGAACATCCACGTTGTTTCAATTCCGCACGTAGTTCAACATTTGTCATCGACTCAATGCGATTTAATTGTTTTGCTAAATCACTTTCTGCCATCGTGTTCGGCGAACAAGATGGTTGAAAACAAAAACAGATCAAAACAAGAAATTTATCTATGGAAAAAACAGATTTTGTGTTTTAATCGTTTGAAGAATTGCATTAGGTCACTTTTCTTTGCGTTAAAGAGTATGATAGATAAATAAAAAACAAAGAACTAATGAGAACAAACAAAAGGTAAAGATGATTTCTTAAATAGCTTTTGGTGGATTGTTAGTGTCGACAGTTGGTTTAGAAAACAATCGAAAATAAATTATAGCCACGATAACTATCACAAGTGGAATGACGAATCGGACCCAGGATCCTGCGGCATTTTCCGACGAGTTCGATGGATTGACGATCAGGGGACGTGGCTAGAAAAGAGCACATTTGAATGTGAAATTTGACTATCTGGCTGAATTCTCACTTTAACTTTTGTTTTGATGTCATCCTAAAAAATAAGATCTCAAAATGAGTATTCTACTGATTGAAGTGAAAAGTACTGACTGGGTGAATTTCACCAATTTCGTATCCTTTCATTTGTTCACGAGCATCTGTACTGTGACCGACATCTTCGAATGCGTTCGATGCATCAGCACCATGTTGCTCTTTCAAGACTTCTTCACCACCCGGATGCTAGAAGAAAATACACGAGGACATCATTAAACTGCTCTTATCAGTCTTACGCACCTCGTCAATAAATTTTGTCACATCATAGACTCGATTATTGATGACCATAATACATTTACTTCTATCTTCGGCTAATTGCTTAACTTCAGCCAATCTGTAAATCTTTTTTGCATCCGCCATACTGTAGGTGATGTACTTAACTGAAAAATATAAACGAAAAATACAGTAATCGTACGAGCTTGGTCAAAGATCACAATCAACGCTTTTTTTTTCTCTTCCTTTGATACGAAAAGCGTTTCATCATAGTCCATTTTATATTTTACCACATGAAGACAACATCGATAGAAACGATCCAATCGTTTGTTGCACAACGTTTACTCGTCCCCAAAACTTTCCTTTTGTATCAGTTCGATTTTTTCGAAATTTACAATAATTTTTCGTTGTTTATGAATTACTTGAAGCAAAACATAGAATACGTGATAGATGTCGCTTCCGAGCAGACCATTTCTTGTCAGTGCGCTTTCAGGTAATTTCAAGAAAGTTTCATGCGTCTGAACATGCTCGGTCACACTTTAATCAGCTGAAATATCTTTTCCTCTTTCTCGGAAACTTATGCTATCAAGTAAAACATTTCTTAACCAAAGTCAGACAACCATTGTGATATAATGAATTGGCATCCTACAAGAAGAACACCGGTTATGCTGAAAAGAAACCAGGCATATTATATTAGATATCTGTAAATATTTCTTCTATCATGCTGAGTTCTTCATAGTTAAGTAGCAATGTTCTTGAAATGGAAAGAGAAAGAGAGTCGTTTTATTTTCACTTTGCCTGTCATCTGTGAGGTAGAGCGAGCAACAAAACTGGTTCGTTCATCAAAGAAGAAAAAAGTAAAGAGAAAGAGAAAATATAATTAGACAGAATTAAATCTACTTCAACATATTTCTTTAGAAGAACAGGAAAAGTAATTTTCTGTCTTTCTTCTTACTTCTTTTTCCCATTAACTTGAAACAAAAGATATCGATCTTGTTCGGTAGTCTAATTATCACTACAATGCAACAGCAAACGATTCGACTTTCGGAGCATATAAAAAAAAAACTTCGACAACATCACATAACGCCTCTTAGTCTTTCATCTAGTGACTTAACACTTTCAGACAACTCCGACGATGATGACGGTAAACTTCTTCACCCGTCTTGATCTTGTTACCATTTTAAGTCTTTTAATTTCAGTTTTCTTAGTTACATCTGCTCAAGAAAAGACCGCGCAGCGTCGACGAAGTAGTACGTTCATCACTCATCAGATACGTTCACAGTCAAAAGCACAATCTCTCCATTCAATAGACTCGACTCAGTCCAAACCAAGTTCGTCGCTGAAAAGTGCGAAAGCAACATGTCAAGATTGCCATCGACGAGAGAATCTCCTTCGAAATGAGCATGAACGTCTTGTGCAAATCTGCGATGAAAATCGACGACTAAATGAACAACTTCGTTCAGCAGTAATGGCCAATCATCATTATCAAGAAGAAAATACGAAGTTAAAACTTCACTTAAACAAACTTAGCACACATCTAAGAGAGTATCAAGTGAATTTCAACTTGCTAAACCAACAGCTCACCGCACAAAAGAATAACAAAAGCATTTTAAATCGTAATACTGATGCTGAACAATTGAAAAGACTGCGATATGAATTAAATGCATACAACGAAAGCGTTGCTACCAAACAACAGCAAGATAACGAATATGACTCATACCGGAAATGGTCACAAAGGAAGTAAATGATTATCGACAGAGTTGCCCGCTTGCATATTTAACTTTTGTACATGAGCTCATTTTCGTATTCTTTTTTACTTCTATCGCTCGATTGGAAGGTTTTGAACAGAATGTATCAATCAAAATGATAAAAATAAGAGAGTATCATACAACTAGTCTTGCTTTTATGAGTCCATTGTTTGCCGCCGTGGCTGTGGATCGAACACATCACCATTTTCCAATGCGAAAGGTTCATCGGTTGATGCAGAAGCGGCAAAGATTCTTGCATGACGCATTGTCGACATTGGATTATCATTGCATGAGACAGGACCATATCCATTTTGGTTTAGTTGATAGTTTAGACGACGTCTCGAGTTGTCAAGTTCTTGTTCGAATTGTTCAATATATCCTCGTTTTTCCTAAACAGATACTCCGATGTAAATATCATTTACGTGACGATTCAATGTTTATTACCGAGGATCGTTTTTCCTCGAGCTGATCAAGATTTTTTTGGTAGCTTTCCTCAAGCGTTTGTTTTGCTTCTTCGTACATCTTGTTCAACTTCAATGAAATACAAGTGATTGTTCGACAACGACAAAAGCTATAGCATGTATCTCACCTTTTCCCTGGTGATTGCTCCACGGTCCTTACTCTTGTTTTTGTTTTGCTCTCTGAACATCACAGGTTTCATTCTGAAATAATCGAAATACGATGGAGAAAATGATTCAATGAGCGCTTGTCACACTTACAGAATTTTCTCCATGCTCTCCCTCTTACTTAGGTCAGATTTTCTCTGATCTTCGATATCCTTGTCTAGTTGCGACATTTCTCTAAAATGACAATCGTATTCTTTATATAGAAATCAACTCATCTGCTCATTTCACTTACTTTCTTCGTATCCTGGAGAGCTCTCTAAGTTTTTCCCAGTATTCGTTTGTGACATCCCTCTTTTTTCTATTGAAGAACTAAAATAACCAAACAAACATTTGTATACTCTGTTCGAGTTGAACAAACTTTGTCTATTAGTTCACATGTCGCTTTCTCTTTGGCACGAAGTATTTCTTTGTAGAGTTTCATCAAACGTTCTTGAGGTAGATCACCATCCTTAAATGGTCGAAAGAGAATGTTTTTCCTTAAACGTAAGACAGTTCTGATCGTACGAACCCTTCTGCTTGATGTAAAGCTACTGAATAAAGTGCGCCGAGGAGGATTTTGTGAGGTGATGAGATAGGTTTCGAAGCTGCTCTCTTCTTTTTGTACTTCCTACGTAAAAATATAGAAAACTCTTGAGATCATGCACATGTCAGTTGTAGATCAAGTAGAAATCTGTAGCAAAGAATGATTGACCTTGCGAAACTGTACCTGCTGATATTTATCAAAAACCGCTCTGCATTTATTATGAATATCGTTTCCCAGTTGATCGTATTCACCTCGTTTTATATCATTGAATGAGCGAATCTCAAAATTTCTCTTTTCATTAAATGAGCTACCATGGATGACGTGATGATGATACCATTCGATCGTCTCCTCTGATCTGGAGAGAAGTTCACTTCCACTAAGGTTCGAAGAACTACAGTTTTCGAAGTTAGTATCCTCTGGTTTTCTATTGACGAGTGTATTGTTCAAATTGTCGTTTTTAATCGGCTGTAGATTATTCGATGGTTTCATAAAGTTTTTATCTTTCCCTTTAGCGTGAATCTTGCGTTGAACGTAGACGAATAAACTTGCCGCACGTACGGGAATGTTCATTTCATTTCGAAGAACGATGTGTCGATATCCCGAACGTAAATGACATACAGGAAGAAAATATTGTCCAACCAAAACATTGTCGGCTGATGTAACAGAGAAACGTATACCGGCCATCTCTTGTAAAATAATTTGACTAAATCGAGCAGAAAATTTCGATGACTTCAGATTTTCCGGATCGCTGTAAACAGCTTGAAATCCATTCCATTGTTTTGCACGAATGCGACAATCGTATTGCTTCGTTAAATTACCATACATTCCATACAATTGAATATCGACGTTCGTTGGCTCACAGTTTTGGCATAAAAATTGTCCCGAAATGACTTTGATATTAATGTCATAGCTGACGATGTTTTCAATATCCTTCGCGACTCGTGGATCAAACAAACTCTGCGGCTCGCACAATGCTGCCGGTTTTTCTATGTAACCACAGGCACGATTGAATGAAAATAGACCGAGATTGATTTGCATAGGTGGATCTGCAAAAAGAACATGTGTTTCGTGCATGGCAAACGTTAGCGATTTGTTTTACCTAATATTTGATAATTCAATGCGACCATCTGGCATCCAATGGGCCAGAAGAGGTATGGATTGAAATTATACGAGTTCCAGCGCGTACCGCGTGGATAAATTCGACTCAATTGTCGTTGATTGTATTCGAGAAAGTCTCTGGCATGATCCCGCATGACACTAGACGCATGATCTTCAGACAATGATGACATTTCACAACTTCGATTAACATGTCGAGCTCGAATGAATGTTTTAAACGTGACAGGAATAGTATAAATGACCAGATCAGACATTTCCTTTGTGGCCTTGGTCTCCGGCGGATTCTCAGGTTTCGATGTTAGATTTTCGACTAAGCCGTTTCGATTCATTCGTATGTCGTCATCTGATAAATTGTAATCATCTAATATCCTACTAAAGCGTGGATTGGAGTGAACCGTTGCAATATCTAGTAATGATTCAGCCGAAGATGTTCGTAGAAATGGTGAGAGAGCGGGTGTTGACGAAATCGTATTTTGATTTCTGTTTGGATCACTGCTACTTGATGTTATGATGGAGCGTTTGCTTAAATCAGGAGTGTTGGCTTTCGGTTTGGCTTGTTGTGAAGGTAATTTTTTATTTTTAATTAAAATCTTATTGCGAAGAGCGTTTGGACTTGGTAGCGGACTATTCACATCACAAGGATGTGTTGAAAGTGGTTCAGTTAGAAGACTATCACCGAGTAAGTCAACAAAAATTTTGGCCATCGTTGCTTGAGCTCGAGGACTAGATGGATAATGATAAGAGCATAATCTATTCTACAATATCTTTTACCCGCAATGATTCTCAATTGAAAGTACCAATGGATACGAAGTAACTTTAAAGGCGTAATCCCGAATGACAGCAACAACATCCACAAAGGGAACTGGTTTAACGGGCGTATAAATATGCTTGATTTCCGGCGTATCACCTCTGCTATCAGAGTCGACCACATCCAATTCAATACATCGACAGCCAGTCAATAAAACTTGTCGATACATTTCATCACTAGCACGACCAGTCCATTGTGATCCTGAATGAACGAGAACAAAAGAGATGATTCGAATTCAAACGATGAGTGTACCTGTTAAGTATGTATTATGTGACGAAGAGATGAAATAATGTGACAGAGGTTTGTTCATATCCATAAATAGATCATACTTAACCGGATCAACAATGGAATTGTCAAAGCTGAGTAGGTATCGAAGAAATGATTCTTTTGTCATTCCTTTGCAGATTTTAAAATGAAAACAGAACAAAAATCTCTACCAATTACCTTCTTGCGTGAAATTTTCGCTTGATTGTGCGTATTTTTGGATGAGAGCCTTTGCTGCGTTTTTCTCCGCTTCCATTTTATCATGATCGTTACTGCCATAATGTTGCTTGGTTATGAATCGCTTCAAATCTTCACAACTAAGATGATCTTGTTTTCTTTCATTGCTACAATTAAATCCATGAGTTGTTTCATCGAAACGTAAACTTCGAGTTCTTACAGTAGCTGAAATAACGTATCAACTTCTTTACGATTCATTAAAATCATATACAAACGAAAGAAGACATCGAAGGTGAATTGACTGGGATGAATATTGGACTCCTAAAAAGCTTCGTACACGATAAATCAATGGATTTGTTGATGTTCGTCCTACATACGGCATTGTGTGGGAGTTTACAGGCTTCCAATGCTTGACAGATATTCTCTTTCACACTATCACGATTATCGGACAGAAACTGGATCAGACTAGAAAATAAAGACATAAAACCAAAGAATTGATCGGAAGATTGTTGAAAACCTTTTGATAGGAATAATATTATTCTCTCGATCGAGTGTCTCATGAATGAGTTTCGAGTGAATCTTTTCCAAACAGTTCAAACTCGACAGGTTTCTCAACAATTGATTATGTCCATATTCAAACAACTGTTTGGTCCATTTCTCAAACGAACAAAATCGCTAACATCCACCGAAAATCAGTCAATTTGTCATACTCGAGCGACTTCCGACGATTTAAAAACGAAGTGCACGGTACGGAAATTGTGAGATGGTACAAATGTGTTGCCATATGAAAGCGTCAGCCATTTTGTGGCAAACCATCCATCCAGTAGATGAAGCTTTAGCTCAGGACAATTCTTCGCTTCCTAGAATCTCAAAAATGACTCGAAATTTCAATCAATCAATCGAATCCTACCGGTGGAATTGTCACCTGTGAACCAGTTCGCGTATCGTGAATTAACGCTAGATCGAAACATTCGACTTTCTTTCAAACACAAATCAATTAGAAACATGACGAACAAAAATTCACAATCATATCTACCTGTATAGTTTTATTCGGCGATACTTCCGTTTGCTGGTAGACACATATCAAATAGAAACCTTTGGCGTCGATAGATAGCTTAACTTCGATGGGTTTCTAACGATAAAGAAGAAAGATGATTACATGACGTAATAGGAATCATTTACCAAAGGCTTTTTATTATCTTCTGGCCATTTGAATGCCGCGACTCCATTCTGGAACTCAACTGGAATTTCGTTAAATTTTAACGTTGAAACATGACTTGTTGTTGCACTCATTGAATACAAATGTGTATTGAAGGTTATAACATGGAATAGGATGAGTTGTCGTTCTTACGAAGACATTTTCTTCTTTCGATTAGTGTAGCTATTCTGTTCTGTTGATAAACTCTCTTCCTTTTTTTTTTCTTCGTGCTTTACTTTCGTATTTATACACGAGAAAAAAAAATGAAAATAAGTAAAAACGAATGTGAATAGACGTTGATGGATGAAAGGAAAAGAACTGAGTGAGTTTTGTCAATAAAACATCGACGAATGATCCATGAGTTAACAGAAATGAAGATTTCGATGGCGTTTGGAAGAGTAAAGTTCTCGAGTTCTTCATGATTTTCAATCTCAATGTAAAGTCACGACGTATCATGACAAATAGACAGTCTATTTTTAAGCATTCTTCTCCTTTAAACATCATCATGAAATTTTATAGAAAAAAGAAAAAAAAATGAAGTTCAAGACATTTGTAAAACAAGAGAAAAAAAACAAAAATTCAGAGGCACAAGAAGAAAAGAAGTGAATGAACAACAACATCAACAAACAAGAAGAAAAAAAAAGTAAACAAAACCGAAATCGTTCAATACCACAGACAATACTCTTGTCTTACATTCAAACGTATGTATCTTTGCTTGCTTTGGTGAATTTGCAATAAACAAAAGACGAAGAAGAATTTATCATTTGACAATGGTAGAGAGAAAAATAAATAAGTAAGAAATAGATGCACAACAAATAGATACACGAATAGAGGTCATGCTGTCGTGATGATATCAATGGTATTAGTTCCGTTATGTGGATAGAAAAATGTCTGTCCACTGTGTGCTAACGACTGATGATGGTGATGATGGTGTTGATGTTGATGATGATGATCATGGTAGATGAAATAATCATCGTTGGTATTAGTATTATTGTTTGTATCGACAAGATGTTTAAGTATTGTTGTGGAAGATGGTGACGAACAACAACAATCATTTGGTAAAGAAGAAGAAAAGGAAGACGAAAGTGTATTATCACTTAAATCAAGATAATCACCCCCACCATGTAGTGAGACGTCAACATCATCGTCATCCGATATTGACACAACAGGTACGGCAAAATTGGTTTGAGCAAGCCAGTACGCATCCGTCGTTGATGGGTGATACATTGATGGCGATGTTCTCAGATCATTGACTGGTAATAATACTTTATCCGAATCATAAGTCGATGAATGGGAAGAAGAAGAAGAAGTATACTGTTGTTGCTGTTGATTAATAGTTTCGATTTCATCATTTACTAATGTTGATGATAATGGAGACATATAAAGACTATCTGATGACGATGAACGATATGTTGTTCGATGAGATTGATAATACTGTACATGTTCTTGTTCTTCTTGTCTGAGTGGAGGAGTTTTGGTGAATGTTTTCTCTAATCGTTTTATTAGATTACATATCAAGAGACTAACTTGCAGTTTTGGTTTCTTCACACCACGAAGTTTCCGATAGGATTCCACGAGTACAGAGCGTTTCTGTTCATCATCATGCATGGATGAATATGTACAACGGCGTTTGACTATCGGTGTACAATAAGATGATTGAATAGTATCACTGTGACGTCGCTGAATGATGGTACAAGGTGATGTTGTTATCATTGTTTTCGAATTTACATGGTGTGATTCGTCATCCTCACTCGAACTACCATCGTCGTCGTCGTCGTCATCGTCCTCGTCCTCGTCTTCAACATCCGCGTCATCCTCATCAGACTCGTCGTTATTCACATAATCGAGTGATGTTGACATGTGATCAAGTGTTGGCTTCGATGAAGTATCATCTTCATAGTCTAAAAATAATGCAAACGTGATTAAGTCAATTCGCTTTGAAACGACAAGTATACTCAACAGTGAAATAGGACTGTACTTTTTACTTCGAACAGAAGTTTTCTCATAGTACGAACGGATGCGACTCAATCCAGTCTTTCCTTTCTACAGCTTTCCTCGTACATTTCAGCCAATGGTTACAAACCTGACAGTTTTCGTTTGACATTTGCATAAGATCTGTGTTCATTATCTTCATCATGTTCGGGATAAAACTGTGCATTCATGTTTGTCGACGGAGGCAATGATTTGTACAGGGGAAGATTGTCACACATCATCAATTGATCTCTAAATTAGTGAAATATCGTTAGGTTGATACTTATCGTTTAACATATTTTGAAATCAATATTTCTCTTCTCTTTTCTATTGTCATTCTTTCATTAGACATTCATATACTCATTCACTTGTTTGACAATCAGCTGTTTTTTATGATCCTCCTCCTCCTCCTTCACACGCATTTAAGACACCTTTTTTTATATAAAACAATGTAGAACAAAACTCAATGAATCGTTTGCGCACTAGAACACTTTTTGAAAACTTGTCAAGTATCCGTCAGAAAACCACAAAAACAACATCTTTCGAACCTTCAATTACAATGAACAAAGAAAGCATTACTTACAAAGTTTTCAATGAAGTTTTCTACGTCGATCTATTCGAACACTATTCACGTGTTTCCATAGACGGTTTTCGTCAAAAGTGTTCATAAAAAAATAACTCGAATCATTTATCTAAAACAAAACATCAACGAACATTGTCGAACGATTGTGATAATAAGAATACATATTAACGAATGTATATCTATGTGGGTGGATGAATGGATGGATAATGGGAAAACTGTCAAACGCGCGCAATTTCTCGAGCTGTTTTCCCATTGACGACACAGAAGGATATAAGAGACAGTAAAGGAGAAAAGGAAAAACCATAGTGAACATGAGAGGAAAAACGCGTTGAGAAAGTTGCTAACAATTCTTTCTTCTCCTTCTCCTTCTTCTTTTTTCCTTCCTTCTTGGTTTTTCATATAGAACAACCAACATGTTTGTTAAAAAAAAAGAAAGATGGTGTTGGTGGTGGGGATGACAGTAAGCGCACCTCGTTCTCGTCGACAATAACACAGCAGCAGCAGCACACAGCACTGACGAGGAAAACTCTTCCATCGCGCGATGGCGGTAGTATAGGTACAGCCTTCTTCTTTTTTTTCTTGTTCTCTTCTCATCGAAGCTACAAACACATCCACACACACAGATGCATACACGCACCATTTTTTCCTGCGCGGTCGCTCGCTGACGACCATTTTGTCTGCAGTTTATATATTGCTTTTTTTCTTTTCTTTCCTTTCCTTGCTGCTGCTTGGTTAAGGTTTTCTTTCGCTCGTATATGCGTACACACTGAAGACAACTAGCGCTGATGTGTATACATGCATATGTGTATGCGTTTTTCTTTCTTTTTTTTTCTTCTCATTCTATTCGCTGGGCGAAATGCGAACGGATTTGTTTGACTTCTTTCCTCTCCTTTTTCTTTCCCTTGCATCGACCGCACGCATGCTCGTCGTCGATTCATTATTCACATATATATATATGTGTGTGTGTATGTGCTCGTACCAAGTGAGCGATGGTTGAAAGAGAACACACCATCAATACGAGGATACATCGAGCATTAGTCGGCAAAGTTGAAGAATTTTTCTTGCTGCTTAGAAAGAGAGAAGAGCGACACAAAAAGAATCGTACATATACATAGATGGCGTGAATAAACGAGATTAAAAGAAATTTGAAATTTGATGTTGTATTATTCGGAAGCAAAAACCGTCTTGTATTGTCTAATAATGCTAACCATCAGTGATTGTATGTCCAATCGACAATGATTTGTTTGTATTATCCAATAAGAATGTGCTGCTTTTCATATGCTCGTGCCTTAGGATATTAGATTAGTTAATATTATTACATTCTTCGTTGTCTACGGTTTGTAGGCGTTCATAGTTTCTTCGTCCTATCCTTGCGCTTGGCGCCGTATGCTGTTTAGACATTTTCTCTCATTTGTTATTCGTCGATTTCATTCTATCTATCTTTCTCAACAGCAGACTAATGCAATACTTGCGAACAAATATACTTCTCCATACGTTAAGCAGCAGAAGTTAACAGAGGAAAAGAAAAGGGCGAAGGTAGAATGTTCTTGCCGACATCGTACTAATCGATCCAGTGCTAAACATGACGATAAGCCTCTAGGACAATACTAGTATTAAAAAATGAACACCACCGAAAGGATATCTTGTTGATCTATCAATGCACTTTCTGTAAACAGACGGGTTGAGAAGAGAAGGTGTTTTCTTAAAAGATAATTTCAGAGATGACCAATGATTTGTGCATGAAATATTTTAACAAGATTGGAAAAAAAGAATGATTTTATTCCAATGAATGTTTATTTGAAAAACCAATTCTGATGATGTACATCTTAATAGTGACTTGTCAATCGTCTTAACAATTCGAGGCGCTGACAAATATTTACCCATCAAATTTGAATAAAGCATGTTTTACATATTCGAGAATTAACAATCGAAATCTCATGAAATCGATACCAGTGACGACTATTTCAAACGCACAATCTTATTCCATCCATTTTTTTCTTATAAACTAACATTGTGTCCATTGAAAACGATATGCTAGTGGTATTATATAGAAATCGAGAAAACATAGTGGCTCTTCAATCACAATATGATTACCGTTTTAATGATATTAGAGATTCTAAGTATGTCCGGCATCAATTATCTATTATTCTACGCTATCGAATGAATAGATTGGATTATTTCGCGATAGCTGAGTTAAAATGAAACATTCGTACGGTCAGTATCTCTAGGGAGAATGCAGAATCATCCATGAGTTTCATTGTTAGTGAGAGACTTGACCGAAAAATATTCATTAGCTGTATGGGAATGCTCTGGTCAGACGGGAAATCAGTCGAGTGAAGGAGATGAAAGGCAAAGAAAAGTCGAATTCATTCATAACTTTCATAACTAGTGAAATAAATACATGTGTTGAGAACGGTTTTCCAAAGAAAACTGATGCATAAATAGTTCGTGAATCGTGAAGGATTATCTGTTGTTTTCTGATTGGTAAATGAAAAGCGCCTATGTCCGTTAACTTCTCTCATCGCATAGAGTCGCATAGCATCGCAACGCATCGTATCTTTCATCCAGTGAAATCCTTTTCTCCTGATGAATCATCTATTTTCAACATGGCTTTTCATTTTTTTTTTCTTCTTCTTCTCATTTTGGCTTGTTTCTCTTTTTCTCAATCCGTCTCTAGTTGTTAACACAGTCATGGGCGAAAATTATTAGATTAGAGAATGAAGAGGCCGAAGAAAAAAGTAAAAACGTCGAGTATACTTTCTTTGCGAATATCTTCGTCTTCTTCTTCTTTTTTTTTCTTCTTATCAGTTGAACACGTATGCATCATATACACATTCTCAGTTACTTTGCTGTATTTTTTATTTCAGTTGTCATGTTTTAATCATGTTACTAGCGAACTTATCTTTTCTCAATGAATCATAGCAATCAATATTAATTTAATCCGAAAACTTCGAATTTGAACGACATCCGAGATACTAAATATGGGTCATCCTTACTTAACTGACGAACAATTAGAGAATTGGAAGAATCTGAAAGGAACCGTGAAATCTTCACCGAATTATATCGATGTTGTTCAAGGTATTTGGCAGACAATAACATGGTATTACGCTCCACATATGTGGCAAGGTTATGTCTTTCCTCAATCATTCATCGATGAATTTCTCCGATTCTTTTATTTTCCATTAAACCAAGTTTATTATATAATTTTTATCGCTATAGGTATCACATTATTACGTTATGCATTTGAAAGATATGTATGCAAGGTGAGTGCAACGAAACTGACATTTTTCTTGCATTGATATCGCTCAATGATTTTTAGCCGTTGGTTAATTGGCTTGAGCTAACAACATTGAATAAAAACAAGTTTCCCGAATCTGCATGGAAATGCTTATTTTACACATGTACATGGTCTTTTAATATTTATTTATTGAGCTATCGTTATGATTATTTTCAAGAACCATATCTGATTTGGGATGGTAAGTTCTTCTATGGCAAAACACACGAAACAAAACTCTTTTGAATTAATAGACTGGGCACCTGGCATGCCGGTTCCATTTGATATTCAGATAATGTATTTCGTCCAATGTGGGTTTTACTTACATTCCATATATGGAACACTTTGCATGGATTACAAACGAAAAGATTTCTATGCCATGCTTTTACATCATGTGTTAACAATGACACTTATCTTCGTTTCTTACGCAACGCGGTACGATATATATAGAGAGAGAAAGATAGGTGACTTTGAATTTGAAATTGTCATTTTAGTTACCACAAAATTGGTTTACTTGTGCTCTTTGTCCATGATATCACTGATATATGGCTTGAATTAGCAAAAGTACTACACTACCTCTTTCTGAGAAAAGGAGGTCGAAAATGTCCACGATGGGAAACTGCAGCCAACGTTTGTTTTGTTATGTTTTTACTTAGCTGGTATGTACAGATGTGCTGAATATAGAAAAGGAAACAATCGAATATGATTAGATGACGACGAGAAAAATGAGAACTCATTAAAATGACCACCCTTAGCGTTAAGAAAACAATTCAATAACAGAAGGATAGATTTATGATCTAATCATTTAGTTAACATGAAAATCATCGTTTAATAAAAAGAAATATACAATTAGAAACACAATTTAGTGAAGATTTTGCACATAGAAAACTTTATAATCGAAGTTCTTTTATGTTCATTAGGTTTTTATTCCGTCTTTATTGGTATCCAATAAAAGTCTTATATTCCACCGGCGTTGTGACTGCTCATCGAGCTTATGATAAAGGTTGTGGCCTATATGGATTTTTCAATTCCCTCTTGTGGATTCTCTGTTGCCTCAATATTTATTGGCTATACGTAAGTATATCATCAAACAATTGCTGATCTAATCTTGTTTCTTCCTCTGTCATAGTTCATACTGCAACTTCTATTTCGAGTATTATCTGGTTCATCAGATGGCTTAGAAGATACGCGTGAAGATGAAGAAGCAGGGTAAGTTTCAAGAAAGTTTATTTATGTGTTGCAATATTTTCCTGTTTATAGACCATCGTCAACGCCGACAAGTACTCCTACCAAGAATCTGTTGAAAGAAGGATTGGAGAAAAAGAAGAAGAAGTAATGATTTCATACACTACAATGCTAGACATTTCTTTTCTAAACGTTTTCATGGCGGTTGCTTTTTTGTTTTACTTCTTTCCAGTTTTGTTTGTTTGTTTTTGTCTCCTTTCTTCGCTCTCTCTCTCTCTCTTTTCTTGCATCTCTATTCATCAGTTTGTCTAATCGTTTTGTGATGTGTCTTCCACCACTGAGTATGTGTTTCATCCCGTTTTGTCAGTGTGGTAGTTAAAAACGAATAGTCTATTTTCATTTTCTTATCAATAACAGAAATTTTTCAAGAGGAAAAAAGCGAACGACTGATGATAAACAGTGAACAAATACAAACAGATCGACTTCTTGTCATCCTTGCGAATCCATGATTATCTTTGTTTGTTTTTCTTTCTACGTACTTGTATATAATCGTACAATGCGTGTTCTATTTCATATCCGTGTGCACAACAAGATCGAGAAAGGGAATAAATCAATTCTCGCGACAAGTACATTGAACCGTAGTCTTCTATTTAAATCAACTATAACTTGTGCTCGACAAAATCGTTCCCTCAAATGAATACGCTAGAGACAAATACATTGAATAGTGAACTTTATTGAATCAACAATCATCATGTACAGTAACAAACAACTAATATTGACATAGTTAACTAATTTTAGGAGACAAGAGGAAACTAAACATAAAGTCGTACAATACAAACATTATATATTACTTATTATTGATGTTCATTCCTGTAATCAAACTGCCACCATGTGGTATGAATAGCTTGAGATGGATAAACGACTAATGTTGGACCGTAACTTGACTAGAACACATAATAAGACAAAAGTCAGTCATTTGTTCTTTCGTCTCGGCAGATAGCTTACCATTGATTGGTATACAGGCGATTGTTTTGGACTGATGCGAATACCAGACATATCTGAAGCGGTTGATTGACGATTTGATAAGCCAACTCCGAATGGATCAACGATCACGCCTGCATGATCAGAGAAGATTTGCATAGTTGTTTTCGTTTCATCGTCTGTTAATCTACGAAGGAGAGAGGATAGAGAAGAGATTAACTAAATCATTGATGCTTACGTGGCGACAAGGTTTTTTCCAAGTCCAGCCTCATCGAGTCGGTAAAAGTAATTCGTTGCATCGGTTAGCTTAGTAACAGATTGTCCTTGCATCATGAGATTCTGTTGCATTTGTTCACTTGTTTTGATGTTGATAGGTTTTGAAGGACCGAGTGTCAGATGATGCTAAACAAACTCAGATTAGCCAACATTTCTATTGAATTGTTCGCTTACTGTGCTCAAATCTCCGTAACCACGTAAGTTGAAATAAATGTTATTTGTTGGGTCAACAACCATTTGTTCATTGATTGGTGGCGAAACAATCGTTTTCATGATGAATTGATTATCATTCGATGAGGAAAATTCATAGATAACTTCAATGTATTCTCGTACAAAACGAACTCGTGATGGTTTATCAACATTGCCATACATAATCCAGTCGTCCTTGTAGGCGTTCAAAAATGGATAATTCAATGGTAGCTGATTGATCATATTCATTGAATTGACGATTTCATCAAAACCAAATCGTACTGCACCGAAATGATAGTTTTCATTCTTATTTTTGAGAACAATTGACCGATTTTGTCGGCGGCCAATACTATCTGTGTATGGGATAAGGATATCAGTGATAGCTGCGCCACGGCGTGAAACAGTAATGACGAGACCACTTAAAGCTGGATGAGTAATATTGAAATAAGGTTCGTTGATCGGTGTTTCTGTCCAAGTGAACGGATCTCCGAATTGATAAACGAAAGGCGCACGAGATGCACCGCGTAGCTGTTGTTGCTTACGATTTGACTAAAACATAAGATTCATATCAATGATTACTTATAGGATATCTTTCTCATGTATTCTTTAATTATAAACTGTGTTTGTCCTTGAAATAGCTTCTATATTGACAATATCTGTATACATACACTGTGATAATTGTCTCTCTCACTCATGAATCCTTGTTAGAGATGTGTATTTTTCATCTATTCAATCTCAAACAAACAATACTATTTTCAATAGACTTACTCCGCCGTGATTGGTAAAAATAAATGCAAGGCTACAAAGGAATAGTGCAAAACAAACAATAGCCAGAGCTAGAAAGAGCTTGTTCACTGATGAATACGGTTTCGCTTTATCTGGATGTTCAAAGCCATCATCAATTTGCATTTCATGTGGTTTGCCAAGTTTTAAGTTATTCGTTTGTTCGTGACCATTAGCTTTCGCTGCTGCGAGAGCTACATCGTGTGCCTGGTAGTTGACATCCATACGTGCTTGGAAATTTCCATCGACATTCGTTTGATCAACTGGCTCCAAAGGAATAGAAACAAGCGCATCGATTGTCGAATTTTCAGGCGCGACAGGTTGAGCGTTGAGTGGACTGCCCCCATCTGGATTGATGTGCGTAGCTGATTTTAGAACCACGTTGTCCATCTTCTTGTGAAAGGCAACAAGACAAGATTTGAAATGAGTGACGAATATGTATCGCTATACTTTTCTTTTCTGTTTCTCGTCCGTACGAACAAAGGATATAAACGAGTAAGAGAGAGAGAAGGGTAGGAGAACGAATCAGTCTCTCTTTCTTGAGGGAGAAGAATAAACGGTCAGTTCGTAGATGAGTGTATATCCAATACAGTTCAATATAATATCTAATTAATGAAATGGAAGACTTGAAAGATGATCAAATGATAGCTGACGTTCGTCTGTTTTAATATCGAACATATGTGTGAATTGCTGAGCAGTTCATCCAATTACAGATATCGAGGTGTGCACATGATGCTCGGGTAATGTCGCACATTCGACATGCCATAAAAAGTCAATGTCAATTAAGCGTGTGAGCGTGGTTCAAATCGATTGACTAATACAACAGAGAAAAGTAGCTTTGCTTTTCATTTGAATGTGTATCGCCTTTTCATCGGTATCAGCGGATTAAGATCATATGCTGATCAAAATATTTTCAATGGATCAATTACATTTTGAAGTGCCTAATTGAAGTGAGACGTTATCTTAGTTCTATGATTACATCTAATACCTTGTTTTATCTTGCCTAGTTCAAACATCATTTGAATTTCTTTTATAAACTAACTGTTTAAAGAATCATCATATTACTTCGAAAAATACAGCACATAGAAAATCTACTCAAACGTCATCGTCATTGGCGCCGATGCCAATCACATCTAATGTATCCCTGCAACTAGCTGCATCTTCGATGGTCATCGATTGCTTTGAGTCAGCAAATTTTTCGACAGTTTGTAGACGTTGACCAAGTGATGTCATGTTGGCAGAGTATTCGCCCATGAGTCGTGCTAAGCGTGTTTCTAAGTTATCAATATTACTTTCTAGACGGCTAACTTTTTCAGGAATGGCGGCTTCGTCTTCTTGTGCTGTTTGAGCGGCTTCTTCATCTAAGAGATTATCTTTTCGTAAATGTGCTTTGCCACGGTCAATTAACGTTTCACGTGCTGATGGATACTCAGCTAAGACTTCCCATAGATCTTGTTTTGTTAAACAAAATAAATCAGAATAACCCACACTACGAATATTCGCCGTACGACGATTACCAGTTTTACTACCTAAAAAATTAGCGTTTGAGTACAGAATAGCTTGATTTCGATGAAGTAGTCTCACCTGGAATGTTGAGAATAGAAATTTCACCGAATACACTTCCTTCTTCTAAAGTAACAAATACTTTTGCACCATCATCGGATACAACACTCAATCGACCGCGTTTTATTATGTACATTTCTTTCCCAATGTCACCTAACAGAAATGACGCACATTTCGAGAATAGTTCAAATAAACAAAGTCGAATGTTACCTTTGCGACAAACATAATCGCCTGGACTAAAAATTTGCAATTTCAATCTTGTAACCAATTCGACTAGTAGACCAGGTTGAGCTTCAGCAAAGATCGGCACTCGTTTCAATGCTGCCAGATGAACATGTATAGCAATTTCTACCCGTAATTTTTGTGGTAATGCGCCTTGAGAAATAAAAACCGAATATTAATCGTATTCAACCGATTTCTTTCTCATACCTAAGACCATATCTTCATTTGCAACTTGTTTTTGCAACCATAAATAATCGAACCAAGTGATAACTCGTCGTTCTAAATCTTTTCCAACCTTACGGAAGACCATATATTGTTTGACCTGATCGACCTTTTGTCGAAAATCAGCACGAACTGCATTCATGCTGGCAATAATTGAACCGACGTTTCCAACAACTACATACAGTCGTTTTCTCGTTCAAATGACCCAATTGAACAAATTTACTTACTGGTAGCAAAAATCAACACTCCCGTAAGAAAATCAGCAGTTACGAATAGAACTTCGATCTAAATGGTACAGAAAAAGAAATCTTTGAGGATGAAACAAAGCACAAGGCAATCATATGTCTTTAAAATAGGCCATTTTATTGCTGGCTATTAATCTGAATTCTTCGCCAAGATTAACATGAATGAAAGATCGAAATTCGTCAACTTACATCGGTTTCAGGTGGTGGAACTTCGCCGATGTTTGTTAACACAAGTGTTGACCAGAAAAAGCAGTAGAGATACTGGGTTGTTAACGTATTTGCCGATGGTTTCGTCATATTATAAACCCAATCATCTGTTGAGAAGCCGATCCACCGGCTAATAATGAAATAGAAACACGCATTCCAATGGATAATAATCAGAATAATGATGAGCAACGTAACCAAACGAAACACATTCGGATGATTTGTTTGAGTTTCGACTTTATCAGAGAATTCAAACGTTCGATAAATTCGAAATAATCGATTGAACCGTATAGCTGGCAGAAGACGAAGTTTCGGAATGAAATAGAGAAAATCCGTTGGTAATAATGAGATAATGTCTAGTATGAATGCTCGACTTTTTATATAATGTTTACTTAATTTACCAATATCACGAACAATCAACCCCTGTTCAAGATAACCTGAATAAAATACATATGTGAAAACAGAGAAACAGGAAAGTGCTATTCGGAAAAAACCTTTTCGTGTTTGTATAAATGTATCCACGGCATAGCAAGCATCACAAACATAATCAAGGCATATCCAAACGATGAGTAGACGTTCTTGGAGAAGGAGAAAAGCGCTACGACCAATAAGAGCTATGTAGTTATAAAGAACAGCTAACGAAACAATCGATGACCAGTAATAATAAAACGATTGAGAAGGATCGATAACCCAGTTTTTACTAGAATGCGAATATATGTATACATATAATTGGAATGAAGTGCAACTTCGAACCTATTTTCGTCTTGAATAGCTTGAATTTTCGTCGATGGTGCGAATTTCTCCAGAAACGAATCAGTCCGTTGAGGAATAACTTGTCGTTCTTGGTTTCTTTGTATCCATCGTCGGACACGCTGTTAACAGAAGATAAAACAATGACTTTTCCATTCAAAATACACAACATCAAGTCAAATTTCAACAATATCTAACATGCACTCTACTTACGCCCACGATATTTACTGCATTCTGAAAGATGTATGCGTAGAAAATCCAAGCAAAATAGGATGAGACTTGCAAACAAACCTGTGCTCGTCGAACAAGATTGTAGAAACTGCTTTGTTCCTGGTGTGGCTGTTGCAAAGGTGTAGTAGCTAATCTTTGAATAACATTGGTGGAATTCGTTGAAGTTTCTTCATTAGGTTGTCGAGCTGAATATGCAACCGAAGGCGGTTGAGTGTGATTATTCATCACAACATAAGGCGCAGTACGTCGATGTTGACGATCGGACGGTGATCTCATCTGAGGAGAATCTTCCCGATCATATCGAATATCTAGAAGAAAAACGCTCCAGATCAAAGATCTGTTTCAGTTATTATGCACAGAAACATGATTCAGTTCATCAAATATCCTTCTATTCATTCATTTCTTACTCACTTCTTATGCGTGTTTATTTCTAAGAAATGAATGGATGTGAAGAGAAAAAAGAGAGAGAGAGAGAGAGAGCGAACGTATATATCAATTCATTCTTTCTCGATGAACTATTGTCACACAGGATTCTAAAAGATTTTCCGGTTTGACGTTGTCGCTCGTGCGTGATGATGTTCTTTCGTCAGCGTGCACATATTCACACACACACACATAAACACATTTTCTCATTATTCTTATTTTCCATTTCTTCTTTTTCTAAGGAAAAGAAAAAAGTGAAAAAAGAAGATGCTTTCTTTTTCTTTTCCTTCACTTTTTCTACTACTACTACTATCACCTGTGAAATGGGATGAGACGCATTGCATCAGTGCTGCTTTAATTTTCTTTTCTTGTGCTGCCTGGAAAAATAGATAGAGAAAGAAAGGAAGGGAGGATGACATGGTTACTCCGGATAGTTGCCATGGAAAGGTTTGGCGATCTTTCTTCTTACGTGAAACGAATTATCTTTCCAACGTTGTAATCAAATCTCGACAGTTGCCTTGTTCCATCAACTGACATTTCGAAAAAACGATATTGGCAAGAAATAAAAAACATCAACCATTTCATAACTTGTTGCCCTTTTTTTTTCGAGCACATATTCATTCAGTATGTCAAAATCGAAATTAGGCCAATAGAGACAGTAGGAAACTTGAAAAGATTAAAATCATAACTGTACAGACGTCACTACTAATTGACATTTGGGAACAACTGCAATTGTTATTTGATCTCAAGCATATCAATCACTTGTTTTTGATTGACAAGATTCGCCGGGCAAAACAAAGGCAAGCACAACTTTTCTCTCCAACAGACAATGCAATGTAAATTTCGTATATATTCCATAATTGATTATTTTCGTGACCCAAATGGTTCATTGAGATTCTTTTTGAATACACAGAAATCAATTCATCAGTGCTGGTAAATGATGCATCATACTATCCAAACTCTTTTAATCAACGAATTTTTGACATGAATAATCTGTACTTACGCATATAAATCATTTATTTTCCAGAGAAATAATCTTACAGATTTGTACGACCAACTGACGAGCAAATCTCACACGAGCTCTGTTTTCTTCCTATGTTAAGAAGTAATTAAAGCTAAATTTTGTCGACATCAGTGTACTGAAAGTGAACCGATGGTATTTGAAGATATTTTTCTCGATTAATAATATCAACAAGCGTATGTCAACAGACTTTGTGTTGTCTATCTGTCCTGCACAAATATAAAAAAAAAGATAATCCGCTTGAGTCCTGCATTTCTTTTCTTCAATGATTGCTGTTATCAGGAAAAAAATTCGATGTATTTGTATGTTCTAAAGAAGCGTCAAGGGTGGATATAATCAGATTAAATTTCGAATAGTGATTAACAATGTTGCATGGAAGGTCAGAAGCACATACGCACACTAATCAAGAATATATTACTGGAAAAGAAAAAAGAAAGGGAAGCTCTTTTTTCTCACGTAGAATGATAGAAAAACACTATTGTATACAAACGATGTAGATAAGATTATTGAGACCGTCCTTGACAAAGAAGAAGCTATACAGTCAGCGTATGGCGTGATAGTCGTTTGCAGGAGAGGTTTTGGTTGAGAGAATTCATTGTCATTCGAAGAAAATAACATCACATTAACAACATCTTATGAAGACACGGATTTTATGCCTGAGAATGTTTATCTTGAGTTTCGAATGGATTTATCGAGTTGATTGATACGATAATTTTTTTATCGCTTTTTTCATCCTAGGTGATAAATTCCATATAAAAGAAAACAAACTGAAGAGAAAGGAAGATATCGACCTCGAATTAATCACTATTTGTTATGATGACGTGAGTGACATATAGGATGCAACAATGTGAAAGAGTTCTTATCTTTTATTCTCTGTTAGTTATGTTGAAGATGAAAGTACAAAATATAGACCACACACTTAAACTGCTCTTTTGCTCGTGTTTTGCTTTAACAGTATTTATTAGAAGTTCTTCCTAATTCTTTCCAGGAAATTTGCAATTATGAACCAACACACGCAGGTCAACAGTGAAACTGATGATAATCACACGCGTGACCGATTAGGTAAGCTCGTCATGTTTAACAACAACATCATAGAAGACCTGTTCACCATTGAATTTTGGTAGAACCAACGTCAACACAAGTCGTTTCACCTCGTCGACGTCGTGCTACAACATTGAATTCGTTCGCTTCGTCTGTTATTACTAATGTTGTTAAACGACCTCGTTGGTGTTTTCGGTATGTAGTACATGTGCGACATCTCGTTTCGCATTTCTCTTCATATCAATATTTATCGAGTAAAACAGTACTCGGCTAATCATCGCGAATGTTTTTTTTTCAAATACTCGAATTTATAACCATGTCATCGAGGTATATAGACGAACCTAATTGGCTACCTTGTATCAAATACACGTGAGAGAGATCCATTTTTCAATGTCTTGTCTCTTTCTGTTATGCTTGTCAATATAAATCACCCCATTTTTGATCATCCGATCAAGAATGTATTTTTATTGTTATTCGAAGAACAAATCGAAGTCCTTGAGATGTTTTATTCATAAACATAGGAGAAATTCGTAAGCGCACTCGAGAACGTCTTTCTTTTCATTGATCGAGCTTGTTCGTGGAATGAAGGAGGGTAGAGATAACAACGACAGAAAATAATCTCATGTTTTCGTTTCGTTTGATATGTGTTCTATGCAAAGTCGAACATTGAAAAGATACGAAGAAAATGTTTCTTGGCACTTCACGTACTGTTTTTCTTTTCTTCACAATAGTCAGCCGGTCGAGAATTCGACCTGGAGCGAACAATGTGCATCGTTGTGTTCCTCTTGAGTCTATTTCTTCCGTTGACTGGAAAGAACGAAATAGAAGAGAAGTACTTAAACGTTCAAGTCAATCTGTTTCTTTCTCTTCTAAAAATAATCGCTAGAATAAACAATATCATTTCTCGTACTAACTTTCTTTTCCTTTCTGCAAAGATGAGATATAAACATGGTTCTATCTGCTTCGCGTTTCCGAATTTTCTTTGCTTTTTTTTCTTCGTTCTCTTTCATTTGCACTAAGTTCTCCAAAGAGAATACTGGAAAATAAATGCAATCATTAGATTTCTTCTTTTTTTCCCTTTCTGTTCTCATGTGATTCAACGGATGATGCATCATTTGCGTTATTAAATTGAAAATCGAGCTGGCCATGCAACAAATTCACTTGTCAAACATATGCTACTCACCATCAATTTTGTTTATCTTTTCTAGATCTGTTCTAATTTTGTGTTTCTTACCTCGTTTCGTTTCTTTTTGTATTCGTCTATGTATTTCGAAAATAATTATTAAGAATCTTTTCTTTCATATCCAGCAATTATCAACATGTATGACGCAGGAGCGTATTTTTACAAAAAGTAAGAAGTTTTTATCAATTAACGGATCCTCGAGGAGAAAAAAACCGACAGATTTGATTTCTTTTTCTTCATTACATCAGACCCGATGTGTACATACATTCTAATGAGAACAGATGGTTATTCCGATAACATACCAGGTAGATATTTAGTTTTAATCTTGTAAAAACAACATATTCTACTGAACTAACACTGGCTATTGAAAGCATGCAATAACTAACGAAAAATCTGTGTTTAATATTACCTAGACCATCCTTTTTCTCTAAGCGTATGAAAAAAAAACCTATTCAAGCATGAAGGCTGTATCGTGCGATAATCTGTTGATATTTACCTATTTCGTTTAATAAATAGATATCCCGTGACTTAGAAAACAACAAAATAGGAGAGAGTAGTCTGTCATTTAACATGAGTTTTACCGAGTGGGAAGCAGCAGTAACTGCTCGAATAGGACATTACATTGCGAAACTTATTCTATGGTTTGTAGCTGAATATTTTCATGTTTTGAATGTCGTCTATGTTTTGCGTTCATAGGTATTCAACTTTCGTGGTTAAGTATGCATGGTGCTTTCTGTTACTTGGATCGATTGTATGTATTTGTCTTGGTTTGACAGCGGTATTAACACGAGACCTACCGGATTTCAATGATCCGACGAAGGTAACATTTTGTTTTTCTTGTTATTTCGTCGACACGAGATCGATTGATTGTTGATTTTGTCTCTAGGGTTTTATACCACGTGGTAAATATACGTTGACTTCACGCCTGTTTGTACTGGAACAACTGAAAAATGAATTGGATAAACAACTAGCTGCAGCGAAGATTATCAGCAAGAGTAAAAATTTTGCTTCAACTGCGTCACCTTATCGAAGGGATGAACAACACGCGGGCAACGACGATGATGACGATGACTTCGATTATGAAAATCCAACAGATATGATGAACCTTCATGAAGATCTAAAAGATAATCCAAACGAGTGTGCCTTCTTATCATCAAAGCAAACGACATGTTTGACCAATGCTCAGGCATATTCTCTATTAAAAAATCAAACAGATCTCCTGAGAATATCGAAAACAATCAAAAAGAAACTTCACAAACCAAATGAACATGTGTGCACTTCAATCGACTTGAGTAAGTGTTGTTCATAAAAGCTATTGTATATTTCGAATTCGTCGTTCTTCTGTTCAGATCGTCATTATGAGGTGTACTTCGAAGCGAGTGATAAATCATCACCGAATTTATTAACACTTCCTAATCTATTATCATTATGTCGAAAACAGACCGAACTGATCGAATTATTTCAAGTTCATTCAACGTGCCATTACACATTACCAGAAATGGTCGCTTATTTTGCCAATAAATTGGATTGTAGTCGAATAACTGAAAGAGATATTCACTCATTTATCAACCGCCTTCAACGTTGCCATCAAATCTATGATGCAGGCTTGGTTCGTTTAGCGGGCTTGAATCGTTACCGAAAGAAACCGTTAGAGTTGTTTCAATATGATTCGTGTTTTTACAATAATTTTACTTTTCTATCATTGGAATATTTACTGGACAAGTCGTTTCTAACGACCAATCAAACATCGCACACAGGTATGTGGTTTTTAAGACCAACTGTGCCGATGAGAGATGCGAATGGCAGTGAAGTTCATACATCTGATACGGCCTATGATATATTTGTTGAACATTTTCAACAAAATCCCAAATTCGACGACGGACAAACACGAATAGCAGGATTGAATTTCTTGGATATTCGTATACCGGCGGCGATGAAACAAATTCGTAATGACATGTTTTTTGTGATCCTAGCTATTACGCTAATTGTTGCAGTAAGTTGTCCGAGAGTTGATGAATTTGTTAAATTGATTGTCGATTTCATTGTTTAGGTAACAGTTATCTATCTTCGTTCAATAACCGTTGCATTAATGACAAATGTTTGTGTAGTTCTTTCCTGTGCATGTGCGTATTTTGCATATAAGATCATTTTCGGCATTGATCTTTTTCCATATATTAATTTAATGTCATCGTTCATATTGATTGGTATATCATGCGATAATGTGTTCGTTATTTTTGACGCGTGGTATTCAGAAAAATTAGATATTTACAATGAAGCACGTTTACAGAATCGTCAAATTGAATTCTATGGTAAATTGACTGAGAAACAGGAAAAACAATATCGTCGCGATCGGGAATATACATCATCGATTATTCGGCGACGCCTAACATCAAAAAATGATCCAGACCAGCCGCCATTGCAAGAAGGCGAAGAGGAAGAACATTTTGATTTGATTAAAAATACGGATTTGGTTCGGATTATGAAAGTGAACGAAGATCAAATGATTCAAATGATGGAAGGTGTTCTCAGACACGCGGCAGCAAGCGTGTTCGTTACAAGTTTCACAACATCAGCCGCTTTTTTTACCAATATGATATCCCGTATTGCTTATGTACAGTTATTTGGTTTATTTATGGTAAGTTCATCGTTTTAGATAAAAGACTGATGATTCTAAGATTTTCGAAGTCGAGAAAGGATGCGATACATCGTTTTTTATTCTTCTATTTTTCTAGGGTCTTTGTATATTATTCAATTTTCTTATGAACATAACAATGATTGTGTCGTTTGTAATAATTTATGAAAAGTTTTGTGAGCCCTTATCTGCCCGTCTTGGTATATTCAATCACTTTCCAGATTTGTTCGATAATATCATGTTATCGTTAACTCGCCTCAACCATGCGATTTTCACTGTGTATATTCCAAAATGGATAATTAAACTTCGTTATTTTTTGATAGTCATTTTCTTTATATTTGGTATGATTGGTTTATTCGTTGTCTTCCATCATCCGAAATTGTCTCCGCCAAAATCTCGTCGATATCAATTCTTCCAGCTAACACATCCATTTGAACGCTTCGAATATCAGATGCGTGATCAATTCTTATCTTACATTAACGAAGATATAGACAATGTGACAAATCCATTGTTGATCTTTACATTTGGAGTCGAAGAAACGGATTTAGTTCATCCGTTTTATCCTGATAAACAAAGATATGTTAACAACAAAACGATAGTTTTCAACGATAAGTTTGATTTTTACGATCCAAAGACGCTGCGATGGCTTGATACATTTCTAAGAGATCTCAATCAAAGTGATTTGTTTACTAACGTTCAAGAAACCTATGCACAGTGGTTAACGATTGGTGAGACAAATAACTTTCTCATTGTTTCTTTAATCAAGATTCATCGTTTTCAGGTGAACTTTTACGTGGATTCCTGACAACAGGCGTTCACAAATATTCTTCATCTGACGATCAAAAGTTTTTCGTTCCACCAACTCGAAATGCGACAAAAGTCGCTTTGAATCGATTATTCAAATTCTTCAGCGAATCGAATCAACTGGCAGCGGCTGGTGACAGCAATCGTGGTAGCGAAAATTTTCGTCTCGGATTTTTACCTGATGCTGAAACACGTCACTTACGTGCCTTTCTATTCATGGTCAACATGAACGTGACATTTAACTCCTTCTCTGCTCAACATACATACTATCAAAAGTTACACGATTATTTCGATCAACGCTTGGAGCAATTGAAATTATCCGAAGGCGTTCATGGACATGTCTATGAACAAGTAAAACATGGGTAAGGAAAAGCATTGAACTGAGTGAACGATTTGTTTTATTCTATTTTTAGTTGGTTTGTCTCGCCTCAATTTCTTTTCTATGACCTTATGCGTGAAGTTATACGTGGAACATATACATCTCTGATATTTTCTATGTTGTTCGCCTTTGTTGTACTTCTTCTCACTTCCGGAAATATTGTTATCACTCTTTATGCAATTTTAACAATTATTTTCATCATTGCTGATACAGTGGGAATATTTGTATTATGCGGATGGGAACTAAGTATTTTGGAGACAATTATTATCATCATGAGCGTCGGTCTGAGTGTGGATTTCAGTAAGAGAACCATTGATTCGATATTTTTTGAGAGAGATGTTTTCGTTACTATTTAGCTGTACATTATGGTGTGGCTTATATCAAAGCCGATTGGAAACGGAATCAAGCACAAGCACATAGTCGACGAACATCGAATGCCTTGAAACTTCTTCATTTAACGAATGGAGACAATCTAAATGAACAGTCTTTGTTAGAGCAAGTCTCGAATCCGAAAGTACATTCGAAAAAGTCGTCAGTATTCACTCGTATTAAAACATGGCACCGACGAGGTAATCTGCAACGGTTCCGTCGAATCAAAAACAGTCTTATTCGCGTTGGTTCAGCAGTTTTCATTGCTGGTCTAACATCTTTTCTCGCCGGTGTATCCATGGCGCCCAGCAAATTGACATCTTTCTCCCAAATGGGCTATTTTCTAATGTTAATTATGTTTGTTAGTTGGTTATATGCTACATGGTTCTTTCTTCCATTACTTTCCTTTCTTGGACCAATTGATAAATTTGGTGATATACCGTAAGTGATCTTTTTGACACGAGTCTTTCGAAGAAAATCTTTCTTTTCCTTTTGGTACAGATTCGGTAGATTATTTCGTTGTGGTAAAACGTCATCATTACCTGTCGTACAAACAGTGACAACCGATGCCAATGACCAACAGGAAACAAGGGAAAAGTTCAATGAAGAACAGACAGTTTAGTTCATTCATCTTCCTCTTTCGTTTTCCTACCGCTTGTCTTTCGTTAATCTCGAAGCGAACTAACTAAAATTACCATCAAATGAAAACATCTTCCGCTAGGTGCTGCTTGTAGTTAACTCAGATAGTTGATTTTGGTCATAAGAAACCAAAGATAAGAAAATCTTCCTAACTGCCTTCTGCATTTTATTCTTTTTGGTTGGACACGTGCAATAAAAATCGTCGTGACGTGTCTTTTGTCGTCTGCCTTTCTTTTTTCATCTTATTTTAACAGAGAATGTTTTGTTTCTTTTTGTGTTCAATTATATTCATGCATGTTTGTTTCTTTGTTGTTCTTCCTCTTGGTTTTTACTCATTTGAAATGTATGTATTTTGTCTAATGTCAGTAGTCGAAAACAATCATAAATTGATAGTTGAATACTTCTTGGTTTTCTCTTCCTTCTCTTTGGAAAAAAAATATATTCTATGATTATGTTCTACGCGAGTTATTCGTAATTTTATGAATTATTTTGTGATTTAGTCGATGTGTGTAGTTTAGCTGAATGTGTTTCATGAGCATTTTTGTATATGGTTGAATATATCAATATGTTTCTTTTCGTTTTCTTAAATACAATTCATAACAAGGTAGTCGAACTGTAATTTCTCGTATGCTTAAACATTGGTTTCGATCAGTTCATAAATTTTCTTCATAAACTGTTCGATGTCGTCTTCGGTGGTGTCGAACGAACACATCAATCTAACTTCACAATTCTTTTTTCTCCACATGTAGAACGGAAAGATTGTTGATAATGGTTCGTACCATTGCTGAGGGATTTCTAAGAAAATCGCGCCAGTTTCCACGGGTTTGGTTATCCGAATCTGTGGTTTATTATCTTTCAATGGAATTGATTCTAAACGCTTTTTTAATGTTTGAGCCATTGCATTGGAATGTTCACTCGACTTTTTCCACAGATTATTGTCAAGTAGGGCTAAGAATTGAACGGCGATGAATCGCTGTTTCGATGCTAATTGCATCACTTGCTTATGACGAAATTTTAAAATACCGCCATCAGCTTCGAGTATCGACTGATTGAACACCACTACTGCTTCACCATACATCATACCAGTCTGAAGTAATCAGGAATGATTTGTTTATTATTATCGAACATCAACTATGCGATTTACCTTGGTACCACCCAAGGAAAGAATGTCCACTCCGACTCCGGTTGTAATATCTCGAAGAGTACAATTCAATGATGAAACGGCATTGAATAATCGTGCACCGTCCATATCTAAGATCGATAATCATTTCTATTCATCTTCACAATCGAAAATATCTTACGAAAGTATAAGTTGTATTTCTTTGCTAGAGTGGAGATCTGTTTGAGTTCGTCAAGTGTATAAACTGTTCCATATTCCGTCGGTTGGGCAATCGATATCATTCGTGGTTGAGCAGCATGCATATCGCCCAGGCAATCGAGTTTCTCCTCAATTCTGTCCATCATGATTTTACCATTTTCATTCGTCGGAATCGATATCAATCGTACACCGGTGACAGTTTCTGGTGATGATGACTCATCCGTAATGATATGTGAAATATCCGCACAAATGACAGCATGATACGAATGTGTACAAGCGAGGATTGAAAGTACATTAGCACCTGTGCCATTGAAAACGAAAAAGACACCAGGTGTTGAAGCATCCGATGCAGAAGTGAATTGTTGTTTAATGACAAGACGTGCTGCTTGAGTAACATCATCATGACCGTAGGCACGCGCATGCGATTTTGACTGTGCTTCTTTGACCAATGCAGACATTATCTCAGGTAGTACCCCAGCATAATTATCCGATGCAAATGTACGCAAAATATTCGTCATATTTGATTGGTTTATACAATCCACCGAATGACTTCGATATTCTCTCCTCAATTCTATACAACGAACACTTCGAAAGTGTTTAGAAAAGAGAGATGCAGAGGAAAGGAAAAGATAGCGTCTAATGTGCAAACATAACATGACTTACATTGTTTATAACCAAACTTTCTAAACTAGAGAATGAAAAAATAAAAGCCTATTTCATCACTATCCTGATACGACCGCGCAAACCTTATCTTTCTGCTGAAATCAAACCTGAGTGAACCAACTACATTTACTCGACAGGTTTTTCTTAATCTTTATTTTTAACCCTGAGTTCATTTACGTGTGATAATAACTAATTCTGCTTTAACGCATACTCTAATGAAACACACGTTTACTACTCCTACAGATCCGGATAAAAAAAAACAGCAACTGGTTTCTTGCTTCACAAAACAGAAATCTATTTTTAAACGCTCACAATTAAATAGATGTCTTTCCTTCTTCACATATGTTGAGCCGCAATTTCCACTCTCACCAAGCAACACAACGGATGTCAATGATTGCTCATCTAGTTGTACACAGCTATCCAACTATAAATGGATCGTTAACGACATCTTCTCATGGATTTCCTTGTCCAGGCCCACAAACTCGAGTTGCGCAATTACATACAACACGATCGAAATCTGATACTAGATGTAATGCTTTGACTCTATATATATATATATTTTAGTCGAGAAAATCAATGAACGAATTTTGTGCGAAGCGAGTGCAATCGCAAAACAGAAGAAAATTACGCACAACCGGCACACAAGTAGTAATATACAACAAGAACAACATCAAGAGGGAATAAGAACAAAAAATTTTCAATGTGCGAATGTACGAATGAAAACAACAGGCAAAGACATCTTGTTCAGTTCTTCTTTTCGATCATGACAAGAGCAAAAGAAAACAACTATGATCTATTTATAACTATATATGTATATATCTGAAGGATGTTCTATGCGATTATTCTTGGTCCTCGTCATCCTCTTCATCTTCTTCGTCTTCTTCACTTTCGTTGGCACCGGAAGCACCAGCAGCAGCTCTTCGAGAGTTGGTTTTTCCAGCAGATGCTTTCGAGTCTCCTAAAATGTCCATATCGTTTCAAATACCCTTCGCTAGAGAATTTTCTCTTTACCTTCTTCACCATCACCATTTTCTCCGGTATCTTCTTCGTAATCGCCGTCAGATCCGTCGTCGTCTTCGTCATAATCATCACCTTCTTGATCACCACCAGCTACCTGTAAAACCCAATGAAAAGATTGTCGAGATTTCCTACGATGTCCAAACAAGGCAAACTTACGTCGTCATCATCTTCATCTTCATCATCATGTAAATGATCATCACCATTCTTATGATTCGAAGATTCATCATCAACTGGTCCATCACCGTTTCTTCCATTGCGCGCAGCTTTTAAAGCCTTCAATTTCGATGGACTAATATCATCTAGTTCAGCTTCACGTTTTGTGCCTTGAAATGAAAATAAACTTTCAAATTAAACGAACGTCATTCACATCAACGGATCTACCTTTTGTAGCGGCTACAGTTGGTGCAGAAAGCGCATCGGTTGAATCAGCCATTGATTAAGTTCAGTTATTTAACAAGAAGAAAATAGTAGTTGTGTAAATGTGCGAAGATAGATGGAAGAATCAAGTCGACATAGGCCCAAAGAGAGAGAATATGACAAGTAGCTATTTCTTCTCTTTCCTTTTCTTGCAGCGATTGCCGAGTGTGTATATGTGTACGACGTCGTCGTCTGTCCTCGTTCCTTTTATATGAAGCTATGTGTCTGTCCTTTTTACTGCTGCCGCCGTTCTTTGGCACATAGTCATGTAGCATAATGAGAGAGAAGAAAAATCTTCGTTCGTTCGTTCTCTATTTTCCACCAATCCATCGTGTTGATGTTAGTCGACAATGATGACGTTACACGGGCAGAATACATGGCAAACAATGGATTTTCTCTATATAGTCAAGAGAAAGCGACGGGCAAAGATGACGACAAGCATAAACTGTGAATTGAATAACGTCAGTGCAAGCGAACAAATTTTATAATGTTTTCTTTAGCTCAAAGAATTTGGAAAGCAGCCATTTTCTTCATAATGTATAATTGTAGCGAACAAAAACGTCGATATGCTCGTGAATGTGAACTTCTTTCTGCTATGATAGACAATGTCAGAGTTAAACTACGTGATCTCTGCGTGAAATATCGAATACTATTCCTATACGGAGGGAAAATAGTGTATTGTAAGCGATCTGTTTTGTCTGTGTGTGTGTGCAGATAGAATATCGAACGAATGTTTTGATGTACGTGTTCACCGACGTTATTCTTTCTCTTGTTAAAGTCAATCTACATTCAGGAGTGCTTCGGTATTGCCGAACATACTCAGCCACATTGCTTCACAGGAAAGATGAAACCTACTCAGATAGGATATGACCAAGTGAGCATCAGAGCATTATTGTATGTTGGTTAAAATGATAGTGTCTGTGTGAGATGTATTGAGAATTACTTGTTCATTAAAACCATCTCTTGGAAGGGGAGCGTCTGAATTTTTTATCGGGATTACTATGATGAAAGGTGTATTTGCTCTAAGGATTAATATAACGCCTGTGTATAATACAATGCAGTCGATTGAGAATATTTAGCTAATTGGTATCTTGATGAGTTCATAAGTATGACAAATCATTTTTGATGATTGAATAATTGAAGAGATCTGTCCACTCGTCTATCTTGAAAACAATCTGCTCTACTAGCAATAATTCAGATATGATCCTATGGAAAGAAACAATTAACCAATCAAATATGTTCGATATCAAAGTACATTGATGTAGACTTGATTTCTCCTCCTTCCATGCCAGACAAGAAATGTGATTGATAAAATACGATAAATCATTAATAAATGTGGGAATATCTCATTTCAAACATGTCTTTTTGTTCTACGTGTTGTTTTTATCTGAGAAGATGAACAAATAGATACATGTGCGGCAGATTCGATTCGCAGTTAGGTGTCATTTTCACATTGTCTTATTTGACCAATTGCTTCTCACACAGATGAACGGTTGTTGTCTGTCTATATATATGAAAACAAAGTTCAAAAAAAATTTTTCTGTATTTGAACAATAGATTTCATTTTCGAAAGAATGAATTTCACGCTCGATTTTATTCATATATATGAAGAAGTCTTAGAAAGTAGTTATTAGCACTTTTCATTTGGTATTTGGACGGCGAATAGCATTGATAATTTCAGATGCTGAGGTATTACTCAGTTGCTTAACACCATTGTTATTCAATGATATGGATGATGTTGTAAGATTTGATGATGTTGGTCGCACTGGAACACGGAGAGTACTGTAGAGATTGGTAAACAATGAGGTTAGTAATAGTGGCGCTTGATTTTCTATAACATTGATAAGTTTCTTGCCCACCTCGGGATTGAGCATTTCTTTCAGACCAGTGGACATGATCTGTCCAACGATAGTACCGAGACGATCTAACGGAAGAATAGAGAGAACTGTTGAGGCCGTATCGATTGTATCGAAACTGTTTTGTTGACGACGATTGCGAATTAAACGATCAGCCCAATGGTTCGACGTTCGATTTTTCTTGAAGAACATCGCATCAGTTCGATTTTCCTTCGGTTCTAAAATAACCATGTGGAATCAGTGAAAATAACTCGTCGAATCATTCTTACCAAAACTGCTCTGAGCTTGACAATGATCGATTGAAAGATGAAAAGCAAGTGTTGCTAAAATGCACAAACTTATTTTCATCATTGTCGTTTTCACTGAAGATGAAAACGTATTTTGTTGTTGTTCTTATATAGATATCAGCTGTAGAGACAAGCAACCTCTTCATTGATAAATATGTACATTTTACAAGCCGATGGTAATTATATTATTATCGGAATAACAAAGCTAGCTCACACTTTTTTAATCATCATCTATTGATCCAACACATGCAAATATATGTCAATGTATTAACATGATTATTTGATCGACAAAGACATCCGTTAACTTTTTCTTTCATTCGAATCGTAAGTGCAGAATGAGTAATTGATTATTATTTGTTCATCCTCACACCTCGCCAAATCCTTGGTATGATACACTCCAAGCGATTTTTCATTTGAATTCATGTCCTTATATTCGAATCGCGTAAGAAATTATGATCATTTGTAGATTGAAAGATCATTTCGACTTTATTTTCAAAAACAGTTATAATCAAAACAAACGATATAACCTAAACAAAGTCTCGATGATTTCTTTTTTTTTCTTATTTCTTGTTCTTCTCAATAAGAAATGTGATCCGATGTTTATGTTGTAATTATTTCATTTATTCACGTGGTACATCAACTTGGCCATTATCAATTTGGTTAATAATGTCATGTGGATGTGAACCTTCGACTTTACAGCCAACTGATTGAGCTGTGCCTAAATAAAACGAACCAAAGTAAACGAATCGATCAAGTCAGAAAACGTGCGTATACCAAGAATTTCTTTTACTGTTCCGTCGAATGTTTTGGCTAAGGATCGTACGCGCATAATTCGAGCGATTTTGTAGATTTCGTCGAGTGAAACATTACCGTCATGTTTAACTAAACAAGGAATCAACTTCAGGGTTAATTCAAAGGAAAATTGAATGTTCGTACTATTTTTTTGTTTCTTTCGGTCACGTGGTGGTTCTTTAAGTGCTTTGATGACAAGCGATGATGCTGATGGAATGACATCAATCTTGGCATTACGATTTTGGACAGTTAACTTCACTGTAACACGCATGCCTTTCCAGTCACCTGTTGCTTTAGCGATATCATCACCAACTTTTTTTGGTGACTAAATAAACAGAAGACATGAGATGCAAATGAACTGCGAACGTGACTTACGAGACCAAGAGGACCGATCTTTGGAGCTAATGATGAGCCACCAGGTGCTTCACCTCCAGTAACACGGACCATTACTAAAGGTAAAGGATTGTAAGCATGGAAATAGATCAGTGAGAATCAGCAAGCGATTTACTCTCGTATACGGCTGTTGGATCGAATTTTGGACCCATGATACTTTTTTCGAGTGTTTAAAAATGAAAGATCTGCAAAGGAGAAATAATATTATTAGTATTTACAAAACTTTCGTTGTTTCTTTCAAAATTGAATATCGATTTGTGATGAGGAACTACTATTTACCTCTAGTGTATGTATTTTATGGAATGCTTTACAGCGAATCATAATCTGCAAATGTCGATTTCAAGTAAAATATTTGTAGTTTATTTCCAAGTTTATCGATGATCTTTTCAAGTTTTTCTTTTTTCATATTTCAAAAAATAGGGTTGAGAGACTCTCTTAAATTTCGAATCCTGACATCTGATATAGATGTCGCTAGTTTATCACACCTGAAACTTCGATCTATTCGCTATACATTTTGCATGCGTCCTAAGAAGACGATAGGCAGGAAACGTGAAGGAAAATCTCCACTGGAGTTTACTTTTCATCACAAGGAAGAAAGTTGCCTTGGTTATATATAAAGATCAACTCTTTGAATTAGGTATTATATACTGATGCATATACACGTGCAGCTAAAGCAATTCTTAGGAAAACAGCATGAAATGGATTAGCATTCTTTCGATCTCAATTATCGAACGACAAATTTTTCATCACGAATAGTCTGCAGGCAAAGTAAATCATAGGCACAAAATACTGAAATACATCAGAAGAAGGCAACTAGTCCTATGATTAGATTTGTTCTCTTTGCTTATTTTGTACAACAGAAGCACAGCTGCTGTGTGCTGATATATGTCAAGTATTAATAAGGCTGCATGGATGTTTGGGTGAACTGGATTAAGGACGGGCAAAGACGGGGCGTGACAAAGAGGCTGAACGTTTAATTAAACAAACGTAATCAATTATGAAAGATACAATCGTGAAGAGCCATAATCCTTCACATGCTCGAGCTCTTCGAACGCAAAGAATGGACGGCTTATTCGAAGCTGAAACGATGTTTTGTAAGATGTTCCGATGATCTCTTTGCTTTACGTCGACTAATGAAGACAATTGCACAAAGTTGTCATTCAAATTCCAACTGAAGGTTTTCTCACTTCTTTCATATGACATCAGATGATAAAACAAGAAGGCCTTATATTTAATTACGTAGCTTGTTCATCATGAAAATTCATCATGCGAAGGGATACAAGAAATAATCAATTGGTTTAAGGTGAAAGTTTATTTCAGTTATTTTTATCGGTACACTGCCTACAGAGTACTGAAATGAAGAAAGACGAGATATTAAGGAAATTAATTTTTTTTATTTGTCAATTATTTATTCATTTCAGCGATACAAGAAAAGGCAGTAACTTTATTAATATTGAAGATCCTTTTGTTGTTCGAAGTACGTCTGTTTCTTCTTGCGTATGTCTTCAAGTAGTTTCTAACGCTTAAGATAAATCGAATTGACAATCTCATTCATCACTTCCATAGGTGGTTTATTTAGTTGTTTACGTTTTTTCAAAGTTTGGTGTCCTCCAGCATTATAAAACGATGATCGTTTGTTGAATGACACATCGGATGAACCATAGTCATCATCATCATCATCCGCATCTTGACTAAATTGTGTGAACCATTTTGGCACGATGACATCATTGACACGCGACATAAGAAACTGATTAGCATGCGTCCGTGGTTGTCCAAACCAGACGGATGATGATGGTGCAGAAATCTTTTGTTCCTGGACGGACGCTGAAGGTGATGACGATGCTGATGCCAATGAATCATACATAAATGCCTCGGAGTTCTCATTCATAGTATTGATTGATTGATGAGGAATTGATGATGGTGTAGGTGAAGAGGAAACAGACGGTAAAATTGCAACGAAAAGAACAAATGTCGTACTAATCATCAAAAACTGTGAAAAAAAGGAATGCGAACCATTTGAAAAAGGCCGTACGAGATTATATAAAAATGACTTGACGGAGGTTTTGTTTGCCATATTGTAGATTGATTTTCTAACAGATTGAATAATTTAGAAAATAATAGGACAGTTAGTTATCTAGAATAGAACGAAAGCGATTGTATAGTTCGTTTTACCGTGTCGTTCTATCTCTCTGTTCATTAGCTTGACAAGATTGTCAAGTTATTCCGAAGATTATTAAACATGATGGATAAGTATAATGCTTTTATATTATGAAAAAAAAAAGCTAAGTAGGCGGACAGATAATAGGAAAAAAAACAATCTCTACCAATATGGCAACGACATTTAAACAAATCCAGACTTATGTTTATCGTATAATAAGATTGATTGAGTCGTTTTCGTTCGAGACAATCAACAATACTGACGTGCACGACTTCTCTCGTCAACAATGTTATCTAACTGCATGGTTTTGTCAGAAAAGTAAATGTAATGATGAATCTGTTGAACATATAGTAAGATGTGCAAGTAAAACGAGATGAAGAAGAAAATAAAATAGACTGTAAATCTTACCTACTCTGTATAAAAAGGACGTTAAATGGAAAAAGGAAAGAAAGGCAAGGAAAATTGTTTCTATCTGCAGTTATTTAATGAATGGGCAAGCACCTACATATATATATAGTGAAATTATATACGCTTCGTTGCCAGTCTTTTGTTTCAAATGTTTAATATAATTTTAATATATGAAAAAAAAAGAAACAAACTAGATAAACATTACCGTACTTGCCTTTTCAAATGAACTTCTTGGTGTGATGAAGTTAAAGTAAAGAAGAAATTCTTCAATTTCACGTTAAGTACGACTAATTCATTGCATAACGGAAACGTTTCTTTTACATGCAACCGGTAATGAATTTCACCCAGTAAATGTTGTAGGATGATGACAAATACACGAATTATTTAAACATCACGTACTTATACGGAGTTTTTCTAGCCGTTCGAGAAATAGCTACAATCTTAATAGACCCAGAGAGAGAGAGAGAGAGAAAGAGAAGAGATTTTGATGTTCTTGACAATACCATGTTTCTACTTTTAGAACTATTTCAGAGAGAAAGAAAGTGAAGTCAAATCAATCAGATGATTTATAACAATTACCTGGCAATAAATTATTAATGGAAAAAATTATTATGTCAATATATATATATGAATATACGACAAATTGTACTTGAGTTATGATTTTCAACGTAATGATTTGAAAACATGCGAGATTTCTAAGAACAAACTTTGTGTATTTTAGTTCGAAAAGAAGCATCAAATCGATTAATTTACTTAACAGCAAAATCATAGTTTTTTTTTACATATGGTCTTTTTTTCTTTGAGTGGGTTGTATTTCGTCTGTTTTCTGCTATTCTTCGCGTGGATACGCGTTCGATCGGAAGTCAGTTTTCCATTGACGTTGATATCAAATGATCAATTATGAAGTAACAATTTCTTGATTAAAGAAGACGTAAAACAGATCTTTCCTGAGTGTCATTTAAGGAATATTGAATTTCGGTAGACAACAAATATTGTTCACCAAGTAATCTTTACGATTTAATTAAAAGACAACCTTCAGCGCTAGAGCATCCGGAAATTCAATGATAACTATATGAACTTGTTTCTATACTTTCTACGATGCAATTCACCACATCTACAATAAAAATTCAAGTAGAACGATAGGGATGTTCCCAAGTGAGCAAACGTCTTTCTTATTTAAGTTATAAAATGATTTGAAAAACTACGCACATTTCATTCTTAAATATAAAAACAGTAAATAAGTGAATTCTTGTAATTATGTGTAAGTGCTATTTGATGGATATATGATCAAATAGAGAGCACTTTCTGACTTCAAAAGAGCAGCTTCATCGTAATTAGAAAATCTATTGCTATTGACGTCAATCCGATTAGTTTCTCCGTGTTAAATAAAGTGGAAAGATTTTCAAGTCTATCATCAATGCAAATGTATTTATCAATCGTCCGCAAATATCATTCGTTGTGTATAAATAGAAAATATTCTCTCGAACGATTCGTTCTATACATTCATACTGATGAAACTGATAAATCCGATTTTGTCTCGACATCATGTTGCACACATTCGTGCTTGGCTTAAATATAAATCAGATAATATCTTTGCCGCAGGACCTTTGGTTATCATTCCAACACTTGCATTAGTTTCCGTATGTCTTATACTACTCTTCTCATCATTGTATCTTTGGAGTGGAGAAGCTAATACATATTCACAATCATTATGGGAAACTTTTATGCGTACACTGGGTTAGAAGACGTTGTTGAAATTGAAACTGAGCATGCATAAGAACGTTCGTTTAGATCCGGGCTCGGCAGCTGAAGATACAGGTGGATTTCGTCGGTTTATTTCGGCGGCAGTGACAATGTGTGGTATTTTTATCATATCGACTTTAATTGGTGCATTGACAACAGGTATGGAGGGTAAATTAGCTGAGTTACGCAAAGGACGTACTCAAGTCATTGAAACGAACCATACAAGTAGGTCAATGCAATGTTCAAAAGCTCTTCTCTTCCGTCTTTGTTCTAGTTATACTTGGCTGGTCAGCAAAGATCTTCGACATCATCAACGAACTAATCATTGCTAATGAGAATCAATCGAATCCATCGATTGTCATTCTAGCGTTAAAAGATCGAATTGAAATGCAGGAAATCATCTCACAGAAAATCGATCGTAAGCATCACAATACACGAATTATCTGTCGAAATGGTGATCCGATGTGCATTCACGATCTGAACATTTTGTCACCAAACCAGGCTCGATCGATAATTATCCTCGCGCCGATGAATGACAATCCCGATGTGAGTGTGATCAAAACAATCCTAGCTATTACAAACAACCCACAGCGAACCAAATGCAAATTTCATATCGTTGCAGAAATTAGAAAACGGAGTAATATTGAAGTGGCACGAATTGCAGGTAAAAGGTATGATCGGATACGACGACTTTGAGAAAAGCTATTCTGTTAAGGTGCGGATGAAGTTGTTTTCGTACATGCTGATGAGATCATTGCGAGAATTATAGCACAAAGTGGACGGCAATCCGGCTTATCGATTATTCTATCAATGCTGCTTTCATTTAATTACAGTGAAATTTATTTTAAATTCGAACCGCTACTAGTTGGCAAAACGTTTCGCGAAATTCTATTTCTTTATCGGACGAGTACCATTATTGGCATCATGTTCGCTGATGAAACAATCAAAATCTGTCCGTCACTGGATACAATCATTCAAGAAAATGATCAAATTATTGTTATTGCCGAAGATGATGATGCCATCCTCATACAAAGAAGTCCTTCTTTGCCTCACCCTTCAATTTCTGCCTTAGTTGAACAGGATGTTTTCATAGAACCATCTGATTCTATCAAACAAACTACTATTGAAAAGAATATCATTCTCGGCTGGAATTCCAAAGCGTCATTAATCGCCAAACAACTTGACAATTACGTATCTGCAGGAAGCGAATTACATATCTTAACAAACCTTGACAAAGCAACCAAGATCATTAGCGAACAGCTAGTCAATGAGCTGCAACAACAGAAGATCTACCTTCACTCGGGTGAAACAACTAGTCGAACTGATTTAGAAAAACTTAATCTGTAAATAAAACGAAGGTGATGGGGTAAACATGTCAGGATTATTCGTTATTTTTAGATATAATTATCATGATGTTATTCTTCTTGCAAATGATATTAGCAATGAACGGAATCAACTCGACATGCCATCATCAGAAGCAGCCGATGCCGAATGCTTAATCTGTCTATTACATCTACGAAATATAATTGACAAAAATCCTCGACAGAAAACTTTCAGTATTGTTACAGAAATGTTCGATGTACGAAACCGTGAACTAGCTGAAATCACACGTGCTGATGATTTCATTGTCAGTCCAAATATTCTCTCGAAGTACATCGCGCAAATAAGTGAAAATAAGAATTTAACGAAAGTCTTCGACGTTTTACTGACAGCAGAAGGAGCAGAAATTTATCTTCGACCTGCTTGCTCATTTACAAAATTAGGTATTCCGGTGTCATTCAGTCGAATACTCCAAGCGTCAATCAAACAGCAAACGTTAGCCATCGGTTACCGACAAACAAAATATGCCCAAGATCCTAACAAATTCTATGGAATCGTCCTCAATCCTGATAAAGACATGTCCATTATCTTCCGACAAGAGGATAAAATCATTGTCCTAGCAGAAGAATAACTTCTGTCCTTCACACAACGCTTCCTGCTTACACTCTCTTTTCCAATAAACTAACACCTAATAGAAAGTCAAGTGACATACCTGCCGAGTCTACCAATTGTTGTCCAGGCTAGCCAAATGTCAGAAGAAGAGAGATACATGTTTGTCTCAGATTACTTCTAAAGATGACATACATCTGATCAAACACGGATCTGAGTTTTTCCTTCTTTTATATACTAGTCCTCCTGCATACATGCGAGATTACTCGATTGCATGCGAGATTAATTGATCATCAACTATATGGCTTTTCATCTTTGATGAATTATTCAAATGAATTCATGTGCAAAACAACATTGAATTCAAGTACCGAATGTATTCTTTTATGTTTATTGAAACTAATCAGCGTGGGTATGCGGAATACAGAATACCTAAATTGTTCGCATTTTTCTATGAATATTATTTATTTAGTTTCCGAAGATGAGTCTTGTGATCCTCGAAGCAAGCCATAACTGAGTGAGTGGATGGTTTTTTTTCTCTTGAAGCACTACGTATAACAAGAATTAATATAAAGAAAATGAAAAAAAAAGAATCACAAAGATATTTTATTAAACCATTAATTTGAAATTTCAACGCTATAGACTTACTGTTAGCAGACATTGAGAAAGAAAAACAAACAGAGAAACCAACAAACAGAGACGTTTTGCTAATTGAGAAGAGAAAGAAGGAGAAAAAAAAATCAAAGAAAACAAAACCGATTTGATTACGATTGGATATCTTGTGTTTGTCGTTGTTCATTTAATAATTTATTTAATTCTTCCATGATTTTCCAATTACGTTGTCGCAATTGATCATTTTGAGCTTTCATATCATTTAGTTCATCTTGCAGTTTGATCAGGGATTTATTTGATTGATTCTTCATCAATTGATCGTACTTTGCTTTGATTTGTTCACATTGATGAATTTGACTTCTTAAATCTTCACAATTTTTTTTCAATTCATCACGTTGCTCGACGATTTCTTCGATCTTCGTATTGGAAGTCTTTTCAAGTTCGGAATGTTTTTGACGAAGATTGGTTAGTTCTTTATCTAATTTGCGATATTTATTTATGTCAGCGATCATTTGTTCAAGTCGTTCTTGTTTCTGTGAATCAGCTAAAAGCATGAATCACTTGCGAAAGTACATATAATACCGTTCAAATGATTACCTTTCTTATAGATCTCAGCGGCATGTTTACTCGCACGTTCATTTTCAGCAACTTCATTTTGTAAAGCAGTGTTTTTGATCGTCATCTGACGAATTTTTTCCGTTAGAATATGCTGTTGTTGTTTCATATCGTTGATTGCTGCAGGAAGCATGGAATAAGCATGCAATTGCTGCTGTAATCGAGCATTTTCATCGGCTAAGCGTTGTATTTGCATTTGATACGATAAAATCATTTGTTGATATTGGACGACGTTTGTCGGTTGTTGTTGAAGTTGCCGAATGGTATTTTCCATTTCGCCGTTCGATTTCGTCAATTCGAAAACACGAGTCTTCTCTGTTTGCAATTCAATTGCGAGAATTTTTGCTTGACTACGATATGTTTCGTCAAGGATACGTTCGAGTGTTTTCTCAGACTTTGTTACTGACAATAGACGTTGAATATCAGCTTTCGTCGAGTTGTGTCTAGAAGCGATTTTGGTTAGAATTAAATCGAGTTCATCGGATGAAAATGCTGCTGTATCAAGAATTGACATTAGTTCATCGAGAACGCCATGAGATGCAGTTAAGGAACGAACTAAATCAAGTCTTTGAAGAGATGATTCAGATCCGACCGACGTCGAATATATCGGACTTAAGGAATTACTAGCACCAGGTAACGGTGAATCTAAAGAGAAATATCATAAAATAGGTAAACGAAACAAGTTGTGTTCATGCAACTCGTCGATTATATCGATGAATATCCTTGACGAACGAGTGCATAAAATAATCTGTGTTCTATCTTTCGCGACCATCGAATATTTAGAACAAAAAGCGAAGATAGCTTTAACTAAGATTTTTACCTGTTACTACATCAGATTCGGATGAATAATCATGATTCATTGATGATTCCTGCTGATGTTGATGTTGCTGCGGTTCGCAAGGATAGACGTATGCACTTGTTTGTTGATTATTTACATATTGTGGTACTTGCTGTTCTTGCTGATCCATTTGTTGAGGTGATGAAGGAACGAATTCATTAGGTCGTGCTGCTGAACCAGGTGGCAGAGAGCTCCTTTTCGAAGGAACTCTACCCTGTCGTTTGCGGAATTTCTGTGCGCTCAACTCGGCTTCTTTCTGTTGTCGTTGTTGTTGAAATCTTGGCGGCAGAGGATTGAATGCTGAATATGTGTAGAGATTGTAGGGTATCGGTGAATATCCATTCGTTTTTAAATGATTATCTTGTGAAGGTTTCGAATGTTGTGTCGATGATGGCGTTTGCTTAACGGGTGCAACACTCGCTTGAGGTTTTATTGGAACAACTGATTCTTCTTTTCCTGATGGTGTAGTAGATGGTTTATCAGATAATTTTTGTTTACTACGTTGTTTAACAAATGTCATCGGTTGTTGTTCGTCTTCGACGTGTATGGCAGTGTTCTCGGATTGTTGAACATTTGTGAAATCTTTTTCTCGAGATTCACTATCCGATTGTTCCACCATGGATTCCTGTTCTTTGTCATTTACTGCTTCAGTGGCTGAAACGTCTTTTTCTCGTTCTTGTTGAACATGATTTTCGTCTGTTTTCGTTTCTTGTTTTTTTCGATTTGCATTTCTTCCGTTTTTTCGGCGATTTTTCGCATTACGATCCATTTCGTGGAATCACTGTTACTAATTAAAACTCGTTAATTAACCTAAAAAAGAAACAAATATGATCGTATTTCTTACTAGTACATCCTACTATAATCACTACGTCCATCGAGAAACCAGCTGACTATGTGACTGTCATCGCTTTTGTCTTTATCTATAACGATAAACACGCATATAAAATATCATGCTTTGATCGATGTCTTTTTATTTACAGTGTGCTCAACTGTGACGACAAAGAAAAAAAGAAGCGAAAATGAAGAGAGAAGGAAAGAAAACTTGAACGAATACAGAAGAAAATATATCTACCCACGCTTACGAAATTATGAAGTAAGAGAGATGAGAGTAATGAATGCGTAACAGCAAACGTGCGACGTTGCGTTATAAAAGTGAGAAAAAAAAAGGCAGTGACATGTACATATTTTTAGGTAGGCGAAAGAAAGAAAGAAAGAAAAACGATAATCATGAAGGAAGTACAGGGAAAGCGAAATGAGATTGTTAACTCTTGAACCAACCGTTTCTTTTCGTTTGTTTACATAAGTTTTAAATAAAAAATGAAACAAGGAACTGATCGAACTAGAATAAACAACGGCATTCGAACTGAAGCATTGTGAAGCGCACAAAGACTCAGCGAATTCGATTAACGAATACTTCATGATCAGATAAAAGTTTTCTCTGTATTTTTCCAATTCGAACAACATGCTAGTATTTGCTTCTTCTTGCATCTGTAAGATATTACAAAGAAACGATTGTCTACTATTGTCAAGGTATGGTAGAACAATAATCCCGTTTGAATTAGTAACAATTTCTTCCTGTCTGGCAGGCTGTAAATTTCATCGATTTAAAATGTGCCTTTCAATGTCGGTGAAAGGTTGTCATGTCAAATGTGGCTTTTGTTTTTCTCAGTGCTTTTCCTTTTATTCGTTCGAACCATAATTGCAAAAACGTTTTGTTTCCTTTAATCATCACACACATATACTTGCCAGATTTCATTGTAACACGAAAAACAAATAATTCAGATATATCGAATCCTTGAAAATGGAAAAAAAACAAGCACAAAACAATAAGAGAGAAAAATAGAAGCATGGAGAACATTCAAAAAAAACACATTCGAAATTAATTTTATGAGAACTTATCTGTAAAAAAACAAACGTAAGAAAAACTTTGTTAACGACTTTATTTAAACACAAAAAATACGTTTCTTTGTTTTTGTATATATATATGTCAATGTCGTCAAACAAAAGATGGAACAAAAAATGATGATTAAACTCCATAATGAATTTGAAGACGTTGTTTTAATGGTACAGGAAATCGGTCTGTTAGTTGTTTCCATTGCTCAACCCCGAATTCTTGTTTGAATGAATGCAGAATATCGCGAAATTTTGCATGCAGCTCCATCGGAGGCTTTTCCCACGATGCAATCGCATCACACACATATATAAAATCATTAGTAACACCTAATGGATTTAACACAATCATATTACATATACCACGGAAAGCAGAATCTTTTTCATCATTATCACGTATGTTACGCAAGGCTACACACCACGGACGTATGAAGCGTGCTAGTTGAGATGAAACGTCAGTTGGACAGACCAGACCTAAACGTCCAATGGTGATTGCGGTGTTTTCTAGAAGAGTTTTCGGCGTATTGTTTCGATTGACGATCATGATCAATGATTCGAGAATAACCGATACAAATGGCTGAATTTCAGCGCCGATTTGTATGGCTATTTCGCCGATCGCCCATATTGCATTGTTACATACGCTAACATGATGGGGATTCAGATTTTGAGTTAATAATGGAAGAAAAAAGTTTAAGTGTTTTCGAACGTGATGAAAGCAAGCTTTTGTTAAATCACCTAGTAATGCAAAGGAACTTTGACGAACTTCAGCCATAGGATCTTGAGCACAACGTTCGAGTAATGAGAGAAGGTTCGATTGTTCAACAAGCGAATCAATATTTGAACCTAAGCAAAGAAAATTTGTCGATTTTAATCTTGAACGAAGAAATTATATATACCAAGTCCTTCTGCTAAACCTGACAGCAGATCCAGTGCAACAATCATAAAGTCTTTATCTAATTGAGAGTCTGTTCCGTTTGCTTCTAATGTTTGTTGAACTAAAACAATGCATCGAACAAAAACCGGTTCACAATACGGGAAGAATCCTGTTTGTAATGCGGTTGCGATTGATGAAAGGCATTCGAGTAAAGGAAAAAGATCTTTATCATCGTTTCTCAAAGCATTCCAACGGTCAATCAATGGCGGCATGAGTAATTGAATGTAATCTGGACGATTCAAATGTGTGCCAACGCTATCCGCCAACGTGCCGATCGCATCGTAGAGAATTAGCAAGTTTTTCGCTTGATATTTACGGAAAGCGTGTACCAAGGTTTCGAGAATTTGTTTCAAGTAAGGAACCATCTGTACGCATGCTTCTTCTTCTAATGTCGCAAATGCACTGCAAGCAGCTTCTTGAACCTAGAAAGTCGATTGAGTGAGTTAATTGTGACGGATGGAAACAAACGCCTACTTTTTTATTAGCATCTAGAATGCGTTTTAACAATTCAGACATTAATGGAATAAGGAATTTGTTTTGTTCAACTTCGTTATGCACAACCCATGTTGAATATCTTGACAATGTCCAACATGTAATTGAACGAACTAATGGCTTCTTATCGTTCAGACATTTGATTAGATAATCGACTAGGTCAGGTAAATGTGGAGTTAGACCGTACGTGCAACCTTCAGCGATAGCACCTAACACAAGTATGCCACTTTCTTTGATTTGCCAATCGCTATGAAATAACATTTCACGTAGTATTGGCAACAGAATAGGTAGAATGGTTTCACGAAAGACATTTGAAAGGATATCTAATGCAGCTGCTGAACATTTACGTAGATTCCATTCAGTTGCCTGGTCAGTACTGACGCCTAAAGATAGAGAGGCAAAGTTTTCTATTAGATAGGATGTATATTCAAATCGAACCTGATTCATCGTCGTCGTCATCATCTTCGTCATCATCGTGTTGCAGGTGTTGATCCGTTTGACTGTTGGCTGGCGTTGAATTGTTATTTGTGTCGGTTGCGTTATTCGGTTGACTAGTTCCATCATTGTCATCCAATAAATTCGGTGCATGCTGTCGCGTACGTGCTCGATGGAATCGCGGACGAATATCTTCGATTCGGTCGGGTATGTGTTCATCTTCATCAATATCACCTTGTAGAATAATCACATCTATTTCTGAATATTTCATGTTTTTACAAAGAATAGGCAAGAGTTTATCCAGGTATGGCTGCAGAACATCTCGACAGATAGGTTGATCAGCAATCATCAGCCAAAATTCGCATGCTTCTAGCGCAACAGTATCGTCTGCATCTTGGGATGTAAGCAGCATGTATTCGATAATTTGTTGCATATGTGGAATTAACCGCTCGATGCGAACTTCGATTAACATAACCAATGCTCGACAAACATGCTTCCGTACGTCCGAATCCGTATCGTTAGCTAGTTGAAAGAGGTTTTCAAGAAATAGATCAATGTTTGACATTAAAGCAGTTGCACGTGGTGTAATAAATTCGTTGACACAGCTAGAACGAAAAAAAACGTCCAGATTAGTGCTGTTTTGCTTTCCATTCTCTAATGAAAATTCGTGAACTCCTTGGTGAATTAAGATCTTTACTGAAAAATTTCCCTAGTGACACTTTTTCTTTGTGAACTATCAGTACATAAAAGCCTTACGCAATGGCATGTGATCGAATTTTCGGATGTGAATGAAGGAAGAATTGAATAAACTTTGGTATGAGAACATTCAATGGCTGTGATGGAGCATTTTCCAATTGATCGGCACTGTCTTCGCACACTTTCTGCAATGCTCCAAATGCGCCTTCACATAGATTAACATCTGGTGAATCCAGACATGAATAGAGATGTTCCAATAGTGTTGGCCATTGTTCCAGTGAACCTTTCGTCACAATAGTTGTGATCAGTATGCCAACAGTTGCACGAATCAATGGTGAACGGTCTCCTAATGCTGATATACATTCTTGTTTGATGTACGATCGAACATCGTCGGGAAATTTCTCGTAGTGTGATTTGGCATTATTCTTTAGAATTAAGCCCGACAATGATCGAGTGGCTTCTTGTTCGTCGAGTAACTTGGTTAAGATATAAACCAGATATTTGTTAAAATCAGGGTATTGATTTAGTGACTCTAGACGTGCTTGAACTTGTCGTTGTATTTGTGTATCGGGTGATTGCGACTGGCGTAATAGAGTTAAGATTTGTTGAAGATCGTCAACTTGTCCTGGTTGCCAACTCATGTTATATTTACAGAAGATAAAATGTTGTCTCTGATGAGCTTTCCTTGTGAACGTTCTCTTTTTGACTAGATGAGATGAAAATAAGCAGAAAATCAATATCGCTGTGAAAATAGAAAAGAAGAGGAAAATAATCAAATAAATATACTCCGCTTTACATATGATTCAGCAATTTATAGATGTCGCTTCAAAATTCGATATTCTCGAAAATTTTTCTTTGTCGAAGAAAAGCATAATTTTTTGATTTCATATGAAATTTTAATTCGAGATGACACTTTTCGAAAAAGAAAGCGACGCGGTTTATTGATTGGTGAAGTCTTTTACCAGAATCCCTCGGCCATCTTGAAATGCCACCATCGAAGAAAATTGATTTATCTCTTTTCTTCGTTCTCTACGCTCGAATGATTTGTAAGTAAAAGAAAAAGTAACGAACAGAACTATGTTACATTTTCGATTCTAACAATTTTGTTTAGATGTTAACAGTGACAAGTACTTAATTAAATTGCTTTTGGTAAGAAAAAAACGTAATTAAAACGTTCGAAAGATTTGTACGAAGTCATTTTTTGTGTAATTACACGTGAGAAATCAAAATTTTTCTTGATGATGTCCTTCCGTCCGAAGATATAAAAAACGAGGTGGAGTTTGTGTACCGCCATTGAAAATTGCAAGGCAATAAGAGAAGGATTAGTTCAGGAAAGTGTATGTCATAATTAGATTACAGCTGCCAGCATGAATTATCAGAATGGGAAAGCCTATATCTCAAGGTTGAGAGGATCAAATCATACGTCAAGTTGTTTTCTATGGGCTTCATGTTTATCATCGTGAATATTGATTTGGATTGTTTGTAGGAACTTATTTAATCATGTCGAATTATAATCCAACATCTCCGAATAGTTTTGGTGCTGTACCCTTGATTAATCCGCAAACTCAATTGACAAACTCAAGTTTTATCAAATCAGAAATTGAACGTTTCGAAAGCGTACATCCGTCGATCTATTCCATATACGAACTAATCGATGAACTAAAAGATCATTTCAAAACTCAAGCACAAATACGTGAACATGTGATGGTTATTGAAGATTCATTTGTCAACAGTCAAGAATGGACATTGAGTCGAAGTGTTCTTGACATTCGCATCGGACTGTTAGGAACAACCACAAGCGGCAAATCAGCTTTAGTTCACCGATTTTTAACTGGTACTTATATGCAAGAAGAGTCTCCGGAAGGAGGAAGATTCAAGAAAGAAATCAGCATCGATAATCAAAGTTATCTTTTACTCATACGAGATGAAGCTACGTCACCAGATATTCAAGTAAATAACCACTCGGAGTGTTTTAGACATTGCATATCGATCTTTTTGCTCATATTTTAGTTTACACATTGGATTGATGCAGTGATCTTCGTCTTTAGTCTGGAAAATGAAGAGAGTTTTAAAGCAATTTATCAATACTATACAAAAATGAATCATTACAGAAATATCAGCGATATGCCACTAATTCTCGTCGGTACTCAAGGTTTGATCTGTGACAACTTTTGTCAACAAACCAACAATTGCTTTTCTTTTTGTAGATGCTATTAGTGAAAGCAATCCACGTGTTATACATGAGGATCGAGCAAGAAAATTAGCTAATGAACTGAAACGGTGTACATACTATGAAACATGTGCTACATATGGTCTCAACGTCGAACGAATATTTCATGATGGTTCGTTACAGAAAGAAAGATGAAGGCTCGATCGATTTTGTTTTTCTGCTATTTAGTTTGTCAAAAAATTATTCAGCAACGTTATGGACTTTCGACTTCGACGTTATCACGTTCGATTACTACACAACAGCAATCGCCTATTTCGAATCAGATTCGAATTCTATCCAGTTCACATAGTATTCCAGCGTCATCTCATCTGACTGGAAGCGTCAATTTGACTCAAACAGCGCCAGCATCCGTTTTCTCAGCTTACCATTTCGAACAACCACAACATCCACCACCGATTCTTTCTCCTCCAACACAGAATCTCGCCGTCGCTCAATTAGCTCAATGTTTCAACAGTCAATCTATCAACGGCGTACTTAAAGATCGAAATAACCAGCAGCAGATTCAAAATGACAAACGAAATCGAACGTTTAGAGATCAACAAGCAATGAAATTGTCAACACTTTCCGAAACTCACTCGTTGCCTGTTCACGAGGGACAAGTACGACATGATATCAACGAACAAATAACACCAACGTCAACACCCACTCAGAAAAGAAAGGAAACAAAGAGAAAATCAAACTTATTTACAGTATGTTTCTGCCGGCGAATTTGAAATAAAAACACTCGTTTTTGATTGTGATAGAAGTCTTTCGTGATAATTCGGAGAAAAGAAAGAAACAACCTCGGTAGAGAGGCGTTGCTAAGACGATGGTAGATACCATCAGTGCATATGTGTGATAATGACTCCTAGATTCTGCAGATGTGAAGTAATTCATGTGGGTTTTTTTAAATTTTAGCCTGGAAGAAAAGATGAAGATAAAAATAAATCAGACCGGGTCGGTCATGGCCGTGCAATACCAATCAGACAGGTTTGCGTTTGCTATATATTCGTTTAATATTTTTCTCAATATCATTATGATTTCAGGGGTTTTTGTATAAAAAAGGTACGAACAGTATTAATCGTGATTGGAAAAAGAAATACGTCGTTCTGCTTGATGATGGTCGAATAATTTATCATCCATCGTTCCATGTAAGTGACAACTTTTACTAAATTTCTAACTAGACTTTCTTGCTCTAGGACTATGAAAATGATTCTCATGGAAAAGAAATTATCCTTCAACGAACCACAGTCAAGATACCAGGCTCAAATAAACCTCGTGTGGCTTTGCGTAGTTCCAGTAACGACAATAAGCTAAATGATTTAACATCCACCGATTCTTTACCAACTACATCCGGTAAATACAATTTCTTGAAAACTTTCAGCGACATTCGTTTTTGCAATAGGAAAAATCGAAACACCGAATGCAAAGAAACGTCATCGTCGTCTTCAGTCTTCGAATACACCGAACTCCGCAAACAGTGCAGTAGGTTCAAAGTCATCATCGAATGCCAATGGCGGCGAGGATGACGGCGATGAAAATGTGTTTACGATTGTTTCATTGGATAAACAATGGTTTTTCGAAGCCCAGTCCAATGAAGAACGTGATGAATGGGTTCAAGCTATTGAACAGCAAATCCTATTCAGTTTACAAAATATTGAATCATCAAAAGCAGCACGAGTAGGTAAAACTGGCGCATCGAATATTGCCGATTCGGCATCAGTACAAGCCATCAAACAGATACCAGGGAATGGCTTCTGTGCAGATTGTGATCAATTAAGTAAGAAGAGAAGAAATTGGCTTGCTAAGTATGATGTTCCTGTGCTTTCTTTCAGACCCAACATGGGCTTCGCTAAATCTTGGTGCTCTCATTTGCATGGATTGCGCATCGTTACATCGAAATCTTGGCACACATTTATCACGTGTTCGATCACTTGAACTAGATGAATGGCCGTAAGAAATAGTTTGCCTTGTTGAACTTTGCCTTCTATGTTCTATCGAATAGATCGGAACTTGTACAAGTAATGCGTTCGATCGGAAATAAATTAGCTAATTCAATTTGGGAAGTAAATATCAAAAATCGTGTTAAACCACAGCGGAATGCTTCGTCGTAAGTCTGAATTCTTTTCTTTGCTCTACTCTAAATTTCACTGCTATTTTCATCTCAGATCGGAACGCGAACGATGGATCCGAGATAAATATGAACAAAAGCTATTCGTTGCACCATTACACGTTTTACCCAATCAAGCGCGACAGGCACTTCTTGACGCAATCACAAAAGAAGACTTGTACACAGTTATACTCATCCTAGCTCATCGAAAAATCTCGACTGAAGATGTCAATTCATCATTATTACATTTGGCTGCATTACAAGGCAATGTTACTATTCTTCAACTGCTTCTTTGGGTAAGTTTAACCAAACTAATCGTAACAATCATTCTCTCATTCATACTCGTTTCAAGTATGGTGCTGATCCATTTGCAGTCGATAGTAATGGTCGGACACCTCTTCAATGTGCCAACGGTGATTGCATTCGAGTTCTTCAAACGTTGATTAACAATCAAACGGATTTCCAACAGCAATTCAAACAACCGACGAATTCTATTTCTCAACAAAGTACGCTATCTCGTCAACGACCACCAGCATCTTCTCCTGCTCCACCCTACGATAAACTTCCGTCGACTGTTATCTAATTTCTAGCTTTGCTCAGATATACATATGTATTGTCTCGTGTTCATGGTGCGATCCTTTGTTCTTTTATCCAATTTGTGCAATTTTCTCATATTTTTTAGACCCAGAAAAAATCTTCGTCTCTCTCTCTCTCATTTCTTATCATTAGCATGTTTTCTCTCTTTCGTTTTGTAATCTTTTGACGTTCCGGATCCCTACGCGTTTGTTCTGATTGCTCTAAATTCACGCTCGCTGTTTATGATTTCTTCTAATCGTTAAAAATTCTTCAGTTTTATTTCATCTGTATTATACAGCATGTAAATGAAACAATTTCAGCAATCTTTTGTATATAAAATTGCCGTTTCTTTCGATTGAAATTAACAAAAAATATACATACGTATACCTACATATATTTGTTGTTATTTAGATTAATTTTCATATCACAGTTCTTTCAATTCATAATGTCTACTGTTAAAAGTAAGAGCAACGATACAGATTGATTCGCCTTTAGCATGTGTTTATTCTCCTTTTCAAGTTAACGTTAAATGGGGAAAAGAAGTATTCAAAGATATTGAAGTTGATACATCTTTACCACCAGCTGTCCTCAAAGCACAACTATTTTCCGTCACAAATGTTCCAACTGAACGACAAAAGATTATGGTGAAAGGACAAACCATCGGTGATGAAACCTGGGGAAAAGTAGCATTGACAAATGGTCTTACACTTTTAATGATGGGTTCAGCTGATCCAGTACCAGAGATGCCCACGGAAAAAGTGAAATTTTTAGAAGATATGACCGAAGCGCAACTTGCTCGACACTTACAACATCCAGGTGGCTTGAAAAATCTGGGTAGGAATGTGACTTCGTCCCGCGAAACGCCATTGTTCTCATTCCTATTTCAGGCAATACTTGCTACATGAATGCGACCTTGCAATGCCTCAAAGGTGTACCTGAATTGCGTGATGCTGTTAAACAATTCCTTCCAACTAATATTAGTCATTCCGGGCAAGGTGCTATGATGATCGATGGTACACAGATGGTCACAAGTGCATTGAAAACAACGTACCAACAATTGGATGTTACTAGCGAAGCATTTATGCCACTGACGTTTCTTGCAACTATTCACCGTGAATTTCCGCGTTTTGCTGAGAAAGATGATCATGGACATTTGATGCAACAAGATGCCAATGAATTCTGGGTGCAATTGATGCAAGTTCTTCAGATGAATCTTCCAGGAAAGAAGCTCACTAGTGAAACAGTAGCGAGTTCAAGTGCTGACAAAAGTTTCATTGATCAATATTTTGGAATTAGTACACGAGCAACGTAATGCTACGACTTATTCGCCGAAAGGAAAAGAATCTCTCTTTTCTAGAATGAAATGTAACGAGGCACCTGAAGAACCGCCCACTGTCTCTGACGAACGTTTACTTCAACTCAGTTGTTTTATCAACCAAGGTAAACATAACTTGGAGATTCTGTATTTCATTAGCATGTTCCGTTTGTCTAGATGTGAAATATTTATTCACAGGCCTAAAAAATGTAAGTATTCCTTTGAACGAATTAACATTGCTTATAATCATCATCTGATAACACAGAGATTGGAAGAACACATAACAAAACATTCATCAACGCTCAATCGTGATGCAATTTTTACCAAAACAGTATGATGATATTTGCGCGTTAGATTCTATCTGACGAACACATCTTTAGACACACATTTCTCGTTTACCTTCTTATTTGACAATTCAATTTGTGCGATTCTTTTACAAGGAGAAAGAAAAAATCAATGCGAAAATTCTCAAAGTAAACTAAAGAAGCATTCATCTAGAAAACATTGCATTTCTCTTTAAACACAGGATGTTCAATATTCAATGGTGCTCGACGTTTTTGACTTATGTACACCTGAATTACAAAAACGTTTAATGCCAATGCGTGAGAAAATCAAAGCAGCTGAAGATGCTAAACTCGATCGCGAACGAGCTAAAGTATAGCATTGCTACATAGCACACTTCGACACGAAGAAAACTGTTTATTTAGAAACTTGGTGAACCAGTAACCGAACCGAAAAATTTAACTCGATTGCCGACATCATTTCCCGATGGTATACTTCAGTGTTTGATTTCGATGCGACAAAGAATTTTTTTCACTTGTTTAAATAGATTTGGGTTCGAATAATAGCGGCTTTTATCAGTTAAATGCTGTTCTTACACACAAAGGTCGATCTAGTTCCAGCGGACATTATGTCGCATGGGTTCGTCGTAGTCAGAGTAAGAACGAAAGAATATTTATCTTTCGATTGAGTGATTTTATTTGTTCTATTAGATGAATGGCTTATGTTCGATGATGAAAATGTCACTCCAGTGACAGAAGAAGATGTTCTGAAATTATCTGGAGGCGGTGATTGGCATACCGCTTATTTACTCATTTATGGTCCACGAACGATCGAATACGAAGAAAAGTCGAATGACGGTGCCAGTGGCGAAGCTAATGCTACCGCAATGGATACAACAACATCAGCCAATGGTGCCAGAACTTAGATATTATGATTAGTTGACATTTCCTTTCTTTTTTTTTTAAACAAATTTGCATTCTGTATGCGCGTCCGTGCGTGTTATCATGTTATTTTCGCGAAGCGATTTCAAACAAATAAAAATAAACAAGACACGTAATTGAAATGATCCTAAGTATATTTAGAATTACGGTGTATGTCACTATCTTGACGCTGTGCAAATCTTGAAATCTATTGATTACTTACGTCTTCTGTTGATCACGAATGTTCTTGCTAAGTATTATCCGATGTAATTTGATAAGTCCTGACGTCACTGGCAAGTACGAATTTCTTCTTTTAAGTTTACAATCAAGGATAAAGAATTTCTGTTACTCTACAGGATCGAAAAATGAATAAATGATACAATACAAGAATTCTTGATATTAGTTCTATCCTATCGTCAATAACATTTGAATTTTAGTATAATTCGATGTTTTTTTCCCCTATCTGAAAAACATCCAATTAGGTATTTTGGAGAGCGGAAACAAACAAGTCCGGGGAGAGACACCTGCGATCGTCGATAGAAAAGAATCAACTTCAGAATTGAAATTAGATGCAGATTTTTTAAATTTCTATTAAAAGTAACAACATCGGTCAAAGCCAAAATGAACCTGGCAGATAGCACCAATTCTCATTTCTTCGAACAATAGCTCAACTTCACCCTTAACTCTGTTCAATCGTCCGAAAATCCCACTTCGGCTCCACTCCAACTCTGACAGAAAAGAAATAACTCCAGAATTGCAGGTACCCACTTTTCTCTCTAGTAAAATAACTGCTCGTCATTCTTTACTTTACTTTGTAACAAACATTTTCTTTAAGCTTATTGTGCATAGGTAAAATAACACCGTTTCTCAGTTCATGACATTAAAGAATGATGTGCGGCAGTGCAAACTGTTCGTGTCTTAGTCTTCCGTTGAGTATACCGTTAATATTTGCACTCTCATATACTACTATTTCAAAAGCTGCAAGAATTTTTTGTGCGACTGATTCTAATTAATATTTTCTTACAGGACATCTTTGACAATGTAGAGTACGAACAGTCTGCTCAGTAGAATTAAGTTCAAATCTTACTCCAACTACGAATGACAGTAGCACGCATATTCTAAAATCTTGTTTTATATTAAAGTTTCATCGCAGATGTCCAACACCACTGATTCGACGATGGTCGCACTGTTGAATAATATATCTTCGCGATTGAATAGTTATATTACGTTCTTAGTTTTCCTATTTGGTACTATCGGTAATATCTTGAGTATAATAGTTCTTTCACAAGCAAGATTACGTGTCAATCCATGTGTTCTCTATTTTCTTGCTTCGTCTATAGCAAGTTTCGGCATTCTTTTAATTGGTTTACCCTCGCGTCTCATGGCTGGATTGACATCAACCGATCCCACGAACACAAACTCCTTGCTTTGTAAATTTCGTATTTTTGTTCTCTACGCATTTCGAACCACAGCTGTGTGGCTTGTTGTTTTCGCGACAATTGATCGGTGGTTCGCTAGTAGTATTAATTACACTCGTCGACGTTTAAGTTCTCGCCGATTTGCTTACAAAGCTATACTGATCATTCATATTTTATCGTTCATTCTTTGGATCGAATCTCCCTTCTGCTATGGTATTAACGTTCCAGAAGCACCCTTGCGATGTTATGGCTCGTCTCAAGCTTGTCGCATATTCAACGATCTTGCTTATGCTAGTTCAACGGTGATCATTCCGTCAATTCTAATGCTAATCTTTGGCTTACTGACGATTTATAATATTCATCGAACACATCAAGCAATCCAACCGATCATTGCAATAGTTACACTGGTCGATCCAACAAAAGCACGTAAACGAAGAAAAACGCGACGGAACGAGAGGTCTCTTACGCGTATGCTTCTTCTTCAAGTCATTTTCCTCACTTTCTTCTCGTTACCACAAGCTATACATCAATTCTATCTCACATTTACCCTTCACATAACGAAAAGTTCGCTTCGGATAGCTGTGGAAAATTTCATCGTTAATCTTGACTTTTCTCTTACATATATTGGTAATGCAAGTGCATTCTACATTTATATTTTAACTGGAATCATGTTTCGTCAGTCGCTTGTCCGACTTATCCGATCGATCATTCGGCAGACAAATCTTTACCTATCAATGGTTTTCGATGATGTAATAGAATCTATCTGTTTGGTTATTCGTCGACTGGTCGTACGAAGGCATTAAATCCTGATACTTTCTAAAGCTTTAGCTAGATGTAATGGGCTTTGTCAGATTCTCGTTTATATTCCTGATTACTGTTGAATTGAATGACGATTAAAGAAGACATAAGTAGTCATGAAACATCTGACAAGCAGACATCAGCTTAAAAAATGTACTCTAACGAAATTTCATGTATCATCTTGACTTTATCACATTGCACGGTCAATGTTTACAATATAACTATCGGTTTGTTATAGATACTACAAAAACAAATAACGCTGTGCTTATTTTCATATGGAATCATTGATTATTTCTGTAAATGATCGATAAATTCTATTGCGAATAAAATATTTACGATAGATTGACTGATGCATGAGAAGCGATGTATGTAATGAAAATCCTTCATATTACTGCATCGACAAATACACTGTGTCAATTATTTCACCTTCAATGATTATGTTATTCGCTGATAATCTTGAAATCCTCTAACGTTTACTTACAAACAAACTATACTTTCAAGCTCTATAAGAAAAAAAAACTTCTTATTTTTCTCTCAAGTCAATCTATAATCATAACAAATCCCTTTAATACTTCTTCAACACTCACTCTTCACATATTTAGCATTCATAAGAACATATTTATTCAATCTTAAACTACTCTATGGTAACGCTCTTCCTTTTGCTTTCCATGACATACTGCCATCTGGCAAGTCGACTTGTTAGTTTTGTTCGCGCTTCCCTATAGCAAGAACAGTGCATTACTTAGCAACCATTGCCTCGCTCAATATAGAAGTATATGTTAAGCTAGCTTACCACGACATTATAGCTTGTTGTCTGAAAGGTTGGTGGTCTTTTTTCTTTCTCTCTCTCTCTCGTATTTTATTGTACGAATCTAGGTTTTCTCTCTCTCCCTCGCTCTCTCGATTTATTTCTTATATAAATACAGCAACTATTCATTTGTACTCCATTCTTCGCTGTCTTCATTATTTAACGTGAGTTAGTCATCAGTTTATTGCTTTGTTCATTAATTATCGCTGATTTGTTTTTTAGAAACTTACATTCTCAATACAATTATCATGACTGATCGCAAAGCCGTTATTAAGAATGCTGATATGTCAGAAGACATGCAACAAGATGCTGGTTAGTTCGATCGATTTTGTGGTTTGTGTTTGTCATATCAGATGTTTCTTCTTCTAGTCGATATTGCAACTCAAGCACTTGAAAAATACAATATCGAAAAAGATATTGCCGCTTACATCAAAAAGGAATTCGACAAAAAATACAATCCAACATGGCATTGGTAAGAATGATTTTGCTATATGCACACTGATTTCCTTTTCTTTCTAATTAGCATTGTCGGTCGTAACTTTGGTTCGTATGTAACACATGAAACCAAACATTTCATCTACTTTTACTTGGGCCAAGTCGCTATCTTACTCTTCAAATCTGGTTAAACACATGAATAATCATCACCGAACTGTATTCTTAGAAAGATTCTTATTGTAAAAAAAAAAGAGAGAGAGAAAATAAAAGTCTCGTTCATCACATCTTTTATTTATTTATGCGTGCACTTCTGTCTAATGATTATTCTTAGACATATCTGCTATTCATTATCCTGATGCGTAATACGTTCAGTATTGTTTCTACTTGTGCTCATCAAACAGAGTTGCTCCTAAGGTTATTTTCAGAGAACATGCATCGACTCGAAGAAAATCTCGCTCTACACTAATGTGATGTGATAGCTCTGATGGATCTATTTTTGAAATCATATCTTTATTGAGACGGTAGTAAGCAAGAACACATGCTAATCATTTCAATTATCACAAATCAAACAGTACGTGCTTCACTTTAACTGACACATAGTGCTTTGTCTACGACTAAACAGAAGTTGAAAAGTCATGGCAACCTAGACCGCCGCCATGAATCAATTGAATTTTACTATAAAATATTCGATTGTCGTTTCAAACGACTTGCCATCTATGTGTTTTCGAATGCCTATTCGAGAATATTTATGAATAGACGTTCTTCCAACGAATAGAACACAGTAAACAACATAATAATAGCAGAAAGTGAATTAGCACATTCAGAATTGCTATTCTTCTGAACCAGAAAAACAAGTTCTTTTTTTTTCATCGTATGTTGTCGATAATATTCGAGATATTGACAATAGTGAAAGCAAAACTTTGAATCTACTCGTTTAAACGAAACTTGAGATATGTGTTTTTAGTGCATGACTGATCTGTCAGAAACAAGCAGAACCGTTTTGAATTTCAAGCTACACCTATTCATCGATAAGAAGGATTAATTATGTGTGGATAAATGAAGTTTCTGTTCGATGCCAAGAAGAGTTTGAAATAAACCAATAATAGAAAAGAATCAGTTTAATTGGTGAGAGTTTCTCCAATGAGTATTCATTTTCTGCTCACAAACAAATGTATATAACTTCCCACTGTTGAAACATCGAAGGAAGTGTAATATATTCGAATTTTCTTTTTCTGGCGCCTAGCACACAACGTATTTCAATCAGATCGTAAGTGACGAGTTTCATTTTCTCAGTAACAATGCGTAAATAATTACAAGTGCATGAAGCTATTTAGAATTTCTCGTTAATTCTTTGACTGTTTCAAGTTTTAGAAAAGCAATGCTTTTTCTCCTTTATTAATACAGAGATAAAAACGAAATAGTTCATATAATGTTTCAAAATGCGATGAACGATGATCTACTCTGCGCGTTTGTACCAACGACGAGCTTTAACAGATCCACATTCCATTTCCTATAGAATGACAAAACAAATGTAGATTTAATCATGAGAGTTTGCGAAACAGGATACATACGATCATGTGTTGACCTTTATCGTCCACATAACGAGTAACGACTGATTTTTTACCGCTTTTATCGATCGATGTATGCACCCATTTGTTACCTTCGAAGTTAATTGTTGACTAAATAAGACAATAACCTTCGGTGAGGATTTAAATATGAAGGAAGTACGAGTTTACTTTGACTTCACGTCCGTCAGGTGTTGTTTCATCGAATTCTTGGCCAGGCGTAAAATCATAGGTCACCGTTTTTATTGCACTCTCTGTTCGTAAGGTCCATTTACCACCGGCCTCACTAATGATGATACGAGGTTTAATTCCTTTCGCAGTCATACGTAAGGCCCAGCCGACACCGAGTTCTTTCATGTATTCATCGAAGTTCTCACCATCGACCTAAAATTTGCCCCATTGAGAAAAGCATGAAATATCGTTTATTCCAGTTTTCTACTACGTACGTAATCCCAGCTACCTTTGAGACCTTGAACTCCACTACTGTCCATATCAATATGAAAAATTACGAATCTAAAATAAACCGAATCGAATAAATCTTGAGTGTACGCACAAAAACAAGTACAAAGGAAACGAAAAGGAGATAGAGGCGTGTATGCATCCCTTTTCGATAGTTGAAAATATGTTGTGTTTCATCGACGACTATGTATACGGTTAAATATAAATATATAACTTAGACGTGCGTCATCGTTGCTAATGAAAAAAAAAGAAAGAGAAACGAAGAAAAAAGAAAATAAATCGCATCTATTCTTATGTTAAATGTTGTACGTTCTGCAGCACTTGATGCATGCTGGTAACGGGTGACAGAATAGAACTACATTTCAGTGGTTTTAACAACGATAAAAACACACATGCCAACTTCTATGATGTACTAAACAGTATTTACGGTTATTATGATTAATCATAAAACATGACATTGATTGAAGTCGGCGATTCATCAACAATAAAAAAAAATAAATCTGTATGGTTCCTATTAAATTAGTTCCAATCTTGAGGGTGAAGTTCTCTTTTGAAAAGATCTGTTTTTTTCTTCTACTATCGAATCAATCAATTATTCATTGAGGCTCCTCTTCTGAATAGTTACTACACGTGCTCGTGAATGAATAATAATCACGTCAGAGTGGATTTGTGTCATTGAAATAATCATTGGATAGAAAGTGTTTTTCTAGGTTGACAAATGGTGAACAGTACTGAACAAACAGCAGAAGAACTTCGTCATTACGTTCGAATCGAAAATCTGCCATATGGAATAGCTGCCAAAGACATATCGATGTATTTTAAACCATATGATCGATTTACACGTTTCTACTTAAAACGTCGCGTGGCGAAAGATTCACAGGTTCTCTTAACTCATCCAAGGGTTACTGTAGCATATGATAATCCTGATATTGTCGATGAAATCATGATGAACCGACCATATCAAATTGGAGATTGTAAACTATTTCTACGACGTTGCCTTCCGATTAGCAAAAAACATCCACTGGAAGCATTTGTTACTGTTCGAAAGATGATTATACGAACAAAAACAGAACATCCTCATGATATTTTACCAGATGACATGTCAATTATTGAATACCTCTCGCCTGCCGGTGGAAAAATCGAATATTTTGAAAGATTGGATGACCAAACTGTTCTGGTACAATTCGATGATTATGATCCGGTAGATATCTGTTGTCTTTCGCGACCCCATTTCATCGGAAGTCAAGAAATTGAAATGGAAAAATGTTTGGATGAAAAATTAGTACGAGCATCTATTGAAAAAAAACAGTAATAGCCAAAAAAACGAATTCATCAACTTGAATGACTGTCATAATCTTAATTTAGATTAAATCATGCTTCTAACATTGATACTGATAGTGAAGCGGTGTCTACGACGTCGCCTGATCCAGTTTTGTCAATTGATGATCATATCGATCAACTGCGAGCAACTTACAGTCAAATGACGAGTGATGCTGAACATCATCATCAAGAATTGGTAGCTTCTCTATCAGCTGAATGGGAACAAACAGCAAAGGAACGTATACGTCTTGAACGTTTAGCAATCGATTGTAAAACGGAATGTGACCGATTAGAAAACGAAAATCGGTATTATCAAAAGTTGTATAGCGAAAGTTTAAGAGAGAAACCTGATGTTCAAAATGAAGGTGAAGCTAAATTAAGCGATGCTTATCAAAAAACACGAAATGCACAACAAAAATACGAGAAATTATTACAAAATCATTGACAATACGTGTTTTTCTTTTTAATTGTCAGATTAAATATTTTATTCAACAAATTCTACTAGAAATAAATACTCATTTTCATTTCATTCCGATTGAACCATCACACACATTGATATCCGTATTTACAAGTAACCCGACACGTTCTTTTTTTATTCCGGTAATGTGGGTGTGCAAACAAAAGCTTTTTTTGATATGATGTCGATGATAACAATATCGATCCTGTATATTTATCAGATAGATATGAGAAGATTTAACTTTGCTAAACGTATTCTTCTTCTGTTAGAAAGATATTGAACAACGAAAGATTTGTCTGTACATCTCCAATTGGAGATTGGCTTATGTATAACAAAATATAATTAGAAACTTGTCAACTGTATGAAATTTTCTTCACGGAAAGTTAGTAAATAGCATTCATTCATCAACCGAGTGCTTAGCAATGGATGGCCGTTTTGTATTGATAAGCATAACTTTATCGGAAGTTTTACAAAGGACATTGAGTAGAAGCGTTATTATTTATCGTGAAATGATGGGTTAAGGAAAAGCTGTTCGTTCGTTGAAAAAGAAAAACCTGCTTGTAAGTAAAATGATTCACATCTAGCCAGAATGACCTTCACTTTTTCTTTCAATAATCTTGATGCACCTTGTCGATAAGAAAACAATCGAATAAATGAATGCAAACACAGAAAAATCTATGATGAAAGATCAAGGACTACACTATGAACAAGATTAAATCGAATTCGCATATGTATTTCTTCGGTTTTTGTTCATTGTTCAAATCAATATTATCAAAAAAAAAAGATTCATATAGCATATACAGCATTTCATCGTGATGTCTCGGTTGATAAACAAACTTATACAAATTGTCGCCGACATGTGAGAATGGACTCAGCCTGTTTGTACAGAGAAAAACAAATAAACCGTTAATAGCGAAAACTGTAGTTGCCGCAAAAAAATCAAATCATTATTGTTTTTGTCTAGAATCATCAGTCATAAAAGCATAACGAGGATAGTAATGATGTAGGCAAATCAAATCAAACAAATATTCTATTCTTTGAATATGCCTTTTTGGATTCTATACACGCGGTAGAAACAGATGTGACGACTATCGAATAACAAATCAATTTCATTTAAGTATTGTCTTTGTCGTCTTTCTCCTACGCATTAATCTTTATGTTTGACATCAACAAGAACCTTATCGTTCGTATTCTTTTTTCCTTCTAATAAAATCATCTGATTGCACGGATCAAGGATAAGAAAACGTCGTATATAAGTATAAATATAGCTTTCGTTTATATCACCACTGAAAATATTGACCCGATGGGGACTTGATAATATGAGAACGATTTATGATTTCCATCTGTGAATAAAGCATATCTTTGTATTTGAAAATCATAATTCAAGTTATGACAGGAAACCATTTGACTTCTCTTCGATAAAGAATACTTTAAACATATGGGTTGTTAACTGTTTTATGATTTCACATCGTTAAGAAATCCCACATAAAGAGAGCAAAAAAAAAAGATATGCGTCCTTCGTACGAAAGAAGAACTTCCGTTCGATTCGAACATTGTGTCAATATTTCAAAGTCGAAAATCCGAATTGAAAAATCGATATGAAATATTTCATTTTCTCCACCCTCGCTCTTTTTATTCCTATAACGCAATATGTCTCTACGATACGAAGGTTATCGGTACCTTCCACTTGTCAATATTTACCTTTCTAACACGCGGTATGCCTGTGTATAGGGTGTGATTTATATTCTTGTCTGTTGTTATTTTATGTACTAATCAGAAAATACTCTTTCAAATGTCACCAGTATGTTTGGACAGTCTTCCAACCGAAATCTTCTACCTTATTTTTCAATATCTTAATAAAGAACATGTCGCTTATGCGTTCTTTGGCTTAAACAGTAACTTCACATCAAAAGTTAGGTATTTTATCGGAAACGAATTGAATTTGGCCAAAATTGAAGATGAACAAATCTTTCGTTTTTGTTTAAATACAATTTTACCATCAATTGGGTATCATCTTCGACATTTATCGATTGGCTCTCCACATTCATTATCTACCTATCTTCCATACATTCAAAATTTTTGTCCAAATCTGAATGTTCTTAATATTCATTGTCAAACACAACATGACGACATTCGTCGTTATGCAGCTTATTTGATTCACTCGCAACTGATGTTTTTCATTTTAATGTACAGGAATCAAATTGTTGGAGAAGAAATAAGTATGTGTTTGATTGACCAACACGACGATAAAATCAATCAGGCCATGCCGTTATCGCACTCACTTATTTTGAATTTACCATCCTGGAATGATCTCATTCTGTTGAAGCGCTTTTCTGAAAGCAGTTTCTTGTTCGATGGTTTATATATGATCGAATGTGTTGCAACCGGTCATTGGCTTACGGATGGCAAAGATGATCTATGTGTGATGTCGAAACGACTTCATCGTGATAGTATTTTTTCCATCAAACACGCTGATGTCGATCAATGTTCTCGAGAATATGAAGTGTACAACGAAGGTACTCAACGTCGACTAACAGTTTTGATACCATATGAAGAAGAAGAGGAACGTTGGTCATCATCATCAATTCTTTCTACGCATCGAAAAGAATCTTCACGTTCGTGTTCAAGTTTCACATTCGAAAAACTCGCAAACGATGACATCTTCTATATTCGACCATGTTATTCATATGCTAAACGATTGCAGGTCTATGGGAAGCGAATTATCGTCTCACGTTGTGATAACGAAAATGTAACAAATCATTACTTTAAACTCCATCGTGTTTCATAGAATTAGAAAACTGATCGGATTTTTAACTCTTCATTTGAATAAAACTGTATATTTCGAAAAACTATAGATCATTGCTCGACGAAAGGAGAAGATAATCAGATTCAATATCATCTCGAACGATGAGTTCACCGTTTTAGTCTCGATAGCATACGATAAAAGAATTGTTCATAATTATTTAAAAACAAAACAAATACAAACTCATCCAACAATTATTTCCAATCCTTGTCAAGTTCAATAAAACTATCATACACTACAAATTCTCGCACTGTCTTCAATGGTGGATATTTGCGGGCGGTTAAATAATCAATCGTTCTATCATTTATTTCGAATGCCGACTTTCGTCCGTTTTCAAATAGACGCTTTGTAATCAGATAATAAGAATTGTCTTCATTCAAACGCTGAAATGCATTGCGCGATAAATGTAAACCACGCGAGTAATTACAGATGTTTTCGAGCTCTTTGTACGCTTTTCCATAGTTGTCGATTTTGAGTAAGACTTTGTAATGGAATTCAAAATAGTTGGATTTATCATCCCAGAATAATTTTTTCTCAATATCAGTTTCTGGAATGCCGTCATTTGATGCCAACGCTTCGATTTTCACGCGTACAATGTTGAAATCACGGAAATGCTTATGAACTTCTTCGTTGATTTCTGATACAATTGCCGGATATTCTCCACAATGGTATGATGAAGTCATCAGTTGTTGATTTTTTTCTTTTTTATTGTGACTGTTCAAATCAATGAAGATAACTTTATACTTAGTATTCTCGCATGCTTTCTTCAATTTCTCGATCACTTCTTCTGTGTTGTTTGAACAATCAAGTGTCACATGTGTTTCAAACGTTCCTTTAACAATATTCGTTGGCACAAGTGTATCTAGTTGAGATTTGTGTTCAGCACTTTTTGCTTTGACAAACTCCAATACACTACAAGGAAGAACGGATATTTTTACTAGGAAAAAAGCGTTTTCGTATGCCATTTACCTTTCCCAGGCGTAAGTTTCATCACAATTATCGCGTATTTGTTTCATTTCACCTAGGACATGTGACACACGTTGAAAGTCTTGGATTGATTTTGATTCAATCAACTGTTGACCAAAATCCAAATAACGAAAGCCATGAAATAAGTTTTTGAACAAAAAATTTCTATTCGATTCTGTGTCTAAATCGGGCTCTTGACTACGTAAAGGATACAATGTATGATCTTCAAGATCGTACATTTTTTGAGAGATATAGTTTTCATAGAATGCCACAGTTTTCAATCTTACTGGATCATAATACTTGTCTAGATAAATTTTCTGAAAATTAATATCTTCCTTGATTTTGAATTCTGCTGGTAAGAATACGCATTCAATAGCAAGCATGTAATTCTTTTTCAGGAGAACTTCAAAATTTTCAACACTATGAACACAAACATCGTATTGATTCCATAGCTTGTGCAAGTCAAATTCATGAAAATAATCGAATTCATCGTTAAATACTAATGGTACATTTGCGGACGAACGCGTCACGATCATAAGGTCACGATCAGATGTTGCCGAGTTTGTACCGTACACCCATGAACCGTAATTGTAAATGCAAGCAACTAGATCTGGATGGATATTGAGTTCACGTAAAATTGCAGGAATAGCAGAGCGATCCATTGGAGTTTCGAAATAACTGGTGAGTTTAACATGAGCGTCGTCTTTTATAAGAAATTATGTCGCAAAGTTTTCTGTTGGTTGTGCAATCGCTTTTTTGTAAACGTACGATTGAATCAGCTATAAAAAAAATATGAGGCAAGTTAGAGCAAGAATAAGCAAAATTATATTCTGCAGGAATTTCATTATCGATGACGTAATTTATGCCCAGCTATTTTTAATTAAAATCAAATTACTCGCACCAATATACAATGAACACTTCGGAATGCGATATACGTTTAACCCATAGTGATAGGGAAGGCACTTGTTACATATGTGCAAAACATTTTTCTTGAAAACATCTCTCTCGGAAGTGAAAAACCGTGTTCGTCATCGTTTAAATATGCAAATGACTCTCCTAATCAATCGCTAGAGACATCTGTGTGTCAAACGTTTTCTCTTTGCATGTAATTCGTTTGCGCTGTTACATATATGAATAATAAATTCGTCGCGCATTCGGATCGTTCCTTTCGTGAATGAAACAAAGTAGAATTAGACACACCTTCTTTAACGCGGAAGAATCTTTGGGAGAATTTGAGAGATGAACAATGGGAAACAAACTAATTCGTTTTTCTTTCCTATTGAGATTGAACCTTCAACGTCGGAATGTTCATCAAACCACAGTCAGGAATCAATCGATGCTACCAATATTTCTTATCCAGACGATCAATTACAATGGCTTACGAAAGTATGAATATTTTCTACACAGTCACACCTATCACACTATCACGGTTTCCATGGAAAATATCTTCACTTATACTTTTTTTATCATCATCATATCTTTACGTCTGATCACGATCTTACTGATTTTTTTCTACTAATGATTGTTTTAAAACAAACATGAAAACACTGTGCTCCTTGCGTTCTGCTAATAATGAAGAGAGATAAACAAATCGCTCATGTATCCGTTACCGTGTGAATATAGTGATATCTCTCTTTCGTCTAACCCAGTTATTCTTATCAGTTCTCTCTCTCTCTATATATATATATACACAAGGACACGAGCTTGAATCTGAATTCTGACTTGAACTTTGATCCAAAATAAGTCTACGTTTGTCTACTAGAAATCAAAACAACGCAAACGAGCGATAAAATGACGACTTCACGGTATCCAACTGGGTATGATCTTCTACTTGATCCACGGGCTAATAAAGTAATTAGTGCCAATCGAAAAAGCCAAATGAGTTGATATCTTCGTTTGCTTGACAGGGAACGGCATTTTCTATTGATGAACGTCAATTATGCCGTATACATGGTTTATTACCACCAACAGTGTCAACACCACGTCTTCAAGTCGAACGATTCATGGAAAACTTACGAAATATGCCTGATGATTTGTCACGATATATTTCATTAAATGCATTGCAAGATCTCAACGAAAAACTATTCTATCGTGTGGCAATGGAACATACACAAGAAGTAATGCCACTTGTCTATACGCCAACTGTTGGTCTCGCTTGTCAAAAATATGGATTGATTTTCTCAAAACCGAAGTAAATCTCGAACTTCACTTCTTCCCGTCATTTTCTCTTCTCTCATGCAGAGGTTTGTTCATCTCAATCTTGGACAAAGGTCATGTTTACGATGTTCTTCGTAATTGGCCAATTGATGATGTTCGAGTAAGTTTTCGAAAGTTCGATTCCTTGACATTACATTACTCTTTAGGCTGTTGTCGTAACCGACGGTGAACGCATATTAGGTCTTGGCGACTTGGGTTGCAACGGTATGGGTATACCTGTTGGCAAGTTAAGTTTATATACAGCATTGGCTGGTGTTCGTCCACAGTATTGTTTACCCGTCACACTTGATGTTGGTACAAACAATGAAGTGAGTATGAATGACTTTGGTTTGGTTACTTTTTTGTTTATATGTTATGTAGCATTTTCTTAATGATAAATATTATTTGGGTTTACGACACAAACGTGTCACAGGAAAAGAATACGATGATTTTGTTGATGAATTTATGCAAGCGATTGTGAAACGGTAATGATGATTTTGATAGCAATATGTTCAATTGATTGAAATATTTAGATTCGGACAACAATGTTTGATTCAATTCGAAGATTTTGCGAATCATAATGCATTTCGATTCTTGAAGAAGTATCGTGATCTTTATTGTACATTCAACGATGATATACAAGGAACAGCTAGTGTTGCCGTTGCTGGCATTCTTAGTTCGACTCGAATCACTGGTGCGAAATTAGCAGATAGTCGATTTGTATTCTATGGTGCTGGAGAAGTACGTTTTGAACTGTATATAAATCAACCTTAGTTGAAGTAATCATGATTCATCTAGGCATCGATCGGTATCTCAGATTTATTGGTTGTGGCAATGGAACGTGAAGGTTTATCAGCTGAACAAGCACGGAAGAATATTTTCTTAGTAGATTCCAAGGGTTTAATTGTCAAAGTAACAGCTAAAGGTTATTGTTTTCTTTTCAAACATCAGTATGTAATTTAGAATCGACCAGCCGGTGGACTCAATGAAGAAAAACTACGTTATGCGCATGAACATGAACCAATCACGAATTTAATTGATATTGTTCGAACAATTAAACCTGCATATCTTATTGGTATGAATCTAATCATCGTAATCTATTTTAACATGTCGCATTTCTAGGTGCTGCCGGTCAAGGACCGGCGTTTACACGTGAAATTCTCGAATTAATGGCATCGATCAATAAACATCCAGTTATATTTGCTCTATCGAATCCAACATCGAAAGCTGAATGTACCGCACGCGAAGCTTACGAAACAACGAAAGGTCAATGTGTTTTTGCTTCCGGCTCTCCGTTTCCCAATGTTGAATACAACGGTAAAACATATATACCTGGTCAGGGTAACAATTCTTATATATTTCCTGGCATTGGCCTTGCCATTGTTACATGTAATATTCGACATATCCCCGATGAGTTATTCTACTTGGCTGCTAAGACACTGTCGGAACAGGTGGGCGACGAAGACTTAAAAGTTGGTCTTGTTTACCCTCCAATCGAAAAGATTCGCGATGTGTCACGTAAAATCGCTGTTGCATTAGCAGAATATGCTTACGAGAAAAATTTGGCAGCACTCTATCCTCGCCCAAACAATTTGGAAGAATTCATTCAATCACAACAATACGCAGTCGAATATGAAGATATTGTTCCACCTCGTTGGGATTGGCCAAGCAAAACACTTGCAAAATTGTAAATAGTCCTTCCTTCCTTCAATAATTTATTTCTAGAGACAAAAAAAAGCGAATAGTGATTTCTGTATAGAATACGATTTCTCTTACTTTAATAATAAATACACAGGTCATAAAGATCTTTTTTTTTTCTTTATTGTTTCGCGCAACGAATGTTTTGACTTGAAACAATAATTTAATCAATCGTATTCTTCAGAGTTTTTCTCAGAGCTGTGTGTGTGTGTATATGTAGATCTTGACGTAAACTAAGGATTTTTACTGAGATCGAAGTTTCTCTCGGGATCGAACTATATTGAAATTAATCTTAACACGCACTTTATTACGCACATACGTCAATGGCAATCTCTCAAACACCTGGATTAAAATCTAACAAACAATATTGATCAGACAAAGCGAATCTCGCGAGAGTTCGAGAAACTATTTAATTCAATAGCTACTTGTTTTCATACATTTCACTCAAAATGCTCGTCGTCATCGTGTTTACGTTGTTATTATCAAATATTGTCACAGCTACCAATAATAACGGTCAAAATTTGGTAAAGTTTAATGAAGATACGTTAGCTAAATTACGTTTACCGACGCATCACTTTTCATCAAGCAAAATGTATCAAGAATATGAATTATTCAATGATTATCAATGTGCAATTGAATGCTTAAAAGATAAAACAGTTTGTACTGCTTACTTATTTGACAGTACCACTAAGAAATGTTCGTTATTCGATGATACAAAGCAGAAAACCGATGACAATATCACCGAATTGGTATAGTATTGAAATTCATCATCTATTCAAGCATAACGTTTTGGAAAATTTAGCGAGAAAAACTAAGAACTAATGCGTGTGATCAATTGCAATGTAAACCGGACGCTGTTTGTCTTGGTGAAAATGAACCCAAATGTGTTTGTTTGAACGGAGCATCGACATCAGATAACTGCGATTATATAGGTCAGTTGTTTTTGTTCGATAAATTTCTAAACTGTCTTGTATTTGTTCAAATAGAAATTGGTGTGTGGGGTGATTTCAATGATTGGTCTGGCTGTAGTTCGACATGTGGTGAAGGTTATCAATATCGTAAACGAGATTGTCTGTCAGCAGATGATAAAACCAAGAAGATTTCGAGTGACAAATGTACTGGTAAAGATGCTGAAATTCAACAATGTACGATTAATGAATGTCCAAGTGAGTGAGAGTTACTGGAACTATCAACAGATCGACTTTTTCTGTCTAAAGCTTATGGGCAATGGGCACCGTGGACGCCTTGTTCAACTTTCTGTGGTATTGGTATTAAACAACGTAATCGTTCGTGTGTACCACCTGGATCAAATTGCGGAAACTATACATTTGAACAGCGAGCATGTGGTGAAGCAAACTGCCAGCGTGTTGTTGGTAAAATCGGATTTTCCACTTCATTGTAAACTTGTTAATCTATTGCTCTTTGGAAATAGGTATTAAAGAAACGGACTCCGCAAAATATCCTACCAAAGGTTATTTAGCTATTCGAGAAGGTGATATCTTATGTATTCCACAAAGCAGTAATGAAACAGCAAAACATATGGCTGACTTAGTAAGACTCTACCTGTGCTATCGTCTAACACTTTCATATTTTTAATAGGTTTGTAAATCTATTGGTTCGACTCGTGGAGCCCAATATGGTGAACGAATCCTTAGAGATTTTATTTACTCTATGATAAATTATTTTATTTCTTTTTAGCTGTTCTTACGCCTGTTGGATCGAACTCAACATGTTATCCAGGTATTCTCTGCGATGGTACAGAAAGTAATTTTCATGAATGTAAATATGAACGTCCACAAACTACAATTGATCATGGTGATTTGTTTGCAATTATCACTCGTTGTATCAGTAAGATTGTATTTTCCAAAATAAGTTCTCTAAAAATCATAGAAAATGTCTATTTAGTTGATGGTGGATTTTCTCCGTGGTCTTCATGGTCTGCATGCACAAAATCTTGTGGAACTGGTGAACAAACTCGTTCTCGAACATGTACACAACCATCACCATCCATGCTCGAATCCGGATTTAATTCTCAAAATTCGTCTTTGGCTGGAATGAACTGCACAGGAGATTTCACGCAAGTTAAAACTTGCAATGAGCAACAATGTTAAAACATAAACACATCTTCTTTCTCTCTTTCTTTCTTTCATTTTATTTGCAATAAGAAACATTCAAGATACATTTAACGGAAATATGCGTGGACTGTCCAAACACGATTGTTGGTTGTTATTCGTTTATGTCGATACATAGCAAATGAACCGCGAAATGACGCATTGGTCGCAGCATATAAAATAGGAAAGACTACACATTTAACAATGAGAAAATAATAGGTAATTTGTAGTGTACGCTGAATTGTTTTCGTGTTGACAAAAATGATCAATATTCGAATGCTTATCCATGGTAAACAAAGACAGAGGAAAGCTAAACTTAAACTTAATACATGCCATGTCATTTTCTTTGCAACTAAATATTCTCTACGATCAATGGAATCGAGTCTTCTTGGCCGTCGCTGACACAGATGACGAATAAGAAAAGTATTTCCAAGAAAAATACACAAGAGTGGAAACGAAAAGATCAAACCGATTTCTGCGTAGGACATCCATAGTGGATGGTGGATTGAGGTTGCATAGGTTGTACAAAATGATGTTTGGTTTGTTGTTGATGATGTCACTGTCAGAAGATAACTTGATGAATTGATCATAAATGGAATACCGTAGAAGACAAACAAAGAGAGCCATATTGTCAGAAGTAATATAATGATATATCTACGCCGAATCGGTTGAAATGCTTTTTTTAAATTGTACAAACGAACAAAAATCATAAAGAGAATATTATAGATAATACAAGCTATTGAACAGGATTCTCCGATGGTTAATGCAGCACACAATCTGGATGTTAGGGGCTTATCGTATGCGCTGATGAAACGCATCGGAAGAACGAAACTTCCGATAAAGAGGTCCACAAATGCCATGCCCAAGACGAACATATTTGACCAATGTTTCCCATCCGAACGAACGATGTAGGTTACGAACACACAAACCTACAATTTCATTTGAATATGAGCGTAAACGATGTTCTCGGAAAGCGAACTTACATTTCCAATGACAATTGCAGCGATCAATACCAATAAAGCAAGTTTTTCAGGTACAGATGATGAATCTTCGTATTCTATTGCCATTTTACTCTTTGAAAAAAAAGTGAAGTAGATAGATTGCATATATAACTTAACGGAGAATGACGAAGTTAAATTTTCGGATGGTGATTGTCAAGTGGGCGAATACGTGACTTTATTGATAAATTACACTTTACTTTTCCAAAATGTCATAGCAGCGAGCAATTATATATCAATAGAATATAAATCAAAAATTTTCTTCTTACATTTACGGTGTGTTTATTAACAATCATTGACGAACGATGAATTCATATTATTCAGGAAGACTACAGTGCTAGGCAACGGTATGTGTGCTGTTTACTGCGAAGAAATTACCGTCCATTAAAATGAGTGTTTAATACTTTGACATCGTTTCTAGGTGTTCAAAGTGTGACATATTGAATATCAACGGAAATCATGTAGAATACTAGAGAGCATCTTTACCGTTAGATTTTTTTTAGAGATTTATGTGAAAGATGGTTATCAATTGAGATTGTTTTTCTAAAACTCGTGTTTATTTATAAATTGATGCAAAGGAAGGAAAACGGACAATATATCACAGTGATCAATCAGATAAAAACAATTCTATTTCTTCTTAGAATTAGGTCTGCTGGACGATTTCGAGCTACGTTTCTTTGCTCCAGATCTGACTCGAACTGACGTTGTGTTCACTGACTAAAACATCAAGAAAGTAATTCGGACAAAAGGTAAAATTGCATCATACTAATGAGGCTAGTGACGTCGAAGTAGAAATGGCTGATCCATCGTCTTGCATAGGTAAATGTGCAAAGGCGTTAGCGAGTAACCTGAAATCCTTTTTCTTAAACAACTGTGCATTACGATAGAGTATACCAACAATTGATTGAGATTTATAAAATGACTTATTATATTTCATTAAAAAATCAGGATAACATTGTCCATATTTTTTACGAATAGTTTGAATACGACTTTTATCAATTGTATAACCAGTTTTACCCGAATCAACTAGAGTGTAGAACTTCGTCATTGTGAACTGCAAAGAAACTTAACTTACTAGCTGAAGCGAACATTCGTGCCATCTCGATAGCTAGTTTTTGACACGTACGTTGCGAATGCTTTTCCTCGTTCTGATCGACAATTACCGTATGTAAATTGAAAACTTCCCCATAACTTGTTGCGCCTAATGTTGAAAGATAATAATTAATAACATCTTCAACCGAGATCGGTGTTGGGTGTTTAATCTTCTTCTCAGCTGTGTAATCCAATGGCGGAACTGAAGATCGAAGTTGAAGTTCCGAACCCCAATAAACCTGAATTCGAAAAAATGTTTAATAAACAAACAATAAAGTCAATTATGAATACTTACAAAATATTTATCACCATCCAAATCGGAACCTGCAATCTTATGAAAATCAGGTCCTAAATGTATTTCAATAATTTGATTGTGTACAAGCAATCGACTTCATTTCTACTTACGATCGCCTTTTGTACTAAAAACGATAACATCATGTAGGTCATGTAGTTCAGGTAGATCAACAGCATTTAGCACTAACATATCCCCGGCATAAGGACTAAAATTGCAGTGTTATATGGTTTGAAGTCGTGTCGAATGAAAATTACCATGGATTTTTTGTTACAATGACTTTTCCTTCAACAGATTTATACTGCCGATTAGGGAAAGATTTTTCGTTTTCATCAAGAACTTCATAACGAATGAAACAAGTTCCTGTTTCTAGTTTTGTTTCAAAAGCACATCCGAACATATATCGACATTCGTTCACCGGTAACGGAATTTTGTTTTTTAATAAGTTACTAAATACAGATCAATCATTATTTATATCAACAGAACGCCGAATCCGTACTCAGGGTGAATATACTTTGATGAGGCATTATCGAACCATTTTTTCTGTAAACGAAGAAAAGTTTCATTTGATACGCCAAGATCTGACATGAGAAGGATGATCTGATTATTTAGTCGCGTTGGTGCTGACCAAAAGAAAGTCAAACGTTTTTTCTATAACAAACGAATAGATTCATCATACTCGCTACGCTACGTTCACAAATTTCCAAAGTCCAATCATTACATCGGAATTTTTGCATCGTCGGTCGAATTTTAATGTATAACTCATTAATACTTGATGCAGGATCCACAACTAGAAGACCTTTACAACCAGCCATTCGAATTTGGTAAGCGGACGGCACTGTCTATGAAATATACCACGAATATTGTCAAAACAGATCAGATATGTAACTATCGCTCTCAACATACTGAAGCACCTTTAGCTATACGTCGTGCCAAACCTTTGGAAATCAATCCATTGCCATCGGTGAAAGAGAATCCATTCCGTTCGATGTCATCAATACTTCTGACACATATTTTTCCTTGTTGAATACGTTGGTTGAAGTCTTGTTCGGTTTCGCAATAAACCAGTTCGATCTGTAAAGGATCAGATGATTTCAACATACATGATTGTATCTACTCACTCCTGTTGAAAGACTTTTACTAAACCATAGTCCTAATCTTGCTACATACGTTCCCAAATTGTCAATCTGATTCAATTCCCCTAGCTGTGCCCGTTTCTCTTGAACATCAATCAATGATGAAGCCTTGATAAACCAGAACACATGTTCTTTGATTTGTGAATTCGATGATCCAAACAAATGAAAACGATCTCGACCAATCTCAATGCCATTTGTAAATACGTGCCGGAAATGATCTGTATCTTCGTTCAGATAGGAATCAGGTGGATCGGGTTTTAAATAAACAACACAGAAATTCTTGCTACCACCGAATGCTTTATGACGCATAGCACGATGTCCGATAGTGTCTTCGTCCTTTGGCATGATAGAAATACGTGTTGGAGTTACATGAATAACACCAGTACGAAATTTATGAATTTTTGTCTAAAACAATCAGAGATCAGATGAACGTTCGAAGTATTACTGTTGACTTACTGATACAGCAATTTTATCGAATTGTTCTTGGTTGAAGATAGTTGTCAAATCGAGCCAATGACATTCTTGAAGATTCTGAAAAGCTTGTACTGCTAACTGATAAAAACGTTCTTCATTTTCTTCAGATAATTCAACCATTCTTCCTTGCAGCTGATCGTTCATCAGATATTTATCATCAAATAAATATCCCAATGAATGCAGCAGCGCCATCGAATAAGTAGCGTCGGTAGTTGGATACCAATTAAATTCAATCGTATCCCATGATTTACATGAACTCTGTTCGATGGAAATGTTTGTATAGACGATATCATCTTTACATGTGTGTCGTAGATAATCAAGAAACTGATCAGCGAAAGCTTTCGAAGCAATACGTATGACTATTTCACTGCACCGTCGAAGCGACATGATCAGTGGATCATGACCGTTTAATCTAAACGTAGATTTATAGAACTAAATGAATAGTTTAGTTCACCAATAGATTTCACATACTTCGAACTTCGTCTACCATTTATGATCTGTTCTGCTTTTATCAATTTATTCATATTCATTATGATATTTGTATGAGTACTAGTATCGACAACGAAGATTTGTGTTTTGATTTGTTTCATTAATAGAGTAAAACAGACCGTCACTGCTGAGCCACTTTGACATTCTATTCGGCAAGTTTTTTGATCAAGTACCATTGTCCATCGTGGTGTGTCATCGAATGGTAAATCTATGCTATGGACGATGAACTTTGAAGTCGATAGTAAAGAACCGAATGAAACATGAATGTCGTCATCAGTTTGGTTATAAATTGATTTACACGCATATCTAGGATCACGAGGTACGTTCATTGAAAACCAAATTTGAGGATACTGATGCGCGAGCTTGACAAGATTCGAACGAATTTCGTTCGCTTTTGTTATTTGATGTAAACAAGAAAGTCGTGCTTTATTTTTATTCCATTTTGTGCGAATGTCGAAAGTTGAAGCAATGCAGGCACGCGCATCAGCGGGTACATTGAAAAAAGTACATCTAATAGATCCTCTAAAGAATACAAAAATGATTGGAGTTTAGACAAATTCATCACTACATAAAATACCAACTTTTGCTCGGTCATCATTTGCGAATAAAATGTTTTTCTTTCTGTTGACACTCTACGGTTGAAAACGAAAGTAAACTACAGTAAAACAACATTCCCTTTTTTCCCCGTTAATCAATTATTCACTGGGTTTTTTTTCAGTCGCAACTCTCAAAACAGCGAATGAGATTATTCACATTGAGAGATTCTCATTACCAATCGACACCGAGATCTGAAATATGCAGAGATTTCGTGCAAGAAGTTCATTTCCTGTTGTAAATAAATAATAACTTAAAGAATAAAGGTAAATCGATAAAATAAAAATATAACACGGTTAACAAAGAAGAGATAGCAAACAAAAAATAATTTTCAAACAAAAAAAGTCAGTTCTCAAACAATATTAATAATCAACGTCGAGCATGATTTTGTTCTTTTTCTCTCTCCGAATCATCAATTGAGATTACAACGTTCGACTAGAGTATTCGTCTTAACTCAGCTTATGGAATGTAATCTAAGGCGCATAGTGAACATGTTTAAAATGCAATAACAGATTTAAAAAAAAAGTCAAATAAAAAGGAAGCGAGTAATGAATGTTTGACTATGAGCTAGATTATTTCGTCATCGATTATGGAGTTAAAACTGCTCGTTCGAGGTGCCATCGTTGTTTAGGATTATTTTCTTGCTGGCATGGTGCTAGAAGAGAATTGTTCATATAAAAACGATTTTTCAGCAATTCGACTTACTAAGTAACACTTTGCCCGATTGAGCTTTCTCATCAACCGTCATACATTGACTAGATTTGACGTGTTTCATATGCTTCGTCTAGAATTATAAATAGTCGAAGAATGAACATTATCAATAGTGAGAGGAAAGCTACTTGGTTGTCGTAATTCCAGGTTTGTCTATTATTTCCATTGGAACATTTCTGTAGTTTAACAACCGTGTTTGCAATAGCTTCCAAGCAGAGATCATCAAAACGAAGTTGTCCGTTCTTGGAGTGGATTAAAATCTATGGAAAATGAAAACATCTCAGCAAATTTCATGATAATCTTAAACTAAAGTGTGTAAATAGAAAGAAAACGTAAATGTAATAATGTGTTAGTTTCGATTAATATGTGAAAATATTTGAAAACAAACATGCATCGATTTGAAATTTCTGATCTACTCGATCTTTCGTTTGTATTCAAATCTGCTGCATTTCAGATTTCAAATACGACATATGTTTTCATGCAAATCAACCTGTGTTCTATTCTCAGCTAGGAAGACAACGGCAAACAATCATGCAAAACGGAATAATGCAGATTTTCTTTTACATGCTCTATTTTCCAACCTGATTTATCGCTGTCAAAGGTGAATCTGTTCGATCCAAACAGCCTTGCATGTGAAGTGCAGCTGTATGATTTGTCTTTTGACTACTGAATCCATTACGAACAGTCAGGCAACCTCTCAGTTCGTTACGTATCTAAAACAAATCGAAGAAAACCGATTAATATACACACCTGATTGGTACTTTTATGTTGACAAGGAGAAATGCCTGCGTTTTGATTCGCTCCATTGTCAACATTATAGCCCAGTGAATCAGCACAACCGAATCCTTCGTTTCTTAACTAATTAATGTGAGAAATAGAGGTTGCAGATAAGATAATAAAATTCAATCTAAATGATGACCACAAGAATAAAGAGGAATAGACTCACCGCTCCGACGTGGTGGAAGTGTATCGGCATTGACGTTTCAGGATAGATGTTTTCTAGGTACCATTGAAAATCTTTACATTGAAGTTGTTTTCGTAACTGAAGACGTTCAGATACATCACCGGCTTCCACTCGTTTCAAGTCTATATGAATAATCAGGATGCTTGAGGTCAGTAACAGAAGAATACGAACCAGGCATAATTGTGTAAATGAAATCTTTGTATTTATCAAGCCATACTTCTACAAGTCGTTTGTTGTTATGAAAGATTACAGTTCCTGTACCACCAGGAAATGTGTATGGCGTTTGTTTACGAAAAACATGACCAACATGACTACCTGGAGGAATGAAAAGAAAACGAAAGGAATTTGATCACATTTGAAACTGAATACGGATGGACTTACATGGATGGATGAGAACTTTGCCACCACATTGCCATACACGAAACGACATTTCCAAATTTTCACCACCCCAGACTTCCATACCCGGATCATAAGCTCCTATTTCATAAAAATACGCCCGATTAATTGTAAACAAACCACCAGCCATAGTTGGAGATCTATGAAATCGTAAATAAGATTTATCTAGGAAGATCAAGGCTTTTTTCGTACAGTAATGGAAGTGAATGATCATTATTTCGTCGAATTTCCTCTCGTTGTGGAACTGGATACCAACGAAAATTCAATCTCCAATTAAATCCACCCTGAAGAGATAAGAGTTCCAAAACATTAACTTCAGACATGGAATTTTTAACGTACCCAGGTCATGTCACTACCAGTTAAATAAGCAAAATCGTTATCGCTAATGACATCGATAATCGGACAGACAACTGCCGATCTAAAGAATAAAAGTCAATTCTTCATGTGGTCAGTGCAAGGTAATATCATGCCTATCTTTTTTCACTTCATACAATAAATATTCCAGCCAACCAGGTGAACATTCGATGTGTGCATCGAGAAAAGTCAATGTATCGCCCGATGCTACTTCAGCACCTGAAATCCAATGAGAACAATTTTACATGACTGTACTAATCGTATGTGACTCTATACCTCGCAGACGAGATTTCATAAGTCCTAGTCGATCATTATTTCTTAGTACATGAACTGATACTGGCAAATTTTTTATGAATGTTTCCAATGTATCTTTTAAATATACTAAAAAAAAAGAGTAATTAAAATAAAAGAAATGGAAATCAAGTAAATGCTTTACCTCGATTGACACTAGCATCGTCGACCAAAATAATTTCTTTTATATATTTTATTGGACTGCGCAGTATGATACTTGTTAATGTACGGAGTAATGTTGAATTGCCTTCATTATGAAATACAATAACTATTGATGTAGTTGGTAAATCATCTGGAAATTTATGCGATAAGCAACTACAGTGGAAAGAAATGAGCTTTTTTGTCAAATGAAAGTGTATATATACCTCGGTGATCGTTGATCTCTTATTGTTCGATTTAGAGCGACAAGGTCTGAAGCAAGAATATTAAATTGGTTCTCTAAGAAACGCCGTTTTGCTTCTGATTGTAAGTCAGCAGGTATGACGACCGCACGACCACCTTCACCATGCCAATTAGGTGGATTGGTTGCACCTAATATAACGAAAAGCAAAACAGTCTATTTTATTCTTCAGTTTATAATTCAAACCTGGTTCAATTTCCCACCATCGACGAATAGCATTTGTCTTAGCTATGACATTTGCTATTCCATCGCCAAATCGTGTTCTATTTCGATATTTTCTTCGATTGATACCCATCGTTGGCTGTACTGGAAGACTATGATGAACTGTATATGAATGATTATCAACTGATAATGCTGAGGTTTGCGGACAAGGAACAATAATTTTTTTCGTACAATCAGAGAATAACATTATAAAAAACACGTCAATAAATATCCAAAATAACGATGTATATATAATTATATGCAGATATTGTCGTTTCCATAGTCGAAAACGTTTGAATAGAATATCACTTGGCGTTGATTGATAAGGTGAGAAAGGATTCATGGAGAAGCACCCAAATTGATTATTGTTCTATAAGATAATGATATGAGTTAGATGAAAATCTGAAAAAAAAACGACATCTGATGAATGCGTGTGTAACGATCAATCCGTTCAACATATCAAGTTGAGAGAGAACTTCTTATGCGAAACAAACTTGATTATATTGTTCTATTGACAAAGGAATTCAGAATACTTAGACAAATAGAAATAGCGAGAAAACTATTATTTCCTGCCGAAGACGTTCGTAGAGCGTAAAACAAATAAGCATGTAAGGCAAAATGAGGAAGTCGCATGCTTTCTTTTTTTTTCTCGACTCGACGTTGATCTTTTTCTGTGCACGTGGGAAGACGACAAATTAGGAATGACGTGTTTGCTATTAGTACAGGATTAAATTCTTTATGGTAAATTAGTGACAGTAGTTTTCAAAACATACGGCTACTTGATTCGATTTGCTGTTGTTTCAAACTACGCTTGTAATGGTAAAGACCAACCAGAAGAAGATGAGTTTGATATATACATACATGATAAGAATACGACGACATATGGTAGTATAGATGGGCTTAGTTATTGATAGACGCAGAATCGACAAAGTGCGTATAAACGATACTTGAGAAAATGATATGACATCAATAGAACAGCAGACAAAAAGATTGTGAAACTTTTATGGCTAAAGTTTGCAATTGCTCGAATGTCGTATTATTTTGTTGAGTGAATATTTATGAATGTGCGGCTTTTATATCCTTTTAATCGCATAGGCTTAGTGAGGCATTCAACTTTGTATTTTCTTTGATTTAAAAATAATTGAGTAGTTATTTCATGGTTTATTTTCTACATCAAAGACAACAGACTTCAAACGAACTTTGAGCTCATTTTCATACCAGTTTATATTATCAACAGTAGGAAGCTATTCTGCACATCATTAGAGAAAGAAGAAGAAGAAAAAAAAAAGGAAGCTTTGCTCGTAATTATTTGCTTCAACAAGAAATTTTTATACAAAAAAAAAGAATGATTAAACTTTTGCTGGTCGTGTTTCTGTTCGTAGAACTTGAATGATTTGCGCGAGTGCATCAGGATGAACACCACTTTCAAGTAATCGAACGCACGCTGTTAATGTTTTCTTGTCAAGACCAGTGTTGAGAAGTTGAGATAATTCATGAAGACAATCCAATGCTTCGCGTGCTTCGTTCGTGGAAGATTCGCTTGCTGTTGTTGTCGACGCGGATTTGATAATCGGCATGATGTGTTGATCTGAATAACAAAACAGATAAACTGAACATTTGTTTATTTCGAAGAAAACAGATAATAAATAAACGTGTTGTTTTCTATTCACATTAAAACAAAGAATAATTCCACTGTTGCACGACACAAAATGAAAACAAAATAGATAAATCTGACCAGAAAGAAAAAAAAAAACAGAATAAAACAGATCTATTTTCTTGTTCGTTTCGATAGTTTCTCGATTTCTTTGCTCAACGTATCCACATTTTCTTTCAATGTAATATTTTTCAAAAGTGTATCTTCTAAAACCGACTGTAATTTCCCCATGATATCCAATGATGTTTCCAACGTCATCGGTGCTGACTGATCAAAGATTTTGTTTGCTGTTGAGCTGCTACCGGTTGCTGCTGTCGTTGTCGCACGATTGTATAACGTTGCCATCAATGATGTGGATGTTGAATTCGTTCGAGTTTTATTTGCTAATTGTTGTTTGGCTAGATCGGATTCATTCGACGTATACATAAAACCGTCAGCATTCATTGCATAGGCTTGTATAATCTTGCGTTTGTTTTGCAGATCTTGGGTGAGTAATTGAATATGATCATTGAGAAATTCGATTTTTTCATTGCGTCGTACGAGTAGTTTTTGTTGTTTTAGTAGTTTGTCAATTAACTTTTGACGATCGATATCAACGATACTGACCACGACTTCTTGTTCATCATCGGCAGGAACTAATTGTTGGTGTTGTTGTTGCTGATGATGATGATGATTATTATTATTATTAGCAGAAGAAGTGACAGAGGGTTGATCAGATGTTGAAATGAGCACAGGCGGCGTCATATCGTTTAGTGAACTATAGGAGCCTGTCGGAGATCCACGGCCTGATGAATGATCACCGAGATTCTCTTTAACTGGAATGTTTCTTGTTTGACTAAATGATTCGAATGCAAAATTAATTCAAACATCGTTTGAGTCGTTTCTTGAAAATACTCACCTAGTTTGCAATGCAGGTGATGATGCATCATCATGAGCTGTAGCTTTCGTTTTCTGTAATTGTTGCAATTGTTTGATTAAATCTTTCGTATTTGCTTGATGTTTCTTCTTCAACGTTTGTATTTCAATTAAACTATCATCGTATTTTTTGACAATCTCTTCATGTGATTTGCTTAAACTTCCAAATATCTCTTCTAAGTCTTTTAACTGATCTCGTAAAGCCGTTTCCGTAGTTTCCAATTGTGCGATTCGACTGTGTTGCTCCTCATTGAGTTTCTTGAGACTATCATGATGTTCACTAATCTTTTTATGGACTATTTCAAGTTGCTCGTAATTAGTTTGTAGAACGGAATTTTTCTCAGTTAATTTTTGAGTTAATTCCAGATGTTGATGTTCTTTCTCGAGCAATTGTCTTAAATCAGCATTATCTGCTAGAGTTTGATTGTGAAGATTTTCGATTTGTTTTAAACGAGAGATTTCAATCGAGTCTTGTTCACGTGCTGCTAACAGATCATCGTACAATTTCTTGTTGGTTTCTTTGTCACGAACGGCATTTAGACGGAAATTTTCAATGACATTCTCTAACGCTAAATGATCTTCAGTCGCTGACTTGAGTTTCTCGAGAAATCGATTATTTTCCTCTTGGACAACAGCTAACTGGGACTTCAGTGCATTGTGTTCGTTAAGTAACGTATCGAATGCTTGTGTACGTTCATCGTCAGTGGGAACGGCTTGAACAGCTAAATGGAATAGGTTGAAGTGATGAAAACGATTAGTATGAAAGGTTTACTTTCAGTTAGTTGTTTGCATTGTGAATTGAGTTGCTCGTTAATTTCGCGTTGTTCGTTCAGATCTCTTTTTAGACGTTCATTCAATTCTCGTTGTTCTCTTAATTGTTGAGATTCTCCTTTCAAGTGATTTAACGTTGATTTTAACGTCGCATCGATGGATTGATTCAATTCTTTAACTTTTTCCAGTTCTTTTCTCGTTGTATTTAACTCTGCTGCTTTATTATCATACGCTTGTTGTAATTTCGTATTCATCAATTTAAATTCCGATAATTTCATCTGTAAATTCTCTTTTTCTTTAGTTAAATCAGCATTTTTCGCTAATAATGTGTCACAACGTTTATCCGAATCTAATTTAGCTTTTTCGGCTTGGGCATAACGCATAACAGTCGATTGTTTCTCGCGCGAATAATCGTCTTTTTGACGAGCTAATATCGTTTCGTAATGTTGTTGGCAAGCAACTAAACGTGCGTTGAGTTCAGCAATCTCACTGCTTTGATTGGCAACAGTTGTTGTCAGATTGGCAATTTTAATTTCATCTTCACTTATCAAAGGTTCAGACGGAACAGTTTCTAAATACAAAATCAGTCATATTGCTGCACAAACGAAAGAAAATATTTTACCAGTCGCTTCGGTCTCTTGAGTATTGTGTATTGGTTCATTCTCAGTTGGATTATCTCCGACATCAACTGACGGTTTTTCACCGACCGTATCATTTGAATGATCACTTGCATCCATGAGATCTAATCTTCAATGAGATCAGATGAAATTCATCTAGAAAGAATTCCACATAGCAAATGATGCTTGTCTGTTTATGTCTCTCTTCACTCGATGCACAAGACCCAACAACAAAAATAAACAAAAAAGAAAAGAATATATTGTTCTCTTCGTCAAAGACATATAAAAAGAAAGAAAAAGAAAAAGAAAATAGTTAGTAGCCGTATGTATATATATTTCGAAACAAAAGAATAGATTGATTAATTTGACAGTCTGTTTTCATCTTGCTTCGCTGTAGAATTATGTACACAGAAAGCGACAAAATAAAGTTCACGAGTAACAATGCGACTAGAGTCCGGAAAATGACAAAATAAAGAAAGACAGTGCAGATTATTTTCCATACAATTGGGCAAGAAAATCGCCAAGACTGATGAATGTCGTCGGATCTGTTCGTTGAGTATGATTCCATATGTAGATAGCTAAGCCACTTATAGTTAACGTCACGCCCCAAAGAACTATACGTGGTAGAGGAGTAGGCTGTTCGTTATGATCGATTGTGTCCGAGGTTTTCCCTTCATCATTATCAGTTGGAGAAGAATCTGTGCCGTATCGTCTGCGAAGAATAGTCTCCATTGAAGGATTGTCGATTGATTCACTAAGAAGAAGAACAAGTAAATAGAACAATTTTTCTTGAAACATGTAAGTGAAATTCTGTGTACCATTTTCTTCTCCATTCGTCATTTAGTACATCGAGCGTATCTGGATGATGGTTTCGAAATAACTGCAGAGATCGTTTGATAATCTCTTCCCAATGACTGACCGCTAAATCACTGGGTAAACGTGTTAAGTATGGATGTAATGATGCCATATCACAATCAATGGATAAAACTTGTTTCGAATGAAAATTAACGACCTAATCAGTAAATATATGATCAATTAGTTCTTCCTATGGAAGAAACGAAAAAAATCAATTACTTCAGCAGCAACATAAATTGGCATGAGAAAATGTGAAACAATGAAGAGATCGTATAGTCGAAGGATTGTATCAAGATTATCTAACACATGTGAATACCATGTGATGAACCATGATAATGCAAACATGACATTTCCAACACCGCCTCTGTAGTTATATATCAAAGGAATACAACAGATCTAATCTTGGAATGGTTTCTACCTTTGCATATATTCCGCACATTCACTATTGATACAGTTGATAAGTGGCATTAGATAAGAAAGTAAATCACAAGTTTTCTTCATCGTTGGCTCCATAAAATCTCTATAAAAAACATCGGAAAATGCTCGTGTTTAGATTGGAGAAAGATACTCACTTGAAATGCGACTTTGTTATTGTATCAATAAATGGAAGACATAGATCTGCACCCAGCACAAGTAAAAAACTCAAACAGATATCATGATAACCCTGGAAAGGTAGGAGAACGTTGGTTTTCATTCTACATTCGTCAGCAATTTACCTGATAATAGTTTAGATAGTCATGTTTAATTAACATTTTAACAATAATAACAATCAACTCTTCTTGCAATTCAATTCGATCCGATTCGGAATAATCTGTAGAAGAGACAATCATGGAAAATTTCTTTAGAAGATAGTTTCGTACTTGGCGGAAATCGTTTGAGCGTTCTTTCAACATCCATTCGGACTTGACCATAGTATCTATGTGATTCAATTTGATTTTTATCTAAATAGATCATTGAGTAAACGAATAGATTCGAAAAACGGAAGAAGAATGTACCTGCGGCATAATAATCAATCGGACACGAATATTTTCTATTTACTTGATCAAATTCTACTGGACAATATGTTGGAAAATGGATTAATAAAGGCCAAATCTGTTGCCGATATGATTCTGATATCAGTCCATTCATTTTGGCGTACTTTTGTAGTTTTTCAATGTTGTTTTTAACGAGATACTTCTCAATTCGATCGATTTTTGTTTTCGTAACGACTAAAAAGTTTTCATCATCACTCAACGATAATGATCCATTGGTTGTTATGGATGACGAAATTAATTCCGAATGTGCATCTTCCATCACTGCTGAATCATGATCCGAATCCGAATCCGAGCTGTTCTCATCCAGATAATGATATTCATCAATAGTCCCCATCATAAGAGAAACAAAATGAAACTAAGATATTATCTTATGAATTCAACCGTAGGAACATATGTGGCAATCGGTAATGATGAATAGTTTGTTGTTTTCTTCTTTCTAAATAACGAATTTGTTGCATTTAGGAGCCACTAGTTATGCAAGAAAGAAAGAGAATGTAGCTCGCTCTATGTTGTTGTCATTGTGGAACAAGGTAGCCAATAGAATCAATTGTAAGTCAAACAAAACGAGATTTTCATTTTGTTTCATGAATGGATCTTCGATGATTGCTAAAAAATTTTATCTTATCGGTGGACTATGTCTGATTTGGGGAATATTCGGTGTCGAGAGAACGATTTATTGGTTATTTCTATTCCTAACAATCGTTTTTGGGTTGGTTCTTGTTTGATTTCTTCTGAAACTATTTGACTCATCTTTAGTTTCATTCTGCATTTGATTATTCACAAACAAACATGGGCGAAATCCAATTCACTCTATGAACATATTAGAATATCATTTGTCAAAGCAAAACTACTTACACACGTAAGAAAAACACGAAATGATCGGGCAAGTGTATCATTAATAATGAGTTTTGTTGTTGTAGATTACTGATATCGAATTCGATTCATTATCACGTTCCAAACCATCGAAGACATTAAATGATCGTGCATCATTAACAGGAGTATCTGATATTGATGAGCCACTCTATGAAGTAAATGGAGCTCTCGGAGACGAATAATTGAATTTTTGATTATGGTTTTCTAGTTAATCGATTTGTTTGTTCGTGATTATGTTGAAATTTGGTACAAAACTCAATTAAGTTCAGATGAACTATTCGTTGAAGATGTCAAAAATGGCATTTACACGGCGATTCGTCATCTATCTGAAAGGTACTTTTCATATTTTCCATTCTCATCAATTGCACTACTTTCTTTTTGTATTAGATTGCGTGAAATCGATTGGTTAGAGTTTTGTACGGGAACAATCGTCGATAGTTTTGCTACGCATGTTCGACTGTATCGAAAAGCTAAAGAACGTATGCGTTTGGAACAATCGACAGACATTCGTTCGTGCTTCTTTGATTTGGAAGCAGAATACGAACGAGGAATTTGTCGCGATGATGTCTGTATGGATAAAGACAAAGAAAAAGGTTTGTGCACTAGTTTTCTCTCAACTTTGATCAAGAAAGACGTCCTCTACTAGAGTTTCTTCGAGATATCGTCGAAGTTCTTTTGTATATACTTCTTCCGGCGAATGAATTCCGTTGTGTACCAGCTCGAATTCTCATTCGAGTATGTTCAACGAATCGATCGAGTCACTTATGAATTAGATTTGTTTTCAATAGGAAATTGCAGTCAATCTAGGTTTAATACCATTCATTGATATGTATGCTGATCCTGACGCCGTCAATCAATTGATTATCAAAATGGTAGAATGAACAAGAAAAGAGAATTGTTTTACACAAGTTTCTATTTAGTGTCAACAAATTCCATTAACCATCGACAATTTCCTTCTAGTCGTTCGAACGACTGACTCCAGAATGGAATTAAGTACACTATTAGAAAGACTTGATATTGAGACAAGCCGGTGGAGATCGAAAGACACCGGAGGAGAAAACGGTAATCGTTCTTTTTTTTTTCTTCTTCGTAATTCGATGTTTATCCAGATGCCGACGTGCGAGCTGTACTAAATAGTTATCAATATCTGAAAAAATTACTCAACGAACGATTGGAAGATCAACTTCGATTGGAACCTATGATATTTGTTCGTGTTTTTGTTGTTGATGAATCTCATCGACGTACTTCGTGTTATTTATTATTCAGGATGATGATGATTCGGTATCAAAAGTATCTTATCGAGAATTGCCATTGACAGAAATTCTAAACAATTGCAATGGCTTAGACTATTTTTTAAGTAAGTTCGATTTTAAATAAGATGACTTTTTAAAAATAAGACGTATTTATAGAATTTCTGCAATCGATCGATGCTGTTGGGTATGGAAGTTTTTACTTGAATGCAGAAGTATGTCTAATTGGAATGAACAATTGTATTTTGATGGCATTTTTAGGCATTCCGATGTGCTGGGATAACAGCAGTTCAACAGAATGGAAATATGACTGAAGAACAACATCAATCAAATCAGGCAATCTTACGAAATATGGCAACTGATCTTATCGAACAATATTTTCTTCCGACTGTAAGTATCGTAAGTGAATTGCATAGCAAATTGAAAGTTTACGTCATTCAGGGTACATTCAAATTACCTATGGATGAAAATCTCATTCAAAAAACACTGAAAGCTCTACAAGCACAAACAATCGATGAAACACTACTGGATGAACTACAAACAAAAGTATGGTCTTTACTTTTCTGTACATCGTCACTTCGATCACGGTCTTTCATAGGTTTTCGAAATTCTCTCATCTGATAAATACTATGGTCAGTTCAAAACGACATCACAATATTTGAAAGTTTTAAGCGAAATTGATTTCACCGACTCACTTGCTGATAATTCCGGTAAGATTTTCTCGCCATACAACTAATCAAAACCTATTCCGTCCATGTGAATCTAGATGCTCTGTCATTATCGAGTAATAATAGTAATGAAATCTTGAATGACATCAATGAACCTCACCAATCAAGTCCAGGAAGTAGTTCGAGTAGTGCATCAGCATACGTACCTGATCTGCTTGATAATGTTGACAACTATGTAATCACTACTGAAATCAATGATTCCGGTGAGATCGATGCTATTGATAGGATACGTAAGACGTGTGCTTTGTAGGTATATGTTGTGAAAAGGGTGAAAAATATGCAATCTATGTGATATCTGTGTCTTGTAAATCATTAAATCCGATGATGGATGATCAAAAACGTGAATGGATAACATATCGTCGTTACAGTGAATTCAATGATCTCCATATGACAATTAAAAAACGTTATCCCGCTCTGCGTGAGTTTATTCAGTTACCTAATAAGAGCTTTATGAACAATACCAGTCAAGAAATACGATTGAAACGGCAAAAAGAATTGAATGATTATTTAGCTGTAAGTTCGATCGTTTATCTTTTTATTTAGAACTCTTTTAAACCTTCTTTCAATTGTAGACATTAACCAAACCGAAGGTTCTACACAATAATCCAGGCCTTGGCGAACTCTTGCTCAAATTCTTGCGAAATCAGCAATGGAAGCACGAACAAACTGAATTATCTCGAAAGGTACGATTCTTTTCTCAACTGAACAAATGATTTTTCACAAAGAGCAAACATATCGACATTTCTTATAGGATTTTTTCACATCAACGGTTTGTTTTGTTTTCTCGTTCGTAGTTTAATCATCACGAGTAGTTCTGTGTGCACATATGTTTTAAGGATATTGTCTTCTTTCATTTTGCGTTCTTCAATATCATTTGTTTGATCATCTTGAATTGAATTATTTGCTTTTCGATTTTTGTACAGATGGACACATTGGTCAATCCATTCAAACAAGCATCGATCGGCATCGTGAAAGGTGTTTCCAAAATCGGAGGTGGTCTAACTATCGTTTCGGATAGTGTCGTAGAAAATGCGAGCAAGATCTTTCGAACAAATGGAAATAATTCCAATCGAATAAATATTAATTTGAACAAAGATTCTCAAACATTTTCCATCGTTGAAGAAACTCAAGCAGAGGTAGGAGGAGAACGTTTGAGATTGTAGTTTTCATGCGTTATTGATGATACTAGAACGCAAAAAACATTCCGCTTCGTGTATTATTGGTGATTATGGATGAAGTGTTCGATCTTAAACAGAAAAATATGTGGTTTCGCTCGAGATTTGTGGCGATTTTAAAACGATTTTTACGAGCGTTTATGGGTGATTCAGTCAATCGGTGAGCTAATTTTTAAAAACACTCAGTCTCTTCATCGTTGCTCTTTGATATTAGACGTATAGCAACTTTTGTTCAACATTGGACATCGGCCAAGAAAATTGCAAAGGAAATCTCTCGATTCATGTATGAAATCCATTTCAATCGATTCGATTTAACCAAGATTGTTTTCTAGAGAAGGATATTGGCCGAATGGTATTCTAGCTGATAAACCACCTAAACGTGATGACAGTGTTCGACATGTAACACAAGTATTATGTAAAGCCAAATTGCTTGGTATTGTTTCAGGTAGATTTTTGATTCAATCTTTTATCCTATTCATGTTGTGCTTGGTTTCTAGACGAACTTCGGCACATTATTGGCAGCGAAACAACACGTCGTGGTTTATTGCGTTTGTTTGAATTACTACAAAATGAAACGTTCAATCGTCGATTCGTTTATATCGTGATCGAAGCTCTGTTGATCAAATTATTTCGACCGAATGATTTACATTTGATCTTCGAAAAACTTTACTCTCAATCCGAACGTGTTAAAGAAGAATACCGACGACGAATCTTCGAACAAGAACATTCTCACAATGGTATCATCATCACTCCAACACATTATGGCGAAACTGGTCAACGACCTTACTACTTCAGTCGTCTATCAGTTCGAACCGATGATAATATTGGTTTACACAGATCCAATAGTGTATATCAACAACAGCAACAACAAAAGACACTTCCTCGAAGTTTTTCGAAAATATCGCGCTAACTTCACCTTTTCTTTTTTTCTTCCGGTGATTTCATTTGCTTTCCTTTTCTCTTCTTCTCCGTCCACTTGAATGATCCCCACTCTGATTGCATACATACTTATACATATATGAATAATATTAATGATTCAAATTTTTTTGTAAATTGTCTGATAAATACTATTTTCTTTTCTCGCTATGTATATTTATTCTGGTATGTACTTCTGCGCGGCTTTTCTTCCTTAACCATAACAGTGTAATTTCGTAATGAGTTATTGCTTCTACCTCGAATACATACATGTATTATTCGTTTTCGGTATTTCGAACTAAATTGTATTTCTATGACATGAGACTTTCGTTTTATTTCTCGGTTTACTAACAGAAATATGCATAATAAATAAATCTACATATTACTAAACAATTTCTAACTGCAAATGAGCAGACCGATGAACATATGTTCAAAAACATAGTCAAACAGTCTTATGCAAGAAAATCATCAATCATTTCTAGCAACAATAACAAAATGTAGGATATAGTAACGAGCTGGAAGTGTATATCTACATAAGTGTCGCAATATTTTTTAGAGGATATAGATATTCGCCCCCCGTTCGTATCAATACTCCTACTCATTGGCAAAGATAAGCTGTCCTTGATGTTATTCAACATAGAATGACAGTAGATGGTTTACATGAGAATCATCGTTTCAAATAAGAAAAATATGAAAAAGTAAAGTAAAATCATTTAGCGGACGATTACATATTTTCGATTTTAAACGATACAACTTTGTTGTCTTTCTATCTAAGGAAGTATCGAAGATAAACACCATTTACTCAGTAGAGTACAGTTTCATTGACATATACGGACGTTCCATTCAAAGTTCTTTTCTTTCCTTTTCTTTAGCTACTGTTGTTATTATTTAGTCGTCTCTTATCTGGCCGTAAGGCGAGCAACTTTCCAATCAACATCGGATATAGCAGCAATGGCGTATTAACAAGAACGAGAAAAGAGAGGGAAAATAGAAGAAGAAGAAGAAGAAAATTGTCTCCGTATTTTTAGGATTGCAACAACGTACAATATCCTCCTTCTCTTATGCGTTGTCGGTTGCTTTTTTTGTCTCTGGAATCCATGTTAGACGAGATCAGAGAAAGCGTTATTGCCTTTTTCTTCTTGTACAAGTTCTTTGGGATGTTCGAGCTTGTCTCTCGTTTTTTTTACCGAATCGAGTAATAGCAAAAGGAGACAGAAGATTTTCCCAAAACAACATCAAAAAGCTATCAGCGTTGTCTTCGTGATCATGCTGATATTTAATAAGAAAAACACACGAGGAAAAGACGAGAGAGAGCAACGGAGGTTTTCTCGAAAACAACAAGCTAGCATATGCAGAGGTTAAGAAGTCTTTCAAATGCGAGACAAAGAAAACTTCATACATAATTATATATACACAACTAATCAGTATTTGTATATAAATGTGTGATAATAATCATTGAGCAACTGTTCTTGCTCAATCAATCATTCATTTTCTTTTCTTTTGTTCGTTGGAGTCTATTACGTAGCAATTATAGCTCTGAAACAATCTCATTGTAGAAATATCCTAATCGAATTATCAGCAACGATGCGTTCATCCTACGATTCGTATCGTCATTCATCATTATCTTCGTTGCCGAACCGTAGCTACCGTCATACAACTCCATCGAATTACTTAGATTTAAATTCACAAGTTGGCGGCAGTGAACGAGCAGAATTTCACGATCGTTATCAAAATCGAGTAAGAAGAATCATTTCATCTGGATTTATGCTCATTTCTTATTTTCCTAATGTAGTATGCATGGCTCGAGAAGAACCATGTCAATGAAGTTGGTTCAACATATAATTCGCTGGGTAAAAAAGTCGATCACAAGCCATCGGCATGGAGATGTGAAGATCAAGCCGAAGCTGGAAAGTAAAATGAAATTGTCGAGCGAATTGATCCGTAAATCTAATTGGTGTTTTTTCTTTCGAAGGGAATTTTTACGAATCAATGATGAATGTGCTGATAAAATTTATGATATTCGTGATCAGAGTGACATGAATCGTGAATTTCTTCTCAATTCGGATGGTGTCGCACCAAGATTTTATAAAATGGAAGCTGATGCCGTACGTCAAAGTTAAAAAAAAACATCATTTCTTCTTTCATAAGTTTTCTTTTAGTTAAAAACTCGCTACGAATTGAACAATATGAAGCGTAAATTAGATGGTATTAAGCAATTACGCGCTCGATTATTCAAATGAATAAATACATTCTATTAGAAGAACAACAATATCAATAATTCATATTTTAGTTTATTTTCAAGTTGTATTTATCAATTCTGGTGACATACAAAAGCACAAAGCATATTAACAATCGGAGATCGATTTAATATTTAATTTGTTCTTGGTTTTCTCATTTTTCTTTTCGTTGCTATCTACCTTCTTCTTTTTCACACCCTTTCTACACAATGTTTCTCTTCAATAATCATAATCTAAGTAACGAATATCAGCAATGTTTTCGTTTTTTTCTTTGTAACACTTTTGAATGATATGATAACAACATATATCGACTATTTGCGTATGCATATGGTCATTCAAATAAATATCCAAATTCAATCTATCATCATGAAACAGATTCGTCTTCACTAATGTCTAGATCGAAAATAATTCAAACAACAAGAGTGATTGCAAACTCAGATTTATGCATTATTAATCAAGACAATGAATTTTCGGCTGTGGAATGATCGCTTTCTCAATGTACTACCAAAGCGGATAATGTACGAGCTTGCTGTGAATGTTATGAGAAGTAAAGAATATTCGTTGTACGATCATATTGAACAATAGTAATAAGATGAAAATAAAGCGATCGTACATTAGCAGAAGTTCCATATCTATTGTGTTTGCAAGATGAGGAATGTTTCAGCTCTCAAGAAGAAAACTTGATTGCGCAGTAAACAAGTGTAGTAGCAAAGGATTTCATGAGAGTGTGTCTTAAAACGTATGTTCGTGAAACAAAATCATATGATAGAGTAGATCAAACCATTATCGGCGTCTCATCGTCGGGTGGAACAACAAGATCTTATGTTAAAAAGTCCGGTACAACGATTCATCAATCTTTCTTTGAAATTGCTGGAAAACAATTGGGTCTACAGGTTTCTGTCGGTGGTACATAAATTCATTTACCGAACGTTAAATGAATAGCAAAAATAGGCTTATTTACTTGGCATAGGGCGTTTTTCGAAACCGCACTATGTCACGCCGAGAATAGATTTAGCTGAGAAGACGAATGATAAAACATATAGGTATAAATACCAACGTTGTTTAATTCATTTGAGTAGAAAATACTCGTCTTAAGTTATAAAATACATCCAGCATTCCAGATTTGATTTTTCAACGCAAGTACTATGCACTGACTTTATCCTGAATGAAAAAAAATGAGTAAAGATGTTCGGTAAAACCTAACAGACATATAGTCTGGACTATTTTGAGAAAATTCCTATTGAAAAACATAAGTCTATTATATCAAAGCATTTCATGTACATGTTAACATTGTATTCAATTGAACTCAAGCAATAGATCTTCTTTCTTTGAATGAGTATCGAAGCTCACAAAGTGATGACTCATCACTTGTACGTCTTATGCCGAAAACAATCTTTTTCAACAATTCATCATTAAACTCACAAGTTTTTGTATTTTTAATCGAATTTTACTCAACTATATATAAATGTTTTCCTTTCTTTTGGACGATGATGTCGCTAGTGTCGCTATAGGAAAAAAGCACAAAAGGCCTCTACACATAATGAATGTCAATGTAAACCATTATGGCTGTTGATCCTCAATATTTTATAAATGTAAAATGTGGATAATGAAGTTGGATCAGCTGGAATTTCTTTTGTCAAAAGTTCGCCAATTGTAAAATATTGTTTATTCTTTTTAGATTCTGATTCTGAGGTCAAGTCTAATTAAAAGCTAAGAACATTGCTATTTTATTGTCTTATTCACATTTTGCAATTGAAATATTCAATCAAGATCAACATTTTGTCGTTAATTTTTCTTACAACACATTTTTCATCTCTCTCTCTTCATTTTAATTTATTCAAATCTATTAAACTTAATCTCCCAAAATACATTCTTTTGTTCCTTCGAATCAAATGGCAGCCGGCGCGCATATGGCTGCAACACAACAAGCAGCTGATGACCAAGCATCGTCACTTTATTTTTCTGGTATCTGTCAAACAATATCAGTTAAATGTCAACATAGAAATGAAAATGGTTTATTAACATGTTCAAGAAATCTCTACGTTTCGTGTAAGTTTTATTTTCGTTTGCTTTACAATAATCACCTGTCATCGTATTATGTTGAAATTTCAGGTCCACATTGTCATTTACTACTCTGTATTGATCATATTCACGAACATGAAAACTTACTACGATACGAAATTGAACAATTAATCAATGGTAAAATGAACATCATGTTGTCTGTTTTCTGTGCTAATCTATGATTTTCTTCTGCTAATAGAAACAAATATTGTCAAAGCAAATATTCGTGCGTTGTTAACAACGTCTCAGCAACAACCATCGTCGACTACGGCGCAAGTGCTCGACGAAAAACAACGTACACTATGTGAATTACTTGAACGATGGGCTACAGTGGGAAAAATTTCTATGTCACAAGCCGCACTCATTCAACATCAATGTGGTTATATTAGTCAAACTACCCAACAGCAAGCAGCTACAGCTGCTTCGACTGCGGCCGCTGCTGCTGCTGCTGCAGCTGCACTTGCTGCTGGAACAACTAACCATCATGTTGCTCATCATACAGTTCCTGCACAGCAAAACGGCACTGGCACAACGAATCCAAATAAACTTCCATCACATCATCAGCAACATCATACAAATAGTGGTGGACATGCAAGTCATCATCAAAATAATTCACATCATCAAGATCGATCGTCACAACAATTAGCAGTCAATGTTGTGAAGAAACGACGAAGTGGGAAGAATAAAATTGTTACATTGTTGATGAAAAACGCCGAAGGAGAATACGAATGTGTAAGTTGTAAAAGATAAGAATATCTAATCTCGAATAATCATTTCTTTCTAGCCAAACGTTCAATGTCGGAAGTCTCTCAAATGTCAAGGAATCACGGCACACGTCAAAGCTTGCGCAGTCGATTGGTTGAAAGAAAACGGGCAGTACCTGAATTTGAACTAATGATGATCAACAACGAGCAAAGAGACAAACAAAACAATGTTTTTGTTTTCGGTTTTTTTTATACAAAGCTCGCATTCTTCTTCACATGTAATACACCACTGTAGTTTGTCTCTGTAAATAAGTTTGTTCTTCTGTGTATGTTTATGTGAGTATCCTGTTCAACTTGTATACATCGCCTGTCCTTCTTCTAGTTGATTCATATTCGAAAAGTTCAACACTGATATGTATTGCGAAAATCAGACAAAAAAAAACCTAAAACTTTCTTTTCATTTATGTGTGTGTGTGTGTGTGTGCTCTGTTACCTTATTTTTCTCTCTCAACTTACAGATATATGTATAAGGCCGAAATGAGAGAAAATGTCTCCATCTTCTTTCTTTTTTTTGTGTATGTTTCTGTTGTAACAAACTTTTTCGTTTCATATCTTTCAAATGCAACAGGAAAAAAAGGCAGAAAACAAAAAATTTTGGTTCGTTTTTCTAGATTTTTTTTGTTAATAAAATGTCAAGAAGAGCAGAGATACGATTGTCGATTTCACAAAAGCACATTCAGGTTAAAAAAAGAACTCACATATGTCTACCATCGTAGAAATCGTGTTGCATGAAAAAGGAATTGCGTTGAATTGCGCAAGTACATCATTTCTCACACGTGGTGAAAGAACAGCACGTTGATGATTTTCTTTTGCTTTCTGTTTTGATGTGTTTTACTATATAGGATATGACTCACACTCAACACGTCAGTCAACATGTTTGCTAGCAAGTATTTATATACCACAGGGAGTAAAGCGACTTATTCATTCGTCGTATAATTTCAAAATAAGAAGAAATCATGGGTGTGCTAAGTTCCCCGTTGAATGGCAAAACATTTGTGCTCGAACTTGGTCGAGATGTTCGTTTTAAAGCTAAACAAGAACTAATTAATTATCTACGTGAACAACATGCTCAGATTTCGTACATTTTAACAGCTAGTGTAGGTTTTTCTTCTCCCTTGAACTCTCTTCCTCTCCGAAAATCTTCATCGATTAAACTTCATTTTACTCTAGACGGATTATGTTTTGGTTTCGAATGATATTGACACGTATAAAACTCGTCGAGCAAAGCAGCTCGGCATTCCATTGGTGAACGTTGATTATATTCATGAATATCGTAAATCAACTATTGGAAAAGAGTCAATTGACATCAAACGATTCATTGTTACATCGGCCGAAGATAAAGAAAATTTCTCCAAAACTGGCACCATACCAGTTGCAGGTTAATAGATATTGTCTTTGCAGAAAATTTATGTTAATGAAATGTTTCATTTCATTTCATTTCAGGAGGAGGCAGTTCGTCAAGTAGTGTAGTAAAACCTGTAAAATTTGATGTATCGAAAGTTAGGATCTGGAATCACGATGACGTTGAATTGCCGCGTTTTGATGAAATAACCCACGCTGAAATCGGTAAATGGGCCATTTTTAAGGTATAAATGTTTAGGAAACAGAAATAGATGATCGAAGTAGCATTGTTTTGTTTTTCGTTTGATAGGAAACAAATGATCATTCGGATGTTTATTTTGCTCTTGAATTACAAATTATTCCGGAAGAATATTTTTATCAGCAAGCGAATAGTGATTATCAATTTCGTTTTCGTTACGAAAAGCAGACCATCGTCAGTTCAAAAGGAAAAACGTCAGTTATTCAGTATGCATTCAGTAACGATATCAATGAATTGCATCAATTATTTGCATCTTATTACTATCGTATTGCAACAATGCCTCGAATAACACGCATTCGAGATTTATTACCTGATAAATTGGGTTCGAAATTGCTGTTACGCGTAAGTTGTTGAACAGAACGAATTCTGCTTTCGGACAGATGGGTTCTTCCATTTCAGTCATTGTTTCTGCATCGAATTGACACACAAATGCTTAACGATGATGTTTGTCAGCTGATCGAGTCACTTTGGATCGAATCTATTGGAGATTTGAACAAACTTCTAACTGTTCCACCTGAATCGATCGCTTTGAAAGCAGTATGAAAATATAGAAGGAGAAAGTGTAATGAGCTCTTTGAATATTTTCCGTAGATTATTGAAGCTGAGGCAGCTTTACTGGAAATCAAATCAAACGATGAATCAGCATCAGAAGCGCAAACGCGTTTTTACTCACTGATTCCTCATCGACAGCCGCATGTCGTCGATCTTGTTAAAAATCGACGAACTTTGATTGACAAAATCGATTTGTGTCAGGTAAAGTATGAATTTTGAAACTGTTTTTTGGTCAGACTTCGAATTGTAGATGTTACGTGACATGCTTACTATCAATGAATTGACAAATTGGAATATTAAAGCATCGATCGAAGCGAAATATCGTGCATTGAAATGTCACATTGAAAGTATTGAGAAAGATAGTCATGAGTATGCCACAATTAATAGTATGATACATTCGTCCACGAATTCGTATGTATTTTGATATCTGATGGAGAGATGTCGATATATTTCCCTTGCGACTCTTGTAGGAACGAAGAAGTTATCGTTCATCAGATTTTCAGCGTTGCTAAACAAACCGATGCGTTGAATTTTCGTTCGACACTGTTCAATCAACGACAACTTTTTCATGGTTCGAAATACAATAATTTTCTGGGCATTCTGTCACGGTAAATCATCGATTCGTAAAAGCTATTCTGTTCAATTTTCATTTCTTTCTATGCTTTCAGTGGTTTAATGTTGCCGAAATTGGTCGTCGATGACTTGGGAGTGACTCGTACTGATTTCGGATGTCTCGGATATGGAATCTATTTTTCGGATTCGGTTTCTACATCTCTAAAATACACAACACCGAGTACAACGCGTCCTGGTCGCCGATTACTATGTATATCTCAAGTAGCATTAGGTGAATCAGCGAAATACTATTCCTATGCAGCAAATTTAACACAAGCACCCGAAAATTTCCACAGTACACATGGGATAAAGAAGACCAGTGACAATAATTCGAAGTTTATTGTAAGTATACTTCTTGTTATTGTAGGCAAATTTTCAAAATGGACTATTTAGGATGACGAATATGTTATTTATAATCTTGACCAACAGCGATTATTGTATATTGTTGAAGTTTCATGGAAACCACATGATAATACCGATCAAGTATTGAAAGTATTACCGATTGTTCGTGATTCTTTACTTAATCAACTTCATAGCATGAAAAGTGAAAGTAAATGAAGAGCTTTGCACAACTTATCTTCGTTTAACATGACTTTTCCAATTTTGTTTTGTAGTCGTTGTACCATCATCAATCGAAGATGAAGTAATTCAAGTAGCCGAACAAGATTATGGTTTAATTTGTCCATCATCTGGTCAACTGGTTCCATTGAAAGCGTTCCATATTCGTGCTCAACTTGTCGATGTAACTGCTGAAGTATGTGGAATGATTTTCTCCTTTCAGTTCATCTTTTCTACAAAATACTTCTTAGGTTGTTCTCTACCAAGTTTATCACAACACAAGTTCAGTGCCGATCGAAGCCAAATATGTATTTCCACTGGATGAGAACTGCTCCGTTTGTGGTTTCGAAGCTCATATTAATAACAAAGTTATCAAAGGTGTGGTCAAAGAAAAGGAACAAGCAAAACGTGAATATCGTGAAGCAATTGAAAAAGGTCATGGTGCGTATTTGATGCATCAAGAACAACCTGAAGTGTTCAGTGTGTCCGTTGGTAATCTACCAGCCAATTGCGAAGTGGTCATCAAAATTACTTATGTCGCCGAATTACCTATTGAGAATAACGATATTATCTTTCGTTTTCCAGCCAAGGTAGCTTCATGGCAATCGAAGCAAGCTCTAGAATCGAAGGATCAAACCATACTCCCGTCCATTAGTCTTGAACGAGATGATTCGCTAATGAAATCGGTAGAGTTTAGCTTGAAAGCATCTGTGCGCATGCCGTATGAAATCAGTAAATTATTCTCTCCAACACATCGTCTTCGTCGGAAAGTAACCGATTGTGTAGCGATGATCGAAATGGTTGACAACGTTCTCTTAGACAAAGATTTTCTTCTCTCGATAGCACTGAAAAATATCAATGTACCACGCATGTTGAACGAAACATACACTGTTTCTGATGAAAATAATAACGTTGAGATGAATGATGAACAATCTCAAGCGTGTATGTTGACATTTTATCCAAAATTCGAAATGACAACTAATACGAATGAATTCGTGGAAGTTATTTTCATTATTGACGTGTCGAACTCGATGGATGGACAGCATGTACAACAAGCCAAACAGTTGGCACACCTATTTCTAACAAACATGAAAAACGACGATGCAAACATTTATTTCAATATCGTTACATTCGGATCAGGTAACTTATCGAATGTTGAAAACTAATGCAAGTTGTTTTTCATCATTTCATAGATAATGATGAATGTTTTCCAATTTCCTTACCAAATACAAAGGAGAACATCGATAAGGCAAAGCATTTTGTTCTGGTTTGTATTGTTTGTCTTTTTTTTTAAATGTAATACTTCTTTTAATGTTATAGCATTCGCTTGATCATCGTGGTAATACTGATCTTTTCACTGTACTTCGTCAGTATTCTCTTTTACCATCTCCATGTAAACTTGGCCGACAATTTATTCTTCTCTCCGACGGGCATGTCAATGATCTGAATTCGATTCTGACTTTACTAGAAAATCAATCGTCTATGAAACATGATCGTTTCTTTACCTGTTCAATCGGTGACACATCAAATAAGCATCAACTCAAACAACTAGCTAACGGAGCACATGGCGGTGGACTGACCACTGTGTTTGATTCAAACTTCCGTTCACGATGGAAATCAAAAGTTCTTCTCATTCTCGAACATATTCGTCAACCATGTGTAACCAACATATCAATTGATTGGCATGGAACTATCGAAAATGAACAGGTGAGATTTACCAATCAAGCACCAAATATAATCCGTTCATTATTCAATGGTATGCGTTTAACTGTGTATCGTTTCATTCAAAATTGTCATAAAGCCACCTTGACAGCAATGATTAACGATCAAGAATTTGTTACTACTGTGTTTAGTAATAAGATGACTGAAACAAAAGGACGAATTTTACATTGTTTGACTGCACGTGCGATTATACATGATTATGAAAATGGTTTGTTGCATACCGATGAAAGTGAAAACGAGCTGATCAAAAAACAATATAAACAAGATCTAATTGATTTAAGCGTAAAATATTCAGTCGTCAGTTCATTTACAAGTTTTGTAGCAATCGAAGAACGAGATCGTGATGAAGTACTTGAACCAGGTAAGACATATTCTTCGAGGCCGAATCAAGCAATGCCTTTTTTGTCTGTCATTTAGGTGTTCGACTACTTGATGTAATGCTTGAATCAGATATTGATCTATTACCATATATTGGCTGGGATGGTGATCGATCCCAAATAGAGATAGTGAAAGAGAAGCTATTGAATGCCAAACGTTCATTTGAAAATGCTTCGATTTCGAACAAACTTGAATTAACTCAGGAGTATGAGAAACTTTGTCAAAATATATCGTACCGGTCGGGTGGTGATGCTAAGTATGATTTAATGCTAGCAATTATTGACACGTACCGAACAACATTGAAAGATAATAGTAAAGCGTTGGAATTGGAAGAAAAAATTCAACTTGGTAAACTTGAAAGTACTGTCATTGATTGGTGTCGACTGATTTAGCCTTTTGTAGAACTATCGAATGAAGTAAAGAGCGCAACGGCTGACGAACGGAAAATACTAGAGAAACGTCTGGCAGAAATCAATGCACGTATTAATATGGCGGAATCGTAAATAAAAATGACGAAAGAGAAAGAGTTCCTAGGAATATTTTTTTATAGAGAAATTTCGTATGACAATAGCGAAGATGAAGAGAGTGGGGAAGAAGACGAAAGCGGTAACGAACATCTTTCTTGCTTAAAGATTGCTTGCAATACAAATCTCTTCAATATAGACGATGAATGGTGTGACGAGGGCGAAAGAGAGTGTCTAGTAAGTTGTTTTGGTTCACAGAACGAAAAAATCTTTTATGAACTAACTTATTGTCGTTTCTTTTTAATCAAAGAGTCGATCGTATTCTCTTGACGAAGGTATGTTAATATGTTTGAAAATATTCTTTCAAATGATTTATTTTGTGAATATTTTCTAGAGAGAAAAAAAGATTCTGATGTAATTGATCGAATTGAATGCCACATCGCAAGAGCAACTTCACCAGTTAGAGAGTACTGTACATCTCCTGGAGCAGATGATTATGATGATGCTGATGATAGTGATGGTGATGTGGGCTGGGATCTCTTTGAAGCTGATAAGTCTGCGTCAGTTTTGTTAACTAGCTTGAGTGAAGTGTCTAGACCTATGAAGCCAACTGCAGCTGCAGCAGCAGCACAGCCGGTTGCTAGCAAAGAAAAAGGCAAGAAGGAAGCCGAGGAAGAGGATGACGAGGATGCAGACTGTATGGGCTTCGGTCTGTTCGATGATTTTTCACCGCTTACATCACTTTCTCCAGTAAATCGTCACAAACAGGATGCGCAACTTGACAAAGCTGTGGATCCATTTGCAACCAATGCTCGCCGTTTAATGCCAGATATAGAAGAACATTCACTAGAAATAGGTGAGAACCTTTCACGAAACATTTTTTTATTTCTACTCACTTTAATTTTCATATTCATTGATAGCAATGCCCGCTTCTAACGCGCTTGTGACACCCAAGTCGAAATCTATGATCACATCACAAGAAAAGATACAAGTACCTACTAAAAAGGATCGTAAATCAGCAATTGCTTCTATAATAACAAAAAAGGCAGTCTTAGATGATAAAGAAAGTACCACTTTTACCGAAACACAATTCCCACAACAACAACAACAACAGCAACAAATTCCAATGAACCCTTTCACATTCCCTCAACAGTCATTTTCGTTTGGTTCTACAAACGCAAATTCGTTGTTTTCTAATCAAGGCGCTGTGCCCACAGTAGCACAGTCAACACCATTCTACAACAACACCGCTGCACCACCCTTACATTCATTCACAGCCTTCACATTCAACAATAATCAACATTATTCTTCCTCACACCCTGATTTACCATCACCTCGTCAGACTACTACTACTGGGACATCTTCATTTGGTACATTGGAAAATGCTGCGTCTACGTTTTCTTCGCCAAACTATTCACCATACAGTCCTTCTTATCCAAATCAAAGCAGTTCGTACACTAGTGTACCTCCACCGCCGCCATCATTCGCTGTACCCGTACCTTCTGGACTGTTTGGTAGTGGCACAAGTAGTACAAGTAACTTATTTGGTGGCTTCATCGCACCAGGATTATCAGTACCACCACCACCACCACCACCTCCACCTTCGCAGACTTTTGGAATGTTTGGTGGCTTCGCCGCGCCAGGATCATCAGTACCACCACCACCACCACCTCTGCCTCCATCTTCGCCGACTTCTGGACTGTTTGGTAGCTTCGTGGCACCAGGATCATCAGTACCACTACCACCACCACCACCTCTGCGTCCATCTTCGCAGACTTCTGGACTGTTTGGTAGCTTCGTGGCGCCAGAATCATCAGTACCACCACCACCTCCACTTTCGCAGACTTTTGGAATGTTTGGTAGCTTGGTGGCGTCAGGATCATCAGTACCACCACCTCTGTGTACATCTTCGAAGACTTCTGGACTGTTTGGTAGCTTCATGGCGCCACGATTATCAGTAGCACCACCACCACCACCACCTCCACCTTCGCAGACTTTTGGAATGTTTGGTAGCAACTTAGCATACGAGGGTGTACCTTCTGTATCAAAATCAGATAATGATAGCTCACGGTCTTCAATGAAATATTCATTTTCGCCTAGTATTTTTGAAAAAGCACAGGAAAACGACGCGCTAAAGTCTGTGCAAACTAGCTGGATGCAACCATCAGGGCGAGGCAGAGGCAGTGCATCTCCGAACGCAAGCGCTCGATTCTGTGATGTTTGTATAGAAAAAATAGCGTTGGAATTTCGTATGATTTTTGTTTCATTGTAGTTACGCAACGATCGTAGTCGTACCGACTCGATAGAATCTATTACATTCGACCGGACAAGTAGATATGATGATTTATGTGCCAGAAAGAAATCAAAATCTAAATTGTACGTATAGTAAAGAAATCGCCTGTATACTAACCGGAACGTATTTATTTATTCGTTTTAGGAAGCTCGAGTCGACAAAAGTTAGCGGCCATGTTGAAGATCATGCACAAAATCTCTTGCTACTTGATGTTACACCACTTAGTTTAGGCATAGAAGATGTCAACGGTGAAATGTGTACAATTATCAGTCGCAATCGTACAATCCCAACGAGATCAGCAGTCTATTCTATATTCACTAATGCTTATGCCTATCAGACGAACGTTGTCATTCGTGTTTTTCGTGGTGAACATAGACTGACGAAATACAATGTAAGTAATACTTTTAGATAATTACAACGAAAACTGTTTTGTCTTCTCTGTAGACTTTTATTGGTGAACTGATTTTGAAAGGCGTAACATCGAATTTTGCTTCACAAACATTACAGATCTCAATTTTCATGGATATCGATGCGAATGATTGGTTTGAAGTTCATGCAGAAGAACCCCGATCAGGTGCTAAAGCAATGATTAGAATCGATCTAAATAATTGTAAGAATCTCTAATTCGAAAACTGTCGACAATCTTCGATTATTTTGTAGTTAAACTCAGCGCAGTTGATATTGAACGGCATTTGAACTACGTCGAGAGTAACGCTGATCACAAAGCTGCGAATTTTGAATACGCACAAGCGAATAACAATCGATTCATGGTTAGAATTACATTTGAAATCTAGATATTTTGAAAAGTTCTGTTCATTTTAGCTCAAAGGTGATACTGAAAACACGTCCGTTAGTTTTACAGGCGGTACAGATGATTTAAATAATCTTCTTAACTTCCAACGACCAAAAAGTCTCACATTAACTTCAACAGTGATAAATGAATTGAAACGAATTCAATTACCCAACGGATCATTCGAGATCAATGAAGATTTCGCGAAGTTATTCTCGTTTCCAATAGAAAACTTCGATAAGCTTAAGAAATATTTCATTTCACAAGGTTTCAACTCATTTGGTAAGTCTAAACCTCAACGAAAAGAGTCATTCACCATTAATCACTACCTTGTAGCTTTGAGTGTACAAAAGGATATCATGCAACTGATTGCCACTGGTATCGTTCTTCTACAATTGTTATTCCAAGTGCCAGTATCAGAACGAAAGGAATATTTAGTTCCATTTGATAGCGAACAAATAAAAGTAAGGAAACATGAATGTTTCCCTCGATAGATTTCGATTGTTTGTTTATTTTTAGTCGATTTTTCATGGTCATTTGCCAAAAACTTTAATAGAAAACGCGAATAAAATGGTTGATTTTTATAAACAAAAGCGTTCACAGTGTGGAATTTATTGCGAACAATTAGAATTGAAATACTCATCATGGGAAAAATTCATCCAGTACAGCATATTCAATATCGAAAACTGATTGAACGAATTCATTTTTCTCTTTTAACCCCGAAAACATTTTTCACTTTGAAATAAATATTCTAATACAACTAAACGTGTGTATCCACACATCTACGTTCTTATTCTTATCAAGGGTTACCAACAAATTCGATATCGTACGTCGTACGTTTCGAATACTTTGTTTAACATAAAACCTGGTATCTGGATGTCTAGTTTTCACTCTCTTTTGATGAATACGAATTTCTGGCCTAAGTACTATGATAAGAAAACGGTAATAATTTTCAGCCTACATTACGAGAACTGATATGATATTCGCATTCATTTCCAGGCTCATCCAACCATATATCGTTATCACAACATGTTTTCATTCTCTCTCGTATATCGATTCACAGGCAAAAACGAATACTGACAAAGAACGATCTGTGCACGTATCGATTCTATTCTCTTTCTCTATCTTTTTTTTCTACTATTCGCGATAACTCGCTGTATAAAAGGAGGTATGTTTAGCGTCTTTCTTTCACTTCTTACCTCATTTTATCATAGATCCGTTTTCGTCGAATCAGTAAGTGAACAGTTCAGCGCAAAGAGCGTTTTCCACAAATGCATGTTGACTTTCTTCAGATTCATAATGCAAGCCAGCCCTGCCCTTGAAAAACTTAAAGGTACCTGGGAATACGTCGATGGTGAACACTTCGACGATTACATGAAAGAACTCGGTGTTGGTTTTGCTCTTCGTCAATCAGCCAAATTAGTCAAACCAAAATTAATCATTCAGGAAAATGGAGGTAAATGGTCACTCAAAAGCGAATCAACACTCAAATCAGCTTCATACGAATTTAAACCTGGCTGCGAATTCGATGAAACACGTCTTGATGGTGAAAACGTCAAAGTAAGTTCAACCAGAACGCTTGAATTTCATCTTTTCTATTTCCCTATCGTTCATTTAGTCCACAGTTAAATTTGAAAACGACAAATGGGTACACACCATGCGTGATAAGAATGGTAAAGAATCAACAATCACACGTTGGGTTGATGAAAATGGTCAACAACAAATTGTATGATACCATTCGATTTGTGGAATCATGATTATTTGATTATTTTCTCTCACATAGGTAATGAAAGCTGGTGATGTCACCGCTCGTCGTTGGTACAAACGTGTCGACTAGATCTGTTTCAGTCATTATCACGCACGTTGAACAACAACAATAACAGTCAGAAGATATTTTTTTCTATCTTTGAACTTTAATCGTTTGTCTTTTCTTCACATCCGTTTTTATACAACCGTAGAAAAAAGAAAACAGTCACAGATGGTTTCCTACTTTTCTGTCCGACTATTTTCTTTTCTTTTGTATGCATGTGTGCGTGTGTTTGATTTTTCAAAACAAAAAAACTATAATAAACATTAAAAAAAAATGTATAAAATGAAACATCTGTTCACTGCTTTTTACATCAGTTGAAAGAATAGATACGATGTTTTTTGCCGTCAAAAACAGAATCAAGTACATTTTGTAAAAGCTTTTCATAACCGTAATTGAAAAACTATACTCTTCAGCTATATCCGATTGTTATTATATATGCGTATCATTGAATGAAATCAAGGGTGGAAGAGGAACTTCAATAGGTTCCACTTCAAGAGCGGATTGAATCGGGACCCTATGATATTCTTCAAAGGAGTGTGTTGGTGCTACTTGACAATTATTTCGATGCTAATGCTCTTAACATATAGCACGATGAGAGAAGGAAAATCGTTACTGTTGTTCAGCATTCACTGGCATAGATTTTCGACTGTTCCACTCGGCGAATACAAAATTTGTATTCTGATGTTGTTGATCGATTTCAGTGGCAATTAAAAGAGAATTCTCCGATTACAATATTTTTGCTTGTGAAACTGATACGGGTAAAGCATTTTGATATCGCTGGCAGAGCACAATGAAATGTTCTGTTTCATTTGATGTAAAATGGAGGATCTCAATGGCGAACAACAAGAAACGGAATTTGATCAATCTCCGGATGTCGAATCAGTGGATGAAACAACTCAAATCGAACAATCACAATCGAAATCCCTTATTGACTCCCTTCTGTTCACTGCAAGCCAACAGGAAAACGAGAAGAATAAGAAGATAAAAACCAGTCGTCAAAAAGAGCTTGTAATCATATAAGGCTAAATCTGATTTTTCTTCTTTTCTCTTTCTGTATAGGAACGTTTAACAAAAGCAACAAAATCTCTCTTCAGCTGCTGCGAAGAATTGAATATTGTATGTGAACGGATTGATTCAATACTATCAAATCATCGAACAATACTACTTCCCGTTTGTCGTTCACTAGATAAACGCGATTCCGGTCGTTTATCTTATGAACAATTTCGACTGAGTAATAAGAAAATTTTCTAGTTGATTGATTATGTTTGAAAAACAACATTTTCATTTGATTGTTAGTTATCCGAGATCATTTGCCTGCGATGCCATTAGAGGACTTGTTTGTTCTGACGAAATTGTTTCAAATCAACGAGTCTATTGACTATCGAACAATGCTTGATGATAACATAAACAATGGCATTCGACGTTTCATTAAACCTTCATCTGTATCTCAATCATCAGAAGTTATTCTTGAAACAACCATTCCAAAAGAACTTCAGCTAATGCATAATGATCCGTTACAAACTAATCATTCTAAGTAATTTCAAGATGCTTAACGAGACTGAAATAACTCTTGTCTTTTGCTCAGATGTAGATATCTCGTAGCGTACCTACGTTTGATTACTTTCGATGCTTATGATGCTCATCCTGGTCATATATATCTGACTATTCCAGATCGAATCAGTATCTACACACTATCGAAACTGATCATCGACGAAACGAGTATAATCACACAATCCATAAGTATTTTTCGCGAAAATGTACAAGCACGAGAAACTCTTCTCGATCTGCGATGTTCACTGCAAAGTCAAGGATACATAGGCGCTGACGAAGACGGTACACGTAACCAGCAATTTCCAAAGTATAAACTCTACTATAATTATCTTCCAATGAACATTTGTCATCAATGTCCAATATTGAAATTTAGCTATAAAATGAAATAAAACAGGATTATATATAACGGAAATGGGAATCATTAAGAAAATATACATAGCTTTTATGTCGTTACTTTTTGTTCAATAAAAGTGCATTTACTATGTAAACTGTTTTCCCGCAAAGTAGCTATTTGACTTAAGGTAATAGACAAAAAAAATGTGCAGATTAGTTTCGCTGCGAGACATGGAATAGAAAGGTCGACGGTTAAAGTTTGCGTCAATCATGATCAATATATAGTTGTGTTTTGGCGTTAAGAAAATTATTTCTACTGGCATTCAACGTCGCGAACAGGATATTCTTGTACAAAATACTCGATTACATTCGAGTTTCATTTTCCGTCAACTAACAAAAACTAATTATATCCCTAATCCATCCTAAGTCCTATTTTTCTCATTAGGATTGAGATCAGCAAAATTACGCAGATAACGACAACTAAATTATATTCATATAACCCATATACACACATTCGCACAGAGATATACTTAATATTCATTTGAAGTTTTGCTTTTACTCCATAGTCATAGACTAAACATTGTGTAGAATCTTAGTGAAGAAAAATGATATTTCATTTCTGAAATCGCGTTGACGAAGATGATAAGGAGAATATTCAAATAACAGTTAGAGTGCTTCTTAATAGTGACAAGGATGATAAAAACGGAGAATGACATAAGAATAAAAACGATTTACTTGACATTCATTTCGGCTGTTCTTTCTACTCATCAGACCTCTTATATCAAACTGCTCATCTTTTCTCGTTCTTCTCTCGTGAAATTTATTCGATTGTATGTAGTTCTTCTATTCCGTTCGATGATGATGATCTATCTGCATGCTCAAGAAAACATTCGTCACAGTCAATAATAGTATAGCCAAAGGCGAATAAGGAAAGGTGATGGTAATGATCAGCATCATAACGGCAATAGAGGCAAAGAGAGATAGAGAAAGAAACTGAGAGATAGATTTAGAGAAAAAGAATAAGTCGAAGTGCCGTCATTGGATTTTCTTTCTCGCTCTCTCTCTCTCTCTCGTTTCCTTCTTCATCTTCTTCTCTATGAAAGAAAATTTTCTCTTTCTACATGAGTCGGGTACCATTTAAACGATTTCGAGTGCGTCGAATGTCCTTAGAATAATTGATGTCTCAACATACTACTCATAAATGGACATCTATTAATCATAGCGACATCAACGTTCATTGAAGTTGAAAGTCGAACAGCAAACTTACGTACCATTCACCAAACTATGTCTCGTGCTACCTTTCGGTCGAATAGCACTAGGCCTTTTTGTAAGTATCAACAATTTTTGTCTTCCTCCGTCCAAATCAAACCATCAGAGAGAATGTGTTTTTTTTTCTCTTATGGTATATTAGATAAATAGTTATTGTTCATCTGCAGTATCCTTTGGCCAATTTTTTTTGACATCCATCTATCTTCATTAGAAAACATACAAGCAAAACTTGATCTATGTCAACTCGATTAGTTGATTCTTATCTTTTCTTTCGATTCTTGTTAGTTGAAGTGTATCGATGTTATGCATGAGAAAATTTCCATTAGTATTCAGTAGTAAAGACGCATATGTGAGGAGAAAAGTCTTCGACTCTTCTTCTTCTTCTTCTCTTCGAACACTGAATTAATTAAAGCATGTTATTGCGATCTGATTATCAACTTCGTATGAACTATTATCAAATTATTTATATTAATGAGACGCTTTCAATCGACTAAGACGTTTTAATTTCATTGGAAAAAAGAAAGAAGTTTTCTCCAATGATAAATATAGATCTTTTTCGCTGAAAAGTCTGTCGAGAAATCTTATCTCTCGTTTGTTCTATTCAAATCAATTATTTAAATGCATAATTCTCTTTCCACATTCTATTTGTATATCTCTTACTTACATACCTGGGGTGATCACAGTATGTTAACTTATTAGCGTAAAGGACCTTTTCCTCTATCTCGCACACGTTTTTCTTTTCCATCCTAATGGTTCGTCTCACGCTGTTCTGGACTCCTGCATGTAAAGTTCCTAGATGCGATCACGCATACATCTCCATTTTCGAATCTAATTTGATCGTGTAACGAAATGAATAATCATACGCATTTAAACTTAGCAAAGAAGAAGAAGAAAAAAAAAACAAATTAATGCTCGTGTCGAGAAGAATTTTTCCAGATGCAAAACTAACAGCACCGAGGGAATACAAGCCAGGAAAACACATATCAATAACATGAAAACAAAATTCTATTCATGATGTCATCATATTTTGCTTTGTGTTTTCTTTTTATCTGTCGACTTAGATCGAGTTAAAGTTGTCAACGGAATGTGTTCGACACCATCAATAGACGGAATTGAGAATCTTCATCTACTCAACGTTCTTAATTGGTCACCGTTAGAAGATTTCTCAGTCCAAAAATCATCGCTTACGATTAAAGACGATAATGACGCAAAATTGAAGAATTCCTACAATGCTGTGCAACTTTCCATTGAATTGCAAAAGAAAATGCTAAAGTAAACTCGAAATGGGATGCGAATTTTGCGAATATCGTTCTCTTTTCTTCTAGCCTAAAAGCCCTATTTGTTGATTCATCCGGTCATCTTGTAAATTATACACAATTACGTTGTAGTAGTGTTTTTAGCGATTTATCCGACATGGCGAAGTATCTCACGACAATCAATCTCGACAATGTTACTGAAAACGAACGTAAAACATTCTTTATCAGTAAGTAGAAGTTTTGAAACGAATAGTTGAGTGTCGAAAAGTGAAAGCGATGGTTTTGTTTAAGATTTGTACAATGTTTTGACTATACATGGAATTGTCTCATTAAATGATTTACCGAAATCAGTGTTCGATTTGAATCAATTCTGGAAAACAACAGCTTATAAGATCGGGCCGCATATCTATTCGTTAGACGACATCGAACATGGAATCTTACGAGGTTCGATGAACTTTTCACATTGAATGAACCAAGATAAGAGAAATCTGTTTTTCATTTAGGTAATAAACCTCATTCGAATTGTACACAACGACATTTTACATACAATGATCCTCGTACAAGATACGCGATGCGTCGTTGTGATCCACGTATTCATTTTGCATTGAATTGCGGAGCACGTTCATGTCCAATTATATCGATTTATTCATCGACAAATCTTGAGAAAGCTTTAAATATGTCCACAACATCGTACTGTAATGCAGAAATCGATATTATTCCTGAGAATGCCGAAATTCACCTATCGAAAATCTTCCTCTGGTACAAAAGTGATTTTGGTCGTACCGAATCCGAAGTTCTTAGGTAAATCTTTCATTTTCTTTCGACAACGGGCCCAATCTCTTATTTAGATGGATTGCAAATTATATTGATGAGCCCAAACAATCCTTATTGAAAACTGTGCTCGAACAACATGGGACAAAAGACGGAATACACATATCATATAAAATCTATGACTGGATGTTAAATAACCACGATGGTTTAATATCGAATGCGATTGATGTCGATCTTTGTCAATGAAATGACGATTCTCACCAATCGATCATTGAATTAGTACTGATAACAAAGGAAGAAGACAATCTATTTTTGTTTTGTGAATAAGATTAATAAAAAAAAAACAGGGCGACGGAGAAGAACAAAAGGATAATTTATTTCAATAATGCAAAACCCAAAAGGTGAAATTGTCGACTAGAAAGGCACAACATCAAACATTGAAAACAAAAATCAATCCATTCTGTTGATATGCACTTCTGTGGAAGGTGATTCTGATATGTTAACTATCACAAAGCGATAGATTAGAAGAAAGCAAAATGATATGCATGATATTGATCATGGATGAATGACATTTGCATCTGACTACTCACGAAAACAAAATCAATGGAGAATCTACCTCCATAAAATCAACCAGATTTAGTATGGTATGTAAGGGAGAAAAGAAAAGAAAACCAAATGAAACAACATTCACCGGTGGGGTTAACACTATATGAATATATACGAACTAAGATTAATCGTAAGCACTTAGACCTTCTTGACTTTGAGAAAATGAGTTATTAACCAGCATGGATGGTTCGGCTAAGTATTGCTGGCCTGTTGCTGGTCGAATAACTCGATAGTGCAATTCATCGGTTGTCGAACTCTCTCTCAATGGCAAAATCTCGTTTGGTATATCAACAAGACAATGAAAAATATCATATTTAGGTGGTAAAATGCGTCTTTCGAAAAGACACTTAACTAATTGAGAAACAATTAATATTGTTGCCAACGATATAAGCATGCATAAACTTTTCGGTGGAATGTATGGACCAAAATGAATTGTTGCTGGAATACCTAACAACGGTTCACCAATTAGAAATCGAAAGAAAAAGCCAACGATGTATGCTGCCAGTGACCCATAAGTATTCGTGTGTGGAACATAGACCACACAGAGCAATTGAGGAAATAATATGACATAGACGAGATCCGAACTTAAATACCAAAGAACGTAAATAGATGACACAAGGATGCCAATGCAAGCTGCGCCAATGCCAACAAGAAATATACCAATACGCATGACAAGTAATACTTCTCTTTCCGATGCCTGTATTATTTAAAGAAAGAAACTAAGAGGATGATCTTAAAGGAAAAGGCAAGCATACCTGATCACGAAAAACAAGTTTCCAAATGTTTCGAGCAAACATGGAACTAGCGCTGAGCACGCTTGAATCAGCGCTCGACATAACTGCAGCAGAAACTGCGCCTAAGCCGATGAAGGCGATGAATTTTGGACATAGATGCAGAAGAACCAATGGTAAAATCAATTTCGTCACTTCAGGTGAATGAATATCTTTCTTGATATCATAGTCAGTCATATTCCAATCTTTAATACACAAACTGAAGTCTAAACACATTTATACCGAAAGAATATTTTCTACAAACCGGCAGATTTTGCGATCGCTCCTATGAGTATAGGTGGTATTGCTAATACAATGCATCCGACCGCAGCGCAGAATGACAAATACATTGCCTTTTTCGCTGATTTTGCTGATAGTACACGTTGAAAATACACCTAAAAAAGTATCGCTCAATTAGTTCATCATAATATCTGTTACACGCAATGCCACAAAAAATTCTCACATTCTAATAATCACACACATCTACATAAGGACAAGAAATCAAGCTATTCTATATACCTGCCAGGGTATTCCACCGAAAATTAATAGCAACATATTATCTGTCCATTCTACCATTTGTGATTTATCGAGATGCCCACGCCATTCAGGCCATGTAGTAACGATATCGCCAACACTTTTGTGTTGCATAGCAAATGGAACAGCAATCCACAGGCCAATAAAGATAAAACCGAGTTGAACAACGTCTGTATAGGCTACCGAATACAATCCACCGAAGAGCGTATAGATGATGACAACGGCAGCTAAATTACCAAATAATCAATTACTGTTTTTCTAAAATAATATGATATCAAAGTTGAATATTTACCTGACAAAACAATAGATGCTGTTATGGAAATATCGGTGAAAATAACACTGATTGTTGCTCCTAACGCGGACAAAATCGCTGCCGACCAGAAGACTTCTCCGAGCAAAGCTGGAATAAACAAAAGCCCGCCCATCCGTTGTCCATATTTACGTTGAAATGGATCAAGCATAGTAACATATCCCGCATCTCGCATCGGCTGTGCGAATAGTAACCCACCAACAATTAAACTAACTGCATAACCAATCGGTGCTTGACAAGCAAGCAGACCAGTGGAAAAAACTTGTTCAGCAGTACCGTTTATGTAAGCTCCTCCTACCCATGTAGCTGTCATTGTAAAGATACCGACTAGTAGGCCAATGTTTCTTCCCGCTAGCATAATTTCTTCGGTATCGGGCGATGCTTCCGATGATTTTTGCTTTTTTCCGGCCCATATTCCCACAAGTAGAATTAAAATATAAAAAATGGCAATGGCCACCAGACCACCAAGATGTACAATCATCGTCTAAAGAAAATGGCTAAATCCGTTTTCTTGTTACATCGAAGAAAAAGACTGAATGAATAGTATCTTCTAACCGGAAGTTTCCTTTGCCAATGGGAAATTAGTGGAAAACGAGTAGAGCAGAAAAATGGTGAAGTATCATAGAAAGATAATGGTATTCAAAAACGAGAATAACATTATTGTTTAATGTCATTCGAAGTTCTCGTTTCTTTTTTTTCTTTCTTCTTCTCCTCCTCCTCCTCATCTTTTTCTTCGTCTCTTTTTTACATTCAGCTTTTTGAACTGAATCAGACAAATTTTTCTTAGCAATTAGTTTTCTCTAAAAAAATTATAGACAATAAACTTACGGACGACTTGATCGTATATTTGTATTTTACGGGTTGATGTTTGTTCCCGTTTGTGTTCCTTTCTATCTCAATTCTACTTCTATCACAATGAACATCATGTTAGTTTCTTTGTCGCTCGCTTTTCTCTCTCTCTCTCTCTCTTCTGCTCCCTCTTTTTTCCTTTTCCTCCCTCTTCTCTCTCTCTCTCTCTCTTTGGAAGTGCGTGCACCGCGCGGTTTAACGGAGAAGATTGTGCCTTGGAACAGTAACTAGACAATTTATTTATTTGATTATAGATATATATTCCATAAGAACATCGCCGAGATTAGACCGAAAAAGCACGATTTGTTTTTCAATAGTTCTGTTCATACAACTCGATTGTGGAAGAAGAGGAATGAGCAGACGTCTTCTTTTTCTCGTTTTTTTTTCTCTTCTTGATGATAACATGCCGGTCGAGATTGAGCACGGTTGGAATGGCAAGCATCGTTCCAAAGATAGACTAAATATGACAAGGGAATTCGAACGAAAGAAATAGAGAAGAGAATCAGATAAATAAAGATAGATAGATAGAAAATTCTGCTTGGTTTTCTTTCGCAAAAAGAAAGAACAAACAATTCCGTTTCGACGAACCTTAACTTTCTTTTCGTATATTTAACCTTGAACGAGTATTCTTCTCATCAGAAGAAAAGTTCATTTTCAGCGAAACGATTAACTCAATTATAACTCACAAATTCAAGAGTGAAGATAGCTGTTACTTTTCAGCGAGGATAGCACGAAGTCTCGCTCATGCTTTGCCGACTGTTGCATAATTTGAAACGGGGGTAGAATATTATCCGTGATAATGACAGCTGATGATGCTAATAGCAAATAATAAATCTTTTTCATTTTTGTTCAATTACTAATGAGGATTTTCTTCTGTATGATCTTCTGAATAATATCCTAGTAGATTATACTATAAAGAACAATCGATTTATTCTAAAAAAAAATATGAGAGTATATCGCAAATAGTAATTTATATAACTTATCAAAAGAATTACAAGGAAAATTGAAACGAAGTATTGCTTGTGAGCTTTGGACGAGTAGATCAAAGATAGAAAAACAACGAGTTGATTTACAAATTACACGGATGATTCTTGAGTACTAACTATGTTTAACAAAGTTAGTGGTAGGTCTTGCAAAGCCAGTTTATTATCAATGAGAACGCCGATAGTTCCATTTAAAGATAATGGAATCTTGCCGGCTAAGAGAGGAGGTAGCAACGCTACCATTGTTGATAATTTCGCAGTAATTTTGACTTCTATGTAGTCAGTTGTGATTTCCTCATAGGGACCAATTTTAATAAGCGTAGTACTGGTAACAGTACCAATTTGTTTGTCTTCATTCAATATCTCGCCAAAATCAGCTCGGACGTCCATTTTTGTTACAGCTATAGACGAACTAAATGGATTTTTCAATACGAGTCGCGTTGAGAGTGTTTTAACAGTGCCAAGTGGAATACCAATTATTTGAACTCCAGACAGTTTTTTCAGAAGAATTTCCCGTACAAGTGTTCTCTCGTTACGAAGGCCGGGAACAGTGGCGTGAATTTGTAGACCAGCAATAGCTGTGGATAGTAACGAAACAGACGTGCCTACTGAATTATTTGGTAATATTCCACGCAGTTCGACATCATTATCTATTCCACATATCATATCAGAAATAAATTGATGAGCTACAACTGTATTGCTGGGTGTTATAGCGAATGTGCCTGTTGCATTCAATATTGTACTATTTCCTTGAGGATCAAGATAGAATGGATCGATAATCACTAAACCAAGAGAGACTCCACTTTTTACATCTCGTAAATCGAGCGAAAGACGACCAGCATCACGAATATTAACAACCGATGGATTTGTTATTTTGGTTTTCACACGAAGTGCTAGTTCGTTGGATGACATGGCTCCCGATAGGTCAATATTATCAATATGTAAAAGTCCTTTGTCGAATCGATCATAACCCGTCAGCTTAACAGTATCACTCACTGGAATATCTGTTAAAGTAATATGCCCGATTTCAATCTCGGCTACTGCTGCAGCTGTGCCTTGAATTGTTATCGATACACTTGTGTTCAAAACAAGCTGAGCTGAAAATGCTTTGAATGATTCCTGATCGAGTACAATCAGTTCTTCTTTCGAAAAACTCATCGAAAGTTCATTCGTTGTTTGATTATGCTTAACAGGTAAATCATGAAGAATCATGTGGCTCATACTGGGTCCGTTATTAAAACGTATCACATAGTCAATGCTTGTTGTTAATGCTTTGAAAGTCATATGGACGTTGGATGGTAATTCAAATAGAACTGACAACTGACCAGTGACATAAACACGGCTGACATTTTGCCGATCGAATTCAATACCAAAATCGAGAACTTCAACTTGACGGATCAACTGCGTTTGAATTCCATCAAGATCGGCAGACATTGAAAGACCGCTAACAGTCAAATCCATACCAGTTGGTTCCGTTGCTGTAGACAAATCATGAAACAATCGAACTGACTGTGTTTGACTATTGAGATATGCAGAAAAGAATTTACCAACAACGGGTAAATCACTTTCCTGTCTGGGGGCAAGTAGACTACGAACAAGAGAACACTATTAACGAACATTTACTTCTCGTACTACTAAACTGACCCGTGAAGTATTATGTTGTTGCTGCCTGGTTTCAAAGCTAGCACACTAATGGGTACTCGACCAATAACCGTTTCTGTGTTCCCATCGGCCATCAAAAGTTCGAAATTTTCAAGTTGAACATCAGTGACACCTGGATTGCCAATAGTTGTATTAATTAAAAGTTGGAGAGCGTTATCTTTTTCTCCATCAACTATGATACTATGCACGCGTACATCTCGAAGGCCTTCGAGACCCACCAATGAAACAGTATTCTCAACAGTGATACCTTTACTATTCAGAGGACCGAGTGCAAATGAACCAGCGATCGAGGCAGTTCCAGCAACACGAAATGAAATCGGAGTCGCTCTATCAGCAGTGATAAAATCTTGTGCAAATTTCTCATACGCTTTTCCTGTATTCGATATTAATAAGTATTTATTCTCAAATTGTGATGAAAATGTACTATGACCGATTTGTTTCACTGGTGCTTGAGAAACGTTTAACATACCAACGGGATTGTTATCATAATAAAGAAACACACTCATGTCCATCGTTTGAATCTCTAGTGGAGATTGCTGACCGAGCGGTGAATTGATCTTAATCGTAATCGACGCTGACAACATCACCGTCTTTTCAGTTGCCGATGGAATAAGTGACATCGAATCGAATACTAATGAAGGAATCAATTGTTCATCGAAGGGTGGCATAGGTACAACTAATGAAAGACCTTCCATGCCACTGGCAAGTAAAGAATATGAAGTTGCGTTTGGTCCAGCTACCGCGCCTACTCGACTTGTTTTTCCTGTTAGGAAGTTTTCGATGACAGAGGAAAGTGCAGCATATGCTTCAGAAGATGCTGATTGAAGTTCGCCAGTTAAAGGTACAACATTCGAACCAGGAACTAAAGTAATATTACGACTAATTGATTTCGCATAGCCAATGGACTGATTATTATAACGTAAGGAAAATTGTAGAGCACCTAAAGAATATGAATTAAGAAGATATGTAGACAAAGATCTTCTGTACCGAGATCTATTGTAAATATCGATGGATTGGCAATTTCGATGACAATATCGACAATAATATTCTTTGTGGTCGAACGACGAAGATCGACTTCCTGAATACTTACATTTCGAAGACCGTTTAAAGCATCGAGTTTAACTTTCTTATTGAACGGAATATTTGAATAGACAGGCATCGCCGATGATATTGGTTGAATAGTAGATTTCGCTTTCAGAAACCATACAACCTCCGATTCAAACAGAAGAGAACGAGTAAAATCATCAAACAATCTTTGCTCAGTTACAACAAATGGCGAATCAATTGGAACTATTGTCGGTTTACTATCATCACCAGTAATCTTAATCGACTGTTCATTTCGTACAACTCCAACATCATCAACATGAATAACCAATGGTGAAAGAATCGTTGCAGCAATCGATCCTGTTCGAGACAATTCCAATTCTGCACGGAGACGAAAACTGTCATTTTTAATATCTTCAATATTAATCCATCGGAAAGATAATTCAACTTTCTCGATCGTTGAACGAACAATAGCCGGAACAATAACGTAAAGTACAAGTAAAGCACCGACAAGGATTAGAAGTAGAATAATTGCGATACATAGAAGAATAAAATATTTTCGCCGCATTTTGATACCTTTAAAACGGCCACACATTGTGCACAATCTGACTTTCTTCGTCGACGATTTCATTGGTAGATCGAGCCAATTGACTTCCTCTTCCTCATCATTGAACGATGTGACTATGTTTTCTTTATCACTAGAGTTCTTGAAACTAGTTTTTACATAATCCCTTTCATAACCGTCAGTGTAATCATTCGTCTTGCTAGATGTTTTTATATAAGCTACCGAAGGATCCGATTTTTTTCCACCCATTGTTGAGTTTACGTTTGGAAAGAGAATCGAGATGTAACACACAAAATCAAGACAGCCTGCGAGAATTTCGTTTTCGTTTTATGCACTGTCATATCACTATCTTCACTGTTTCCTCGACAAATTCACGAATATTGATAAGCCGTTGTCATACGAAGTCACTATCAGTCGTAGATAAAGAGAAAACATCATGTATCACTGTAACGAATAATGTCGTCATTGAAAATTGAAGATTACTTTCAAGTGTAAGTCACACTAACATTTGCGCCCGTTCGTGCTCAAGCTCAAAGTCCACAAACTTACATCCATAACGCTAACACGACAATCCATCGATCCACTTTACCTTAGTTATATTATACTCATACGAGTGATAGAGAAACTCTTGGACAAATAATGTAGATGATATAATCACGTGTTATGTCGAAAGCTGAAAGTTGCTTCGATATCTTACAAAGATTTGTATATTATCATGAATTATTCTGCATTATGATGCGCATGAAATGTTCATGAGAGAAAAATAACACTTTAGAGTATTTCATATAAGATAGAAAACGTTACACATTCTTAACAACATGTTCTCTTCTTGTATAATTATTCATATAGATTGATCATCGCTACTATTTTTCATCTGTCGAGATGCTCTATTATTACACTTATATAAAGCATCATTTGCGTCTTTATCAGGTGTCATTACTGAACACTAGAAGACTTTTCTCATTCTTTATCTGGAAAGACGTTTTCCTGAGTGATTATGTCTAACATTTGTATAAAGATTTGTCTATTTACTGAGCTTTGCTGTTAATATCATCAAAGCGATTGCTTTTTGATGTGTAACGTCTGAAAAGCGGAATAAAATAATCTGTAAACTAGTTTTTTTTTCAGTCGCTGTTCTTTCCTACGAACTACAGTTATAGAATGTTTTGCATTTTATTTTCAATTTCATGATTGGAACAAGTTTCCCACTTCCCGAACAGCCTGTTTCATTTCTATTAATTTCTTCAATTTTTAAATCTTATTTTAGTATGCGAGCTTGGTAAAGCGTGAAAATTATAAAAGAAGGAAGGAAAAAAACGGGGGAGCGTGACACAAACACAAATAGATCGTTCTCCGTGAACTCATCCCTACGGCAGCACGATAACCCGGCTCTTCCGGGTAAATCATGGCACAGGTACGTAAATTTAAATCTACAATCGTTTTTCTCCGAACAAACAATATATTGTTTATGAATGATTCTAGTCAACTACTCTGTCATCATCGTCTAATTCTGACAATAAACGCGGGAGAAAAAAACGACTAAGTGAAAAAGATAAATGCTTAGTGTGCGCAGATCAGTCGACAGGAATCAACTTTGGTATTCATTGTTGCTCACCATGCAAAACATTTTTCCGTCGAAATGCTGTCAAACTTGGTGTATGTAGTATTTCTACTTAGAAAAACAAACAGTTTTGCACTGTATTTTTTGTTTGTGTTTAGTCATATGACTTTGTTTGTATGAAGGAGGGTGATTGTCCAATCACGAGTACTACACGACGACTTTGTAATTGTTGTCGTCTAGCGAAATGTTTTCGAATGGGAATGAACCGAAATGTTATACGTACAGAAGATGAAAGACGCGAGAGAACTCGATTAATTGTGAAAAATCGACAACAACGAATGGAAGATAAACAAATTGTATGCCATCCGATTAGTTTTGTCAATTGAGTCAATTCTTATTTCATCTTTTCTCAGATTCGACCAGTTAATCTACTTCAGCATTCTCATCAAACTTACTTGTATCTGTCAACAGCTGATCAAACGCTATTGACCAATATCCTGCGGGCATATGATCGTAATTCCGACACAATAGGGTATCGTGCAGTGATCAAAATGCGTGATAATGATACAATATCACTGCAGAAACTGATGAACAGTGTATCAAATACATATCTTGCCATAGTCAACTATTTCCGACTCATACCTGAATTTAGTACATTACCAATACAAACAAAAGCAGCATTGTTGAAGAGCAATTTGAACCAAGTGATTCGTCTTAATAGTGCAATCATTATACATGCTGCAGGTGACAGAGAAGATCCGGATAGGCTGGCATTGAAACACACCTTTCCAGCTGACTTGTATCGTGAGTTATCTCGATGTGCAATTGATCTTTTCCCATTCGTCTACGATCCATTATTTATGAAATTAATCCTGGTCGTCGTGATTTTCTCGACCAGCTTGAGTATTCGTTTTGCTGCTGGCCCGTCAATCATCTACCCAAAGAATCTCTTTGCAATTCAAGATATTTATATTGAACTATTGTGGCGTTATATTTTATATCGTTCTACATCATACCGACAAAGTGTTCGACTCCTAACAACATTTATCACTCGTCTACTTCACTCTCAAGTGATTGGCGAGAAACTTACTGAACATATAAGCAAAGCATCGCCCAATCAAGGTAACCTATTGGAGCCAATTATGAAGGCGATGTGGCTAGATGAACAGGAAAAATAATCTCATTTTATATTTCAGATAGTATTCACATGAAAAATCTGTTTGATTAACTGTAAATGTTTTGAATTTGAATAAAAGGACACCATTTTATTTCGTGCGAAAGGTCTTAGAACGTGTCTATACGCGTTGTCGTGCTTTTACATTATTTCCAATGGTTATGCAAGTTTATGAAATTACATAAAAGCAGCTAATGTCAATATTCCAACTAGTCATTCTATTTGAGCATGCATAAAAATGACAACGTTGACTTTTCTTCTCACATCTGCTTCGAGTTTTGTCAATGATAGTCAGTCGTGTCTGACTACAAAGCCAAATACCTAACTAAAATGAAAAAGACTCTTGTATCGTTGCTACTGATAACTTATGTGCTATATTCTCTAGCAGAGAAATTAAATAATGAGAAAAAGGTAATCTTATTGCGCTTTACGGATGATATGAGCAGATTTATCTCTTTAGAACATCAAGTCAACTGATGAATCGCTACATCGAAGTAATTGGAATTACATTCTGTCTTGCTCCATGTAATTAGTTTTTTTTTTCATTAAGTTAAGAGTATGAAGTATCCAGCAGATATTATTGAATCGGTACAGACGGACTTGCCAGGTGAGCCAAAAATAAAAATAAGCTTTGCTGGAATGGATGAAGGTGATGACGATGATGATGCAACAATTTCCGTCGATACAGATGATGAAGACGAAGATGAAGATGAAGATGAGGATGAAGATGTTACACCAACGAAGAAAAAGATCTTACCAAAGTCGAAACCTGAAGACATTCATTCGTTTCTTTAATTTTCGAATAAATTCCATGAAGATTATACTGTTGTCAACTTCTTAACAGATTTATCGGATGAAAAGAATTCCTATTTTAGAATGACGTTCGAGAAAATGCTTAATCACACTCTGATTAATGATAGTAATGTTTACTTTTTAATTAACAACAGTCTGTTTCATGTCGAATGCTGTTAATTACAAAAGATCCAAATAGAATTTTGTGTCGAAAGAGATATTCTATTCCTCGTCTAATTAATACGCATGTCGGTTATTCATGAGTAGAACTTTGGGAGGTAATAGACAAGAACCAAACTATGCGTTAGAGATCACTTCTCGCACAACAAAAACACGCATTTAGCGGAGAACACTTGTTATGGTGAAAGTTGATTTCTACAAGAATGACAATAGACTACACAGACATATTTATTCAATATCATGAAAAAAAACACAAGTATGGATCTAGAGAGAAATTAATTGACTATAGAGATGTATGTCCAGCTGAAGAGAAAGAGAAACATTTAACTGACTATTATTGACCGGGAGTAAAATATCAAGAAATGTTTGATGTGAGTAGACTGATCAAGCAGATTGTTTTTGATGATTACTATTATTATTGAAGTTGACGATAGAAAATAAGAATTGCATTAGTTGACTGTGTCGGTCTTGTGCTGCTTCGTCACTATCATTTACTCGATGGCGAAGTGAACGTAATTCATTGTTAATCATCTCGATTAGATTACGAAATACATTTTCATTAGTTAGTTGACTTTGATCGATCATCGATGGTGTCAGTAAACATGAATTTCTGTCTGAAGTATTTCGTGAATACGACAATTTGTCATCGATTTGTGTCTACAATAATAGAAATCAAATTCTAGTCGTGTTTCACTTTTTCTAACCTGCATATTCTTATGAACAGATCGTTTCGTTGTCGACATTTTCGTACGTTGATGTCGAAGGAGAACTGAATAATCAATTTTAATTTGTACTCCATATGAATCTTCGAGAACTTCGTTAATACGTATCCATATGTAATGTGATTCAGTTAATTTCCAGAATTTAGATAGTTCTTCGATGGTCATTGTTTCATTAGATAAACGAACACGAACACCAAGCCACGGAAGTGTTCGAACTGATTCAGGACATATGTAAATATTTGAGAATAACACTTTACTTTCATTACCAAAATCGACAAAGAAAACTGTGGCTTGTTCGTTTTCGGTGTCGATACTTTTAACCCATGCACGATAGTATCTTCCGTCATCAGCATATCGAGCAACAACAAGTCTGAAACGAATGAAATGATTATTCTGAAGATGTTCAAGTCGAGTCTTTACGTTTTAACTTGAGGCACTTGAAGATATTCTCGATTTGGTATATGATGTTCTTGTAATTCATTCATAGCTCGATCGATAACAATACTATTTTCATTGATAAGTAAAACATAGAAGGAATCATCATTTCCACTAAATGAACTAAGTAACGCTTTGGATTCGCTACCAACGGATAATTTCATTTGATATTGAAATTGTTCCATCAAGATATCTTCAGGCATGAATACCTTCTTACTGCCTGTCAATAACCGTTGAATCTCTTCATTAATATTTCTTCCTTTCATAAACAGGAAAATTCTTCCACCGGTTATATTATGATAATCGTTGACGACAATTTCGTATTCATCTTCGCTAAGTAGTGTAATACATTGAGTAGCGACATCAGAGGGTATGACATTATCTTCTTCAAATACACCATCGAGGTGACACATGATGGAGCAGGCTGGTTCACTGTAGAATTCATTCGGTAAATGGCGAATGTATTTCGGATTGTTCTCTACAGATATCTTCATACCCCAATCAACATAAAGAACAGTGACTGTTGAGTAATCTGACGACACTTGCAATACACGACAACGAAACCACCGTCCTTCGTGAAGACATGCACATACTTGATTGACTTCTGGTCGATAGCGATATTCACGAGCAGTAGTCGAATTAGACTGAAATGTCGAATGTGCTGCCATTTTGTGAAGGAGACAACAAGCTCTTTTGAAATCTTCGTGTAACATGAGCTGGACAAAAAGAAAGTTCTTTTTTTTTGACAAAGTAAAATTCAATGGGAATTATAGACTTACATGAACGACTGATGGACTCTGAGGATGAGAGATTCGCACGCGTGTCAATCTTTGACCTCGTTCTAATTGTTTATGTTTTGGTATATCGATCGATACAGCTGATGATAACGAGGATTTGACTTGTCTTGCATTGTTTGTTGTATTTGATGAGGAATTTTGCGAAGAATTGATGGGTTGAAATGCGGATGTATCAGTTCGACCTAAGGACGATGTTATGAATGATTGTTGATTTGTTCTACATGAGGAAACATCTCGAAGATCCGTAGTATTGTAATTAGTTGCTTTCATTATTGATGAAGTTGAAGTGAAGAGTGCTGACGCCGATCGAGTTGGACCAGCCGAAGCAACAACTGCTGTTGGGCGTGTTGATATATCAGCAGGAGGCTTTGTTGTTAATAAAGTCGGTGGATGAGACTGTTCACCTTTTTGTTGCGTTCCTAAAATGAAGCGAAATTTACTTGTATGTGACTACGTGATGAATTTTACCGATATGGTTGTGACGAATGAAATCTGTTGAATCGATATGACCAATGTCGGGTTTTGGAAACCAATATTCCGATTGTTTTTTGTTTACTAGTTCGTTCAAATTATCCGTTCCATCGTCGCTCATATTCAACTGAGGTAAGTCAGCTTTTTGGTTACTAGTACTTGCTTTGGCTCGGTTCTTTTGCTGATGATTAGCTAATGGACGGAGACTACGAATGGCTGCTTCGAAATCAGTATTGATGGTGATGGATGATGATTCAGATGAACTTAGAGACTTCATTGGCGATTTGTTTTCATTTTGGTTATTTTCGAAATCTTCGGAATTAGAATTGGATACGCATAAACGATTCTCAATATCAGTATTGTCAGTGTCGTCTTCGTCATCGTCATCGAGTTTAGAGCGATGAACATGAGCTAAATGAGAACCACCACGATAGCCGCGTATAGGGCGTTGCATTTATCTGAAGTTACAAGATCATTCGATAAACAACACACTGGACATGTATTGAGCTTTTCTGCTAGCAAAAATAACCATCATAGTGTAAAAAAACCTAACACTACAAATTTATTCATCATCGTCTTGACTATCATGCAAGGTTAATTTCGTTCCAAAACGGTTCGGCGGCCAAATAACGTATAATGCTCGTCCAGTGACTAATCCCCGAGGAATCTAAGAATATGATTCAATGATTTTATTATTCAGTACAATGCAACTTACACAACCGAAATGTCGACTATCGTAACTATCACGTTTGTTGTCACCTTCAACCCAAATATGTCCCCTCGGAACCCGTGTTTCCTTTTGTTTTATTGTGTCACTGCAAAACATGAATCTAACGAATGAAATAACTGGGTATTTCTCACTATATTATTTCGTTTTCTAATGCTTTGACTCGCTTGATCATATAGACCTGTGGTTCACGTGGGGATCTAATAGGATCGCAATACGAGTTAGTTTGAAAATAAGCAGATCATTTAGAACATACTCGAGTGAAATGATATCACCTTTCTGTAGAAAATAATCATCGATATCCCATCTTTTTATCACTACCCAATCGCTATTCAAACCGGTTGGATTAAGAAGAGGCTGTACGAAATAATTATATCATTCTCTTGAAAAGTATTATTTACCTGCATCGATTTTCCTGCAACAAGTGATACTGTTGCTACCTTATCCATAAGAGTGATAAGACATGGAAGAGCAAAAACAGCACCTTTTAATCCATACTTTAAATATTCTCCAAATCTCTATTCAGGAATATACGCACGCAAATCAATTTATAAATCATACGAAACAAAGTATTTAATCTACCATATCATAGTATCATCAAAACAAAAGAAGAAAACGGATCAATCTAGAGAAAAAGATTATCGTTATTATTATTATTATTACTATAATAATTTTTTTTATTAATCATTATTTCAATAAACTGAGTAAGATAGAATTAGAAACTAATGTTGAAATAGTCGAAAAAAGAATGGATTAAAACTTAAACTAAATGAGATTGAATGTTTTATTATAGAAAGTCGAATAGATTTCCCAATGGTGTACTATGCATTGTTTTGCTTAAATCCATTGAATACCGTTTGAACATCTTGAAAAACCTATGAGAAAGCAGATGGAACCGTTTTTATTTGGAATAAGCTACTATTTGAGTAGACAAACTTTGTCAACATCATTTGATGCATCAATATGTTTAACCAAATTTTCTTTCTCAAAAAGTTGAATCACTGGGCGTGTTGAATCATTGTATGTCACAATCCTAGAACGAAAAAGTAAAAAAGCAAACGGAACTTTTTCTTGGTCATATCGATCAGATTAGTATACCGCTTTTTTAAACTTGCTTCATTGTCATCAGTACGGCCACTTCCTTTACCACGTTCAAGACATCGAGCAACACAGGTCTACACGGGAAATATAGATGTCTTTGTTCGAGGTAACAAACATAAATGTGAATTGTTTACCTGTTCATCACAATCGAAAAAGAGTACACATTGTACATTCACTCTGTCACCAACACTCTCTTTCCATCCGTTAACATTATCTTGGTTACGTGGAAAGCCGTCAATCAAAAAGTTTTCTTTTCCACTTTTTTTCATTGCCTTTAGTAATTACATATGAGACAAGCATCGTATCTTACTAAAGAATAGAATGATAAATTTCTTACATTTTCGAGCAACTTGCAAGTGACGGCAACAGGTACAATCGAGCCATTCTTGATATGTTCATTAATTTCTTTACCGAGACTTGAATCGGGTTTAGCGGCTTCTTCTCGAAGAAGATCACCGGCAGATAAATGAACGTAGCCGTATTTCTGCAAAAGATATAACAAAGTTATTTCTTTTCGAATAGAACTATTCGTTTATTATGTATTTGACTTCGACTTTTTCGATATTTCTACAGTTTGATATAATTTATCCTTTCTGTCACATGGAAGAAAGAAATTTTCTCATTCGCGTACGGCCTATTCATCTGAAGCACGTGTTTATCGTTTTCTCTCCAGACGAAATAACTATTCATTTTTAGATGCAACCATTATCGTATTTTAACAGATCGCTTTTAATAAATTCGGCAGTAGAAACTAATGATGTCATTACTTTCTCATCTGGATAAAACGTACTGACGGTGATACAGAAGGTGAATAAACTGTGCTATAATCAACCAGAAGCTAATAATGTACTGAAAATGTGTAATGCTGTAGTAATCTGTCTTACGTTCGAAATCGGCTTCCTGTATCCGAACAGCATGAAGAATTTAAAAATGTCAGAATATAACTGTCGTGAAAACTTGGCTCAATACAATACTAAAGTTGCAGATTATATATTTTGCAATCCAAAAGTTTGTTCACAATAGAGTCCTGCAAGGTGTCCATTGGCGGGCCAGAGGTTAGGGGGGGTCAAGGTAAGATCGTGAAAAAACGTCTAGAGTAAAAACAGGGTGACATTCCTTTTGTCAAAAGTTTTTAGAACTAGTAGAAATGTAGATGCTTCTGATATCTTTTATATATATATAAGATTTGCACGAGGCAGCGCGACAAATGTTAATAACTGTTAGAATAGCGCAACAATCGCCAATTAAGGCCATGACAAACTTCGGAAGAACAGAGCAGGTAAAAGAAACAATGAAATCTCGCAAGATGACGTTTTAATGGAATTCGCAAATGAAGATAAACAAAACTCAAAAAAAGAAGACGATGACGTTGACATTTATCAGTATATCAGAGCAAAACTAAGTTTTGCTAAAGATGAATTAGTATTGGACTGCGGTAGAACAAGTGGTCATCGAACTATTTACAACTTAGTCTATTATCACGGTGGCTTTTCGAAATTCCAGCTAGCTCAGCACCAAGTGAACGTATTTTCAACGCTCGCCTAGTAGAATCTTGGAAGAGAGACAACAGAATTAAAATGGTGATATTGTTAATGATATATTATTTTTATGAAACTTTCGAAATATGTGATAATTTTTTATTTGATTTTTTTCTTTAAATATCCGTGAATAGGAGGAAATGTAGGATAAACACTTTACCTTTATATCTAAAGAAGCCTGGAAGCTCATAGAGTAGGGTAAGGGTACGAAAAGTCTTACCCTGCTGCAGGCCTGTAGTCCACAATTTCCACATGTCTGTGCGCTCAAGTTAATCAACTTTGCTGCGGAAATTATATCGAATTGCGTTTAACTATCAACTAGCCAACATCAACCGACGGCGTCATTTTAGAATTTAGTTTGAATCAATACCCGTACATCATCCACTAATGGTATCAGTACAAATGATCAAAAATTTTAGTTGAAAAGCATCCACTGATAACGGTATCAGTTTTTTCTTGAATTGTTGACATAGTTTTCGTTAAAAAATAAACTTTATTGTATGAAAAACTAGCACCCGTCAAACTTGTATCGCGACGGAAAATTTCTTTTCTCACAGAAAATAAACATAGATCCTTATACATCTGCTAATTGACGACTGTATATATGAACAGCACACAGAAGAAGTTCGACTAACCTCAGCAATACGAGCACATTGAGTTCCTTTACCTAAACAACATTTTTTTAGGTTACGAGAAAAAACAACAATTTTCTTTCGATTACATACCAGCACCTGGTCCGCCTAAAACAAAGATTACGTTGGGTTTTGTTGACGTCATGATAATCTATTTGTATCTATAAAAATAATAGTTATTTTCAGTTTTTCACGAAAAAGTTTGCGCATTCATGATCACATTTTATAAGAAGATAAGCAGTACAGAAAAAAGTTTAGGTAAAAACTATATAATAATTGCAAAAACATTTTTTTAAAAAGTGTTTCATTGTTGGTGCACGTATTTATCAATTAACATCTTCAAAGTTTTATTTGAATAAAGTTGTGTCTTCTTTATAGAGACATTCATCATTGGACTTGTTTGTTTCTTTGTCAACCATTCTTCTATAGCTTTCCTTTCATATGTATAACCATCAGATATACACACCGGATCTGTCATTAATTCATGTGTTATTGGACATAAAAACTCGTTGGGTAGGTTTTCCTGATTAACTTCGTTCGATTTCGGATTTTGATCAGCTCTTTTCGATGAAATTTGTTTTACAAAGTGTCTATGTCTCAATGCACTAAGTTCATTTAATAATTGCTCGTTTCCATTGAATAGATCTAATATTTCACTATCAGACTTCGATAATAGATCATTGCCAGTTAAATTCACATTTATTTTAACATTCAATTGTTCAGCCCATTGATGAACCATTTCCTCTGTCCATTGATCGATTGAATGTGACTTGAATTGAAGTTTTTTCTCTTTTGCATCATGCAAACCGTTTTCAGTATCATGATAATCAATTTTCCAAAGATTCACCATACGATCATTTGATCCTGAAGCTAGATATTGCCCATCTAACGAAAAAGAACAACATGTAACATAGCGCGTATGTGCATCGAAACGATGGACCAATTCACCACTTTCATAATTCCATATAATAATTGTTTTATCACCAGAACCACTCGCTAAATAATGTCTAATACCAAAAGCTACACACATGACAGCACATGAATGTCTCTTCAACGTTCGTATATGCGTTAATTGATGTTTTGATGATGATGAACAATGCCAAAGTTTTATTTGGTTATCATTACCACCTGAAGCAATCAGATAAGGTGGATGATGATGGTGATGACTTTCGGTCGACGAAGGTGAAAGAACATCGAGACAGTTTACACCTAAATCATGTGCTTCGCGTTCGAAATGAACAGCGCCAGTGAACGACGAATCGACAGTCCATATTTTGAGATCGCCATAAAATGATCCGGATATGAGTAAATTCGAAAAGAATCGTAAGGCAACGATCGATGCTGAATGACCGGTAAAAATCTTAACTGGCCGCGAGGATAAAGCAGTTATATCCCACAAGTTTATCAATTCATCATCACCAGCTAAAAATTAGACACAAGTGTTTACATGTTTTTCACTCTTCTAAAAAGGTAAATATTTAACCTGTTGCTAAGAGAACCCCATCTGATGAAAATTGACAAACACGAATAGGCGAACCACTATCATGTTTGTATTCTTTCAGTACACTAATTGTTGCTAGGTCCCATAACAGACAAGTACCATCCGTTGAAACGGAAGCCATGTATTTCACTGTCGCATCATTACTTTCACTAAGAATCGGCGAGAAAGCTAGACAATGCACTTGATATGTATGTCGTGTTAATGTGGTAGATGACTGGTCGCTCAAATTCCATAATCGAATCGTTTTATCAGATGAACATGAGGCGAGTAATGGTGAAGCTGAATGAGTTGGCGAGAATATAACAGTATTGACATCCGAGGTATGACCGCCTAACGTATGAACTAATCGAACGGATATCGACGACGAAGTATCATTTGCGTCACTCATCATATTAAATAATTGATAAACGAAAGTCAACTAGTCTTTTATACGTTAAATCTCAAAATTGAAAGTAAATAAACAGTCATGATGAATAATAATCATCTACAACCAAATGAAGAAACAAGAGTCGATAACTTTCTTCAAACTCAACTATAGCTTCAAAAGAAAGAAGACCAATCAAACCGATGTAGTTTCTAGTTGACTACTATTGGATGTAAGCGCCCTCTTTAGGGTAACAACGTATATGAAAGATATACATGTTAAAACCTTTCTGGAAGAAATCTTCCACGGTGTCTATGACGATTTTGATGAATTGTTGCTTGAAGATTCTCTTCTTGTTATCGATCATTAAAGTAGTGCAAATGTATCAACAGAGGAATGAATGACATTTATTACGTTGAAAGAAAGAAAACAATCCGATCTAGATCACTTGTAAAATACAATGAAAAGTGAAGCTCATCTTCTCTTTAATTATCAATATTTGTCGAAACTAACTCTTTTCACATGCAAACATACAAAAATAATCCAATTACACATGCACAATATCACATCGTCTGGATTCATTTTGTCGTTATGGCCAAAATTAAGGGAAGATACATAAATATCTGACAGAAATGGTACATTAACAAGTTCTGAATAAGATTTCTACTCTTTTTTCTCTAACTATCAAATAGAAAAAAGATAAACAGAAACCTTGTTCGGTTGAAAGTACCTCAGTGTAAGAACCTATGAAGTAGCAGACACTTCATAGACATGACCATCATCGAAACCAATGGATTCTGTGTATGTGATAGGTGCAGTGCGGGTTGCTGAGTCGAGATAAGTTACAGTTGTGCTTCTTGAAGGTAAAACAGGTGAAGAAGAACCACTTGCCTATAAACGGATAGTTTTCCTCCTGAATAGATAGTTGCAGTATAAAGTTTACATACTTCCGATGAAACATGAATGTCCACACGAATCCCATCCACATCTTGATGCAACTCACTCTGTTCTCGTACAGTTTGATCAATTCGATTGTTCAGAGTCAGTATTTGTTGTTCAAGTGAGTTAATCTTCGATGTTAAAGCAATGCTCTCATGATGCACATCTCGGCCTTTGTCATTGTTACCACTACAAAATCAGAACAGACATTGATCTGGCCTTATATTGACACTAGTGGTAGTAATACCTAGCAAACAGTAATTGCTTTCGTTCGGCAACCATTTGCTGATAGACTGTTTCTTGATTTACTTTGACTTCTGAATCTTTTGCAAGTAGTTGTCGTGTTTCTTGAAGGTCTCGTTGGATGTTTCGGATGTAATCGATATATTTCATCTTGGTACATTCGTGAATATCCCTGGAAAGCAAAGACTACGGTTTCTTGGTTCATATTAACGCAAGAATGTACTTTTCTTCTTGTAAACGTTGTTTATATTTTTGTTTCAGGATTTCGTAGTTCTTCTTCAAATGTTCAATTTGTTGTTGATATGCTCGACATGTTAGTTGACAATGCAGATTATCAGATTTCTCTTTCAAATACAACTGAAGAACAGTTGGCGAAGGCGTATTCACAGACTAATGATAAGGAAAAAGATTTTTCTTTGAAAAAAGATTAGATCTGTATTTCCGACTTACTGCGTTGTCTGATGCAGGTGACTGTCCGCTCATATGTGAGTAATACTCTACTGTTAATCGACATTCGATTAGTTCATATTGTAACGATTGATTTTCTTCCATGCGTGAATACAGTTCAGTACGTAGGTCAATATATTCTTGTTTCAATCGTTTTAATTTCATTTCAACACTATGTCTGAAAAGAAACCTCGGCATCAGTTCTATTTCAAATCTATTCTAAACTCGAAAAGAACTGTGTACAAACCGGCGAAGTCGTTCGTCGTGAATCGAATGTTGTAAAATCGTATTCTCATCGGATTTGGTTATCAGTTGATTTCTTAAAATAAGAAGTTCACGTTTAATTGAATAATTTGTTTGATCAGAATGGATTTGACGTTGTTCAGATGATTGCTTATCTGTCGTCGGTGACTTCAGTAGTTCCATTTTCTGTCAGAAATAGAATGAGTGTTATCGGATAACGACATAAAAGTTTAACTCAGAAACCTGTAGTTGCTCGTCATGTATGATCTGTTCCAGTTCATTGATTTTCATCAATTTCATATTATTCTCTTGTGATAGTTGATTGTTGATAGTCACAAATAATGCGGATCGATCTAGGAGATCTTTTTGAATTTGTTCAATGAACTAAAATCAAGTGAGAGATGCTAGTTGAAAGAAAAAGCAACCGAATAAATCGACAAACATTTTGCTTTTCATTAATCTCGGCTTGCAATTTATCGACGTTGGATCGATAGTGTTCTAACTGGCTGGCATACTGATTAATTTGATGTTGTAATTGAATATTTGTTTGGTGACTTTTCAAGATCTCGCCATCGTAGTTTTCCTAAAATACGAACATTCTCAGTACATAGAATCTAACGTGTCGGATATTTCGAATTACAGTCATTTGCTTTTGCGCAATGCGTAACGATTCGATTTGAGATCGGTTTTCAGCAATTTCCTTCTCGTATTTCTCTTGCAGTTCAGTTACATTGTCATGTGGTTTACTCTGTAAGGCCTTCGTGTGATGATCAATCGATACTAGAGACAGTTCTTCACCTGGTATTCTTCTGTCCGTTGAATCGATTCTCTATAATGAACAATAGAGTAGATTTCGTGTGATTCAAAACTAGATCGAATACCTGTTGAAGTTGTTCATATTGAGTTTGTAAAGAAGTAAATTGCGATTGAATAGTGTCTCGTTGTTGAATAGCATCGTCCATCTGTTGAGCAAAAATGAGTTCTTTTTCACGATAATCGTTTTGTAGTTTGACGATAGCATCATGGATACGCTAAATATACAAAAAAAAACACAGTTTCGTTGACTCAAAATCTGCACTGCAATTCCTTTGTCAAATCAAAGCAAAAGACAAACTGATTCTCTAACCTTTTAACAATTAGATTTGTTTGAAAAGTGAATCAAGCCCTGAGGCATTCGCTCAATATGACATTCTCATACAAGCATTGTTGTTTTACGAGTTTTTATCACTTCCACTCAAGCTCAATTCATCAAGTGCCTTTGCACGTACAAAAACACTTCTCGCATCGATCGATGGAAGAGAGAAACATATGGAATCTTCGTCTTACTTTGTATTTTTGTTCCTTCTGTTCGTTCTGTTCCGTGAGAAGGTGAATGCGTTCTTCATACTCATTGACTTTGTCGGCCCGAGTCGATTTCTAACAAAATCAATAAAAACTTTTAAATAAAATTCATCTGCAAAGACTTACTTTCGGCAATTTTTGTGTTTGTTGAGTCGCTTGTAGGATTTGTTTATAATGATGATTTGTATCAAGTAAGTCTTGTTTATCTTTCTCATACGCTTGTTTCATGCGATGCATTTGCTCCCGTAAATGAATCACTTCATTTTCTAATTCGTTGTTTGTACCAGTTAATCGATCAATTTGAATTTGAAATTGTGATAGGTCCGAATGCTTCGTCTGACGAGCATCTCTTTCGCGTTGTTTCATCACATTGAATTCTTGTACAAGTGCTAATTGCTGAAGTCTAGCATGTTCCATCTCTTCCATCCATTGACTCTTTTCAGCGTAAAGATACTGATTTTCTTCATAGATGGTATCAACTTCTTGTAGACGTGTTTGTAATGTTTGATTTTCATTTGTTAATTCGTCTAATCTGTCATGTAATTGATCGATTTCATTTTGTAAATCATGAATTGACGGTTGATGTTTATAAAGCGAGATTGTTGACGATGCCGGCGGTGGTGATGAAATTTTCGATGACGCAATACAAAGATCTTCAATTGAACTCATGATCGAACTTGTTCCCTTTTCGATTTGATTTTGTAACTTTTGTAAATCATAATCACGTTGTTGCAATGTCTGTTCTAGACGATGAACATGTTCGTGTAGTTCAACCATCTGATTTGATGAATGCTCGATGGAAAGATTTTCCAGTCCTCCTGATCGTGAAGAATGTGTCGAGATTGGCGAGAGTTGTAATTGATTGGACAGTGATGACGGCGGTGTGGGATAAACATGTACCTGTGAATGCAGATCGACGAATTTCTTTATTCTATTCTTTTATGTTTTTTAATATACGAAATAAATGGATTTACGCAAGGACGTTGTCTCGGTTAAATAGAAACCTGTCTACTTCAAGAACGCATTCTTCCCATTTTTATTCAAGACAAATTCGATTGTGTCGACAAACTTACTTGTTTAGAGAATGTAACTTGCTGCTGAGTTAATCTTTTGTTCGTTTGTTTCAATTGCTCGCATTCTTCTAATGTTGCACTTAGTTTCGTTCGTAGATAGTTGATTTCGTCGACGTTGAGTATTTGCTTCAAATGATTATTTTCATTGATCGCTTGGTTTAGCTGTTGTTTTAAATGTAGATTTGCAGTTTCTAAGATTTGAACTTGTTCATAGACAGGATCGCTTGTTTTGAAATAGTTTAATTCCGCGTAGAGACGTTCGTTTTCTTGTGCAACTTCTTCGATGATTCGTTTTAATTGTTGATAGTCTTTGGAGTCGGTCGTCGAACGTGGATTCTCCGGTGCGTCGACAAGATTTCGATATAGAATCAATTGTTTGGATAATGACCGATGATCGTTCATCAAACGTTCGTTCTCGTTTTCAGCTTCATCAAGGCGATGTCTTAAGATTTGATCTTGTTTTTCATAGTATGAACGAAGATATTCAATCTATGTTTCGAAAATCAAATCAAAAACATGCAATCAACGAATACCTACCTCATCAATGAGTTGATAACGTTCCGAAAGGAAATATTCTACTTGCTGAACTCTATCCAATTGAATCAGATAGGATAGATCAGCATCCCGTAGTATATGAGCGAGATAATCAGTACGTTCATCGCTATGAACAAGTACTATAAGAAAATATGTACCGATAAAAACATTTTTCAACGATGATCTTACCAGGAAGGTTCGACTCTGAATATTCATCACTGTTTGTTGTGGAGGAATCTGCTGATTGTTGATGTGCGGCATAACGTTCGTTTTCGTCGACAACATCTTCGGCTTTGTCTCTTGTGCCAGTCGGATTTTGCCCATGTTGTTGCTCCTGTCTTCGCCGATTTGTTGTGTACATCTTCAAATAGTTTTCGACATCAATCAACGCTCGAATCGAAGTGTCACTACGAATGGTCAGTAAGTGTTCTTTTTATATATGTTTGTTCTAATCCAGCAAGTGACCAATTTTAGCATCTTAACTTTCTTCTAGGACGTTGCTGTTTTAGTAACTCGCATGCATATGAAGACGTACATTAAGAAAAAAACACATCATCCTCATGCACACTTCTTGCGTTCATCTGAGTGAAAAGAGAAGAAAGAAATTTGTATGCATATGTGGCAAGATCTAAAAGATGTTGTTCAATTGACGTAATATCAACCGTATACAGACAAAGAACAGAAAGTAAAAAAGAAATTGTATAAGTAATCGTTCAACGAATATGTAAAAATGCAGAGAAAGTGTGAGAAGTTCTATGTGATTGATGGTACTCTATTTATATAAGAGAAGCTCTCCTTTTTTCTCTTCTTGCCACATTAGAATTATAATTTTATTCATCTCAACTTACGAGATTGTATTTGTGATTATTGTCCAAGTGTTTTTATTACAAACGAATGCAAATTCAACGATTAGATGGAGATATCACTGCGCAGAGTTCGTAGAAAACGAAGTGAATGTGTTACATTCTCAATGTGAGAAGAATAGAAAACAAGTATACTTCTTTCTCGAGATGTTTTGTTAGAAAACAAATCAAGAGATATTATTGTAATCAATTGAATGACTAGTGTGTGTATACTGACTGTACAGAGATGATAGTATTTATGATTTTGTTTTTATTGCTGAAATCGATCACAAAAAAAAGAAAGTTTGTTCTAAATAAATTCTACATAATTCACCAAATCAAAAGTCGATTAACACTCGTCACCAAAGCATAAAAATGAAATGTATAATAAGCAATATGGACTGCTAACTGATGAAATCACGATTTATAATCGCACGGCATAAATTCCACAGCCAGGTAAAGTTGGAAAGATACTTTGATCAGCTTTACTAGCTCGTTTCGGATCATTACTATTCAGATAGAATTTATCACGAACATTGCGAATGAATTTGTCCAAATCCTCTTGTCGTACAAGTGAAACAGCACATCCACCCCAGCCAGCACCTGTCAGGCGTGAACCCAGAGCGCCACTTTGTCTAAATGGGATCATCATTTTGTTTCTATCATTGATCTGAACTATTCATGTAGAGAAAACATACCGGCAGATGTCTGTTAATTCATCCAGTTCGGTACTACTGCATTCATATAATCTTGAGCAGCTATTATGACTTTGATTCATTAATTCTCCCAATGTTTCAAGACGGTCATGCGTATTCGAATCGCATACTTGTTTGAAAAGTAGCACACGGTTTGCTTCGCTGAGAACATGTTTCATACGTTTACATAATTCGAATTTTTGTTCTAAAAACTTGAAGAATTCAACGGAAATGAGCAAATCGAACTGTACCTCGATTGATAGTCGCCTTCAAACTAACACTAATCAGCTCGTCGACGGAAACATTTAACAAACCAGCGACTTCATCAAGCGTATAGGGAACTTCATGGAGTGAATCGATTGCAAACTTCTCCAATTCAGTGATTGTCCACTCCAGAGCAGTTTGAAGCTCGTAAGGTTTGCGAATCGTACGCCAATCAAGACCTTTGGCGTGCGTCAAGATCTTGTAAATAGAGAGAAATGAAATCTTATCCGATCGAATCATTCTATAGTTTTACTTGGGTCGCCAATCGACATTCAGAGACGCGAATGTTAAAGTGATCTGTCGCGGCTTTGTTTACTTCAGTTAACGAATGTGTCACTACAAACGCACAACCAACAGGTAATGTAACATCTTGGGTTTTCAATGGATTGAAACTGATCAACATCGCCTATAGTGACAATCATTAATGAGCAGATACAATCACATGACAAAATCAACATACAGAGCCACTATGTGCAAGACACGATGCTGCTTGATCCATTCCACCTATGATTTCGAATGAAAATTGCTCAAGAGAGATTTCCGTCGGATCGCTTACCTCCTTGTGTGCCAATATATTTTTCGCATTCAGCACATAGTTCGGCGAGATCGCTCTGAAAAACAGTTGATAAAGTTCAACAAATGACAAAACAGAAATTTGTACTTTGCTGATAGTAATACCATTGTTGATTGTTGTTGCTAAAGCAGCACAAACCACTAAAGCCGATGATGATGACAGACCAGCACTGCGTGGAATCGTTCCATCAATTAAAACCTTCATGCCTTTCAACTTTCGATCAGCGTATTTATCGCGAATACCTTGTACTCCACATTTGAAATACTCGAACCAATCGGATTTCTCATACGAAATAGAGAAATTTCCAATATCAAACGATCCCTCTCTATAAAACATCGGTATGACATACAGAAGCGATTTATTGCAATCCTATACTTAAATATGGGATCGGTATTACTAATTTGCACTTCATTACCATCATTCGCTGCGAAAACAGCAATAATATCCTGATCTACAGCCATTGGTAATACCGAATAGCCACAATAATCAATATGTTCACCTTGAACAAGAATATCCGATATTCCTCAACAAAAAAAACTTGTCATTCTTCATTACCGATGAGGTTTACTCTTCCCGGTGCGCGACAGAGGAACTGCGGTTGAGTATCCGGATATTTCGTTCGAAATTTTCCTACTAATTGTTTAAATCTTTCTTCACTAAAGTAAACACTTAATCAGAAATCTTCTCGAAAATTAAACAAGATACATACTTCGGATTTTGTGGTATTCCATCAGCAATTGAAACCGAATCCATATCACTTAACTTTTTTTTACTTTTCTCCTTCTGCGAAACGAGTTCAAATCTAAAATGTCCGTCTTATCTTATTTTTTTTATCTCTAGTTCTTTATATATATATATATATACAAGCACGCTCAATAGCGTTTCGTTTTAACCGTAGATCTCTTTCACACATACAATAATAAATCATCGTATGAAAGACACACCACAAACATATAGAAAGAAGTTATACACACATATTAAAGGCTTTAATCATCTTCAGAAAAGAAGAGCAAGAGAAAAAAAAGAATAACAACAAAGAATACAATGACTTTGGATGTCAAAATAGATAGAATATTTGAATGTATATATTTACAGAAAAAGGACGAATACAAAAATTAGTTTGTTTCGCGTTTCTCTTCAATTATTCATTTTGCATAGCAAAGGTAAACTGTTCGATGAAGAGAACAAGAGAGACAGAGAAAGAAAACAATAGTAGGAAATTTCTGAAATTGATTTCATTTTTTTTCTACGACTTGTCATCATGATCAGCGTCATCGTTGTTGAAGTTTTTCTATCAGATCGTCAAGATAAACATGGATGTTTTTTTCTTCATATTTTTTCCACAGAAACAAAAGACAAAAACAACCACCGGTACACAGAAGAAGAAGAAGAAGAGAAACGTATTGCATAAACACAAAGCCATGTTCAATTATATCTCAATGAGATTTCATATGAAAACAAACAAACAATATTTATAAGAAACGTATGTAAATGTGTGTACATTCATCTATGCTAGCGTTCTTTCGTCCGTTTTGTTGTTGAAGATCTTGACATTGAACAAATATCTCGTAAGGTATTTCCATGATCAAGTAAATTAACAAGCACATTGGAGATTTGAGTCAATTGTTCACAGAAACAACGATGTCGTTGAAGATTCGCCTAGAAAGAATCACTTTCGTTCGAATTTCTGAATGTTTTAAACGTTTATATCTCACTTGAATCAAGTCGTCGATTGTCGTTCGTATTGTTTCATCTTCAGTATCTAATAGTTGGGTTATATCTGATAATTGATTTTGTGTTATTTGCTCATCTTGTGTCTAAAGCAAATACATCTCGATTTACGAAGAATAAATCGCGACTTTTCTTACCAAATCAGCTAGATAGGTTGTCAATCGATCAATACGCCACGATGCCCATGGTTCAGTTAAGCGTTTCTGTATTGTATCAATACTTTTTACAGGTACAGTTCGTTTTGGATCTAATGCAAAAGAACGAGTAGAAATGAAGCACGAATTACCTATGGAATCTTTACTCGTTCGAATGATATCTGAATATTTTTCGTAGTGATTGATTTTTGGTTTCCATGAGAACCGTGATACAAGTGTACTCATTGATTTTGGCCGAGTTTTTGTTCCAATCCAGCGAATACCGGTTCGTTTATCGACGTAAACAAAATCTACATGAAGTCAACAAGTTAGTTGCAAAATACCTCAAATAGACATTCTGTTTTACCTTGAGACAGTCGTCGAAGAAGTTCATCGTCAATTTGATCGATAATGATATCTGCCGATGTTGCTTCTTGCTTCACGTTTTCATTCGATACAGAGTCAGGCGTTAGTTTTGCTATGGTTCGTCGTTTTTTTGATAGCATAGCAGCATTGGCTGTTTCTGCTGAATGGCGTTTTTTTGATATTCCACTTGCATCGAAACTCATCGATGACGTTGGCGTCGTATTTTCGATGGAAAACTTTGATAATGGCCGGCAGCGAGTATTAGAGAGTTTTTTCAGATTTGATGATGAATCGAACTGTTCACAATGAGGTAGTTTAGACGGAGGCTCACCGGACGATAGTTGGTCACTACAGAAAGAAACTTCAAGAAAAGCATATGGTTTTTCTTGAAACTTACTCGTCGATGAGTTTGTGTTTCTTGGGCTGTCGAATGGTAGTCGTGATCGTTGATGACGATGACGCTGGTGAAGAAGTAGATGATGATGATGATGGTAGAAGTGATGTGGTAGTTGGTGTTATTTGCTGCGCTGATGGTTGTAGAGGAAGACGTGTTCGATTTTTCGTTGACATTTTGTTGTGATGAACTAGAAAACGAGAAACTAGAACGATAGAGAGATATGATTGATTCCATACAATTTTTGATAATGTTTGAATCACTAGATTTCTCATCGATTTGCATTTCGCGAATAATTGGAGTTGTTATCGTAGCTGTCGTTGATTGATGATTATTATTATGATCCATCGAACGTTGTGTAGTTGAAATAAGTACAGATGGTGATGAGGAGGATGTCGAGGTCGAGGATGAGTATAGATGGGTTGCTGGAAGTGTAAATTGAAGTGACTGTTGGGAAGAGTTGATTGATTCAGTATTTGATGACGAAGGTAACAATTGCATATGAAAATAAGTTTGATGACCGGAAGAATCAAGATTTTTTGCTAAATACGAATGAGGATGTTGGACTTGAACATTCAATGGTGCGAGAGGATTTTCTGCTGTTGTCGGAGATGAGAGGCCGAAATGCATACTTATAGGGAAAGTTTCATTTTTTTCACTTTTCACGCTTTGAACATGAGTGATGTGTGGATGATGATGATGATGCTCCGAAGAAGATATTGACGTAGGAATCAACTGAACTGGCCGAGAAAGTACTTTAGCTAAAAAAAAACAACAACATCAGTTTGTGAAAAAATTATTCTTTTGAAAATCATACCTGTCGGTAGAATCGATGATGGTGGAATCGAAACTGTAAAAGCAAATCAATCGATTATTTACTTTCGAAATCAATTAGTTTGGAAATCTTACAGATCTTCGTTGCTTGTGTTTGCTGATGTGGTTGCCAAAAACTATTAGTCGTATTGGAGGAGTTTGTACTCGGCTGGATGACTAGTTTTGGCGTGATATTATTTGTTACAGTTGTTGACGATGCTACTGATGATGATGAAGTGGAATTCGTAATCAATGGCTGTACGCGAGTAACGCGATTTTTCGAGAGATAAACCGGTTGACTCGAATTGTTCGACGAAGATCTGTCAGATGCTATATCATTTGTTGAAGCAATCGTGACAGTATTCAACGTCTGAATTTTCGGTGACGTTGTTCCAGGCGGAATTAACGTTACTAACGACGATGTCGGTGTTGAATTCGACGGTATTTGTTGTTTTTTTACTGTTGTTGTACTGCTCTGTTGAGGATTTAGTATATATGTCTTCGATGTCGAAAAACCTCCGTTGGTTGTTGATTTATCAGTTAATTGAAATGATAAATTTGTTGGAGAAGATGATTTACCAGTTGGTGTTACTAGACGAATCGATGACGGAGTTGTAGTTGATGTTGTCGTAGTCGAATTTGACGACGATGTGTGTCTTACATTATTGGTTGAATTATCCAAATGTGAATCAGCTAAAAGAATGCAGACAATAAGATTTCACACGATCGATTCCGATGCGAATAAATAAACATACGGAGTGATAATTTTTTCACGATTGATAATGGACTTGCCACGCCGGGCATTGATATTGTTGGTACGAGTGGTTTAGGATGCTAGAAGAAAAAGAAGAATAGAAGTGAATCTTTAATTACAATGAATATACCAGTTTTAAACCAGAATAAATGAGTGTCGTTGCAGTCGTTGTTGATATTGAAGAAGAACAATCAATATCGGTTGATAATTGTTGTTGTTGTTCGTTTAAAACATCACTCTGCATTGGTAATGATGATCGTCGGTGTGAACATACGCGGACTGTCATACACAAACTAAAAAATCAATCGTTTTACTTATTATTATCCGAATAAGAATTGCCCAAAAACGAACGACAAGAAAAAGAAATCGAGAGAGAGAGAGAGAGCAGCAACAGCCTACCCCAGGAGTGCAGTGATGTCTTTTGGCTACATATGTGTATAGAGAGAGGGAGAAAACGCATGAGTCTGTCGCTTTTTTTCCTTTCTTTCCTCTTCCCTCCTCCTATTCGTTCCTTCGATCTATCAAAAGGTTTGGTTCGATGGTCGTTTTTTTCTTTTCTTTAGTTTGTGTTGTTTTCTCTTCGTTCGAGCTCGGCAGCGGTGGTAGCTATCGTCGACATATATGCATTCATGACAATCTCGGGCATCGCGCGTGTATGTAAGGCATGCCTGACCTACGTAGAATTGCACGATGATTGGCTGCAAGGAACGATGTAGGAAGAAAAAGATTTGACAACGCAAAGAAAAGAACATAATATAGTGCATACACGAGCGAGAGCGATTCTTTTCTTTCTGTTTCTTTCGATCGTTTTTCTTCTGAGGTAATACAAAACAATGAAATCATGTTCTCAATTAAAACATTTGTATTTTTTTTTATCTGAATATAAAACTGAATTGTCTTCTTATTTTGTTTGGCGAATAGAGTGATAGACCAGCTGGTATTCTTTGAGAATCTTTTTTTGTTTCTAATTTTTGTCTATTCTTCTTCTTTGACAAATAAGTCTGATGTCGATGAGAAAGAGAGAAAAAGTAAATGCAACCAATGTGTAGTCTTTCTTTTTTTCTTCTTATCGTCGTACGACTACTCTTTTCTGGGCTTTTATTCGCGCAATGCGGTCGGACGCATGTAGACAGACAGCAACAGGCAACATAAAAAAAATGAAGAAGAAAATGAAATACATGCGTATATACTCTTAGATAGATTCATTCGATAAATAACTAAAACCTTTCACCATTTGTCTTCTTTTCTTGTCTACTTAAATCAAGAGATAAAAATCAATGATAAATTTTCAAGATTGTTTGATTATCTAATGACGAGAAGATTTTCACTGTTATTCTTTTAGGTATTTACATCTACTAATCATGTCAATGATCGAAAGAAAAGAGAAAAACTTTCGTTTCCCAAATTGATGAATACAAAAGATGTGAATGACAAATATGAATAACGATCAAATTTTTTCTTTTCATGTTCGTTTTGTATACAATAACGAGAAATCGAACGATGTTATAGCAAATATAGAACAATGCGTATGTAAACAGCATCAAAACATGAATTTTTAAACGGAAAGAAAGACGGATACATATGATTGGTTGTTCACCAATGCATTGAATGAAGACACTTATGCATTTTGCTGAGAATTGATCATGAATAAGAAGAATATCCTGTATGAACGAAATATTTCGTGTTTGAACATGATGTATGATGAGAGTACGAATGTTGTTTGATGTAGAGTCCGCTTGGTAGTTTGCTATTGGTGGATCGAGGCACTGGCTTCGTGTGCGAAAGAAATACGTGCTATGAGAAAATCCGACACGGTTTTTATTATTCGATTTTCGTGAAATTACAAAGAGAACATGGCTACTCCACTGGATCAACAGTTTAGAGTAGAGAAAAAAGGTGTAACGGAGAAACGTATTCCTGTTTTGGTAAATTTTACTAAAAAATAAACACTCGTGAATGTGCTGTCATCTCATCGTAGGACGCATCAGGGATGGAGCAACATTGTTTCGTCACATACGTTCCATTATCGCCGGATATTCATGATGAAGCAGCTATTGAGCAGTGGATTGAACGAATGACTTTCATCTGTGAAGATTTAACATGGTTATTGCAACAAAGCCATGCAAAATTCTGGTGTGAAGTGTGTAAAACTCTAGCAAACATGTCTTCTAGAGGATCAACATTCCATTTAGGTCGCATTCAACAAAGACTTTCATTCTATGTTCGATTCCTATCTACGCTATGCACTACGGTAAATCTCCAACTTCATATTTTACTTTTAACGAACTTCGTATTGTTAGTCCGCAGCGAACTGTGATTAATGAAACCTATTCATTTGTTCCAAATAGTAAACAATTAGAAGAGCAAGTCTCACGGTTGATGTTTATGTGCATTCTGCGCCTTTCAACTCATAAAGAATCAGCTGTATGTCCAAGAGTTTTCTGTGAATTTATTGTAAACTTATTCAGCAAATCAAATAGGAAAGCTTCTTCACACCACAAGGATTCGGAAAGACCATTTATGATAACTATATCTTCGATATTCCACGTATATTTGATATATGTTCGCTGTATGCGATCAACAATAAAGAGTTATTGAGTAAAATGATTGGGAATATCTTTAAGCAACAGGATACGTATCACAATGATCTTAAAAACGCCATTAGAGCCATTACAGAGGTAAATTCAATGACAACCTTTGTATTCTCTGTGAAAATGCATGATTCTTAGGTTATAACAACTCGAATTCAACAGTTCAATACCCAAACTGGTCCGAAGAAACTCACTGCTACCACAACAAAATCGTCCAGTATAGTCGATATTATCGACTTTCTCTACTATATTCTTGATTTGAGTTGTACGATCAACCGTTTATTTACTGTCTATCCACCAGCTCGATTGATATTTTTCCATGAAAATTTTCATCTAACGTAAGTTTGCCCAAATGATCCGAAAGCCAACTAAAACGCTGTTTGTTTTAGATTAATCGAGTTATTCGAAACATTTCTACGCATCTATGAGCGCACTCAACAATCGGATCATCTCGAAAAGAATCAGTAAGATGAAATAACTGAACAAGTGACGAGGTAAACTTCGATACGAATTCTTTAGAGACATATTGGAAGAAGCCAAATATGAAACGATTTTTCTCTTTAATGATCTCCTTGCATCGTGTTGTGTCGACCCATTACTTGTAAATGAGTAAGATGATTTCTTACGATTGATTTTTAACTTCAATCTTTCCGTGTAGAAACAAATCGGATAATGTCGAATCGCTAATAAATATTTTTTCATTATTAATCACAAAAAAGCGATTTCTTGCTGCGTATGAAGACTATTTTAACCTTCGTGAATTGATCGAAATCGTTCATCAAGCCACAGGTCTTTTGTAAGTACTAGAATGCGACAAATTTTGTTAGAAAGAACATGGAACTCTCTCGTAGAGATGATCAACAAGCGAAATTTTATACTGATGGTGTTAAACAAGCTATCGAACTTTATGGAACTCCATCGTGTAAACGAAAATTACTCGCTGTGAGTAATGTTTTTCAAATCAAATATTCTATTCGATCTTTTCACTGTCTGTAGCCTACAGCGAACACGTCGTCTATAAGAAAATCCAACGATCCAAATGTTCGAATGATTCAGGATATGTTTCCAGATTTAGATGAAAAATACATTCAGGCAAGTTTCATAGAGAGAGACAGGAAAGAGAAGAAATCATCTAGAGGATGCTATTTCAAAAGTTTTAAGCCCATCTTATCATTGAAATCTAATGTTTTCAATGTTGTTTCGAATGTTTCGAGTGAAACTTTGGAATTCAATTGATCATCCGTAAATTCCGCGATGACTTTCTCTGCTATAATAGATGCTTCTTCGTCACTAATTTTACCGACCTAAACACAAAGATCGAAATAGATGAGAGGAGTGTACATATTGATTTACCATCATTTTCAGTGTTTCTTGTACGTCTTCCTTTGACAAACGTCCATCTCGATCAATATCGTACATCTAAAACAACAATACGACGATGCATAAGAAAGTCAAATAGACAACTTTTCATCTTACACGAAACATGAACTTCACTTTACGCGTTTTTGGCGTATCATCAGGAGAGTACTTCACATTCTCTAAAGGAGATTTCGTTACAAATTGGGATGCGCTATTCGATGTAGTTGCTGGTATGGATGATTGGCGTTTTGAATGGGAATGATGGTGGTGGTGATGATGTCGATGTTCGTGGCCGCCTCGTTCACATTGACCGAATGTACTCATAAAGTAAACAAACTGTGGAAACGTTAATCTGGCGTCCGAACCGAAATCATCCAGAATGACTTTGATTAGACGAGGTGCCATGGGATTTTCATCGAATTTGGGCACACGATTGAGATCAACAGCATCTAGATAACCTTTATAACCTTTCGTATCACCACGGCCGTCACGATCAAGTTCATAGAAACGTGTCCACAGTGAAGAAATTTGTTTTTTCGAAAGGCCTAATTTAGTTATGAACCAATTTTCTACATGAAAAGTTTCCACTCCTTACCTGTGTTATTAGTAATCTCTTCAACGTCAATTGAGTCCGGTATTGACGGTGTAGCACCCATACTTGAATTTCTTTACGTTTCCCCGACTTGTCTAAGAATCGATGCTTTTTATTGTTTCGAACGTAGGACGTGTTCTAAATGTTAAACATACGTTTCAAATAGAGAGAATAGAATATATTGTGTGCGTGTGTGTGTTTTTTTTGTTCGCGAATACATAACGCGTACGTGTAGTCATGCATTAAAATTATTATCATCGCTACTCACTGAAGTATAATGCAAATGTGCGGCTGTATGATAGAGAGAGAGAGAAACTCGAGGAAAAGAAAAAAAAGAATATTATTTTTTCGTACAAAATAGAACTGTAAGAATAAAAAGAGAAAAGAATAAAAAATAAGAAGATGGAATATAGATATAAATAGTCATTGTCTTCTAAGTCCAAATTTAATGAAGCAAATGCTCTTTTGTATATTGTAAAGATCATAGAAATAGCTAAAAAGTCACGTCGATGGATGAAACAAATGAGTTTATGATGTACGCTGTAGTTTTGATCAGATCAACTTTGAAGATGTTTGCGATATAAAAAAATGTGAACGTTAAGAAGTAGAAATGCCTACGTGTCACAAACAAACGTAAGAAGTGAAATAGAAGAATATGACGAGTTAGACATAAGAATTGATTGAATGTGTGCTGTGACTGTTAATACTTCTCCTTTTCTCTCCTCTTGTCGTTCATTGCGTTGGTTGAACTCATATACATCGAATCAGAGAAAAGAATATGATAATATATAAGGAAAAAAGCAAGACTTTATTTGTTAGTACTTTATCTAATTACAATAGGCATTTCCTTGCATTCATATCTCAGAAAAGAAACATCAAAAGATGAATGTTATTAATGTAGGATTACCTTCTAGTGAATCTCGAGAACGCGCAAAAGCAACGGAAAATCTGATTATGACTTGTTTTCTTTAGACTTGTCTTAAATATTATGATAATAATACCGAACGCCTTGTTAACGCTCTTTTTGATAATACTGTTCCGGAAAATCTCAAATCTGAAACGACAACTACTGCGTCCGGAGTTTCATCGCGCACTACAACTGAAAATGACAACCCATTTTTGAGCGTGCCTGTGCCTCTTGTACAACAACGTGCCAACATATACGATAACGATGAATTCGACTTTTTCAATCGTGATGATGTCGATCGGTCGAGGATACATCGAGGAAAAAAGTACGTCAATGTCATCAGTTGACGAGCCTGATTGATTTGGTTTTCTGTTTAGAACACAAGATACATTGGCCATACTTGATGATAAATCCCATTTGGAAGGAATGAACGAACGCTATTCTCGTCTAGGACTGGTTAAAGATGATACAGATGAAGAATATGATGATGAATACGATGATACATACGATGATGGAGTTGTCAATGTGAAGGATAAAGATGATGCAATTGATAATGAAATAGAAAAGAATACAAACAGGTTGGATATTTTTTCATTTCCTCTAAATTATCGAACGTTTTCAATAGATCAACTGGCAAACAACCAGGCCGTTATCGTCAACAATCGGACGAAGACGAAGAAGAAAACCAGGGTGAAGATCAGGTAGTTTTCTCTTTAACATTGCTTTTGTTTATTCCTGTTATAAATCAATCTTGTTTCCAGAATAAACGTCGCAGTCAATTTGTAGAAAATCCTGAAGTTGTCCGGGAAAGATGGGCACAGCAACGTGCGGCTTGGCAACAACGCCATCAACCACATCGTTCACATGGTCAAGAACAGCAACACGATGTCGTCGGCAACGCTCGTGGTCGTGGTCAAACAGCAGCAGTGGCGCACAATCGACGTTGGAAAGATTCACATAAAGGATCGCAGGCAAATCACAATCGACGGGATCGGGCTGCACAGAAATTAAATCGTGGCTTACTTTCTTGAAAAAATGAATCAGCTTAAATATCTATTTTTTGAATCTTGAATAAACACCCGTTGTTCTGAATTGTTCGGAGAAATCGATTGTTTTAAGTCTTGTTTTAGATGGCGAGTGAGAAACAAGAGAAAATCGACGAACAGCTTCGTCCGTTGTACGCTGAATTACAAAAGCACGGCCAAACACAAGATTGGGACCGAGCGTTGAAGGTAACGAAGAAAAGTACGTGAAACTAACGAGAGTCCATTTCGATTTCTTTAATTGTTCGTTTCAATCTGTTTAGTATTGGGTGTTTCAAGTAATGAAAAGAAGGCTACGCAATGTAAAATCATTTGCTTAATGCAATTGGATAAATTCGATGAAGCATTAACAACAATTGTGAAAAATACTGCGGATACAGCGTAAGTTACTTACATTGACGAGGATAAGAACTGGTTAATGCAGCAATTTGACGTCTCTTCTTTCTTTACTTGATTTAGGGATTTGATATTTGAACGTGCCTACTGTGAATATCGTCTTAACCGTATTGAAGATGCATTCAATACATTGAAGAGCGTTGAGAGGGAATTAGACGAACGTGAACAAGAGCTGTTTGCTCAAGTGGTTAGTAGAACTAATTTGACAAATGAGTTTGCTAGATAAACTTTCGTTCAGTTATTTAAATTGGAGAAGTATGCTGAATGTGTGGAATCGTATCGTTCATTATTAAAGAATAATGAGGATGAATATCAATCGACGCGGCAGGCAAATTTCATAGCAGCGTTAGCAACATGGAAATTAATCGATCCTTCGGCGAAAATCAAAATAGTGAGCGTAAATGTTGAAAGGTTCTATTTGAACGAATGTTCTATTAGGAATCGAATGATCTCAGTGATGAAACATACGATACAACATACAATTCTGCGTGCGTTCTTCTTACCTCGGGTCAATATGTAGAAGCCGAAAGCAAACTTCGAAAAGCAGATGGTAAGATGAAATGAAGGAGGGAACACTGTCTTTTCTCATCAACAAATCATTATCTTTATATAAATAGCACAATGCCGACGCGAATTGGAAGAAGAAGGAGATATGGCAGAAGATGAAATTTCACGAGAAACGGCTAATATCCGGTAAGCATTCATCTTTAGGAAAAATAACTCGAGCTGTATTCCATTCATTTTTTTCGTTCTTCCAAATCTTTCTTTGATAAGACTGTCTGAGCATAACAGCATAATAGGCAGCTAAAATAAACACTGCGCGCATTTTCTTTTCTGAATGTCTACTTAGACTGATGCGCACAAGTAAAGTACATTCCATTAGCTCGTAGTGAATAGAATAGCGAACAACAATGACTCATCAGTCTCTTGATTACAAGTAGTTGAAACGAACATCATCCTCAAGACATTGATAAAATATTCTTCGATGTTGCATTTCATAGTAACGATCATGTTAATTTATGTATATAGTATTACACACGAACGAAATACTGCTTTTATTTTAGAGTGCAGTTAGCGTATTGTCTGCAACAACAAGACAAAAATGTCGAGGCTCTAACACTTTACAACGATGTTCTTAAGTCGAAGTAAGATCGGATTCTCTTTTGTCGACGGTCATATGTATGTATTGAATATTCGTAGACCAACCGATTTGGCTGTTATCGCTGTTGCTTCGAATAATTTGGCGGTATTGAATCGTGATCAAAATTTGTTTGATTCACGTAAACGTATTAAAACCGCATCAGCACCGGAAACTGAACCGAAATTGAATGCATTCCAAAAGAAGGTTGTGCAAGTCAATGAAGCTTTGTTGGCGATTTACACTGGTCAAGTTTGTATTATATCAATAGAATTAACAAGAGAGTAATCGATGTTCTATTTAGCATGAAGTCGCCCGACGCATTCTTGATAAGATGGTACAAAAGAGCGACGATACGGATGATACAATTCCGTTGGCAAAAGTTTCGTTATTAATGAAAGAAAAAAAATTAACTGAAGCTACTCAACTATTACAAGTAATAGAGTCTAGTTTGGGTGAACATTGCTTTCAGATGGTTTTGTAGGATTTCATCCAAAGTGGTAAACAAAAGCAAGTCTCAATTTATTGCCGATTAACATATGTGCAACTTCTTCTTGCCCAAGGTTTGTGCCATTCTTATTCCGGATTTAACAAAGCCGTCTTTATTTTTTAGGAAAAGTTAATCAAACATGTGATTATCTAAGAAGTGACGCTGAGCTTCTAGTCAAACCAGGCATAGTACGTCTTTTTCAACTGATACATGGAAACGATGCTTTACGTGTTATTATCATAGGTCGCGACGTTGGTAACACTTTATAATTATTTGGAAGATTCGAAATCCGCTGCAACGGTTCTCAATGAAGCTGTTGATCGTTTATACAATCTCGATCGAACGAAAGGGAAGACGTCTCGTGCATTGGCGTATCTAATCAAGCAAAATATCATCTATCAAGAAAAACAAGGCAATGCACAACGAGTGACAGAAATGCTTGAAATTCTTCATAAGTGAGCTGATATGGAAAGATCAACTTCGAATGCGTATTTTCTCTTAGGCTTTATCCGAATGATACAACTACTCTGTCGAAATTGATTGTTCATTATTTGAAATCGGATCCTGATCGAGCTAATCTGTTAGCACAAAAATTACCATCGATTAAACAATTAGCTGAAGGCGTCGACGCGGATATGCTGGAGTCCACATTTGGTAAACGCGTGCAGAAAGCAGAAAAAACAACAGAAAAGTAAAAAGATATACTGATTCTTGTCAATTGTTCTAGCGGAAATAATCTTATGTTATTGTAGAACGAAATCGGGTGATTCTAAATCAACGCCAGCAACTGCTGTAGCTACAAACGCTACTAAACAAAAGAAGAGACGAAAACGAAAAAGTAGATCCTTATTTTCTCCGTTTCTTTCCAATTTTTGTGGCTTTTGTTTCTTTTCTCTAGTTCGTTTACCCAAGAAATACGATCCGTCATCAAAACCGGATCCCGAACGTTGGTTGCCATTACGCGAACGTTCTTACTATCGAGGAAAGCGAGGCAAACGCGGCAAACAAGCAGCCATTGGAAAAGGTACGCAAGGTGCTGTTGGATCCGATCAATCAGCAACGACGACAATGACAACAGCAACTGGCGCTCAACGATCGATGCCAACATCAAAAACAACAACTGGTGGAGCGACGTCAACTCAACCTAAACCAACGCCACCGTCTGGCAAAGTAGCCGGAAATAAACGAAGAGGAAAACATTAAGTATTTTTTTTGCGTTTTAAACTGTTTTATGGACATCACTTTTTAGCAATAAAAACGTGGATTGAAAATCTTATTCCAGTATACATCTAACCTTCTTTTGTTTTCTTTAATTTACAATAAAGTGGCATGTGTCACTTAGCTTTAAGATGAGTTTTGTACACAAAAAGAACCTGTTATTCCCGACTCAGAGAAATGATCGATCAAACTTTATGAGCAAATAATATGGCAAAACACTTATCTTCTACCATCATCTACAAAACTATGATATACGTTTTCATATTTTATTTCGAATGATAAATACAAATCCATATGATGATAAGATTCGTTCTAACTAAAAATATTTTAGCAGTTTCCTTGCTACAGGAAGTATTGTCTACGTGAACTCATACACAGTTTAGTAGCATGTTTGAATGTACGTTCAGCGACACTGAGCGATGCGTTTAAAATGAAACATATTCTGTACAGTTTAAGATATACTGCTAATGCAAACCTTGGTGGTACCGCTTATAGCTTTCGATATTATGAACATATACATAGCGTGTATAGGATAAATGTTAGATCAATGAGATTGAGAGAGAGAGAGAGAAAGCGAGAAAGAAAGAAAAAGAAGAAAACGATTGAATAAATTTAAAAACAAATGAGAAATATTCCACTGTTCGAAATTAATAAAGAATTAGAAAAGGAAGAATTTGAGAGTAGAAGAATCAGGAAGTTGACGATGGCGGCGGTTGTTGTTGAGTATTCAAGTTCGTTTGTTTAACAATATTAAGTGCTTGAATAATCGCTTGAGGATCTTTTCGTGCTTTAGCTGCACAATTTTCTAATGTTTCAGCGGCTTCATATTTACCTTGTCGGCGGTATAATAAACTTAAATTTTTCAGCGTAGTTGTCACTGTCGGTTGATCGCTTAGGATTGTTTTATACCATCCACCTTGAGCATCATAGTTTCCACCTGTTGCTCCGCTTGAGTTTTCTTGTTGTTGACCAGGAACTGGAGGTTTATTTGAAGGATCCTTTTCTTGTGCTCGTGTGAGAACATCTTTGTAGATTTGCTCAGCTTCTTTATATTTTTGCTGTTTAAGATAGGCGGATGCGAGATTATTTTTCGTCTTCGCAACATTTGGATCGTCGATACCAAGTGTCTTCGTGTAGATATCGATAGCACGTTTATAATACGATTCTACTTCATCATATTTGCCTTGATTTTGGCAAAGTAGGGCGAGATTGTTCAGTTGTTTAGCAACATCGGGATGCACTGAACCAAGACACTTCTCTCGTATTTCCAACGCACGTTTACATAGAACTTCGGCTTCTTTGAACTTATTTCGTTTACCTTGAAAGAAAAACAAAAGAGCTGAAGAAGAAATCAACCACATGTGCTACCTACCATAGAGCACAGCTAAGTTATTTAAAGTTGCTGCTACAGCTGGATGGTCATGGCCGAGAGTTTTTTCTCGTATAGCTAATGCATCATTAAGCAGCGCAGCAGCTTCTTTAAATTTAGATTGATCACGGTAGACAAGTGCCAGGATATTTAACATCGTAGCCACATCAGGATCTAAACAAAAATCGTATAATGCTAACGTCGTTCAAAAGAAGTTTAACCATACGTTGATGGCCGGACGTTTTCTCCAAATCTTCAAGTGCCTGTCGACACAGAGGCACTGCGACTTCATATCGACCTTGAGATGCGTATTGTATGACAAGATTATGCAAAGTTTTCAATCGTGCAGGTATTTCATAGCCAGTTGAAGAAATGAATGAGCCACTTGCTGACTGCGATGGCGTCATCATCAAATCAGCATACGATTGATTTCTTTCTTGAACGCTCTGTTGGTCCATATACGCATCGTCGTCTGTTGGAAAGAGATCATTGACGAGATCTGCTGTTTGACCAGAAGATGTATTTGTTGTCGAGGAATTGTTATCATTGACGTCGTACTGTTTGACATCTTTGAGAAATTTCAAATGTTCAAGTTCGACGGAATACGAGGCATTGGATTGTTCGCAGTCATGCAATTTCTTTTGGGATGTGGCTAGTTCGTCTCTAAGCCAGGCGTTTTCTTGACATAAACGTTTGACTTGAGTGCGCAGTTTGTGTTTTTCGGCTTCCAGATTCTGAAGATGATTGCCTAATTGCATCATTACTTGCGCTTCGCCGATACCTTAAAAGACGACATTTGTACAATGTGATTGTGCAGATAAATCAAACGGTCTTTACCTAATTCAATCATATCCATAGATTTGCGTAATAAACCTGCTTTTTCTTCAATTTTATTCGCATCTTTCGGCGATGTTGGCGGTGTTTCAAGAATATTCTCTAACATTTTGCCATGTTCATTTTTCAAAGCTTCAAGTCCTTGAATGACTGTTTTTGTTGATTGAAGAATATCGTCTTGACTCATGATCACAATATAGGTTTCGAAAACGGAATGATAAATAATCACATAAAATTCTAAAAATATATTCAAATACACAACCAATCATCCTTTATATATGTGTTTCTTTTTCTCGTATTAGATATGTCTGTTTCAGTGATAGTGAATAGAAAACTTCCGTTTTTCTTCATTACCTATCAACATCCACTCACTGAGCGCAAACGGCAGCAGCTGGAGAAAGTCATTATCAGCCGACCGATAGAAAAGGCTCTCATATTGACTGGCGAAAAAAATATTTTTTACATTCCTATCAAACAGATATCTAAATGTTAGAAATCAGATGGAGCGATTGAATAAATCATGAGCGCTCGGGAAAAAAGCAAAATGAACGTAGAACTTGTCAAACTATACTCTTCAGCTAACAACAATATGACCTCTCCTTTCCTTTCCTTTCTTTCTTGCACTCTCAACACTCGCGTTACTATTATTTGGGCGCAAAAAAAAAGAAAGAAAAAAGTGAGAGAATGGTACTAAATGATGAAGTTACTCATCGAAACAATGAAAAGTTTATTTCGGGTGCCTTAAAAGTTGATCTTCTTCGCATAAACAAAAACAAGAAACATATAATTATCCTCACCCTTGCCCTCAACAGTATAGATAATCTCAAGTTTCTATGTCTCGGTAGTACGCGTTTTTTTTGTCTACGAATGAATAATACTATCTGCCTGTCAAAAGCGATAGATTTGAAATTGATTTAATGCAAAAAAAAACGAGTATATATAGAACTTGTGAGTCATTGAACAAAATATCATGCTTTACATTCTTGACAATCAATGCGAACGAGAAGGAAAGAAGAGAGAGAGAGAACTACATTATAGAACAACACGTTTATTTATTTTTTAATGGTTGACTGTTGAAACCAGTGATTGTAAATAATCGATTTTTTATCGAGAAATTAAATTCGAAAAATCTCAGCAGTTTTCCATTTTTTTAATTTATTCATAGGTATAACGTATTTGATCGATTTTCTATATGACTATGAAAGAATGGGACGTTTAGCATAGATGGCGGTAGAAGGTAACACGAGCTGTGTTACAATTTAAAACGCCGTATGAACATTTCTTAACTGAGTTTCACTCGGAATAATCTTTGAAAATCATGACAGAATACAATGGTCTTCCTTTATCGTATAAGACCATAGAATACAGTGTTAGAATACGGGTATAATACGATCAACTGGTCTCTCAGTTTAGTAATTTCTCGTATATCTTTCAGTAGATTTGACTGCTGGTGATGTAGTTCAACTAACTACTCATAACGCCAAATCATCACCATAAAATTATCAATTTTCTGTATTTGTACTGAGGGATGAGGAGCTGGCGGTGTAAATTAATCTGTCAAGATGACTGATACTGTGAAGAGAAGATACTTTAATTAAAAAAGACCTCGATAGACCGAGTATATTGTCTGAGACCTTGCAACAACGATGATATAGCATACGCGATTTAGACGACCTAATCCATCAAGTATTGGATGAACTGACATGATGCAGCAGAATTGAAACAATTTCAAAATGGCATAATACCCAAATGTCTATGCGCCACTGCTTGGCTCGAACTGACATTTTTTGTTCCCAATCCACACCAAAACGACTTCGATACATAGCATTTTCGCATCGTTAACACAGTGTCGCGTTCCTCACCTAGATCTTGCCCCTTTTCACAACTTTCTCTTTGCAGTTCTTAGCATATAAAAAGCATCAAATGTTACCATGTTCTCGGAGACGGCTATAATCCAAAAAATTAATAATCAGAGATAAATCTCATATTCATCAGAATCCAAAATTTAAAAGTAATGCCTCGAATATACAGCAGGCAACGCTTTTTTCCAAGTCGAATGCTTCTCGTTCGATTCAGATATAAAAAGAATCTCTTGTTTAATTGTTAATTGCATAATTTGCACAAACGTCTCAGACGCATTACTATTTGTATGAATTGATCAATGCATTACATCTGATTATTTATTAAAATGATTTTCTATTTCTGTAACTAAAATTTTTTCATTGATCAATTACATTTGCATATTCATATTCCCCGTATGGAAACAACAAAAGAAGATTATTTCGTGACAACGATAAACAGTTTCATAGTTACCAGATGGTCGACGATGCACCAAAGTGCAACTCATTTAATCCACACGAACTTGTCTTTGCGCTTTTATCGTTGAACTCATAGATCAAAAACGAAACTATAAGGTGCATCACCGTCTTCGTCGACTACCATATGGTCTCATGTGAAATTGTTCGAATTTGACCCACCCACTTTTGCTGGTCAGCTTCTCTCGAGACATGTCCACATATATCACTCGTTTTCTCATTCACGTCACAGGCAAGAGAGAAAAAAAACGAAAGGACAATCTATCAAGGGACTTATCATTGTAATCCAGGTAGATTGATCGATGAGACTAGTCGATTTTTGTTTCGTTCCATCTGGTTACAAATGAGAAGAAGAAAAAAAAAGTAAATTGTTGTTTTCTTTTCTTTTCTTTTGTTTTTCAACGCTCAAAGCTATCCCACGACACGATCACGATTAGCACAATTCTTTCGATTCATTTGCCATCTCGCACCGAATGTCAACAAATCTTGTCACCAAACTCTCCATATGTCTTATCTTAACAAGAATAACATGAACACGGAAAGAAGAAGAAGAAAATCGATGGTAATCAATACGCTCGAACAATTATGATAAGCAATAGTCTGAAGTGTCATCTGAGAATACTCTCACAAACGGACAATGTCATATAGACATAGCAACAGTAGTCGTCGATCGATTGATGACGTGACGAACACACGCATGAATGTAAAGAGCGTGTTTCACTCATCATCACCATCATCATCATTGCCACCACCACAGACAAGAAGCAGAAACGAGATCAGAAATAGTTTTCATACAAAGAAAAAGAAGAAAGAATAGAGCAAATTTTCCATCTGTTCTTTTTCTCAGTTGAACAAAAACAGTTCGAAACTAGTAGTTTACTTCGAGCAAACATATCAACAGGTCGGGAATACATACACACATACACATGTCGACACCTTTTGCTTCCGATCTGATGCGTAACAATGTATTAAAAATTGATTCGCTTTTTTCAACCTACGCGGCTACCTATGTTGATCATTGCCTAGAGGGCAAGCACACAAGAATAATATTTCAGTTAATGAGAAACGGAAATCTTCCATCTCAACAAGTATCTAGTAAATACAAGATCAAAGAAGCGAATGATGAGTAGATGGTAAAACGAGGAAGAAGAAAAAAACGTAATTAACTTTTTTTTTTCGATGAGCTTTCCAAGCAAAACTTTTGCTGCGATATTTTAAATATGAATTAATCTTTATCACTGAATAAATTATCTTTGTGAATAAAAAGAAAGTCTTGTGCGCATTTCTTTCCTTCTGTCTCTCTCTGCCTTCCTTTTGCTGTATGCATCTCGATGGTCTTTATTTAACATGCAGAGAGAGAGAGAGAGTTGGAACAAAAAAAAAGTAAAAAAAGAATTGGATATAACGTGAATAGTTGATGATGCTTGTTGTGCACCGTTCATTTGTTTAAATGGGCTTTTACGAGTATTAACTTATTTATATCATTTCTTTTTTGTCTTATTGTGCATGACAATAAAAAAAGCGAAAGAGAATTCAATTGAATTAAAGTAAGAGAAAAGATAATACTAGAAGAAAGAGAGAGGGAGAGAGACAGGAGCAAACGAAGAACATCTAACTGATCGTCGCCTTGCGTGTCGCTTGTGCTTGGGGAAATCTTCTTCTTCGTTTTCTTCCCTCTTTACTCTGCTAAAGATGACAGACAGATGGATGAATAAAAAGAAAGAACCTGTTCATTGGTTGATGAGAAAATTGTTCGGCCAATGAGAAAATTTCTCTTCATTCTCTCGCAGGTAAATTTTCTTTCTCTCATATTTAATCACAGAAAAAAAATGAGTTCCTTCTCATTTTTTATTTATCATTAATCACTCACGGAATGAATGTTAGTAACACATAGAACGAGAAGAAAAGGAAAAACTCATATTTTCACTCTCACGTCCATAAGAAATTCAGTCGAAATAAAACCAAGCAATAACTCTTACTCAACACATCGATTATATCTTTCTCTTTCTCTTCTTTTCCTCTTCCTTCTCAAATGTGTGAATATTGAAAAATTATTCTGATCGACTGCATTTCTTCTTCTTTTTAAGTATGTATATATTTATTTATTATTTAGTACATACATAAAAAACATCAACAAAGATATATAATTAGTGAAGTGTGTCAAGAATTATTTCGACTCATTGATAATAATAATGAAATGTTAACAGACAAGTAAATTATTCATCGAAACAAATCGATATGCTTACTAATACAAACACATCACCTGCTGATCAAGCAGCAAACAAATTGTCATTTTCAAATGCAGCAAGTGGAATGGCGAATTCCAATTCAATGCCAAATACCAATAATCGGTATTCACCAAGTAATTTCTACCGAGCTGCAGCTGTAGCTGCAGCAACAAGCGATCCGAACAATCGGCGATACATGCCAAGTACACCGGTACAGAGAGTTTTCTTTGCTAATCATTCGTTTTTTTCTTCATACGGAAGTTATATTTATAGTGGGCCAAATCGAATTGTTTTGGTGACAGTTTCAAATTCGAACCGAATGTAAGTAGTTCGAAGGAGATTTTCTGTGGAAGGCAAATGAACTTTTCATCCTAGAGTTTATTTTGTTCAACCATTGACGACAATTTCCTTCGTCAAGCCGAAGCTTTAGCCAAACCTGACTCGTCATCGCTTTACTATCCCTCTCCATTCGCCTGTTCATCAACAGCAGCGACTGCTTCTTCATGCTCCTCATCGGTAGCCAATGCTTATCCGGGTACATCATCAATGGAATCTCATCTCTTATCCGAACATAATCATCACAATCATCACTCGCATGCCAATTCCGATTTACATCCATTCTATCAACGTCAATATGCCGCAGCCGCTGTCGGTGTTCTACCAGGTATGGTTGTTGGAATGCATCATCATAGCGTTGTCGGTAGTCTTGTTCCTCCTCATGAACTCGATGTTGATCCACGTGAATTAGAATCGTTTGCTGAACGTTTTAAACAACGTCGAATCAAACTAGGTGTCACTCAAGCCGACGTCGGACATCAGCTGTCGAAATTAAAAATGCCCGGCGTCGGTTCGCTGTCTCAATCAACCATATGTCGATTTGAGTCATTGACATTATCACATAACAATATGGTTGCGTTGAAACCAGTTCTTCAAGCCTGGTTAGAATTTGCCGAGGCGGAAATGCGACAAAGGAAAAAAGAAGAAATGAACGGTAGCATGATTGGTATGAGTGGACACATTAGTTCAGGTGGAAGTTTAATTGACAAGAAACGTAAGCGCACGTCGATCGCGGCACAAGAAAAGCGCTTCTTGGAATCATGTTTTATTCAACAGCAAAGACCAAGTGGAGAACGTATTGCCCAAATAGCCGATAAACTTGATTTGAAAAAAAATGTTGTTCGTGTTTGGTTTTGTAATCAGCGACAAAAAAATAAACGTTTACGATTCGCTGCTGGCCAATCAGCATAACATCCAAGAAAGATCCAAGAAATCCGTCCATTTCAATGAGTTTATATATACCCCTCTTTTTTTTGTCGTTCTTTTTAGCTGTTGTCTTTTCATTTTCAACTAATGTTGTCTTCTTTTAGCAGTTAATCTCTATTTTCTAGCACAAAGTGTATTTTCTTTGTTCTACAACAATATGGATCAATTGAAACTGTCTTCTATATTTTTTTTTCTAGACAAACTTTCTTGACAGCATTTTTTCGTCTAATCAATGAAATGTACAAATGAAATATACACGTATCCTAAATAGAATTTTCTGTTCTAGATGGACTCTGTTGCTGTTTTGCGATGTGCTGAATAAATTCAATGATAAACATTTGTAAACGGACGTCTGGTGGCTTATTCGTTGCGTGCATACATGACACACCAGCTTTCTCTAATCGCGTTTGCTGTTCTAACATCTTCTGATCAAGATCTAAGATGATTTTCATGTCGAACCGTTGTTGTTCGTCGGCTATTCGTTTCACAAACGTCTACATAAAAGGTTTTGAATTTGTGCGTGAAAAAGAGCGACCTACTTCAAATTCGCTTTTATTTGCAGATTGAAGAAGACTTAGATGTTGTGGCCGGTCGGCACAGCGAGCTTCATCTTCGGCATGTCTCCGAACGAGATCCATTTCTTGTTCTAAAGAAATCTGTTTACATGGTATATTGCAGAGAGAGAGAGAGTAACGTTTCACCTTTTGCTTTCTGAACTAATTTCTGTCGTTCATTGAACAAAGTTTTTTCTGTTCGTTCCTGTGTTTCTTGTAAACTATTGATAATATCGATGACATTTCTGTCGAGCGAGACAGTGATCAAATGTTCAATAAGATCATCATTTTCAAAACGTTCTTGTAGTTTTCTAAATAATTGAGAATGTGCAACGGAAGTTTCCCCGACGAGATGTTTGGTTTCCTTACGCTGGTAGACTGCTTATCATGTGTTTTAGTTGTTCTGCAATTTGTTGACGATTCATATCTTAAATGAATACAAGAGAAACTAAATACGTTCTCGATTTGAAAAAAATTATCGACTAATATTTATTCGAATATAAAAATTTGGTTAGAAAGATAACAAAACGCATATGTTAGAAAGCAACTGTTAGCATGCAAGAAGGAATTTTGAACGAAAGACTTGAATTTTGATTGAAGATGAGTTAGTAAGAGGGTGATTAGAGGGATTCAAAATTAGAAAATAAAAAGCACCAGAGAATTTCTCAGAGTTTTGTAATTGTTTTTTCACCATTGTCGATTTTACGTTCACGTCGCTAGGAAGAAAAGAGGAAATTTTATGGTAAAGTGTTTGTAATGATATTGTTCGTACTTCACGTCTTAATGCTTGACTTGATTCGTAGAGGCTTCTCGCTTGGGCAATTTCCACTTCATGTGGAACATCAGGGATTGCGAAATCAATCGCAAACTTGATCGCCAGTAGGATGTGCTAGAAGAAGCAAATCACGATCCTTGATAAAACGTATCAAGTTCGCAGAAATAGTATCCTACTTCAGCAGCAACAAACAGGAGAATATATTCGACGGTACTGTACGATGAAAAATACTCTCGAACCGATGGTTGCATAGCAATCAAAGCTGTATTCGTCACAATAGCGATGGAGCTGAGGATATCGAATGCATAGTGCCAACTTCCAATGTTGCTAGCTGGTTGAGCGAATGGACGTTGGTAAACATAACAGTATTTAAATGCATCAGCACGAAGTTCAAAAATATTATTGATAAACCCGCAGATAGCTACCCAAGGAAATACCTGAATGCAAGAAAAGAATGTCGACGAAAATCATGATGAAAATTGAGTGAATTTACAGCAGAGAATAAAGCGATGTAACCATACTGTTCGAAAATAGTTAAATAATCTCCGTATGTTCCCTAGAAGAGGAGTGAAATCGTCTTTTCGATTATAGGACATTCTATCCTTACCTCAAATGGTGTCAATGTTTTCGATTGTTTGATCGCTTCGCTGGCTTTGGTATCAACAGATCCACTTCGATCTAATTGACTCTTTTTAACGGTTTTCATTACGTATGGAAGAACTTGTTCGGTAAATTTCAAAATTAAAGCATTGATGATAACTAAGGTTGTGAGTAACTAAACAAAGGTTTCGATAATAAGAAAAGATCGGTATGCGAAATAGTCCTTTTACTTGTACGACGTTTTCATAGTTAACATTGAAAAATGCTTGATAGAATAAACCTACGAAGCTGTTAACAAAAAAGAAGATGAATAACTTCGATGTTAAATTATTTTCGTAAGCTGTTTGGAGACGATGATTTTCTAAAACAGATTTTACAATTTGTCAGATCGACGAAGAAAATGCTCCACTAACCATAATCCGTTAGAAACGTCGCGATGTTTTTATAGATGAGTTTCACCGGTATCAAGGATAACGAATAAACCATTGATGGTAACATTCGTCTCACTTTGGTTTCGATTGGATTCGAAGGATTTTCCAGAGGAAAACTTGCATTTGTTCGTTGTTGAATTTTGTAATAAGTAAAATAAAGTGTCAATGCAAATGCTAAACATCCCATCACAATCGGATAACTAACCAAATACTTTTTCACTTGACGCTTCCATCTACATCAACATAGGCACATGTGTGACGATGTTTTATTCCATTGAGCTTAACTTACGCGGGATATAATGGTTCTAATCTACCGGTAATTGGCGATGGTTGTAAATCGCCATAATAAGGTGGACGCGGACGTTGAAAGATTTGTAAATCAAGTGTACCCCATTGATACGCTAGTTTATTTGTCAGCCGTTTCCATCGTTCCATCTAAATGACAGACTTAGCCTTGGATTCTGTGATTAGAGAAGTGAAAGATAGTTACGAAAACCGTCCACCAGATGACATTGAACACACAGAAGAATGAATATTTCGTAAAATCGGAAAATGGTAAGACACTGAGCAAGATACCTAAGAGAAGAACATCATGTCAGCATGCAATCAATTGAGCAAGAATCTATAGTGGCACTACGAAGCTACACAACATTTAAAATTACATTTTTAATTCTTAAATTTGCCATATAGACGAATGAACTATAAAACAACAAAATTCATCAAATGGATTATTCGTTCTTGTTCTGTTTTTAATAAGTGCTATGACGTGATAAACAAACTTTGCACACGAATATTTTCTCCTCTACTCATACGCATGACTGATTTTGTTTTCGAACACGGCGAAATGGGTCAGATCGATTCGGTTCGTTTTACCTGAATGATTAATCAGTAATGTTTGTATGGAAAGATTCGAGACGCCTAATTGTCTTGTTACGACTATTTATGTATACTAACAAGAAAGAATTTATATTCATACCAAGAACGGATGTCGGTATGAGAGCTTTTGTATAAAATTCCAAGAATGCAAAGTAAAATGCTACATTATCACCGAAATAATTGCGAATTTTATCTAAATAAACCAGAACGATCGATGTGCTTTCCATGAATTTGCCTGTCTTACGAATGTCTTGCGACTTGATTATTGAAGTTTTCGATTTGAACCAATCATACTCCATTAATTTGATATCCTCTTTGTCATGTAGTGGAAAGAAATTGACGATAAATTTCAAATCTTGTAGCACAGTGACTGGAACAAGATAGATAAAAGTAGAAAATCAGAGAGTCAGCGTATGTGGTACTTACAAATAGTGTCATGTTCAAACGAGAGTGACCTTGTTGGTACCCCTGGTACTGCATGTTCACTTTTCATCGGACGTAAGTTTTGGATCTCCTCAAAGATGATTCGTTGTTTCTCCGATTTAAGTAGAATATCTCCGGGATTTTCTAATTTTGTGAAAAATATAGAAGTCGTTTTGGATAGAAAAATACTTACCCGAATTTTGAAAATGTTCGATATCGGCGACAAGAAAATCTGCTAGGCCCCCCTTCGTTGTATCCCATTTTTGTATTCGTAATTCTTCTGCTCCAACTAACAGGCGTTCATCAGTTGCACCAATGACAATCAAACTGTTCTGCAAAGATAGTACAATGGCACAGTTTCAAGTAGCAGATTATTCTTATTCGACTTACTCGACTTTCGGTGTTTCGCTCGAATCGAGCCAGTAATCCAGCACCTTCGTCTTCATTATGAGTAGCAGTTAATCGATGGATAATCCACTCTTTTGTGATTGCTGGTGTCGTTGGTGCAAGCTGAAGAACTACCAGAGGTTCAAAGTTATCGGTCTCGTCGAAAGACATCTTCCTATAGCAAACCTGAAGCAATCAAAAGTCGCAATATATATATCGTATTATCATATTTGCCAAAACAACCACAGAATGACTCATCCTATCTGATGATTAGTCGCACATAATCCAACAGAAAATCATCAATAAATTAAATTGAATTTTCTTAATTTTATTTGAAATCTAATGTATTTGCACACGTCAGTAAGTGAGAATTAGTTATTTGAATACGAAGCACCTCCGATATGATAGACCATCGATCCATAGTTTACCCTTTCCTGGAAATCTTTCCATACACATAAACAGAATTCATTTCTTTCTTTTTTTTTCATTGAAAATCCTGCATATGATGTATAATTTCATTTAAGACAGATTAGTCTGATTCATTCTGAACGATCAAATTTTGACTGATGCAGATCGAATGAATTGATACAGTCCGATGATGATAACTGACGATTGAAGAGCATTTTGAATGTGAGACGAACAGACGACTACTTAAGTTCAGTCGTTCTTCTTGAAATATTTTCTCTTAAGTAGCAATTTGTTCGTCTTGATTCTGTGGGCTCACGTGATTATCGATTATGAGATCTGAGGACTGTCGTCAAGTTCGAAAGAGAAACTGATCTATTCATTTGATTTACTTTTAGATTGACATCTGACAATGAAGCATAACAATGTCATCCCAAATGCTCACTTCCACAAAAAGTGGCAATTGCATGTTCGTACTTGGTTCGATCAACCGGGCCGTAAAGCACGCCGTCATCAAAAACGTTTAACCAAAGCTCAACGTGTTGCTCCTCGACCAGCCAAAGGTTCATTACGCCCAATAGTTCGTGGTGAAACACGTCGTTATAATACAAAAGTCCGTGCTGGCCGTGGCTTTTCCTTGGATGAAATTCGTGCTGCTGGTCTTCATCCTACCTATGCTCGAACCATCGGTATTTCAGTTGATCATCGACGACGCAATAAATCCACTGAAGCTTTACAAGTAAGTTGAATCGAACTCATACACGAACACTTCGATGATCATATCTTATGTTTAGCTTAATGTTCAACGTCTAAAACAATATCTCGGTAAACTCATCTTATTCCCATTGAAAGCTGATAAACCCAAGAAGAACGATGCCAAACCCGAAGAAACTAAATTAGCTGTTCAACTTAAGAAACAACGTGTTATGCCAGTTAAACAACGTGTCGTTCGTGAAAAAGCACGACCTGTCAATGATGCTGACACGAAATTCCAAGCGTTTCAAGCTATTCGTATGGCTCGTGCTGATGCTCGTTTGATTGGTCAACGCGAAAAGAAGGCTAAACAAGCAGCTGAAGATGAAAAGAAACCGAAGAAAGAGAAATGAGCATTTTCTTTTGTTTTTGTAAACAAGTATTTGGATTGAAAAAGAATCGAAATAAAGAAAAAGAAGATCATATCCGATCGACAAAATCAATATATCGATCGAAGAAAACTAAAAACAATCTTGTTTTGTTTTTATAGATTTTTCATGAATCTGTTACTTTCCCGTCATCTTCTACGTCCTTTCCTCTCGAAAGCTTTCCTACATAATCATATTCAACCATCTATATTATCAATAAAACAGTTTTCATCAGTATCAATTAATAATCAGCCCGAAAAGCCACCATCCTCGGATAAGAATAAGTTCGAACAAGAATTTAAGAAATTCGAGAGAAATGAAAAGAACCGCCGCATTAATATCGCACTTTACATGAGTTCAATGGCTATTCTTATGCTTGGATTAACATATGCATCTGTTCCACTTTATAAAATGTTCTGTGAAGCAACGGGTTTCGATGGCGTGATTCGGAAAACTGGTGATGACGAAACCATATCAGCGAATGTTCGACAATTAGCTCAACGAACTGCGAAAACAGATCCAATGCTTCGAATTCATTTTACCTCAACACCTTCAGCACTTTTACCGTGGACATTCGAGCCCGAACAGCATGAAATATCGATTCAGCCAGGTGAGACCGCTCTGGCTTTTTATCGTGCAAAGAACGAGTCCAATCGACCGATTATTGGCATCGCAACATACAATGTTCAACCGTCGCAAGCCGCGTTCTATTTCAACAAAATTCAATGTTTCTGTTTCGAAGAGCAACGCTTAGAACCAGGTGAAGAAATCGATATGCCTGTCTTCTTTTATATCGATCCTGATTTTATCCAAGATCCAAGTTTACAAGGTGTTCGCGATATTAGTTTAGCTTACACATTTTTCGAAAGCAAAGGCACTGAACATCTTGCTCTAATGGGCGGTGATCAATCCATGGCACATGTGAGGTTAAAACCAAGTGAAACATTACCGTACGCACATCGGCATAAAGACAAAATTCTACCGAATACTTCTTAGTTTTCTATGTGTATGTATATAACACGAAAACATTCACACGATGTATAATTGAAAATAAAACATTTTCAATACTTAAATTCTGCATATCGTTTCTCGAAATGTGACTATGAGCGTCTGCTCTCTACGACGGTGGTTAGTTTATTGCATCATTTGTAGAAGAACAAGAGCACAAATGGGAAAACTATTTCTTTTTACTAATTTTGTCTAATGTTTTCCAACATAGATAGAACGCTCGTGGAACGTGATAGCATCCTTTCCATTTGCCACCTTTTAAATTCAATAAAACCTCACCTTGACGATTTAAGTAACCGAACAGTTCACCACCTTCGGCGTCAACAAAATGATCAATGGTATACTTTTGAACTTTGTTTAACCAAACGAACAGTTCACTCATTCGATCTGGTCGATGGTCGATAGCTTTAATCAATGCAATTAGCGTTTCAAGATGAACCCACCAAAGCTTTTGATCCCATTCAAGCTGTTGAGGCGGATGTCGCTCGATGTCCAGAAAATAGAAGATACCGCAATATTTTTCATCCCAACTATAATCTAGGATCTTCAATAATGTGTCAACACAAATTGATGCTAATTCTTTATTGTTTTGTCGTTCGGCAATGTCCAGTAAGAACCACATGGCTTCGATTCCATGTCCGGGATTTAGCAGACGTCCTTCGAATGAATCGCTTCTAGATCCATCACTCGCATTGATATATTCTAAAACTAGACCTGAATCAGTTTGACGGAATTCGTTGATTATTTCTTTGGTACATTCGTTTGTTAACGTTTGAATGAGTTGTTTGTCGATGAGATGTTCCAATTCCATAGCTAAATTGCACATCATCATCGGCAGTGCGAAGCTTTTCAGTTGTCGTGATGATAAAGGACTCGCTTTGTTCCATTCACCTTTAGGATTTGAACGACGCTTTTGTATATCATCAAATGTTTCTAATGCAATTTGTTTATATTTCTCACAATTGACTTTATCTGCTTTGGCCATTTGACCGAATGCCATCGATGCAAATACGCTGGAGAATATGTTGTAAGGCTCAACTAACGGTTCACCGTTTTGTGTTAATGAGAAATACCATTGACCATTCGTTGGATGTCGACCGTATTTCTCCAAAAATAAGGCGCCATGCTGAGCAGTCTTCAACCATTCTTGTCGCTCGGCATCCGGAACGTTCAAATCGGCATCTTGATGTAATTTAGCAAACATCCAGACTTGTCGTGCTTGTAGCCAAATGAATTTGTCTGTATCGAAGACTTTGCCATCACGATCGAGACAAGTGAAATAACCACCACATTCTCGATCTATCGAATGACGAAGCCAAAACGGTATAATATTGGTTAGAAGATAATCGCGATAGTAATGTGACCAGAGATTAAAATCATACGTTTCATTCATTCTCTCTCGACTTATGATGCTCTCAAATAAAATAAGATAAGAAGATTTCGTCAACTTCGAAGTTATCTAAAACGTGATATCGCTATAAACACTGACACACATTCATATGCTATTTCTTAACATGAGACACAACGTCATTCAATGACCTGATATGCCAATAATAGAAGACAAACTGACTGTTCGACACAACGCGCATGGCCTAGTGAATGATTACCATATGAATATCATAGATCGATTCTGCACTTCTGCTGATGTTTTATTTTGAAAAGAAAACCAAAAACCTTGAGGAAAAAAAACATTGTTCTAGAACAATTAGCCAATCAATCAGTACAAAGATAAAGTAATACAAGAATAAAATCACATCGCTGACTTAATCGTATTCACTTTTGATTTCCGAATGCAGTAAATCTACAGCACACTTTCTAATCATCATACTGGTACAAAAGGACGAGTTAAAAACAATGAATGAGCTCACATCAGAACACTTATGCACGTGTAAAAGACACAGAAAAAAAAGGAATCATGTTTGAAATTACGAATTAAATGAAGTTTTAGTGTTTATTTTATACGGCCTTATAGATTTTTCAATTATTATTCATCTCATTCGTTAATTCTCCTCTCATTTGCACCCGTTTCAGTTGTACATTCATAGGTGGTATACCAGACAGCAATACTGTTCTTTCGTTTTGACGTGCTCTATCTTCGTGATCTTTGATACTATAAAAGAATTAATCACATCATTAGAAAAGCAAATATATATCATGTTTCAAGATGATATTCTTACCCTCGCAATATGATCACGAATATACCGGAGAGCACAAGCATTACAATACAGCACATGAATATGATAGATAACCGTAGATGCTAAAAATGAGAAAATAACACAGAACATTTGTAATCGAGTCAATTAGCACTGATAAAGCTCACCCATATGATGATTGCAAACATGAAAGCAAACCGAGGAATTCGAAAGTAGTTCATGAGAGTTGATCGAACTATAAATAGATGACACGGCGAAACAATGAGCATATTAGTTTATCGAATGACAGTTCGTTACCTGAATCCGGAAGGTATCGATTTCGCAACAAACTTATGGATGGTAAATATATACCAACGCATAGTTCATACATGCACAAGCCAATGAAAACCAGTATTTGCGCCTAGAAATACTCAGTCTATCTCAAATTCATTTACTAAACATATGTATCGAATGCAATTACGTTATTGGAATAACGAATTCCAGTTCGTCATATTGACGTAGATTCTAAATTATGACTATTAATATAAATAGTATAATAGAAATGGCAGTCGGTTGATTATACAATGGTTAGTTGTATGAATCGGTAACGATCCCATTTACAAAGATGGTACTTCTATGTTCGAATGCAGAGATAAACTAAGTGCGGTTCAAGTACAAAAAATGTCGATGATTTATCAATACTTTCTTAAAACCATCGTATGTGAATGGAACAGTTACCGATTGAAATCCATCACCACTATAACCGTTGTCTCACTTCTACTATTCCAACATTTCACGAAATAATTGTCAAGAATTGTATATTCTGTCAACATCTCACTCGCCTCAAACATTCTCTTTATACTCGCACAAAAAAGCACTACATAGATATATTTTTAAATCAGTTCGCCGGTCAGTTATGGGTCGCTATCAGTTTTCTTCTCCTCTCGAAAAGTCCGATTATTTCAGATAAATATGATACTCACATTCGGAATAATCACTGGAATGGACAATGCCACAGCAGCCACTAACATTACCATCCTTCAAAATTTTACTTATTAGACTTTGATACTAGTCTGATTGGACTACTTACGGCAAATATGTATGAATATCGAATCGTCTCGCCAATGCTTTAAACAAAAATGCACCCATCATATTAAATGCCTATTTTACACAAGTATTTATCCTTTATTTTCACACGCTGCGACGTAAGTTCTTACCATGAAACTAGAAAACATGAAACCTAATGGTAAAGAATCAGATATTGTCCATAGCTTAGCATCTTCAAGTGCAGGTGTCCATTCTAATGAGTAAATGTAAATCGTCGCTTCAAATAGACTTGTTATTAGACCGACTAAGAGTACTCGTGTATCTAGACATGACATATTATCCATTACATTTGCAAAACCACATCAATTAGAAGAATCTATTTCACCTGTACGAATGACTTCGATAGCAGCTACGAATGATGTTGATACTTTGGCTTCGCGATCACCATAGTTCTCTTTCCATTGCCATATTAGAAAAAATATCATGACCAGATATATGCCAACTGCCACTTCGAACGGCGCTCTAATAATCACATCAGTTATTTTCACGATAGTATATCAAAACAGACGTTAGATGTGAAGTATAACTGTGACAACTTACGCATATCCAAGAAACTCCGCTGAAATTTCAGCAACGATGCCTGCTGCTACTGCTGCCAACGTCGAGGATAAAACTATTCATCCAAATAAGACAAATGAATATACACCGCACATATTCCACACAACATTCTAACTTACATGCATTTCGCAGCAGATGTTTTAGCGAATCAGTATCGAGATCGTTCTACAACCGAACACATACTCAACCTACACTACACCGAAAGACAGACTATAACATACATCATGGTGTTCTTGCAACAGCCAAGATTCGAAGTTAGTATTGTAGAGCGAATGAGCCATACCACGAAATATACTTCCCAACACAAGAACAGAAAGGATATTGAAGTTCTTGAAGAGCAGAGAGAACTGTTAGAGTAAACGAGAGAAGAGGCGATGAGGATACTGACGAGTGAGAGACAATGGATGGTGTAGAAGACTGAAGAGAGAATACATGCTAGTCGACGTCCACTAAATGTAGAGAATGAGTGAAGTATGTTGTAAGGGTGAAGTTGATACTCACAACTTGTCAGAAAGTGAAGATGTGATTGTGCCAAGACACAGGGTGGAAAGGTGTGCACAGAGATAGAGTGACTCGATAGTTGATCGTGGAATGTTGTACGACGCGAGAAGAGCATATCGGTAGGATCCTTGTAGATTGTTTCCAGCTATGAGAGAAAGAGAAGTGATGGTGTTGGAAAGAGAAGGAGGAGAATACCTGCGGCAAGTGCATATCCAATGAGATAGGTAAGTTGTAGTTGTTTGAAAACAGGTGAATCTGAAGATTGTTCTTGAGACGCTTTGCCAAGTTCAATAGTCATACTATTCTAAACGATAATGTGTGTTATGAAAGAAGTCAAAATGATTGTGCAGCGTCTCGCGCAAATATTTATTTGAACTTGCTCGGTTTTTACGGATGAGCGAAGTCGATAAGTGTATGTATATAGGGGAGAGACAGAGAGAAGTCAGGCTGTCGTCGAAGTCTATGCGTATTTAGGTGGATTATAAGGAAGAAAAAGAATATGATTGGGAGGATAAAGTAGGACAATGCGGTTAAGATGTATAATTTTTATACCAACATACATTAAATGTTCTAATCACATGCGCTTTATTTCGTTGATACTTATGCAATGACTTATCAGCTGTTTCGATTCGCCAGATGAAATGAAACAAAAATACTGAAGAATGTCGCTGTGTTTTTTTTATAAACTTTAGAATATCGGAATAAGATTGAAATATGATGCGAAAAAGCTTTTGATGATCACCATAGTCCAAGTTCAAAACTCGTTGAACCTGAAGATCAACATATTAGACACCATCTTTACCACTCCGTCTACTCACCCATCATAAAATCTTTTTGTTGAAAAATGAACTCTCCAAAAACTCTCTCGTCAATTCTATGTATCTTGATATGCTCCGATGCTATTTTGCTTATTAAAAGTAGTAACTCGCTCTCAATAAAGAGGAAATGCAGAAAAACATATATAAAATGAATAATATTCAAGAAAAAACAACCAAGATTCAGACATCTAAAAATACTACGAAATCTACACCAATGTTCGCCATTTGAAATACATTTCTACATTGACATACGATCGTTGACATAATGAAGACTGGAAAAACAAAGAATTCAATGATAGACTCAGTCATTAATTTTTTAGTTGAAAAAAGTTCATCTGTTGAAATGCGCTATGGAGAACTCTTCTCGCTCCAAAGTAAAATTATTGAATAAATTACATTGACATGCAGGTAACGTCTCATTTCAAGCATTTCTTGTAAGTAATGAAATTGCATCTTTCAACAAATAGTTAAGAATAGAATTCTAGGACAACAAACAGCAGCAATATCGAAGCAAAAGTTATCTTTCGATGATGTTTTCACATTCGAAATTCAGACATTTGATGTCTTTACTGTGATTATTGAATCTATTCATATCGTATAATTAACCTCGAAGGTACATAAAGGTAGATAAAGCGTACCTCACTTTCAAAGTGAAAGCAGTCACAAGCAACGTTCAGACACTCATAACACATACGATAAATATCTGTAACATAGAATGTATCGATACATATGAACGCGATCTTTTTGCAATGACAATAGCTGGATGAATAAGAATGACTTTTATTTCCGCTGTAATGCAACATTTAAAGTCATTACGATGATATTCATGAGTAGATTACTACTCTACTTCTATATGAAATCATTTATGTAATACATGTCCCACTTTCAAGATAATCACCCCGAATGCCGAGTATCTAATTTCTGCAGATCAATTCATACGTATGTTTAACTATGAAATGAACAGATTTGACTTCGAATTATTTTCAAACATTTATTCGTAAGTTTTTCATATAGTATGTTAATTTACGCAAATGCTTTACAGGAAATTAACTATTGACAGTTCTTTTTTTTAGTTTTATTCCTCTTCTACACTCCTATTTTGCGATTTCATTCACCGGTTTCAGTCATTTCAATCGCTGTCATCTGCGGTGATGCAGGCAACAACACCACTCTTTCGCTTTCACGCTGATCTTCTTCACGTGGTCTCATACTACAATACAATTTCATCGTATATTAAATGCAATCGGATACACCATTCTTACTTCTGCAGAACAACCAGACAGATGCCTGCTAAAACTAACATCACCACACATGATGTAAATATCACAGACAGTGGCAAGTGCTAGACAGAATAGTGTGCGTGTGACGAGTGAAATTGTTGAAGATGATGCTCACCCACACAATGACTGCAAACATAAGAAGAAATCGAGGAATGCGGAAATAGTTCATAAGAGTCGATCGAACTGTAAATAGATGACACAATGAAATAGTGTGCGAAGTATTGAATTGGATGACAATCTGTTACCTGAATCGGGAAGATATCGATTTCGCAACAGACTTATTGATGGCATATAAATACCAACACACAATTCATACATACACAAACCAGCAAAAACCAGTATTTGTGCCTAGAAAACAAACATACGTCGAATGCAGTCACATGATTGGAGATTCACATTTTCTTCATAGTACTACGTTGACGGATATAGGTTATCAATTGACTTGAAATGTAAAAGATAGTTTTGAATAAAATAAGCAATTTGGTTCTGATCTGAGTGAAATCAGTCTTCTAAAGTCAAATTGTATTCAGTTATAGCGACAGAATACATTGAACATCATTTACTGATACTGGTAAAGGAACGAAACAAGTCGTCTTTTCTGTCGCAAATTTCTAGTCAGTTCTATTCAAAACCCACAACATCACAATAAAATCTACCGCTACTTTTCCTACGATATAAGAGAAAATCAAAAGACTATGCTCACATCTGGAACAACCACTAATACGCCCAGCGCGGCTGCTGCTATTACCATAACAACTCTACAATATTCGAATCATAACATTTTCACAGGTTTTAAATAGGACTACTTACGGCAAATATGAGTGAACATCAAATCGCTTCGCCAATACTTTGAACAAAAACGCACCCATCATATTAAATGTCTATCTCATACGTAAACTATCAGTCATATTCTCACATAAGAAACAAGCAGCTCACCATAAAACCAGAAAACATAAAACCTAATGGCAATCTTTCAGAAATAATCCATTCCTTCGCTTCTTGCAGCGCAGGAGTCCATTCCATTGCATAAATATAAACGGTCGCTTCAAACAGACAAGTTGATAATCCAACTAGCAATACTCGTAGATCTACGCACGCAATATTATATATATGATGTTTCAAGAAAAAGGACTAGCCGTAATGATCTACTTCACCTGTACGAATGACTTTGATAGCCAATACAAATGATTCTGTGGCTTTTGCTTCGCGATCACCATAGTTCTCCCTCCACTTCCACAATACAAACACTATCATCACAAGATAGATGCCGATGGCCACTTCGAATGGTGCCCTACAAATTTTCAACTTTTTCACATGCTTACACTGAGACAACACTTACCTGTAGCCGAGTAGCTCGGCTGAAACCTGAGCAACAATACCTGCTGCTACTGCTGACGAAGTGGCACATACGACTATTTGTTCAAATAACACGAATGAGCATACACCACATATAATCCATACAACATTCTAACTTACATGCATTTCGCAGCAGATGTTTTAGCGAATCAGTATCGAGATCGTTCTACAACCGAACACATACTCAACCTACGCTACATCGAAAGACAGACTATAACATACATCATGGTGTTCTTGCAACAGCCAAGATTCGAAGTTAGTGTTGTAGAGCGAATGAGCCATACCACGAAATATACTTCCCAACACAAGAACAGAAAGGATATTGAAGTTCTTGAAGAGCAGAAAGAGTTGTTAGAGTAAGTGAGAGAAGAGGCGATGAGGATACTGACGAGTGAGAGACAATGGATGGTGTAGAAGACTGAAGAGAGAATACATGCTAGTCGACGTCCACTAAATGTAGAGAATGAGTGAAGTATGTTGTAAGGGTGAAGTTGATACTCACAACTTGTCAGAAAGTGAAGATGTGATTGTGCCAAGACACAGGGTGGAAAGGTGTGCACAGAGATAGAGTGACTCGATAGTTGATCGTGGAATGTTGTACGACGCGAGAAGAGCATATCGGTAGGATCCTTGTAGATTGTTTCCAGCTATGAGAGAGAGAGAGAAATGTGGGAAACGATGACTGGGGGGTGATGGTGATGGTGTTGGAAAGAGAAGGAGGAGAATACCTGCAGCAAACCCATAAGCAACGAGATAGATGAGTTGTAATTGTTTGAAGATGAGGGAATCTGAAGATGATGGTTGAGGGAATTCGTCAAGTGGAATAGTCATACCGATCTATGAGATTGTTAATGTGAAAGTTGAAATAAATGCGCAATGTGATGTGTGAATTCTCTTGCAAGTCGTTCTACATGCATGCATGATTGCAGTTGTGAAATACGAGCATGTAGGAAAGAATGGTCATGGTATTTCTCCAGTGGGCGTTTATATAGATTGATTGATTGGTAAAAAGACATTTCGTTTAGTTGTTTTTCTCAATAGAATGTTTGCTTCATTGTAACTGTCCACTGACTATAGGCGAAAAGAGTAACAAATGAGTTTCTCTTCTTTCTCGTCCGTGGGTTTGAAAATGTTCCAGTAAGCTAGAAACAGCGAGTTGACAGGTTACCAAGAGCACTGTTGATATCAATTAAAACTATTTGATTAGTTTACTCTATATTCAATCAAAAAGTAGTGTATCGATTATTATCTTCTTTGGATTCGCTTATTTCATCTGACCCGAACTTGATCTGAAAGAATTCGATTATCTCTACACAAGAATACATGATGGAATTTATTAATTTACTTGTGATATGCATCATGGATATGTGTTCAATTACGTATTGTCTACTGAAGAACAGAAACACAGAAAACTGTTTTATCTTTGATATATTCAGTTTGTTGAGAACGTATTTTCACCTCAAGCGTCACCTAAATTCAGTCAAATATTTATCGCATAACACTCCACAATACCTTACAACATCATAGAGCGTATCCAGAGGTGTTCGAGATTGCAGAAAATGCTTTTAGCTGATCCATATTCATAATGTTCTCCAAGAACAACCTGGTCAAACATCTCAGCCTAACACATCACTCACATTATAGCGGATGTTTGCGGAAGAAAAAGTGTTTGAAGATCTAGTGCGAATGCGGACATGGTTTATTTATTATTTCTATTTTTATTAGTGGATATTTTGATCAAATGGTTTGTTTCATTCATGATTTAGTAAAAACACTAGTTATGAGTCCGTTGGTTCCTATTCTGGGTTCGCACCTTGTATCGAGATGTGCTTATAATTAATACCGTTTGTCATCCGATTCGATGCAGGCAGTAATGTTGTTTTCACATTCATAGACGGAGCAATTGGCAACAACACCATTCTTTCACTTTCACGCTGATTTTCTTCACGTTGCTTCATACTGAAATAAAACTTTGACATATACCGAAGCAAACGAACCACATCATTCTTACTTGCGGAGAATGAGTAGAGAAACACCGGCTAACAATAGCATCAATACGCATAACGTGAATATCACAGACAAAGGAAAATGCTAAACAAAATTGAATATGTGATCGGTGTGATTGTTGAAGATGATTCTCACCCAAATGATAATTGAAAACATGAAAATAAATCGGGGAACACGAAAATAGTTCATAAGAGTCGATCGAACTACGAACATAGGATATGATGGGATGATGAACTGAGCAGTTGATTTGACGACGGTTACTTACCTGAGTCTGGTAGATACTGATTTCGTAACAAGCTGATTGACGGTTCGTATATTCCCACACAATATTCGAAGAGGAAAATACCAAAAATAACTAGTGATTGAATCTGAAACGAACTATTCGGTGCATATTAACAGAGCATGTAGAAGGTACTGACATTCGAAAACATAGCTACTATTGCTACTGCAATCATTGCCACCATGATAATTGCCCTGGAAGAATGAATATACATATGTATCTATCAAAATGAATAATTGATTTCAGATGCTTACAGTAAATATGTGTGCACATTGTAGCGTTTGGATAATGCTTTGAATGTAAATGCACCCATCATGTTAAATGTCTATATGATGTTTCAATATTCATCCATTTTTTGATGTAACAAACGAATTTCTTACCATAAAAGCGGAAAACATGAAGCCTAGTGGTAAAGAATCGGATATTGTCCATACTTTAGCATTTTGTATAGATGGAGTCCATTCTATCGAGAAAATATAAATAGTTGCTTCGAAAAAACTTGTTACCAGTCCAACTAGTACCACTCTAGCGTCTAAACATAAGGTGATATTTAATAAACTGCATCTTTCGTTCATAGCCTCCGATTGTTTGTGTTACCTGTCCGAAGTACATCAAAAGCTGACACGAATGAGGATATGACTCGTGCACCACGATCACCGTAGTTCTCCTTCCACCTCCACATCGTTAACGCAATCATCATCAAATAAACACCCACTGCTAGATCAAATGGCGCTCTAAAGAATATCAATTCAAACTGAAAGTTGTCCGCGACTAGGAAAACTCACGCATATCCAAGAAATTTTGCGGATAGTTGAGCAACGATACCTGCTGCTACTGCTGACGAAGTGGCACATACGACTATTTGTTCAAATAACACAGATGAGCATATACCACACATATTCCATACAACATTCTAACTTACATGCGTTTCGCAGCAGATGCTTTAGCGAATCAGTATCAAGATCGTTCTACAACCGAACACATACTCAACCTACACTACACCGAAAGACAGACTATAACATACATCATGGTGTTCTTGCAACAGCCAAGATTCGAAGTTAGTATTGTAGAGCGAATGAGCCATACCACGAAATATACTTCCCAACACAAGAACAGAGAGGATATTGAAGTTCTTGAAGAGCAGAAAGAACTGTTAGACTAAGTGAGAGAAGAGGCAATGAGGATACTGACGAGTGAGAGACAATGGATGGTGTAGAAGACTGAAGAGAGAATGCATGCTAGTCGACGTCCACTAAAAGCAAGCAGAGTAACAATTCAGTGTTATTGAATTGAATGAATGCGTTTCTTTGAATTTAGTGTGCGAAAAGCAGACTTACGATACATCTGAGAGTGAAGAGATCACTGTACCAAGACATAGTGTTGACAGATGTGCGCAGAGATAGAGACCTTCGATTGTAGATCGTTGAAGATTGTACGAATGAAGGATAGCATATCGATAAGGGCCTTGAAGATTGTTACCAACTAAAGAATTATTATATCGTTCTGTAAGAACTTTCGTTTATGTCAAGAGAGATAAAATACCTGCTGCAAGCGTGTACACAAGTAAATAGTCTGCTTGAAGTTGTTTGAATGTGAGTGATTTTGAAGAGAGTATATTGATGAAAGGATCAGTACTGTATGCAATCCGGTTCATTATTGTGGTAGATATGATTGAAATAGAGGATTATTTGTATTTGTTATGTATAATATAACTGGAATTGGATTCGATCAATGAGTGTTGAGTGTCTAGAGAACATGGTGTATTCTTGTCGATGCTGACGTGCTGCTTGATCCTAAAATGAAAAGACGATTGCGTGTGCAAGTATATTACCGTATTCTTCGATAGTCTAATAAAATAGCTTTCTGACGTATAATTCATGATTTGATCAATGAACTTCATACATGCAATAAGGTCATGTTTCGGCACATTTGTTTTCTGTTATGAAATACCAGAAAGTTACTGGGAGTCAAATGAGAATACATATTTTTAAACAATTAGTGGAAACCATGCTAAACCAATTTGGTATAAGTGTGCACATTTATTATTTGATTATTTTTCTAACTGGATTAAAGCAAAAAGCGAGGCAATTTTGAAATGACATAGATTATAGATCATACACGTGATGAGTTCGCTTGATGCGTTTACGACTTTCGTTGTTATCCGATATTTGACCATCAATCGTATAAATTTTGACTTCAATTCACTTACCATAGTTGTACTGTAAGTAATCTATTCGCTTGTTATCTAACCATGTAATTATCTCTGGGATTGAATTCGATAAGTATTCAACATAATAAAAGATGATTGTTGGTACCCGTTTGATATTTGAGAGTTCGCTTGATAGTTTCGATTACAGATATGTGGGATTTTGAGGTAACAAATTCAATCCAGTTCTAGTGAATCGATGACCGGAATTGTCGTTTGAAGGTCATGAGTAACAAGTAAACCGAATGTTCGGATGTAGAATACATTGATTAACAATTTTCTTGTTGTTTCCGAAAGATTGTTACTCGTAAAATGTTCTACCAACCAGACTTCATTCACTCGAGAAAGATCTAGCAATCTGGATACACGACTAATTAAATCATTCGAACATTCATAGTGTACATCCAAAGCAAGTTTGTTGATGTTTTTCTAATCGCGCTGATGATATAGATTTGCCTAGAAAACAAAATACAATTAAATATATATATAGTTGCCTTGAACTAATCAAATCTTTCTCGTGTAAATCATAAATTAACTATTGTTTGTCTACAATATACTCCGAAATTCATACTTACTCGCTGTCATCGTTCAATGTGATATTTAGTGAGATTATCTATGGCTGGCAAATTGATTAGTGGAAAATATTGGTGAGTGAAATGTAAGGTTTTCACTCACAGGTCCATTGTCTCGTCTCAAGTCGGAATATTGAGCAAAACTGAAATGAAATGTTTTAAAACGTGGCAGTTTTCTCTCGAGAAAAATCATTCATTGAAGGAATCGGGGAGCAAATGCGTACGAACGGGTAGATTTGTTTCGAAATTTGACATGGCTAACATGAGGAAAAGATGATAAGAAAAGCTCAAGTTCATCTTTTGTCGAGTGTCAACGAAGTCAATTGCTTATGTGAAATGATTCGAGCGAATTGATTGTTAAATTGCATCCTGCATTCTTGCACTACAAACACTCGTCGATTTCGTGATTGATGAAGAATAGCATTTAACTGTTTCTTAATACAAGTTTCCACCCTCAACTTTCCTTCTAGTATCCGATGTTGCACAATCATACGCATACTGTTTGGTTTTTTTCCACACTCTGTTTATGTGTTTCTCAGTTTCTTTTGTTTTTCTCCCTGCTCGATCTCGTTCTTGACCAAGCTCATCCATGACTAAAGAGTTAAAACTGAAATATTATTATATAGTGTAATCAGAACACTTACATTTTTCGGCACCATTTAGCTTCTACGCGTTTGTTTCTCATGATGAGTTATTGTATGGAGAAATGAAATTCTACTTATGAATTTTCTATATATCACACGGGACTTTAAAAGAACTATGATATTGTGAACAAATATTCAAGTTACATTACTATTTTCGTTTTCTTCCTGCATTCTTTCGTATTGTTTGTATTCGTACATGTACAAGATAGAAATGATAATGATAATTATTTCTTTCTTATACACTGATGTGTAAATATTCTCATGAATAAATCAAGCATTCCATGAACAACTGCGTCGAACAACACTTGAAAAGATGCTCAAGATTCAATCAGTGATTGCAGTGGTAACAACTGAATATTTATTTTAAAAAACAAGAGCAAAACATGCATGGCTCACTCCTGCGAGAGTTAATAAATACATCAATAAATCACTGAAACTATTGTTCTCGTAATACAGCTTACAATTTCAAGTCTATTAATTGTATCATTTAACCTTTTACGAATAATTACCTCAATTCTCCAATTAGATAAATTGGCTAGACCTTTTGCAAACTCAGGACAGGTCAATGTTTTCGTTAAGATAAACAAAAAACATCCACACAGAAGTGGGTTTAGAATCTTTTATATATAACCAATCAATTATTGCAATTATCTATTGACAACCGAATGATATCGACTGACGTGACATGTTTATTCGTTTATGTCTTTGTTTATATAACATACAATGACGAAAAAAAAGAAAGCAGTCGGACGGAATGAAATACACGTACGGTATACTTAATTAAACTGTAGTTACTGTCTGTTTCATCAGATTCACATCAGTTGAGTCGTCAAGATTATGAGTATTAATATCGGTGAAATACGTTTTCGTTGATGATCGAATTTTTTCTTGATGTAAATAGTTTTTTGTTTTGATTATGAAGAAAATTAACAGAATGGCAACAGTTATTGTCAGGATAATCAAAAGAATAATAATCGAAATAAAAATATAATGTTGTCGAAGAAATGGAAATGAAACCAGATAAGAATTCGTTGACAGTAATTGTGAACAATTCGTTGAGAGTTCATCAGCATTCGAATATGGTTGACAATGAACATAGTTATCACATATTAATGAACGATGAATAGAAAATGCGGTTTCATTCCTCGGTTGACAATCAAGATAATCCGGGTCGGTTGTTTTCGGTCGAATGATGGTCCATGTCAAATGGAAACCTTTCAGCAATTCTCCTGTTTGACGAGTGAACGAAATAAACTGTACTGTAAACCAATTTGACTTTGTTATTATATAAGAAATGGTCTCCTGCTGTCCGCATAATTCATCAATACGTTCCTCACTGAAAATTTTTAGAACAGATGATTGACATCCTTGTGGTGGATCTTTTGTTTTCGAGCCTTCTAAATCAACAACAGTCAGATCCAATTTAAATTGATAATCAACTTTTGTTCGATATGACCATTCGCAAATGACATTCTCCGGATAACCGCTACTTGATAGATTTCCTGATGATTGTTCTTTGTCATAGATTTCAATTATTGGATCGAATGGCGTTCGACATTGTGAGGAAAAGAGCGGATGCGTTCGATTAACGAATTCGTAACGACCATCGAAGCCTAAACCAGTCTCCGAATCGTTATTCGAACGAAAGTGGATACGGAATTGTTCAACTGAATGATCTGTTAGATACGGTGGCGGATAGTTCCGATATCCGCAGTAAATATACGGATAGGATTTGTATAATGAATGTGATCGATACGTATAAGTTAAGTTATCCGATGGACAATTAATCACGTCGTTATCAGCAATATTGAAATAGTCATACGAGATAAGAAGACGAAAATTCGAATTGAGAATTTGAAAATGAAATGTGCAATTTGCATTTGAGAAGTAGTCTTCATCTGATGAACGTGGTGGTTGAAATTTTCCTTGAAGAAAAACAAACAGGTAGACAATGATGCTTTTTCTCTCTGTATTCTTTCCGTCGCTTCCTTACCGTTCAGTGCTCGAGATTGATAATAGAAAAGACTACAATCACCTGTATTGATTAACTGGGATTTATTTTTAGATAATTGGTGATAACTTTTAATGAATCTGTATTTGGCTTGAAATTTACCACCGTTTACTAGCGATGGCAAAAGGTTGTTTGCTGGACGCGTTTTGGGTATGAAAGATAATTTTAGTAGAGAATTCTGAGAAACGAAACGTCCTTCTGGTTTGAAATGTCCACAAAATGTCAAATTCTCTTTAAAATCTACTTCTTGTTGATAATAATTATTAAACGATTTCTCCTTACTGACCAACGTTGAGTTAACAAACGAATAAGATGGGTGCGATTGTAAATGATAATCGTGTATTCTACTTGCATTGTAGATAACAAAGATGGCTAGTTGACAATCGATATCGAATTGTTCGAATTCAATTTCAACGTTTTCTAAACCATAACGATCATCGATACCTAATAGATATGTCGAACATGATGTTTGCGGTTTATAGAAATTAGGCCAATTCGGTGACTGAAGAATTCCATGACCTTTTCCAAATGATTTAATCGTTTGATCACATTCTGTACCAGATAAATACTGATTAGTTTGATTTCTGGGTATAAAATCCAATGTTGTCAATGTCGAGAGGAATTCATATTCAGCGTAGAAGCCTTTCCGCCAGAGTGATGGCATTGATGCTTCATTAAGTTGCGATTGTTCTTCATTAGTTAACTCTGCGTAATGTGTGGTAATGAAATAGAATAATAAAGAACTTTTCGTTGAATAAACATCCAATGGCATTGAGTAAGTTCCGCACAGATCTGTAATATGTTGAGAATCACTTTGTTCAGATAGAAGTCCACCATCAACAGGACTGGTTTGTTTAAAGCTCGAAAGAAATCTTTCCAGTTCAATTGGACGAAGTGTGTTGTCATACAAACGAATCAAGTCTATTGCACAATGTTGCGCATTTGGTGTTTTAAACAACATTAAATCGCGAAAACGTATATGAACACGTTCATTGGACTGACCAACAAATGAATAATTGCAGAATTGCCACTAAACAAAGCGAATACCGTTGAATCGGCATTAGTCATTATGTATTTTCCTACCGGTAGATATGTTCCGGGGTATGTTGGCGAGAAGAATTCTCCACGTTTAGATTTCGATGAATCAAAAATGTAATCGCATGGTTCGCGTATGAGATTCTCTTTATATCGTTGTGCCGGTATGAAACGAAATGAACCATTAAAACCTCTTTCAGTTTGCATATCTTCAGTGAAAAAGCCCAATAAAAGTAAATTGGTTATAGATATCAACAATGGCGGTTTATTTCGTCCACAGAAACGATGGAGCAATTGATCATTGACAAGATTAAAGTCAGTCAGATTGATAAAGACGTCGAGATAATCGTGTGTACATTGCGGTGAAACACCGCGGATTTCAAAAAAATCAATTTCAATAACGACACGGTAATTAGTAGAAGCTACGAATTGATAGAAAATAATCGCATCTTGTGGATAGTTATGAGGAAAATTCGGACCTGAAACGAAAAGATAAAAAAAGAACTTCGCGGAAAGAAAAATTTGCTTTTCTTACTTGAAAAAACACCACCATCTGATCCATATTGTGACATATTAAAACTAAGATATTGTGTTTCAACAATGTCCAATGATTTATGTAATGGATCTTCTTGACATTCAATACAATGTAGTATCGAGTAGAAATATACGAAAATAAATACGAAATTCATGCTCGAATTCCATCGGATTTAATACGAGAAGATTTGACGACATAGTTGTCGTCGTTGAAGTATGAACAGCATTCAATAGATCATTGAAATCTTGACTACGGATATGCGCATCGAATCTACAAGAAACAGAATAGCATCCGGTATAAATTGGTCGATTATGCATGGTTTTGTTCTACTAAGAGTTCCTACTTCTGTCTTTCCCGTCTGACGACGTATGTTTTTTTTGTTATGGATTGTTTAGACGGCGTACACAAGACATGAATAATTTGTACGATTGACTGTGTTTTATATAAGCTAAAAAGAACGAAACAGAGTAGAAAAGCTATCGAATGTAAGATATTTGTCGCATCTTGAGGGTGAGCATATAGAGAAGAAAGAGATGACGTCTTTCGTAGGAGCGTTTCTCCTTCTTCGATAAGATATAATTGTTGAAAAGCGATGCATCAGATGGAAGTTATCATCTGTTTTGTTGACATTGAATTAAGTTACGATGTATTAGATTGTCCTTAATGAAGAATACTGGTTCTCACCGATAATACTCATAAAATATCACTAAGTATGTGGAGAACATTTTCTTATCTATAATTATCTAAATGATGATGATTGATTAGTTGAAAGATTTTGACGATGTATCATCAGAACATTACACAGACAACATCGGTTTGTTCTCATTTTTTGTGTATGCACTTGATGAGAGGACTACTTACTGTCGGTTCTCATTTTGTTCATACATCTAAATGATTGTGTATATATACATGTGTACCGTCTATCATATCATATTCAGGTCAACTCATTCGATATATATATGTATATAGAACTTGACGTCATTGTTTTTTCCTCTTCATTGAATGTAACACGATTGGCTAGAATAATGTATTCAATGTTTAACTGATGTTCTTACCTGAAGGAACAGACGAGTATAGAATACATGCGGTATTCGATTTTGTAAGTGACACCGAAACGTCCGAGTGTGATTTCGATATGAAAGACTTTACATAACTTTTTTGTAATTATACTTTTACCAATGACAATGTCGACGATTCGCTCTCGATCAAATTGCTGACGAAACATGCCGTATTTTGTATAATCTGAATAGGAACGGACTGACAATGGATTTTATATCTTATCTATGTGTGTGCGTGACAGCAGCTAAGGACACATACATAAGTCGCAAATGGTAATCATCTTCAACTAAACTAAGTGATCTCGAGAGTCCGTGGATTACAGAAGAGGAAGACTATGTTTAGATGAACATGTTTCCTTTTCTTTTCATAAAGAACTGTATTTTATTGAAGTATATCTTTATATTTTAGATTGCATCTCGTTGGTAGAGTCGTCAGTGAACAGCCAAAATAAATACTGACGAACCGTTCAAACCAAAAAAAGCTCATCAATTATTCAATAGAGACATCATCAGTCCATATAATTACGTTAACAGTAGTTTCATGAGGATCTAAAAGTTATTAAACACAGTAGCGTGTTTCTTGCGCTCTCCCTCTCATATACATTGTGTTCGATGTTTTCGTATTTCTGTTAAGCTCGACGACATACCAGTTCTTTCTTCGATTAAATATGGTCACGTTATGTACTTGCCTTGAGTGATAGACAAAACGTCGAGTATATATGAAGTGTTTGATATTCGTAAGGGAAATTATTGGATTAGATTGATGATTTGACATGGTGTAAAGTTGTCACTAAGTACCTAGTAACGTACATAATTGATTCTTTTGTTATTTATTGTGATGTGTTAGCTATTGTTTGTGTATATTTAGTGGAATTAATCGGTTTACGGGTGAGTGAATAATAAAAGTAGTTCGATAGTTTGTGTATTGAAAGCAACCTTTTTCTGTAAGGTAAAATATTTCAATCGACGCATATTCCCTCGACTTGTTGAGCATGATCGTGGAAGGTTATGGGTTTTTTTTTCTGAACACGAACCGATTCACATAAGATTGGATGAATGCTTGAACCGATTGTAAAAAGAAGACAAACTTCCTTATAGTGACATCTGATTAAACCACGCTCATTCGTCGACGGCGTTAGAAGGATGGATAGTAATAAAAAAAAAAGAATTTTTTATGTTCTGTTTTTTTTGCAACTAAAAACGAGAATAAATAGAAAGACAAAAAACTTGATTCTCACTTTCTCTTACATATCCTTGAAAAACCATGTGTTTGCTTGACGATCTAACTGTTTTATTTTGCTTTCTAGCAGGATTATGATCTAACATCGAATGATTCATTAAGGAGTCGGTATTATGATCTTTGTATTTATTCGTATAGATTAAATCAGTTTACGCCAAGCTTTTTCTTCTCTTGGCCTTTATCGAGATAAAAGCACATTACTCAGAGTTAAATGCATAGTATAACGATCAGCGTTCGTTTTGTTTTTATCAGAAGAGTAAAACGTAACCGACCAATGATGCATTTTATTAGATTAATTATTTATAAAGGTCGTTGAAACGAAATCGCAAGACTTTAACGAATCGATTTCACATACGACGCATGTTTTCTGCTTTAGATGACGCGACACGATGATTCAGGCGGTGTTAGCGCGTTGGTTAGACATACTGCCGGCATGGCTGAATTAGCCATCAATGCCGGTCATCCCGATCGCAAACATAATGAATATTTACCGTATCCTGATAATAATTTCAATGATATTATCGACGAACGTTTCCAACGGGGTTTGTTTTCCTGTCAAATTTTTGTTTGTATCTAATAGAAATTGTTTCTTCTAGCCGACAAATTTACTGTTGCACATGTATTTGATCGGAGTGGCCGAACGTTCGTTCCCAACGTTCCAGTTCATGTGAAATCCATTGTTGCAGAGCGTACCTATGCAGCTTTTACTGAATTTCTTAATCCATATCTGTGCGTATCGATAACATTGTCAGTACATTGATTATGAGAAAAGACTCTTGGTTCTGCTTAGATATTGTGTGACTACAAAACATGGCCCTTTTGAATGGACCATATACAAACGTTATCGAAATTTCAGTGATTTACATAAAGCGTTAGTTCAATATGTCGAAGCTGAAACCAAACGATCGATCAGTGATTTAGAAAAGTAAGCATTGCATAAGAGAATTGATATGATATGAACTAATTGAGTCAATAATATGTTTGCTAACTTAACTCATATAGATCTTCGAGGCGCAATGAACCTGTAAGATTCATTTCGCAACGATCGTAAGTTAATGTACTTTTATTCGAACTATGTGTCGTGTTCTGTATACATGATTGTTGCCAATGAGTTTTTTTTTATTGACAAGGGTTTTAAAGTATTTGTTTTCTTTTCTATTAGAGTGCAAGAAGAAGAAAATGAAAATCCATGCTTTCCGACACGAAACGATCGCATGGCATTCATCAATGACAGTATTGTTCGAGAACGTTGCGTATGTTTAAAGAAGAAGAGGTTTCATAAAGCTCAACGAATTACATTCTCTTTCCCTTCTAGCAAATTCTTCTCGAATATCTTAACAAAATTCTTAAACACCCAAAATTTCGCAATCATCCTGCTACAGTAAGCTGCTCGATATTCTGCTCCGTCGATCATTTCATTCGTTTCTTTCAGCGTGAATTTTTCGATGTTAGTTGTGTATCGTTCGTCTATGGTTTATCCGGTTCGATAAAAGAAGGTTATCTCTTAAAGCGTTCACATGATGATTATCGTGGACACAGTATTTTCTTTCGTTTACCATTCTTCTGTGATTTCTGTAAATTTCATCACGGTCGAAAGTACGTTCATCATTTTCAACATTCCGATCTTCACTTTTGTTGTCAATCTAGATGGTTCATCATCAAAGATTCCTATATAACTTATATGCGTCCGGATACGTATGAAGTACGTTTTCCAATGTTAGTCGATCGTGCATTCGATATAGCCACTGGTTTTCGCCATGCTCGAACACCGCACGGTATAAAAATCACCAATTTACAACGAAGTCTAGTTTTGAAATGTCGTAATCGACGAGATTGCGAAGAATGGACACAACATCTAATGAATTTAAAAGAACAAGCCAAATGTTTTCTCAGTTCCCAAACAAGTCGATTCAATTCCTTCGCACCTATTCGACGTAAACAATTTGCACATTGGTATTTCCCTCGAGAAAGAACATTTATTGAACAGAAACAAATGTCTCTTCTCATTACGTTTTAGGTTTGTTAATGGAAAATCCTACATGGAATCAGTGGCAAAAGCATTATTAACAGCGAAAGAAGAAGTATTCATCACCGATTGGTGGCTATCACCGGAAATTATGATGGTGAGACCAACCGATGATGAAACATTCCGATTAGACAATTTATTAGGAAAAATCGCTGTAAGGAAGAGGAAAACCAATGAAAGACTTTTACATTCCGAATATTTACTTTCAGGACGATGGAGTACGTGTTTATGTACTCGTGTTCAAAGAAATGTCATTTGCAATGGGTCTCAACAGTCTACATACAAAACGAGCGTTAATAGGCAAGAGCAAAAGAGGTTTTATTAAAGTAAGACGTGCTAAGAGTTGAATGATGGAAACGGCTTCTCTGTCGTTTCAAGGTTATCCGCCATCCTGATCATTATCCAAGTGGAGGAGTTTTCTTGTGGTCTCATCACGAAAAACTAGTGATTATCGATCAGAAAATTGCATTCGTCGGTGGAATCGATTTATGTTTCGGTCGCTGGGATGATGATTTTATGCGGTAAGTGAATTTCCTTCTGAAGAGAATAAATTAGCTCGAACTAATCGAATAACTAGACAAACATATTTGAATATAGATTGGAATTATTGATTTTGACAAGGATTTGTTTTTTTTTCCGCTTAGTCTCGTGGATTTGGGTGAAGAAAATGAAACAAAATTAAAGTTGCCAGGTGAGATCGAAGCTGATAAGCAAGCAGCAGGTGGCAAAGAAACAGTTGAAGCAGCAGAAATAACCACAACTGAAATGGCTGAAAATGCAGGAGAACGACCGGCAAAGGTAAAGAGAATACGCAGTCAATCGCGATTAAAGGCATACGAAAAGTTCAGCGAAGACGATCGTAAGTTAGAGTAGATCGATCAAATGACATGGCTAATTGGCGACTAGGCATGTTAACGGCTTGCTCGATACACGAACTTTAATCTGCATCGTCTATTCTATTCTATTCTTGTCTACTTAAATCGAAAAGAATTAAGACCTTCGCTGCTTATTTAGAGTACAGATCAGATGAGATCAGCAGTCACTCCACCGAATAAAGGAAGTGAAGATGTCAAGCCAGGTGATCAAGCTCATGCAAGTGGAGCCGGTCATCATATGAAAACTGCAGCTAAAAAATGTGAATAGACCATTTTTCTTCTTAAAACATCCTATATTGTGTCTTTTCTTCTTCATCTTGTAGGGATTGAATCGAAGTTTTCTGGTAAGAACACGTTTGTTTCTTATGAGCACATGCACAGATTCTTTGTGCCAAGCTAATTTCATACTAATATGAAGCGAAAGTCGTATTATTTAGTCCATAGACAATCGAATAAAATCTATCCGGAAGAACCCAGTAGTAAGTTAAGTTCTCAGTGACATGAGATGTGTGTAAACTAATAAAACTTAGCAAACAAACGACCTGATCTGGGGTTTTCTGTGTGTACACACATTCGATATCACGAACGAATACTGTTCGCCCTCTTTGATAATAATCGATCTTTGTATTATCTCCTAGGAAATGATGGTGACGGAAATGAAAGTGACGCGGAAAAGGGTAACCATCGAATTTCTCGCAAACCGTTGATGCATACACTAACTAGTGCTGATAATAAATTAACTAACAAACCTTATGAACAAGATCTCCAGCCACAACGAGTGTCCCATTGGCGTCATTCGAAAACCAATTTAAATCGTTTACGATCGCTCGACTCCCTCGAGACCGGTCAGGATGATCACGCTGCTCATACTAACGCTGCTCCTTCTTCTCATCGATTTCGCTCGCAAAATGCTTTTAATAAATTTGTTCACCAAACCATAGATTTCGCACGACGTAGGTGGTATTTTTTTTTCTTTAAACTTGATTTTCATCTAATCAATCAACTGATCGATTGCTATTGACTAACGTGATAAGAAAAAGCATCTGATTGTTTTCAATTACAGACGATCAGAGTGGTGTTGAACCAAAAGTGATTGACGAAGATGAAGAAACCATGCGACGACAACAAAGATACGCAGGCAAATGGCGGCGATTAGCAAAGGTAGGTCAATCGTACGAATCGAATGTTTATAAACACCTCTTTTCAATAGATCATGAGAAAAGGTAGTGCTGACGAAGATTCGGAAGATGAGGAAAAGCCTGAAGATCCTCAATCTATCATTGGCCCATCGCCTGTTATCGACACAAAACATCGGTATTTCATTGGAAAGGATTATTCCAATCCTTACGAGAAAGACTTCGAAGTTCTCGAAAAATACAGTGAAGGTATTTGTCAGAAATATTGCTTTTTCTTCCAAATATTGATTTGTTTGGAAAATTTTAGATTTTATCGATCGTAAATTAGTTCCTCGAATGCCATGGCATGACGAAGCACTTGTCGTTTTTGGCCAAGCAGCTCGTGATGTCGCCAGACATTTTATTCAAAGATGGAACATTCACAAAGTATTCTCAGCAAAAGAACTATCCCTTGTCATCTCGATGAGTTCGTTCTCTTTAGTGTGAAAAATTTCTCTACAATGATTCTTATCCGTTCTTATTACCAAAAACTTACGATGATCCCGACGAAATACGAGTTACCAATTGGAAAGATTTTCTTGATTCTCCACCGTACAAAGTCGATGCTCAAGTAACATCCCGTTACTTCATAGACGATGTCATCCGTTTCTTTCAATCTAGTGTGTTCGATCCGTAGGAACGTGGTCAATCGGTACCAGAACAATCGAATCATCCATACAAAACGCTTATTTACAAATGATTGACGCAGCAAAATATTACATTTATATCGAAGTATGCGAATTGATTAGTTGAAATAGATTGTTTAGTTACACTTCGTTTAGAATCAATTTTTTATTACTATTGCTGACGATGCCGTTGTCAAAAATCAGTTGGCTGAAGCTCTATACCGACGAGTATTACGCGCACATGCGTTAGTCGATTACATGTCTTGTTTTCAATCAGCTAATCTTGTATTTTCTAGTGCTAACGAAAAATTTCGTATCTACATTGTTCTTCCTCTTTTACCTGGCTTTGATAATGTTAATGCCGTTCAAGCTGTACTCTATTTCATCATGCGCTCGATCACGAAAGGCGACCAATCTTTATTTAAACGATTAGAATTAAGCGGTAAACAACAAACTGATTGCTCCTCATTAGTACATTACAAACTTCTATTTTCTAGGTATACGACCCGATGAATATATAAGTTTCTACGGAATGCGTGCACATGATGTTTTAATGGGTGTTTTAGTAAGTCGTTGGCGAGGATTTTCGTCTCGTAAACTTACTTTCTTCGTTTGTTTTCTTCTTTCTTAGGTCACTGAAATTATTTATGTTCATTCGAAATTAATGATAATCGATGATCGCATGGCAATATGTGGTAGTGCCAATATTAATGATCGTTCATTGCTCGGGCAACGAGATAGTGAAGTGTGCATGGTTATAAATGATCTCGAAGAAGAAGTGGGTGTATTCGCCGGGAAAGAACTTCGTGTAGGCAAATTTTGTTCAAGTTGGAGAAAACGACTTTTTGCGTATGTACTCGTTCAGACAAGAAGTTCTACTACTACGTCTTTCTTCTTGCAGAATAATGTTAGGTATTCAATTCGAAAATCCTAATAATATCGATCTCAGTGATCCGGTCTCCGATGAGTTTTATAATTATTTTCGCGATGTAGCCAAAAAGAACACGTTAATCTTTGAAGAAGTTTTCGCGACTCTCCCAAGCGATCGTGTTCGTCGATTCGATCAAGTCGGACAATATACCGAAGTACCAAAATTGAAAGAAACTGATCCGATACAAGTCTGACGAGGATTGAATGAAGTTCACTGATGAACTTGTTTACTTTTTCTTCTTTAGGCACAAGAAAAATTGAAAGGCGTGCAGGGTTTAATTGTCGAATATCCGCTTTATTTTCTGGATGATGAGAATTACCTGCCAAGTCTTCGAACGCGTGAAGGTAAATCTCCTCGATATTGTTCGAATTCAGAGATTGATTGATTAACTTTCTTTCAGGTCTCGTTCCGAATGTAATGTGGACGTGATTTGTCTTTCTTATCTTTTCATACTATCATATTCAAGTAATCTAATCGTTTTCTTCTTTTCGGTGAGATAAATAATGACTTTGAGAAATAAAAATCAAGTTTTCTGTATTCATCTTCTTCTTCTTCTCGCGAATCTGTGCTAAAATTGTATTTATTCGGTTGGATTTTTCCGATTTCTGTGATCTTGTAATCTATATCCGTTTCGTACGTCGACTTTCATTTCATTGCGCTTTTTATTTCTTCAATTCCGACTGCTCAAGTATTGTTGATGGGTTGCTTGATTGTTAAATACGTACGCGTACATATAAACGCAGAGATTCGTATAAATAAATGTCAAAGCGGCAATACACTTGGGTTCTGTACTTGAAAAAAAAAAGCAAGAGTAGAAAAACACACAGACATGAAGTGTCGTTTTCAATCCTGTTTGTTGGAATTCGACGGGAGTTTGGGCCGAGATGCTGTTTTCAGCATCAAACGAACACCAATCACACCTAGAAGCGAAATTTGTGCTTCTCTTTTCGATGTTGACGATCGTTTTCAAAAGCACTTACCTGCAATCACAATGAGAAGAAAACTGAGTTGCAAGAGAATCGTTGCAGAAATGAGAAATTTCGCCAGAAAATAAGTCGAAGGTAAACCGATAAAGATCAAACAAAGAAGTTCGATAATCAAGTCTTGTTTCCGACGTGGCAAATTCGTTGCTTTAGGATTACCGGCACCAGCGAATGTACCATGTTGAACAAAGTACTCAAACGTTTTATCCTTTAAAACACTCGTCAATTAAAAGCATTTGACAGATCAAAGACTTTACTTTTTCTTGAAAGAGTTTGTGAATAAATTCGGCTGATTTCTTCTCATCATCATGTGGAATTTCAGAAATAGGTATACGACGGATGAAAGATTCAGCTTGACAACGTTCACCAACTAACATATTCGACAATTCTGGCGATTTTGGAGTTTGAAAAGCGACAGTTATATCATAAACTGCCGTGACTAATGTCATACATGTAGAAATTATATTTCCTAGCCAAAAGCTCATCTGAATGACTCACTATTTTTGTGCAAGCCTTTCATCAGCAGAGCGAAGCCTTTCGTACGTGGCAGAATATGATGTTGCAACTCGGGCAGTCCTTTTTCACGCGCTACTTTCATACTCTCCAGACGTTTTTCATTGGTATACCGAGTTCCTTCGCACGAGAGAAATAACTAGATTAACATATAGAAACGTTCAATGTACGAATCAAAGCAACGTGATTTACAGTGAAATTGTAATTTGATGGAAAATCATTAACAAGCCGTTGCATATCACGTTCGAGCACAGATTTATCGGAGTTCCATTCGCGTCGTAAGAAGATCGATTCGGTGAAATACCAACACCAGCCAATGATTGGTAGAGCACGAAGCGACTTTTTGCCTAGAATTTTGGAACCCTGATACGGATAATAGCAGTTAAGAATCAAATCGAGTTACTTACTCCAGCTAATCCAAGTCTTTGAGTAATTACCCATCCAAGTAACCAATCGACTTCGTAACGATGATTTCCTAACCAAATTGAATTTTCTTGACGGAGTTTTGCTAAATCTTCCGGTTTAATATAAACGTCAATGTCAGAATTTGACCTAGACGATCAGAAACAAAATCAATCAACGACAAGCTGAACATGCAATCGAGAAGAAAATTTCTGCCTCTGATTAATCTCTTATCGAAGAAATCTAAAGAACGTACCACCATTGATAGACGAATGTTAATTCTATAAAGAAGAAAAATCAAAACGATCTATTTCAATGACTAAAACAAATTGGTCTTACGACTCCAGATAACAGTTGCTAAATGATAGTTTATTTTTCGATACAATGCACGATTGAATGGCCAGACGAAACATGCTGTTAGAAGTTGAAGTAGATTAACAAATAGGCCAGTTATAACAAATACATAACCGAGGAAAAGTTGAACAATAACTAATCTTTTCCATGAAGGAATGTACGAGTGATCTTCCGTGGATCGAGGCATCTAGAAGTAAAGAGGAGAAAGATTCATAATCGTCAGCTTCCGAGCAATAATCATCATTTTTTTTCTTCTTTCTATTAAATATCTACTATTACCTGGTTCTTCCTTTTCTCTCTGGAGCAAATGAAATGAAAAAACGTTGCTCTTTGCTCTTTTCTTCGTCCGTCTCTCTCACTTTCCTGGTGAAGACAGCGTCTTCACTATATGATTATCCATGCGGCGAAAACTTAAGCTGGTGCGATGTATTAATAGAATAGAACGAGAGAAAAAAAAAAGTTTACATAACCGTTAACTGTAGATAACATCGTCAGTAAAATGTGGTCTTAGCCATCGAATGGGATCGAATAAAAAAGCCGAAGAAAAAGAGAAGAATGTCGCATCACAGACACATCCGTTTCTGCTCATGTTCATAAGTAATTAGAAGTACTATTATTAGCACACAATTATAACTGCACAAAAAAAAAGACGAAGGAGAAAAAGAAAAGTTTATTTTTCTACGTGAATCCACAAATAGACAGACCAATGTGTCACATGGTCTTGCTTGATGAGAAGTTTCTGTTTCTGACGTGTTTTGATTTTATATTTTCTTTCTAAGTACGTACGTGTTCTTGCGCTTTTTTTCTTCTTATACTGATCAGAAAAGGAACAGAAAAGAAAAAAAAGAGAACGCTACAATACTATCACCTTGTACAACGAAAACAAATTTTTATCATAATACTATTTTTTGCAATTGAATTTTATCGCTGATATTTTCGTGGTTTATGCAAGTGGCACGATGTACATTTTTTGTTTGCAGCTACGATAGATGCCAGTTGTGGTTCTAACAAGATTCTTCGACCTTTGAAAATCAGTCGTCATGTTAGAAGCCATTTGTTGACCTATTCGATTACTAATTCAGTATCTTTTTATTCGACAAGGAAGCTGCTCAAACACAATTGAAATGCATTTTCAATTGTTGACGAATATCTCTTTCGCGTTCGTCGTCGTCTTCTCTTTCTATCTAATCAATTAAACGAAACGCACACGCCTGTAGGCGGACGAACACACACACATATATCCCAATTACAAACAAATCACGAATGAATGACAAAAAGAAAACTTTGTCGTTCTTCTCCAATTCCAAAAGTTCAAGTACATCGAAAAACATGTCTCCCAATAAAATCGAACATTCAATCACTCCTCCGCTCGCGCGAAAGACGAAAATTCTTGTTAATTGCCATTGAACAACTAATCAAATAGTTATATTCACTTGTTTTATCTTTTTTAATTTGTAAATAAATGAGGGATGAAACGAAAGTTTAACCTCACATGAACATGAAACAAAGCAAAGCAAGAAGTACAGCTATATATCTTTCATTTTCTTCATCGTATACTTTGTTATCTTATTCATTTGACGTCTGTTCATTCTCATAAATCACATGCATATAGATGCTCATGGCAGACTAACGCGAATATGTTCGTATCAACACTTGCTTTCCTTCATCGTTCTTATAGGTTCCAATCATCAGTCCACCATCTGGTTAGAGCCTCATCATTTCGATGTGTATTTATCTACATTGTTGATGAGAGGGAAATTTTTTTTTCAAATCATATCAATCACAACCATATGAGTAATTCCTTGACATAGACAATACTTCTGTCCATGAAGATTTGTTTACACAACGAGTGAAAGATCTGGATATGATCAATGAGCAACACATCAGGTGTCTTAATGTCTTTTTTTTTCTTTCAGATCTTCATTTGCACATCATTCATTCGCGTTCTTTTCAACATGGTTGGCCATTCGGTAAGTTTTCGTTTCGAATGTAGTTGTTAGTTCATTCTAAAAGAGAGCGGATAGTGATTAACATATAAGGTTGTGAAGACGAATAATTTATGAGCGCGAAGCATTCGATTTATTTGTTTTTGTTTGTCTATTTTCTCTTTTGAACGAAACTATCGATGACAAAACGACGAACACATCATAAACGTACGAGTGGAATGAGAAAACATGCTCATCATACGAAACAGAGAAGATCCAAATCTCATCGAGCTCGATCGCATACAGGAAAAAAGACAACCAAACGAATCCATCATCGTAGAGGTGGCAAACATCATCATGCGCCAACGAATGAAAATGCTAATCAATCGGTTATTGCCAAAATAGTTTAACAACTCATTATGTTCATCTTGAGGGACTAATTGATTTTTTGAACTCCTTTGGGCTTGATGATCATAGACATACTTGATTGGCCTTTATGTATGAAGGTCTACGAATAAAATCGGATAGACATATGGGTTGAAATTTACACAACGAAGGATAAAGAGCAATTCCTTTTCGTTCTTTTCGCGCTTGTTAGTGATTGGATATTGTTCTCTCTCTCTCTTCTGCTCTCTTCTCTTCGTATAAAACAGAAGAGAACAATATCAGAAGGTAACATTCATAGGATCACTATGTCAGCAATAACAGATCGACTTGTGCATAACATGCCAACGTTGATTACTCAGAAGACGAGTGTAAGTATATCCATGATGACTGGAAACATAGTCTTTCTTGAGAAGACTAACGACTGAAATGCAATCATTGACTGAAGTAGTGAATCGTGATGCTCCCGTAATTTCTCGAGTGTGCTCATTGCGAACTGAATATTGATATATATATGTATATGTACATATACCTGTATAATCAGTTAGACTCGATCTAATTTCACTATCTAAACAAACTGAATGAGTCGATTCATGAGCGTATGTGAAATTCTTTTCATTGATTCCCCTTGAGGAAGAGAAGACTGTATATTTGTTTTTCTATTTCGATGCTCTTAGAAATACCGCCATCGGTTTGATCAGACATGATGATAAACTAAAATAACATCGATCGATTGTAAATCATTTATGCTTAATTTATTTCGTAGCGAAATGAGTGTAGAACTACTGGAATAGAAATGTTCATTCTTCTTGTGTTTCTTTTTTCGTAGCCAATGACTCTTCAACGGCCGGATATCAAACAACGTTCAGATGCTGGTTCGTACAATAAAATTATCATTGATCTCGATGAAATCATTGAGAAATGGGTAAGTTGATTTAGTCGTCAGATCGAAAGTCTATCGTGTAGCAGATGCACATATTGTTCATTGTATCAGATGTGTAAGACAATTGTTTAATTTATTCTTTTCAGGTATGGAAGATGTGGGAATTATCGAAACGTAATCGTGAAGATTCAAAATATCGTCGCGAAGAATTGGATATGAAAATAAACTGGAAACGAGTTAATTTTTGGCAATCCGATGCTACTTTTACTCGTTCAGCTCAAGTTCGAATGCCTAAATCGCAAATCTTATTCAAAACGCATTTTTCTAATAATACTAACTGCGAGCAAGAATATTCTCTACGTGCTGAACGCTCGACAATTACAACATTAAATTTTACATTTACGCGTGGTTTTACTAAGGAAAAAGAAGGTTCAATTTCATTCAAACTGCCTCATGAAGTGCTCGAAGTGGGTGGCGGAATGAAACATGAACAACGAGTTGAATATGGCAAAGATTCTACATTTGAAACACAAATGGTTTGGTCGGCCGATTCGGCTATCCGTGTAGCACCACATTCGAAAGCCAACGCTGAGTAAGATTCTCCTTCGATACTCTATTTATTTGATATATTTTCTGTTTTAGATTGTGTATTACGGAAGAAGAATATTCTGCTGATTTCTCTGTCGAAGTTCGTTTCAGTGGTCGCATATCCGCAATGATCAGTACACGAAATAATACAGGCGGTTATTACAAATATATGGAAGGCGATGTCGCAACCATTTTTGGTGATGCATTACGTTCGGGAAATGTTAGCGGTTGTTCCAATCAATTCGAAGTCAACGAACAAACGCAAACAGTTCGAACAGTAATGCTGGGTAAATGTGCATTCCGCTACGGCATTGAGCAATATGTGAATGTTGAACAAGAGAAACTTGGTGATTTACCGTGCACTATGGCGAACGAACCACCACCGAAATATCGACCAGTATTTTCATCGCATAATCTTTCTTAGAAAGTAAGGAGAAACGAAGAAAAAAGTCGATCTGTTTGTCTAAATAATTTATTGTTTGTAAAAATTACAATTTAATAAACTTTTCATTGAATGATTTTTAATTGTCGACGGTAAAATATGTCGCAGTGAGAAGTCCGAGACGATTGTCAACGATGAATTGTTCCAAGGGAAAACGGAGACGTTGTTCAAGTTCGATCTTATTCTCCGGAATTTTGTCAATCGATTGGTAGAGGAAGAAAATGTATCGATGAGGACCAGAGCCAGCTGGAGGCGCAGGTCCTCTGTATGTATCTATATCAAAAGAAGAACAGAACTTGACATGGCAAATGTTGAAGGACTTACAAAGTGTTTGACCATCTTTGAGATCTTTATCTTGAAAATTGGCGACTAGCCAATGGAGAACAGGACCTTTCACCGCATCGGTACGACTTGGGGCATCAGGATCGATCATAATCTGAAATAGTTGACAAGTATTTCTGTGAAGGATATGTAGAATGGTCTTACCAATGTTCGATACGTTTTTTCATCGACATTTTCCACTTCGACTTTCGGTTGCGATTGAGTTTCTTCTTTCGTTAAGTGATTGTTTCCATCGAGAGCATCTCCTTCGCCATACTGTACGAATAGTTCTTGCTTGCGTTTATGACCATTGCCTGTAGTTTCATCGAGGTTCTTGAGTACATAAGCAACATCAGGACTAACCGAGGTAGACATCGTGTGTATTAATAAATAATCTAATGATAGAAAGAAAAAAATAGTCTTTTCGTACAATGAAGATATGTTCGTTAAGGACATTTTTACGCACTCAATACCTTCTTATGATAAAATCAAAACGATCTTTATTTTATCAAATAGAAGAAAACATACGATAATAAAAGAGCTAAGACTATATATGAGACTGAAAGTTTTGCTTTTCTTCTTCGAAAGAAGTTAGCCGATCACTGTGTATGATGTTGTTGCCACCAACTCCAATTGATGATCAGTTTCAAATTTCTTCAAATGAAATTGTTTACGTTTGCCCGAATCACTAACTGCAATCGATTCACCATGTTTCGAGAAGTCATTTGTTGCCGATTTATATAATAAAAAAATGTACTGATGTGGACCAGTGCCAGACGGTGGTGCTGGACCTTGATAGTCAGCTATGAATGAAATCACGAAATACAATGGACTATCGGATCTGAACAATATCATCTTACCTAGTGTTTTACCACTGGTAACATTATTTCCTTGAAATCCAGCTTTAATCCAATGTGACCATGGACCAGCACGTTCGTTACCGCGTTGAGGGGCGTCAGGGTCGGCTAAAATCTATTACATATGAAATGGAATGCTTGTTGAAGAGAAAAAGGATTAGTATGAAAATTTACTAAAGTTAAATGAGGTTTATTCGGGTCATTTTCGATGTTAATTTGTACATTGGGCTCAGTTTGAGTGGCAGATTTCTGCAATTCATCACCATCTTGAAATGGTTTGCTGTCGTACTGAACGACTAACTGATCATGTTGCTTTTTACCATGATCATGTTGTTGTCGAAGATGCGCAACGTCAGAAATAATACTTGCCATGTTTATATTTCCAATTCTCAATTCAAACTACAGCAAGTTAGTAAATAATGAATGTTCGTGAGGAAAAGGAAAGAGCGAAAGAAAGTAAATATAGCTAGATGGTGCACTATGATGGCAGGTTTTCGTTCTCGTAAGAAAAATGAATGTAAATGGTTTATCGGTTGTTTCATTAAACAATCTTCTATAATCTATGTATGTATAAGAACAACTGTGCATATAAAAGTCGAAAAGAAGAAAACCACCATGAACAGCTCTGACTAGTTACGATAGAAGAGAAAAATCTACATTTCTGTTGAACAGTTAGTCGAATACATGACATGTTTTTGAAAAACATTACAAACGAGTGGAGATAGATAGTTCGCTATCGTCATCGCTGGCATTCATTGTCAAATGACTATTTGATTGTGACTTCTGCTGACGTCGACTCTCACGTAGTTCGATCAAGACTTCAACCAGCGCAGCTTCGAGTGACGAACATAAGAGTTCGTTATCTGTGTCATCGGTGGAGAAATCGTCCTCGTCAAGATCAAAATCATTGTCCAAAAGTGTTGTTATCGATGATGAAGTAAATACACCGGATTCAGACTGATGATCGCGATTTCGATGAGTATTATTATGAAAACGATTACGAGCACGACGGAAAATATTGACTAAATACCGATCAGCGTGATTGACTACAGGTGATCTACACAATACTCACGTTTGTACTTTGTATACAACGAAAAACAAACTATAACTTACTCGTCCGTTAGGTTTACATTCATGACTGTCTCCAGCCAAACGTCAACAGGATTCTTGTCTGATTGTTGTAGCGAGGATGTTTTGATATGACCACGATGTTCAACAAGTGTCGAAATAGTTCGGAGCAAGCGTGGTCGTTTCTTCAATGGTTTAATATCTTCAAGTTCGCAATGGTCTTTCAAATGCCATTGGATAAATTCTTCTTTTGATATTCGTCCGTCGTTATTCGTATCCATGGTATTGAATGCCTGATCGTATAATAAATGATCTTTTCTTCCATATTTCGATTGACCGAGAAATTGTGCAGCGATTTTCTTCCGTGAATTCAATTCCTGTCGCGTTATATAGCCTTGATTATGTACATCGAAAAAGCAGAATAATGTTTCAATCGTCCGTAAACGATTCACACCGCTAATAGCCGATAATGCGTAAAGATATTCATCGAAATCTAGTACTCCATCACGATTTCGATCGTAAATGTCAAACATCATCGAAAAGAACTTCTTCCGCTGTCGATAATTTTGAAAGATTTTGACTGGAGATGAGACATTCGATGGGTGAGTCTTCTCCACAGACGACCGTCGTATAAACGTCAGGAATTTTCGTTTCGAACAAAATCCATTTGGACAATCTCGCATGAACGTTTCGCGCGCGAAACTTATCTCGTTTTCTGAGAAACCTGTTTCATTATCATTAACCAATGACATATTCGATTTTACGAACGCGATCGAATCATATTTAAGTATATATATTTTCAATGGAAACAAACATCGTGATGCATATTTATTGATGTTTTTCCTTTCTTGATTTGTTTCATGTATCAGATACGAACAAGTGAAGCGAGAAGCGATGTGCACACGTAGAGTAAATGATTGTATCATTCTTTTTACCACTGTTATTTATTTTCTTGTTAACAGCGTTTTATTTGCTGACGACATTTACTAATCACAAAACGGAAGAGTGTGCATCATAGTTAAGGTGTGCCAGGTATATCTAATTTCATCAAGAAGCATTTGTTTTGACTTGACGTATGGACAATATTTGTTTATCTTTCTCTTCTCGTCATCATATTTCATGTTCAACAAAATGAATTGAATACCACAAGAATGACCGATTCTTTCTTCGTGGTCGAAGCAAGAATAAACATTGAATGTAAAATTGATCTCTATTTCATTCTGATAATTATATGGCTTTCTCAGTACACTGACACAGATGGTGTGAGAGTTACCCTATACTTAAAACAAACCTTGACCATATATATCCATTTTTCAAAGAGAAGAGAGAAGGAAAAAATCATATCATAGAGACTATTGACATGTATATTTGTACATACATGAGCTCATCTACACACCATCTATAAACATTACCTCGTGTGCACAATTACTATATACACACACACATATATATATATATATATATATATATATATGTATATATGTTGTATTTATTCGTACAAATGTGAACGTGATTTTGATTGAGTATTCGGTTCTCTTCCTCGCATCGCAATTTTATAATATTACTCTCTTTCTCTCTTACTTTTTCAACGTTCATATGAGATGTCCCAAGGTATGCATATCATATAACCATACCAGTAGGAAATTTAATCATTTGAATACTTCACGTACGCTTCTTAGTTGACATGCCTGATGATCCACAGTGGTTCGAATCATATAATGATTCGTCTTTATTTGATACGTATCTGGTCTATGCTTTGATTGGCACATTACTATTCATTGCATTCATTGGTGTATTGGTACTTTTAGCTACATCATATTGCTGTTTATACAGTTATTTTTGTTGTTATCGTCGTCATCGTCATTCGTCATATCAATTAAATGATAAAGTTCAGGAGCATGAAAATCGAGAGAAAATTTCCTGTTTACAGCTATATGACACGTATCCGTATTTAGTCAATCAATGTCCATTGGAAAAACAAAATTTCAACACGAGTTATACAACGATCAATACTATTGGGAACCCGAGTATACCACGCACTCCATCTCTTCACACAGGTACTTCAAACGATCCGAAAGAGAATTCACTAAACATCAAATTCGTTTTCTAGTTCCACCCGAACAACAGTATGATGTTTCAATTTCGTACAAGCCCAGTGCTCATGTTGGTGTCACCGCAGTCAAAGGTAAATAACAAAAACATCATCCGAGTTGATCAATTCAAATATGTTTAACTTTTAGATCATGTTAGAACAACAAACACTTGCTTTCAAGTTTCATGTTGGCCTACACCACTGAATCATTTCAATACAACGCATGAAGTTGATCAAAATAATCTTCGCACATCTCCATGTGCAAATATTTACGAAACAGTAGTTCCCATCACCGCTGATACTGCTCCTGTAGATCGTGCTACACCCATATACGAAGCAGAGTGGACACATAATTTGAAACAGCTAATTATGACACGGATGCCGTCCTTTGAACTACCATCATTATCATCGGGAATAACTGCAACTACTGATTATTTTCAACAACCACATCCGTATAATAAAGTTTTAGCAGCTCGTGCCAAAGCATCGGATTCGATGCGGCGAAATAAAATGCTCAAGAGATTGAAGGATGATACCGCTTTTTTGTATTAATACTTCATTTCATTTTCAAGTTTTTCTTCCCCCTCCCCTCCCCTCATCTTCACTTCATTGAACTAAATCAACTCTTTTTAAGTCTTTTATTTAAGCAAACAAATGAAAAAGAGTCATTTTATCTTTAAATATTGTCAGAACTACTTTCAAACATTTCGCTTTGCTTACTGAACTATATTCATTATATTTGTTTGAGGTCGACGAATACCATTTACCAAACCTGTTCTCTTGTTTCTCATTATCCATTTCGATTCAATCTCAACCATCCCATCACACTTCTGCTCTCCATCCAATTTTCGCAAATCTTCGATCACTCGCTCACTACCATAATAGTTATGCCGAACAATATCATCTTGCAAACCGTGACCCAGAGTCACACATTCAACATCATTCACCCATATCGTGTGTCCTTCACCACTCAACACAAAACTATACACTGCTTCACATGGCATTGTCGTCAGTTCAGATGATGGAAGTGAATATGGAAATGTCCAGTGGACACCGTCGAGTCGAACAGGATGCCATGGTGTAATCATGAGACCACCATCAAACTAGTATCGAAAGAATGAAGATGAGTAGAAAGAGAGCGATGGACATACAAGAATAAACTGTGCTTGTGCATTGTGGCAGATAGTTCGTAGGACATAGTTGATGCTTGCACCATGTGGATGAAGTCGATCACCGCGTTGAAGATGTTTGACAAGTTTGATCGATCCGTCGAAGAGTTGAACAGTGCACGATCCATGAAAGCAGGGATTGTCGGCGTCATTGAATGTAGACATGTTGATAGGTGTAGCAGAAGGCGAAATAGTACCACTGGAAGGTTGTGGTGCCGGTAAACTACAGAACATTTCATCCATTTCATCTCGCACTGAGCTGAACAGTTCGCCTTGACCATAGTGCTGCACACCTGGATCTTTGAAGTTGTTGCATTGCTGAAGCAAATGGGCACCTAATGAAGAAATCGTTGCTGTTGAGGAAACATGAAGGAAAAGATGTGTACATACGTGTGATGCTGGGTAGATAGTGTACACCCCACTTGTTAAACCAGTCTTGCCGTGAGAAAGCTTCCTTTACTTGACCTGTGAGATCAGTTAGTAGATCAGCTGTGTATTTGTCGTCAGTTGCATGATTTCGAATTCTATCTTCTAATTCTTCCAGAGTTTTTACTACTGTCGATTGATTTGCACTGAATGCATTGCGATCTTCACGTAGTGATTTATAACCTTGACGGATAAAATAAACAAATTCTAATCGATCTTTTTGTTGATTTAATGACTTCAAATCTTGAGGCAGTTGTGTAAACGAATCACATTGTTTATTTTTCGTACCATGGGAAGATTCATAATCAAGTAAAATGGCTATGTTTTTATATTGATCTTCACTCATTGGAATGACGACATCTCTACTTTGACCGAATATACTGGAACCTAATTGAAAGCGTAAACTATTACTGCCTGTTGACTACAAGAAAAGTAATATAACATTCATTAGAAAGATCGTAATCAATCATCTTGATCAACACAACTTTACCTTTCGATCCACAAGTTCGATTTTATAGTGACACATATAGGTCGATGTTTGATCGATTGTTGGGTCTACGTTGCTAACTGTCAGTCTCAAGTTAGTTGCAGCTGTTGTCAAAAGATTTGAAATAGCGTTGACAAATATCGTACCAACAAAGGAAGCGTCAGGTATGAATGCGTATGAGCCAGTGTTACCGTTATCAGCAAGCTCTTCCAAAAGTTTACTGTTTAGTCTATAACCAAAACCGAATGTGTTGACTGAACCCGTAAAATTAATCTTCTCCTTCAGAGCTGCTAATGCCGGCAGATAGCCTTCCTTCGGATTGTCAGTTGGCTCACCATCTGTCAATAAAAATAATGCAGCATTACTACCTGAAGCTCGTTGTCCTTTAGTTAAAACAGTTAGACCCGTTGCTAACCCATCCCATAGATTCGTTGCGCCTGCTGTTTGAAGTTGTTCTACTTGCTTGATTGACTCCGCTCGGCCTTGATCATTCATTTCACGTAACGAAAATACAACCTGTGCTTTTGAATCGAATGTTACAAGTGCTAAACGGTCTTCTGCCGTCAACGAATGTATTATTGTTGTGATTGCATGTTTAACAAGATCTAATTGAGATAAGCCACATTTTTCTTTATTATTTGCTCCTTGAATTTCTACAGCACAGGACATAGAGCCCGATATGTCAACTACACAGCAGATATCACATGGTGCACGAACACCTGCCCCTTCAGGTGGCCGGATAGAGATATGTGCGTAACCATCGGCCCAAGTACTTGTTATTGTTAATTTAGATGCTATGTTCATATGCAGAGAGTTCTCTGATGATAGTTGTTGACGATACTCTTCGATACTTGCAAGTAATGTTGGATTTGGCTGGAGATCACTGTAATTCAGAGGAGCTTTCGTCTGTAAAACGCGTTTTGAGTAAAAAATTTATGGTATTTTCGAAAGAGTAACTTACAATAGGCGAAATGGAGTGTTGTTTTAACCAGTTCTCAATTGCTGATCGTTCATAACTGTTGCCGGCAGGGTCAGTAACTGGATCGGTCATAATTTCATTAGTTATTGGACAAACGAACTTCAACATCCATTCAGTCATCGTTGTTTTTGCGAGAGTAAGCTATGAAAAGAGAAAAATACGATGCGAATGCGATTTTAAAGAAATGTAAAGCTTTTTATATAAAAATGACAGTGACATGCAAAAGGTGACGTGGGGTTTGTGAAAAGAAGAAAATACGAATTGACGATAAAGACGGTATGACGTATGTTTAACAAATGACGAAAACAAGCGTGAATATGTTTTATTACCAACAATGAATCAACAAAAGTAAAAAGATTATGCTGGCAAATTCCGGAATTGTTCTGTTTTTATTTCACTCAGAAGTGTTTCTTACTCGGAGTTCGACTTTGTGAGGGCGGGTAAGAAGTTTTTATCGCACATATTTATCTCTTTGGATTTCGGCGACTAACTTTGCTATTTGTTCGATAACAGGTAGATATCAAGAATCACGTTTTTCGAGTTTATCATATGAGGCATCAATTGTAATAAGGAGTATTTCCAAATGTGGAGGAATTACCATAAATTGATTATCCATAATTCGGCTGAAAGCGCGTCATCAATTATGTAGAACGTGAGTAAGATGACACTTATTCATTCATTATGAACGTTTCTAATTTATCCCTTGATTATTGAATATGTTCATCAATAGCAGTCGGCGAATATCATTTACCGAATCTATTTTCTTTTTTCTCACTATCCATCTTGATTCAATCTCAACCATTCAACTTTCGCAAATCTTCGATCACTCTCTCATTACCATAATAGCGATGCCGAATAATATCGTCCTGCAAACCGTGACCCAGAGCCACACGTTCAACGCCAATCATGTCTCAGCTGTTTCTCCACTATTGTTAGAGTCTGATATGTGGTAAAGTCGGGGTAATTTAACTGCAATTTAACTCCGGAAAAATCGGTCAAAATATGCATATATGTACGCAGAATCTGATTCTGATGTCGAATGAAGAAATTTTTTTATTATTTTTTCTTTTATTCTTTTACAAGTAAAATTTTGACACGAAAGAGTGATTGACGTAAAATGACGGAGAAAAGAAGTACAGGGAGACTATTTTCTTGTCAACTATTACTTAGTTTCCTAGGCGATAGTTCCCATCGGACTTGATTTTCAATATTTGAAAGCTCATAAACAATGTGCAATAATCAATCGTTTCATTTTTTGAACAGAAGTGAAACGCTATTCGGTTCTGCATTACGAACAGGTCAAAACCTATCCAAGACGACATTCATTAAAAAGTACCCTCCATTGACACAGACTATTGTATACATTCAAATCTAAATCCAAAGATTAACAATTGCATAACTAAACATCGATTAATTGCTTCTTTTCAATAAATAATATTTAACTGCCTTCATAGATTTGTATCAACTGATTCAATTCTCTTCTCCAATTTCGTTTTGACTCTACATTGTGATTACTATTGTGCATGTAGTGCCTTTTCTTTTTGATTGATATAATTGTATCCAACATCATCAACGTTAACCTTTCAGAGGTGATGTGGTAATAAAATCCCTTCTAAACACGCGCGTACACATGTTCTCTTCTATCTAACACCTTTGTTTTATTTCTCTCATTTGTACAATGATATAATCATTCATTTGTTCAGCTTCGAACAATCGATATACTTCACCAAGAAAAAAGCTCAGAGCAACAAACGAGGATGACAACAAATTCGATTGAAGCGACCACTCCAACCGATGGAAACGTACGTCGACGGAAAACTATCGAATTACCATCGACAAGCAATGTACGTATTTGAATTCTTTTCCTCTTCTTTTTTTTATTTGTCTTATCACTCCAATGTGTGAAGGTTATTAAGGCCTCGACATTTTTCACGCATCAACATTCGAAAAAGATAAATCTTTACATCGATTCATCCATATTACAAAACATACGCACATAGGTACCGATGAGTTATTCGCCTTTATCCCCACCTTCGTCAAGTATCATATCGAATCCATTTGCGAATCTCCTTCGAAAGCAAAGTAGTAGTTCGAGTTCGCTCATACGAGATATTCGACAGAGTAGAGCTTCGATTGACTCGCCTTTATCCAAACCATTAACATTCCAGGAAACAATCGGCTTTTCAACGCTACCTGATCAAATACATCGCAAAACTCTCAAACGAGGATTCGAATTTACATTGATGGTCGTTGGTAAGTGTATTCACAGAAAAATCGATCTTGTTTCTCTCGAAAATCGAACTTCAAAGGTGAACATGGCTTGGGTAAATCAACATTTATCAATACACTATTCATGACAGAACTCTACGCGGACCGCCCAATAAGTACTCGAAGTAAATGCATAAATAGAATCGAAAATTGCGATGACGAAGAGCATCTCAACAACTCGTTTTAGTTCATCCACCGAAGACGGTCGAAATCGAAACACGCACAGTTGAATTAGAAGAGAAAGGTGTCAAATTACGTTTAACTGTTGTCGATACACCGGGATTCGGTGATGGAATGAATTCAACTGAATGGTATTATAGATATGATTGATTACATTGTTCTCTTCTCACCGTATTCTATGATCTAGTTGGAAGCCAATTCTTGATTTTATTGATCAACAATTTTTGAAATACTATCAAGCCGAAACGAGTTTCGGTATCGAACGAAAATACGTTCAAGACCAACGTGTGCATTGTTGTTTATATTTTCTTCCACCAAGTATCCGTGGGTAAGGTTTTCCCTTTTCGAAATACTTCTTCGACCTTCTTCTCTTATCAATAAAAACGAAAGATTACGACCTATCGATCGAGATTTTCTTCATCATCTTCAACACAAAGTTAACGTTATACCCGTCATTGCCAAAGCAGACACTTTACTCAAAAGTGAATTGATCGCATTAAAGAAACAGTTGTTAAGTGACATCGATAAATACGGAGTGCAACTTTATGATTTTCCTGAAGGAGATCCTGAACAAGATGAAGATACTCATTCGCTTGATAAAGCATTACGAGTAAAGCCGAAATTCATTGCTCTAATCGAGTTACTTTCGTTGCTTTAGGAATCAATTCCATTTGCTATCATGGGTAGCAATACAACATTAGAATCCAACGGCAGAAAAGTTCGTGGCCGAGCTTATCCATGGGGGATAGTAGATGTTGAAGATCCGAAAAATAGTGATTTGGCACACTTGCGTGAAATGCTATGCAAGTAAGATAAGACATGACAAGGTATCTCATCGACAACGTTTATTAATAGAACACATTTACAAGACTTGAAAGATGTTACAAGCGATGTGCATTATGAAAGTTTCCGTGCCCAACAATTACTCGGTCGACGAAATTTAAACGAAATCTACGAGTAAGTTCATAGAAGTTATTCTCGGAACGAAATGAACTTCATATTCGATTGAATAGAGATGATCCGTATGAAAACATCGAAGTAAAATACAAATTGATTCAACAGAAGGACGATCAAGTAACTAGAAACCAGTATAAACCTATCGCTAATGTTCTTTCATGTCGTAGATTCGTGATATGAAACAACAAATACAGGATATGCAACACAAATTGAATTCTACTCCGAACGATTATCAATCGCTGACACCAACATCCATTCCTGAACCAACTACCACGACGTCCACGACTGGCGAACGTTCTACTAAGATTTAGTTTCATGTTTATATAGCATTTTTCTTCTATTTTGTTTCGCTTCGTTTGCTAGTAGATTCATTCCGAAATATACTCTTCATTTCTTAAGTTTGTGAACTTTATTGACGAGGATTTTCTAATTGATTTTCAATGAACTTCAGCGTCATTGATAAACAAATTCCTGTTAGACGATATTATCGATAAATACTTCATTAATTGATATTATTTCCGATCACTAATCATAAGAAACATATATAAGCATTGTATAATCTCGATTATCTCAAGGCAAACATCACTGATCCGAATAAATAACTTCATCTCAATCTGTAAGTTCATATGGAAGAGAATAGACTAAATATTCCACTTCATGACATTTCCTTCGAAACAAATTCAATTAAAGTATCATCGACCGATCAACTTCAATTAATACTTGACATTTCTAAAACAAATTTATTGATTTCCTTCCGTTTGTCACTCTCTATTCATTCTCTATTCATTATAGTTCAATTCTCTACTGAAAACAAAATAGACTTAACTTGACTTGACCGAATTCCGTCTGTCTCGAAAGACTTTCATTCATTCATTTAGTCTCGATTCTTCTTTTCGCGATAAATGTTTACTTATGAATTGTATTAGGAAAGAAAAGCCCCACAGATGTTAAACAGAACAATAAACATTACAATACAAATATCAAAGCAGAATACAAACACATACGTACATATGTAGACAATGTAAAAAAAATGAGAACTGTTCATTTCGCCTAAGAAGAAGCAGTAGCAGTAGTAGTGGTAGTAGTATGAGGAGGAGGTGGAGGAGAAAGAGGAACAATGGCATCATCGACAAGCACCGAAAATGTGTATAAGGAATCTCGATCATGTTCATCAACTTTGGTAATATGATTAAAATGTGATGGTTTGGATATAGCTGATTTCCTGATCTTCTTTTTACGTAAAACAAAAGTAGGTCGACGACGTTTGCTGTTGAATACATCGAACAAATCAGCGTTACGCGGATCACATGAAAGTTTAACAAAATATTGATGAAATTCATCTGTTGCATTTGTATCATCAAATTTCAATGCAAGAACGGCACCTGTTTCCAGAGATTTTAATGTTATATGGCGAGATTTCGGTAAACGCACATCCGATGCTCCATTTACAATCGTATCCCATAGAGTAAAACTTGAGCCAAGTTCCGAGATTATCAAACGAATAGAACGTGCTCTACAAGATCAATTTTCTTCATTCCTTTATCTTAATAATTCATATGACTAAATACCTTTTTGGATTCATGCCAGTATTGAATAACCAAATGGGCACACCAGTGTACAATTTCTTCCAATCTTTTAAATTAGCCATTGAGTCAAAATCGGATGAGTATAGAGTTGCTGTGCTATGTGCAACATAGACCAATGTACCCATACTTTTGTAGAACGCCGCAATCTTCAGGATATCTTTATCACTCAAACGAATCGACGGTGGAAATGCGATTGGTTGTAGACTTCGAATTGAATCGAATGGCCTAGTTTTTAGATAGAAACATTCTTAATGTTTACATTAACTGACAAGATGAAGTCAATTACCTGTTAATGGTCGGTATCGAACCGAATAGTTGCGGTTGTCGATAACTAGATGAATGAAGAATCTGTTCTGAATCGCTGACATACTGTTGTGAATCAAGAAATGATTGGGGAATCGGCTGACGATATCGTCGAGCAATCGTACGAATAGGGACTGGCTGATATCGCCATGAGCCCGGCATATCAATGATGTCGGTGTGCGCTAAATCAAAAGATGCTAAGCTTGATTCATCCAATTCACCAATACGTCCATCGGTTGTTCGAAGCATTTGTGGAACTGTTGTTGCCGATCGTGTGCCGCCGCCGCCGCCGTTCGTTGATTCCGTTGTACTAGTAGTTAATATTTGCTGTTCATCAGTTGGTTGCTGTGCGAGATAGTAATGACGTAAAGACGGTGAACCATATAAGTGATGAGGCGAGACTGGAAAAAAAAGGAAAGAGAAGGAATGTATGGAAGACGGAAAGAAAGAATCTTTTTCTCTTATGATTAGGTCAGCCTCAAAAAAAAAGAGGAAAGAAGAATGTTTATATGACGACTGTCAGAAAAAGTAAGTAACAGGATATACATATATAACCATCCGGCTAATGATTGACGAATGGTCGAAGAACCTTGTCTGTGATGCAATATTGATGAGGATAATCGAATCACAGGGAAGAATCAGACGTTAGTGGGTGGAGATATCCGATACATTTAAGTAGAGTTAAAACATCTGTCAGTTTTGTCGGTGTTGTTCCCTAGTCAAAAATATATTTACCCTGTGCAAGTGCGATATTCGGCATCGAACGAATACTAGTCGAGGATGGAGGCTGTTGATATTCTTGTAGATTAGAGAATTCATCATGTATGATCGTTCTTTCGGGTGGACCCTCTTGTACTGATAATTCCGGTGATTGAGGCACGTTAACAAAATGAACATAAGGCGATGGATTCGGTGTAGCTAGAAGGCCGATATGTTGATGTGCAATATCCATAACATTTTTAGTTGGCGATTCATTAGTTGCGGCCGTTGTCGTTGTTGGTGATTTTTGGGAAACTTTTGTCGTTGATTTTGTTTTATTTGCCGTCAAGACAGGTGAATTTGACGCAGACAATTGAGCAATTAGTCGTTGTTCAGTTGCTTTCGGAACAATCAGAAACGTTGGTTTAAGAACATCGACAGGTCGACTGACGTATTGAGGATGATGTGGTGAAATTGGTTGAAAACCAGCATTGATAATTGGCAACGGTTGTCGTCCATCAAATTGACCATCCTCGGTGTAATAATAGTACGTCGGAGGAATATAATGACTCGCTGTTTTTCTTACAGTTGCATAAGCCGGATAGGGTACTGTACTTGAACGAGGAAAGCGTGGATGAGTTGTTTTCTGTTGTGATTGTTGATCACCTGGAGAAGAATCTTCTCCATGTTCATTGATAGCATCTAATCCAGTTTTCGATTGTTGATTGTGTGCCGGAGGAGCTGAATGATGTTGCTGATGAGATGCGCTAGAAGAAGAAGAAGAGCTCGTATTCAGACCAGTGAAAACAATCTGCTTTTTGTTTGCTTTTTTCTTCTTTTTCATCGGCTGTTCTTTCGTTTTTGCTACTCCTCCTTTAATCGCCGCTTTTAATGATCCTGGCATGATTCGTGTGTCTATGTGTGTGTGATACAGATTGCACAAATAAATATGATGTTATATGGTGAAGACACGGGAGAGAAGCATTCACTTTCTCCTCCCCTTTTCTTTTTTTCTCTTCTCTTTCTTCAAACATTTATATTATACACTTGGGGTTTTTTGCCTTTTGTTTTATGTTTTTGTATAGTCATATAAATATGTACTGCGGTGAGGGAACGAAAGAAAGAAATTAAAGTTATCGGCCTATTCTTCCTTGCTCGTCTTGGTATATCGAGTTCTGATGCATCGACAAAAGAAAGCCTGTAGAGATAAGAAACATATCACTGATCATTCTTCATTGTCCTTCCATTCTCAAACTACTCGCACAAGACGTACTGAGTACCACTGTTGAGAACGATGTTAGTGTAATCCGCCTAGTCGAACGTGAATAACCTTTGTCACGATGTCATCGAAGCAGTTAGATCGAGTTTTGATTATTGAATCATTAGTTGGACGAGATTGCTCCGTGGGGATTCCTTGTCTTTCATATTACCTATTTGTTTATGTTCTCTAGGCGTGCTTTGTTCGAGATTAATCATGCAACTGTGCTCGAGTCCTTGGATATTCTCGATATTTTTTCTTAACATTGATAAACAAGTAGATTGTGACAACCTACTGTTTCTTATCTCTTCTTGTCGTGCTGAATCACTAATGAAAAACAAGTCATCTTCATCCTTAGTCTAGATTATCAACCGAACCAATAATCCGTTTTATAAACTAATGCTCTAGGAACTTGCTACACAAGGTAAAGGCAAGAATGGCACATCATAAAAGAAAACCGTCTATATGATATGTTGATAGAGAGTTGTAATTAGAGTAATAGTGCAATGTCCTTTTTTTCCCATGTCTATCATCTTAGTGTCTGATGGAATGCCAAGGCTATCTGCATGCATACATAGATAGATATAACGGTTGTCGACTTGCAAATGATGACGATCATCAAGGTTAAATGAATCGACAGAAATCGTATTCTTTCAAAGTCGATAGGAAATTATTCGCTTGTCACAACGTACTAAACGATTTCTGGAATTAGTCCAATACTCGAAACCAAACGTCGGATACGCCTCCTTGACTATATGTATATAGTAAAGTCATTGAGATAAGTCCGAAGTTCAATTTTCATTGTCGATCATATAACTTTCATTTCCTTCACTCACTGTAATTCAATCTATATCAGTATAATTTGTTCTATGTTTCTTTTCTTTGTTCCAATAATGATGATCATAAAAAAAAACGATCATTACAATTGTTATAATCATCACACATGTAAGTTTACAGGCATATGTATGATTTTCGCGTAAACACATATGGAGTAATGACGTGTATTATTTCTCCATTAATATTTCTTCTTCTTCTTCTTACCTCGTAACAATTTCACTAGAATCTCTTTTCATATATGACAAGATGAAGAAGAAGTCAGAAACGAAGAGAATTTTGTCTGATAGACATTCAATTTGTAACTATTATGTCAATGATACTGATGTAATCGATTCGTATGTCTTCGACGTTCCAATAGAATATCTCTTATACATTCTATCTCGTTGCCTCGAATCATTTCAATGTTATAATATGCTTACATTCATTCCTAGATTTCCTTCAAGCAAAATCTTCGGTGAGAAACATATGGTATGATGAGCAAGATTAACATTGATCTATAATGGCTAATCATATTGTTTATATATCGATGAAAAGATACCTGTTTTAGCTCATTCTCTTGTGTAGACTATATGATTAGTATTCGACGTTGATTGAATGTCATCTCGTACGAGGAACAACTGTTTCCGACCGTTATCAATTAATGAATGAAGGGAAGAGAAAAAAAACGACACTTTAGGAACATAGTTATGTCCTATAGAATAGTCATTTACTTGTTCTTGACACATTTACCTATTCTATTGTGAACGGAAAAGTAGACACGATCTATATAAATGATGACGAGTTCATTACAACGTATGATAGATGGAAAAAGAGAACTTCGTAGTTTTATGACATCAATAAGTTACATTATGTGACATGGAGCTAGTTTCTCTGTTATGAGAACGAACTAATATGATCTCGCTTGAAGAGACACGAATGATCATCATTGACGGCTACTATTAACTTTCAGGGAATCTGTTTTTTTATGTCCAATGACCCGTATGCAGCGCTCGTGCGTCATGAAATCAGTTATATTAGCAGTATTCTTAGACAAAATGAAACAAAAAGCAACACTTACGTTCGATCGTCAATTGAGTCACCGCCATGGATAGTATTTCGATGAAAATGAGTTAGTCGAGACAGATGTTGTCGAGTAGTTGCATTGCTGGTCGGATCTTTTTCGGCTGGAGACGTCGAAATCGATTCCGATTGCATCTCTACTACTATGTCTTCCTTTTTTTCGATCGAAGGAACTGATTCAGGAGGTTCAGGTGGAGGTTCTTTTGGCGCTTCCGCTGTTGTCAACACTTTAGTCGCATCCGCCTGTGGAGATGTCTCTGCGTCGTCATCGACTTCAGGAACTGTAAACATTTTTTTCTAAATGATCGCTGTTTGATTCAAAATAATATGCTTTTATCAAGACAACTAATTTTCATGCGCTTTCTCTCTGTCTCTGCTTCTCTCCTTCCTTCCCTTTCTTTCTCTTTCTCTCTCTCTCTCTCTTTATGCTCCGTTTTTTTTTTAAACTAAACAAAGCATTTCCCTTAGGCATCTAGTCGCAATGGTGATGATGATGAGTAGTACGTGGTAAGAAGAAGACGTTCGCTACTACCCGGATATACGTTTTTCTCCTTCTCCTTCGTCTTCTTCGTTTTTTTTTATTCTCCTTCAGCAATGTCAATATGTTGGAGAGAAAGAAGAGAAGGGAAAATGAGAAAGTGACGTACGACTCAACGTCTCTTGTCTATTGCACGCGCACACGCACTAATCAAACGAGTCTAATTTATACTGGTTGCGTTTTTTGACGATACTTGCTTGGACATGTTGTACATATATGTATACACATAGAAAGAGAGAGAGAGAGGAAAAAAACGAGAATATAAAGATAGAAGAAGAGCTCTCCAGGGTGTAGACAGAAACTTCTGATAAATTATTTCTTTCGGTCTTTCTTTCGCTTTTTTTTGAATAGTACAAAACACACGAGTAACCAATCTTGTAAGCAAATATAAATATATAGTGGCACTGTCGGGCAACATAAGTCAAACAAGGAAGTTATAGGAAAAATTTATTAAAGTTCAACAACTGTAATCATCTTATTAACAAGGGTTACAACACATACAAAATCTGATCAAGGCGAGAACAAATCGGACATGGGAGAAAGAAGGAGCACGAAAAGCGATGTGTACATAGTTCTCGCAATCGTATCTATGTCTATCTCATTCCTTCACTTAGAAGTTCCAATGGAAATAATTGTGAAACATGTTCGGAATAATAATCATTCGATATTTAGTGATGAATTATTCTGAAATATATTGCTGAGTAAATGAACGCATGATTTCTTATTTTATTAAGAGCACGAGTGCTACTGACATAGAACTCAGCATTTGCTATTTCTATTCTGATGATCTATTGAACTTTCATTATTAGGGCATCAGACTATTTATGTTATATTTGTCATCTAATTCAACTTAAGATAATCTAGTTGATAGAATTCAATTGATTTTCAAAGATACGATTACATAATTTGATACTAGATTAAGATAATTAAATGATAGTGAAGAAATGTTTTATTGCTTACGTGCCGTGTTCAGCATCGGCTTGGCAGTGTCTACAACGAGCGTATTTCTCTGTATATTCATGAAAGAATAAATAAAATCAGGATGTATTTTTTTGACCTTGGGATATAAATAACTTTCCTCAAGAAATCAATTAGTTTAGAAGTATTAAAAGAAAAAATATTGGCTAGAAACGCAAAACAACGTTTAGTCAATGAAGCGTTGGCTTGCTCGTAAACATTGATTTGCAACAATCCTATTCGAACTACACCCGGAACGAGTGATTCAATTATCTATGGAAACAGTCGCAACCGATGATGGTGTTTAATTAGGATGAGTGTTTAGTAAGAGAATACTTGAAACTTTCGGCCGGAAATGTTTTTCTTTGCCGATGTTCGAAGTACGGAATAATATACATTGTCAAGTAACGGATGCACAATATTCAAATGAAAAAAAAAACAAACTATATAAGACGACAAGATCAATTTCTTTCGACGGGTCGGATGCGAACTGATCGGTTGCGTGCGAAAGAAAATCTGCTGCCTTTGATTACTTACCAAAATCGACTATTCAGAAGATTTATGATGTATTTCAATGAATCGTATGTGCATACTTAACGAAATATTGAGAAAAAGAACTATATGCAACTGACGGTATCGATACACAGTTAATAAATCCTTAATAAAATAGTGTATTTTGGTAGTCTCTTTATCAAATGTTGATCGATAAAATATGCTTATACTGAAAATCCTTGTAACCGAGTATTTTTCGACAAAAATTTAATCGATCGGTATAGGTTTTTGTAATACTAGATGTCGCTAATTACTAAGGAGAGAAAAAATTCATTTTAATTAAAGATTAATATGTTTCACTTCTAAATACGACTAAATCACTATTCGCATCATTTTTATCTTCGATGTGAATTATTATCGTTGTTGTTTTCGTAAAACGGACTTATTTGATCAAGTTATTGGATTTATCGGTTGACCAATTAACATTTTCCAATAAGATAATGAGAAATCTACAGACTCCATTCTACGGAGTGTTCTTGTTGGCACTTCTGTGAATTATTCATTGTGCTTTCGAAACTTTTCTGTCCTTTAGATGACTGAATACGATTTAACCGCGAAATTGGGTCGTTATTTCGATCGTCATCTCGTTTTTCCGTTATTAGAATTTTTGACTGAACGAAACGTAAGTCTCTTTCCATCGATTCCAACGATGAATTCTTAGTTCTTTTCGTCGATCTACAGATCTTCGATGAGAGAGAAATCTTGCAAGCCAAATATGATCTGTTACAAAACACAACTATGGTTGACTTTCAATTGGATATCTACAATAAACTTCATTCGGAAGGAGAAGAACCAAAAGGTTTGCTAGTAGCAGAGCATACGATCGATCTGGATTTTTCTTTTGCAGAATTGATTGGAAAACGTGAAGAAATTGTCTCTCAATTTACTGAACTTTCACAAGCCGTTCAACCATTAATGGATGCTGTTGTAACCGAAGATGCAGCTCGTTTAATTGAACATCAACGGTAACTATCCTCAAACAGTATTGCTTTTCTGAGACATATCGACTGTTTGTTTAGCAATAGCGATTCAATGCTCACGTTAAATTTCTTGCAGAAGAATTTCGGTGTAAGTACATTCCTGAGAATTATTCAACAAATTACATTGGTGGTTATGATTCACTAGATTGAACGAAGTATGGTGGATGCTTTGTACACGTTTGCTCGTTACGTCTACGATTGCGGTGATTATTCTCGTGCAGCTACTAACCTAGGTCTTTACCGCGCGCTTGTAAGTCAAGGATCGATGATTGATGTGTTTGTTCTATGAGAAAATTTAGGTGCCCAACAGTGACAAGAACATGATGTCCTGTCTGTGGGGTAAACTAGCCTCGGAGATCTTAATGCAACGTTGGGATGACGCCTACGATGATTTAAATCAGTTGAAAGAAGCCATTGAAACGAGCAGTTCACGTTCACCATTAGATCTCTTACATCAACGTACATGGTTCATTCATTGGTCATTATTCGTCTATTTCAATCATCCTCGAGGACGTGATGATCTTGTTCAATTATTTCTCGGTTCACCAACGTCAACAACAAATCAAACCAATGTCTATTTGAACACATTACAAACGGCATCACCGCATCTCTTACGTTACTTGGCAGCAGCTGTTATTATCAATCCACGAAAGAAAAATGAACGCACATTGAAGGAGCTCGTTAAAGTCATTCAACAGGTTCACACATTTCTTTTATTGATCAGCAAGTTTTGTCATCTCTTCGTTTCGATTAGGAGTCATATGCATTCCGGGATCCTATTACCGAGTTTCTCGAGTGTCTCTACGTTCATTTCGATTTCGATGGAGCACAGAAGAAGTTACGCGATTGTACCACTGTGCTCGATAACGATTTCTTTCTCATCGGTTGTGCTGATGAATTCATGGAAAATGCCCGTTTGTTAATCTTCGAAACATTCTGTCGCATTCATCATTGTATCACCATCGAGTAAAACTCCAAAGTGTATATTGAACTTATTAATGAAATTCTTGTGCATTTAGTATGTTGGCAGAAAAATTGAACATGGGAGCTGATGAAGCCGAACGTTGGATTGTCAATTTGATTCGTAATGCAAGTTTAGATGCGAAGATTGATTCACAGAAAGGTGTGGTTGTCATGGGTTCACAAGTCTTATCACCCTATCAAGCGGTCATCGAAAAAACGAAGAATCTGTTCAACCGAACGCAGATGTTAGCGCACAACAGCGAAAAGCGACGAGATACAAACGTAAGCAATCAATTTGCTTTTTGACGAATCTATCAGAATTTGATTTCGTCTAGGCTAATTGGAGTCATTATCAAACTCAACAATCACAAACAAATAGTACACTTGCTCCAGTAGTTGAATGAAATCAAAAGATTTATTTTTGAAACATCGTTGACAAGAATAAAACGAAAAAGAATTTCTACTTTACTTTTCACTCTTCTATGGATTTCAACGAACAGAAAGAAATGAGCATCGTTAGGATAATTTCGCCTCGAATGTGCTATTTTGAAACTTGACCTTCGTACGTGATATAAGATCTCGGAAAGACTCTTAGCGGGAATGCAGAAACTTAATCATGAACGAGAATTAACAAAGCTAATCGCTAAAGTACAGATCTTACAAATGAACTTTCCTATTTTAGATTGTTCAATGTAAATTTGCTCAACGATGACAAGCGATACTGTGTTTAGCAATGATGATGAAAAGAACCGTCGTACCACTACACGACATTTCGACGTTGTCCAATCAGAAGAAGATGACGAAGAAAATCAAATGCTAGTACCATCGTCGACATCAGAAGACGACCCAAGTCCTCCTCCATTACCAGCATCGAGTGCTGACTCGTTAGGTGATGAATCGTGGAATAAGTTGTACGATGATTGGTTAGCTCTAGATGCTGAATTACGAGTATTCGAACCTCGACATAAAGAATATGTGGTTAAATTGGATGAAGTTGAATCATTGAAAACGAAATATCGAGCTGATTTTGATAAGTATAAAAAGAAATATGATCAATTGCAAAAGGATATTGCTCGTTTAAGAAAGACCTATATGAAAAAAGGTAAGAAATCAGTCAAACTGTTCTCCTATTGTTTCTGTTCTCATTTAGAAGAAGCAACGAAGAAGAATGTACCATCCAGTCCGATCAATATAAAAAGTTCTCGATCGACGACAAATCTTGATACAAAAACAGTTCCACTTCAAGACTCATCGCGTCCAATCACATCTGTCAGTTCATCTCCATCGTTAGATAAATTCGTCGGAACATTATCCGCACTCGAACGACTGAATCTCATATCTGAACAAGTCAATGCACAGTCCTTATTTCTAACACGTGTCTCGACAACGTTACCGCGAAAGGATCCATATCTGAAAGTGATTCTCGGTGGCGCCGATGTTTCAATCTTAAACAAAGCGGATAAATGGACATACAAACAGGAATATGAAAAATTTAAATTTATTGTCACGTGCATCTCGTTAGTATCCTCCTTAGTCATTTGGTCACTAACCGCACGCTATCGAGCATTCGATGCCTTATTTCACTTCTTACTTGTCTGGTATTATTGTACATTAACTATAAGAGAGTCGATACTAATTGTTAATGGATCGAACATAAATCGTAAGTGTTGTGAAGAGACTTAAATTTCAAATGATAACTATTTGATTGTTTAGCTTGGTGGAGAGCGCATCATTTTATTGCAACAGTTGCTACAGGTATTTTATTAACTTGGCCAGAATCTCGATCTTATCATACATTTCGTACACAATTCTTTGTGTTTTCATTTTATTTGAGTTTTGTTCAAGTAAAACCTCTATTGATTTTCGATGCTGATACTCATGTGATTGCCTGTATAGGTCCTTCAGTTTTATTATCAACGTGGCTGTCTCTATCGCTTACGAGCTTTAGGTGAAACTCATGATATGGAAGTCACCATTGAAGGGTTTCAGCGGTGGATGTTTCGTAAGCTATTCGAACTGCTCAGAGTATCGAACTTTTCGTTGGTTTTTTAGGTGGTTTATCATTTCTGGTGCCATTCCTTCTCGTCGGTTATCTCTTTCAACTATATAATGCATTTACTCTTTGGCAACTAGCTCATGTTTCAACCACACACGAATGGCAAGTGATGGTATTAGCAATCATCTTTTTCTTCCTTTTCCTTGGCAATATTCTAACAACATTGAGTGTTTTACGTGAGAAATTACGAGAGAAGACACCGCCAATGATCTTGAAACAGAAATATCAAACTTTTAAAACATATTTATCAACGAATTATCACCGTCGCTCGCGATCATTTCATCACTTTGGCCAACGCGATCAGAAGGAACATTCTGCACCCTCGAATTTATCCTCGAAAGAAGATTAAATGTATTTTGTTTTGTCTCTGAAATAAAAAGGCTTTATAGCACACATATCGCTCGAAATCAGATAAGAAAACCCGTTCTCTTTTTCTTTTTAAAGATGAAACTATCATTGCTTTTACTCAAACAAGTTTCACAATTCCGATTTACTAACTACGTGCCGACCCGACGAATTCCCGGCAATGTACTACTTGGGTAAGCGATTGGATGCGCGTTCGGGAGATGATTCGAATTGATTTCTGTTTTGCAAAGAAAACATCGCGTGAGACGAACGCTAAGCCAAGGCGAAAAACGTGATATGCAACAGCGAATCGAAATCGAATTAGAAAATATGGCTCATTTAAGTCGGCCGTATCTTACTGAAGTAAGCTTATGAGGAATTTTTTTGACTGAAATAACTTCGGGCTTTTAGGAAGAAGATAATCTGTACGAACGTGATCCAGTTCGTCGTGAACGTGAAGAAAAAGCGTTGGCTTTAAAACGGCGACAAGAAGAAATCCCGGAACATATTTATTTAAAGCGTGATTTGTTAGATCGTGTTGCGTGGTATAAAAAGTGGGAATAAACTTCTTGTGTCTTTTTTTTTCTTTCTCTCAGAAATCAATCCGATTTTGTAGCATTTTTGCGTATTGTAGATATTTCTCATGTCGAGTGAAGAAGAAGATGAATCTGTGATTGGAACAAAAGAGTAGTAAGTTACGAAAATGTCGATTGTGATTACAACTATCTACGGTCGGTTTGATCTAGTTGGGATACATTGTATGAAGGCGAATTAAATAACTTCAATGAATTCGGCGACGAAGGAGAGATTTGGTACGAAAAATTCGAGTTTTTTCGTAAACTTCCTCATCGCTCATTTTAGGTTCGGGAAAAGCATCTTGGCTAAACTTGTTGAAACTGTCTGTCAAATGGTATCTGAGACAGAAACAACCACGATCTTAGATATCGGCACAGGTAGCTTCGATTTCTGTTTATTTTTAAATCAAAAATACTATCCATTTTCAGGAAATGGCCATGTTATTCAACGTCTATTACGTCGTGGTTTTGTGCATTTGACTGGTATTGACTATTCTGAGAAATCAATTGAACTTGCACGAACACAAATCGGATCTAATGTAAAATTTCAAGTGATGGACATGACTGCAACGGACACATCAGCCCTTGACCATTTCGACGTCGGAATCGACAAAGGAACGTTAGATGCCATATTATTATGTTCATCCGATCAACGGAAAGGTAAATGTCAAGCCTATGTGGAAACAGTTCATCGGCATATCAAGAATCTCTTGTTTCTCGTTTCGTGCAACTGGACACGAAATGAATTGCTGGAATTTTTCGAACCGAGTATGTTGTTCGTGGATTGGTCGGGGGAAAAGTGTATAAAACATTCGTTTTCTTTCTAGAATTTTCATTAGAGCGGGAAATCGAGACGCCAACAATGCAGTTCGGTGGACGGCAGGGTAAAACAGTAACTTTTCTTGTTTTGAAAAGAAATGATTGATTTACTGTGATAAATTTTGAATAAATTTATTTAAACATGAGTCGGTTTTGTTAATGTTGGAGCTTGAATTCGAACAGGCTTAATTGGATCAATGATGAATCGTATCAATGTGTATATAATTAAACAGTAGATAATAAGGGCAATGAGAGTCAAAAGTAGCATTTTAATAAATCGAATTCGAAATCGTTGATGAGATGGACTGATCAATTCCTTCATCCATTGATTCATTTTTGCGAAGGACAATTTCAAAACTGAAAAGTTTCACTTTTGTTTCAATGACGTAGCTTACTATTCGACATATGTAAACAGAAATACAAACAATTGAATTTCATTGGTGAGAATTCTTCTATTCGTGACAACGTTTAATCATAATAAACTTTCATGACTATATAATCCTTCGTCATAAGAAATTACTGTTCTCCAGCAAAAGTACAGCATAACAATATTTTCGATAGAAATTGAATCATTGATCAGAGACTATTCTTATACTATTCAGACGCTCTGTCGATTGTACATATTATACTGTGACCGCCACTAGTGCTTGTGAAGACAGTCGTCGAGTCAAACGTACTAATAGACGCCTTTCTTGTCTGTCGATATAAAACAGAAAAGTAAAAGAAAAATGTACATATAGTCGATTTCTCGTCAGATTCTTCATAGTATTCAGATAATTTTGATAATCATGAAAGTACTTGTGTTCATTCTATTTCTCACTTTATGTATTGTACCTATCATTCGATCAGCTTTCATGCAAATAGACAGACCAATAACGTAAGTAACTCTCAAATCCACCATGAAGATCATACGTATAACCAGAAACATGTTTAGAAATACTTCTCGATTTGGTCCAATTGATATCGATGGCATGGATGAAACTATCTGGGGTACACCTGAACGTCATATACCATTAAAACACAACTGTGTTAGCGTCATTGGATATTACTTCATGACGCTACCTTCTATATAGTTGTTTTCTTGTATTTCTATACATATACATATATATGTATTTCTTTTTCTCTTTCTTTCCTTTCGTTTTAGTTTT